GTAGCCCGAGATTGCGCAATGGTGTAAATATAAAAGAGAGGAGGGGGAGGAATTGGTACTAGAACGACTAGATAATGTCTAAGTTTTCTCATCTATGGATGAGGCCATTGAGGTTAACTGTGAACCTAGATGAGGAGGAGGTTTAATCATAGACCCTGATGTCTCGAGGTTTATCTTAAAAAGTATTAACCAGCAATTAGTGGATGTTATAAGCGTGTTATACATAGATATGTAATATTGAGTAATTGGCCCTTATAAGGGATAGGAGTAGGCGCAGAGATGAAGCATTCGGGTGAGGAATTACATGTTTCATTAATAGTGCGAACATCAACTTGGCGAGAGGTAAGTTGGCCTTGCAAGGTAGGCTAATCCGATATAAAACAGAAATTTCACTCAGCCGAATGGCATGACTCGGACTCAGATAAACCTAGATAGAGAGCCTGCTCATCATTACGTATTTGCGTCTCTCTAAATGATGTTAGGCTTATTTGCAGTCTATAGTTACTTGCAGTGAAGACACGATATACAACTGAATCAGGAGTTTTGCTATTTTGTATACCCCCATAAATGGATGTAGCTGGGTGGAAGACGCAGAAAAATTGATTCGAGGACTCGGAGCAACAAATATAAATATCTTACTGTTTTCCTGTGACCTGTTGGCCTTGTCATGCCTTTTTATCAGCTTCAGTTACCATTGTCTCATCAGCCACTTTTGCCCCTCACCACCTTACCACAATGCTCAGAGTCGCCGCCTTCTTCATCTTTGCCTTGCTGGGTAACACGGTATTAATTACCGTTATCTTTTGATATCGTGATGCTAACCAATGCCTAGATGGCTTGCAGCGTCAATACCAATTGTTGCTTTAAAAATTATGAAGCTAAGCAAAAACACGTACGCTCTTGTATCGTCGCCGTGTTTACTGTAAACTGATTTTGACAGGAGGGCAACGCCGGATTTTGTTGGGATCTCAACACGCAAATCCTACGTGATTGCGATGCAGATTGTTGCAGCATCCAAACAGCAGCTAATGGGAAATACTACGGTGTCCCGTGTTGATTGCGAGCGTCACAAGCGCTCTGTGGGACAGCAGCATTTGTGTGTATTCTAGCTTCGCTCATTATGCTTAGTCTGAGGCTACCAGAGCCTTTCCGTGGCCACTGGCTTGACCTACTTCGAAGTATTGTACACAGGACGTAAATCTTCCCAGTATACCCCGAAACTTGCTCATTATCTGTGATTAAACGCCTCTTTGTGCCCTGCCGGTCTTCAGATTAAATTCCTTCTTTTGACTCCTGGGCATAAATTTGATGAAACCGTAGCCTAATATTTAAAGCAGGTAACCGCAATCAACTGCGACCCATAGAAACGGTTCTATCAGTAGTGATAAATATGATAACACTATTCCCGGTGCGGCTCTGTATTTGTATATCGTCCATTTGAATGATCGAGCTATGACAGATGTTTTCCTTCATGACTCTGATAACCCATCAACTGCAAGTTACTACAACCCAGTCAGCATTCAGCCAACCGCGTAGGACGTCTCACTCCTATTGCGTAAATTTTTGGAAATGCCATTCTATTCCATACTTTATTTGACAGGGGGTGCCACTTTCAAGTATTCAGCATCGGGGCTCGACATACGATAACAAGAGGCGCAACGTTTCCCGACCTGCCAGGACGCTTTGCGGCCCCGGACAGTCTGAGTTGAATAAGATTAAAACAAGGCGCCACGTTTCCAGATAACGTATCACAAAACACGCGAGTCAGTGCTTGTCTCTGCTTGACTCACAACTTCAGGTCCAGTCTATGCTGAGAGTTTTGCCCCATGCAACAGTACCGCATTCTGTCGGCTCGAGTTTACCGAAATTTGGTGGCCATTCCCGGTACACGTCTAATACTTTTCCATTGAAATGAACTTTCTGCAATCTTATTCAACCCCTGTCCTGTAGCCGGATTGCTTTTGTCAATTTTGAGTCAGGCCAGGATAACGGCTTGTCTGGCCCCTCGGGCCTTCTCGGCGGAATCTCCGATGTCTGTGTCTCGCCTCATTCACTCATGCCAACAGTAGGCGTTCATGGAGTTCCACCCATTAATACCTTTCATTCAATAACTCAGGGTAATTAGGTAATAGTCCCATTATCTTAATAGTCGCCCCCGTTCAGTGACTAGCCACGCCTCTAGCCACAGGCGTCTACCAAACAGGATGCTCGTTTCTCCGGGTGGTTTCGTAGAACTACAGCCGCATCGGATTGTCGTCGGGCCGGTAGAACCAGAAGTCGCTGCTCAACTCCGCTGATGTCTTCAGCTTCCGTCATACAGGAGATGATACCGTTCTGTTAGGCACGTCGTCGTTGTAGGACGTTGCAAACATTGTTGGGGGCGGAAGACCTATAATCAGCTAGTGGCAGGTGTGTTGTTGTTGGCTGTCCTGGCGCAATCGATGTGTTTTGCGTAGCAACCTGTGGAGTTTGGATCGGTTCTGCATCCAAACCTGGCATCGATTGGATGAAAGAATCATTTCTTACCCCGTTTAGAGGGATAATTAGCTGTAGAACTGGTATGCATTTCCTCCAGTAGTGCGGGAGTAGCGGGGCCGGAGGATATATCCCCCGCTTCATGAAACCCGTCAAGAACACAGGAGATTTCCCGAATCTTCGAAGTAAACCCGCTCCGCATATTATTATGACAGTGGCGCAGTGCAATCTTTTGCATTTGAGCAGACATCTTTCGATTCCAAAGCTCTTTTCAGAACACCTTTATTGCTCTCCACCTTAGTTACAGCTGGTTGGTTGGGTCTTGTCATCGTCAGGCTCGATCAGCACTTACGCGTGGGTGCCCAACCACTACTGACAACATTGAAAAGCTGACAAAACCCATATTAGAGAAGTCTTCGGTATCGACCATCCTCATAATCCTAAATCCACGTCGTCAAGCAGCAAATCAATAGCTAAGCAACAAGAGCGCGCTTTCACTTACGAGACTGCTTTGGTGATGCCCGAGGTAGGGGTTCAACACGAATGAGTTGGTCCAGACGATACGCTAATCAAGCAATGAACAAGGCCGACCACACGATCGACGGATATAAGTACATCGAATATGAAGTTTTTAAAGCAAGAACTGATGTATTTACCCTGCGTTGGAAAGGCAGTGATAAAGGTAGTATTTGGAAGGGACGGAGAGTGGTCGCGCAGCTAGATGCAAAGGTAGATGGGGAAACGGTTGTTGCTATCGGCGAGTCTGTGATTATAGACGAAAAGCATATTAAGTGTGTATACTCTGAAGAAACTCCCTGAACACTAGTCTGCTCAAGGGAACATCTTTTTTGTAAGACTTATTCCCCTCGCAAACCTAATCTTCATTTCTACAACTACCTCTTTGCTATTATTATGTAGCGAAAAGCCTAAACATTCTCCATTCGTTGCGTGAGCCCGACTGCTTAATAACGCTCTTAAAAGCCAATCACTTGCTAAATCTCCTAGTGTATCGAAATCTTTCGAGAAAGCCTCTTCAAGATCCTTCCCTGAGGAGGAGCTCAAAGTTACAAATAGCTTGAAGTCTTCGCCGACGTCACTCGCGAAATACAGCTTGATAGCTTTCGTTAATAAGCTTGAAGGGTTCTGAGCCGACTTGCGTTGTCTTTTATAATATTTCTTGAACCCTATACACAGATAGTTGCCGAGAAATGGCCGTACCTCTGATACAACTGCCACCTCTGCTCTCAAAGCTGAGGAGTCTTGTTCGCGTTTCCTTTGGCGCCCTTGCTGGCCGACATTGGCTTGTGCAATGGTTGGAGCGATCAACTGAGATGACTCAATATAGCTATCTTCCTTCGCACCAGGCAATGATGTGGGCGGAGACGATGGCGAAGGGAAGCGAGCACCTAGTTCTGAGCGTAACGAGGAAAATTCTTCTCGTTGGATCACTATGGTCAGATCGCGCTGTGCAAAATAGAAAGCACCTTCTTGTGGCTAACATGTCGGTGTATACGGCTATAGCGATATCACGCAACAGAGATCACCTACCTAAAAGGGCTATAGAACGTGTTCCTGTAGGCAAGTTTTGTAAAAAAGCGATGTAGTTTTTCTAAAGGCCGTTCCCTTGTACGGCAACAGCGCGTTCAGCAAGGCCTTTGATGTTTGCGAGGCCTTGGGTGCTGACGGTGTCAACACCATCGTAGTCTCTCTCGAAGATCTTAAGGGTTTCGATTTGGGTCTTTCGGTACAAATTTCTAATCGCAACGCATTCATCGAACGCCAAACTTCGAAAAGTGTTATGACGATGCTTCGCGACATACTGACACAATATTTCGGGACGCTGTGTCCGTTCGGGTTTGATTGATTTGGACATGAGCTTGTGAACATCCATATTGTTTCGGGGCCCTACGGAGGAGCGCAGCATATGAGGAGCGCAGGAAATGGAGCAGCGCTGGAAATTGAGGGGCGCGAAATATAAGAGGCGCAGAAAATGAGCAACACAGAATTGGCACAATGTCAATGGAAGATGCACAACTGCCTGACCTCCCTTACGCTGTACGTGGCGTAGAGAAAGCCGGCTCCTGATTGTGTCGATAGTTCCAGCGAGCTCTGATCCCTCTGGCTTCTCTAGTTCTTTAAAACGCTCATTCTGACTTCATCGCTTGTAAGTTGTGGGCAATGCCATATTCTTAGGCGGCTGCATAAGGGGCCATCCTACGATGAATTACCTGTAGATGATGTGACCCCAGCACAAACCCGTTTTCAGACGATTCCGCGATCAAAAACGGTGAGTCGACATCTCTCTTACCATCAAGACCCCAAAACTAAAGAGTACGAGTACGCATAGGTCGGGGAAAACGACCGTGATCCGGCCAAAAGAAATGCCACTCCTGTCCAGCTCCTGAAAGGTCGATAGAAAGCTATGCAGGTGCAGTGAACAGCTACTGAAGTAGCTGCTGAGGAAGGAAAAAGAATTCATAGGTGTAGCTTCAAAAGTTTCTCAAGGAGAACTGACTGCTTATGATTATCGTCAAACAAGGAGAACAGAAGGGTACTTACTCGTTGTATGTGAATGAGTAACAATAACTCAGTCTTGATATCCCTGTGGCTTTGCTATTTGCTGAGAGGTGAACATGCGACATGACTCCTGCGTCGTCGCGACCAACCCTGTCAAATAAAACGGCCATACTATAAACGTATCCAACGTACGTTAACTAGCTCGTTCCGAGCCATAAGGGGACCTTATCGTAGGCTATATAAACGGCCACATCACAAAGGTACGATGGAGATCAACTCTCCTTAATTCGCTACGTAGCCTTAATTATAACTATTAAATACGGCTTATACATAAGCTATACTATCGCTCATAATATATACTTCGGCTTAGTTTTTAATATTACTTATACGGGCTAAAAGCTAAGTAAGATCTCGAGCTTAATAGGCCCCTAATAAGTTATCTATAATTGTTGGTTTACGTATCACAGGTGCAATTGTTCGATCGAACTGGGGTGACGAAGGGTCAATTAACTGTATACTGATCTCTGCGTGAAGTGGAAAAGAGAGGTTCCAACCGGAGGTTAGATCGTCAGTTGAACGCTGATATAGAGACCCTCAGATGGCCCCTGCGCTGGTGCTGACTCGAGGTCGAATAAGGCTTCCAATCCGACACTCATGGCTAAGTTGAAGAAGTCAATTGCAATATCAACAATCGCCATCACAACATTATCCTTTACAAACGAAGTAGAACCCATCCATCTACATCCAATCATAGGCGATCCCACGAGGGCTCTCTGCCATGCAGTTTTCAAGAGCCATCTTCCTCATCGCCACGTCCTTCGTCCCCTCCGCCATGGCCCGATGCAATGGTGCCGCTCCCTACTTGGAAACTCGGTTGATCTGCGCTTCCACCTGCGATGGTAGCAAGTAGCGTCGTGACCTCACATGGACAGTCATTTCCAAACGACTGGGTGTTCAACGCTCTAACACAAGTGTTCCCTCAGGCTTTGGTGGACCTGTCCGCATGTCCGCCCTCTAGCGCACGGCGTGCATGACGAACTGCCTTTTGCACTGCAACGACGGTAACTAGACGGAGAGACCGAGTCCTCGACGTTGAGAAGTAGCAGCGGCATAGGTTTCACGATAGCAAGGACGAATAGTCATGCCAAAGTCGAAGGTGAACTGCAGCTCAAGTGATTCTCCATCTTAGCCACACTTGAAGGTCGATGATTCTGAAAACAATACGAAACTATCCCAACTTCAGCATAGCCATTCGTAACAGTTCCGCCTTGATGTCATTACGAGTTAGGAGCACGATCTGCTGCTTCTGGCAAGCTTAGCCATTGGTGTTTCCCCAGGCGGCACTCACCTCTCTCAAACCTCCAATCATAATCGAACGATTACCACCCGGGCGATGCCGACGCTCGCCATGGGACACCTGAATAGTTAACCATGTACAAGAGGCGCCGGGCTTAAAAAACAGCCCGGTGAACCGACAGAGTCTACACCGAGGCAATTTCATGCCCATTATTCTCGCAGCCGAACCTACTAAGCCAAATTCACCACCCCGTTGCGAAAGAGACATCAATGACCCTCAGCGCCCCATCAGCGCTTCACTCAGAGCACCCAACTCAACTTTGGCCCCCCGGTTGGTTGGTTGGGGGGCGTTGCGTTAAAGGGTGCCTTCGGCGCCGGATTTTTTTTGAAAATGTCCCACTTCCTTCGGCAGTACTTTTTGTCGGATTGGAAGTCCAATTCGACCTCGAGTCAGGGCAAACGCAGGGGCCCTATATCAGCTTCCAACTGACGTGCTAACCGTAGGTTAGCACCTCTCTTTTCCACTCCACGCAGAGATTCTATATACAGTCAATTGAACCCTCGTCACCACCTCGGAACTACGATTCGAACCCGACTATCCTGTGATACGGATACCAACACTTTTCCAATTTAAAAGGCCCGACTTACCAGAGGGTATTCGGAGTATCTGGCCAATCCAACCAATCTCATTTGAGGCTAAGACTTGGTCGATTGACTGGCAATATCTTGAATGTCTACTGATTTGGTTGGGTTGGTTGGTTGGTTATTGGCGTTGCTTTGAGTGAAGCGCTGCATCCCATCGGGTTCGTTTTGTTTTTCTTCCCAGACTCACCCAAGTCTGTTCTCAGTTATCTTACGGACCGATCACATCCCTTGGATTTACAGTTTCCTCCAAGAGGATATCCCCCGGACTTCAGGAATCTTAAACTCCGCTTAGTAACGGCAGACCTGAGCCACAGCCCTATTGAGGCAAGGCATGCACCGGCGAGTCAGAAGGTCTTTATTAATGCACTGCACTGCAATTCCACGGTACCTCAATTACTATTCCAGAAAAGAGAAGTATTCTAAACAAATCCGACGAATGTACATAAACTTATTTTAGCCACTGGTCATTCATGAATGGAGTGGAAACAGTTTCCATTCCATTTTGAGTCAGGTTCTAGTCATGTTCTATGGTGATCATCATTGCCAAGGCCAACTTTAGACTCTCGCACTCTTTTAACCATACTGAGCAGTCACAATTCGATATGGAATATATTAAGGTTTCAACGTTCTTGGCTGGCAAAATCCAGTATGGATCTTCAAGACGCGAATCAGGCACATCTCAACTTGACGACACCAAAGTCAAAAGTACGTAAGCGGAAATATTTCGGCTTCCCCTGGCAGTCTGCACATCATAATTAAGTCCATCAATAATCTACCGTCCACCAGGTATTATGAAATACCAGGTGTTTCTCATCTGCCTCTTGGCGGCTTTGGCATCTGCCGATGTCACCTATTGAGGCAACACCGCTCCATCCGATGTAAGTACAAGACGGCCTCGAAAGTGTTGACGTGCGAGCCTACATTCACAAATATGTCTATTTGAATCGCTACATACAAATGCCAGAGTCAAATTGAGGCCTGCCGCAGCTTCTGTCCGTTAAGTCGTCTCAGACCTCTACAAGTTTGCATTGAAAACACTGACGCCCTGCACAAATCTGATTGCAATGGGTCTGTGTCGTTTGTGTGCCCGCAGTAGGGACTTGGTTGGTAGCCCCACAGCAAACCCACCCTCTAATGATGCCATGTCTGGAAATGAAAAAGGAAATCACTTTGACTGCCAGTGCTACCCATGAAGTGGGATGATTTCAGGGATGTTTGAACCATTGGACGAACCCGAGTTGGCCCATGATCCGACCCTTGTCTATCCGATGGAGCCAGCCCGTTTGAACCGGGAGACGGTCCGAGGACCTCCAAAGAGAAGACCGTTATTTGCTTCACTTCTTCACACTTTGTCTGGTGACCAAGCTCGCTCACCTTTTGGCCCGCAACTCCATTCGGGCACATACGCTCACGGTCCGGTCAATGATTCAACCCTGGTAGGGCTAAATTTGGGAAATATACCCCCTTCTCTTTGGTGCAGTGTTATGAAATACGTGGTGAAATTCAGTCTCTGTACTCCCGGAACAATGGCACATACGGCAATATGTTTAAATGAGCAGTCAGATTCTATTACTCTGCTTAAAAACGGTCGGCAAACTTCATGGAGTTGAGCCGGAATACGCATCGAATCAGATTGGGATCTTACAGGTGTGCCAGGAACGTATTCATTGTAGTCCGGGCTATCGGAAAAAGATGGTAGTCCGGATTATCGGAAGAAAATGACCATGAACCTGAAATGGCTTTCCATAATTCCTCAATTGCCGTGCTAAAGCCCGGAAGGAACGGCAAATCTGCTAGAAATCTGGACCTTTGGCCGCCCGCCATCACGAGTCATCGTCTCGCCAACTTGATTCTTTGGTCTTCTCCGACGAGTCGATGGTGCCGAGTACAGATATAGTCACGAACAAACAAAACCTCTTGAAGCTCTACGAAAACTTCGGGGGGTTTTTTTTTTTTTAACATTCCGCAAGCTGCCATTCGTGTTATTTGGAAGTTACATGCCAACACCGTTGGGAGCTCAACTATCCGTATCGTCAGAGCATATTGATGCCTGTGTTAGGTGGGTCTTTCAAGCAATTTATTTGACCTTCTTGGAGTTGTCGAGTCGGAATGTCGCTCACCATACGTCTTGAATATTCAATCCTTGATCCCCAAAGCCAGTAAAGCCGGAAAGAAAACCTCGAATCCGCGACACCCTAGGACGATGTCTCCACGAATCCAAGTTGTATAAATATGGCTTCCGCTCGACATTGGTAGTTATCGTGAGCTTCTCAGACATCACATTCAAATCCCCTATTTTTAAGCAAGACACAAGTCACATAACAGACAGTTCCGGTGCGTCATCCTGACACAGTCGCTTTTCGCCTATCAAAGACAACGTAAAGGCCAACTCATCGTGACTAGAAAATGGTCAAACTCTCCCTCCTCGCCCTCATCATCCCGGTGATGGCCGACAAAACCCAATGGGTCAGCCTCTACGCCAGTGTAGTTGGAACATCAGAATCCACATCATTCGATCAGTTCTATGACTGGGCCGTGCGGACGTGCCAAAAAGACCTGGGAGGATTTCCTCAGAGCTCCTCCGACATTTACAGGGCCCTGCAGCTTAACTGCGAAAACGTACCGCAGAGCTGGTGCGACTCTTACCCGGGGGGCAAGACGTACCATCCCGACTCGGCGTTGTTTACGAACCCGAAGGCTGAAGCTTGCTACACGCTGTAGTAGGGCCGGATGGCCACACCGGGCTGTTTGTCTTCTGAGTAGAGCATGGTGGATGGGACGTGGACACAGGCATAGCGTCTACTTGATAACTGAATTCACCGTGTATTTTGAAGTCTTTTTTGTTCTCTCTCGGGAAACTCCATTTGTTGATCGGTGTCAAGCGGAATGTGCATGAGATGTAGCAATAGAGATGTAGCAATGAATCGAAAGTATGCAAAAAGGGATGACCAGGAGAAAGGAGAGTGAAGAAAGTAGAAACTCTGCAAGTTTACTCCATGTTTTGGAGAATGTCGGCTCAGACTTGACTTTTGCACCATCTGCCAAGAACTGATCAAAATAAGTTTATTAGCGCCCTTTACATTTGAGCAATATTACATATGCCGTCAGCATGGTCTCCGCTTTCCAGCGTGCGCAGATTGGTTCTGGCTTCATCACCAAAGCACGTGACTTCCCCTATTGTTGGGACGAACGAGGTGTGAGTCAGTGACACGGGGGCTGTTCGGATAAGCCGCTGCGATTCCGGCGGCCCGGCGGGTGGTGAAGTGTCACCGGGAGCGGGTAGAAGGGAAGTTCCTTCAAGTCCGAAGGTGTGGCGCACGGGTGGGGGTGATGGCGCCAGAGGGAGGGCGGACCATTTCCCATTCATCGCTGCTTTACTATCTAGAGTGGCTGAAAGACGTGATAGTTGTTAAAAAGATACCAGCTTCGTATCGCCGGTGCACCGGGCATCTTCGTCACAAGCATCTTTTCGAACCCTTGGCGAGGTCTCTTGCATGGCGCTTGCCATGCCCGAGACCCGATGTCGACGATGGTTTCAATATTATACAGTCGAAATCTCATTCCTCGCACCCTACCCTCACTCTGGAAACTTTACCAAGAGTCTGGTACCTGTGATGAGCCCAACACGCAGCGGAGCCGGCGGGATGCAGGCCAGGGATCCGTCGGGTGAGACACAACGCAGCATGAGCAGCATCAGGTGGACACACCAAGCGCCAAGGGCAACTCAAGAGATGCACAGAGAGAAAGCGCCTCGTACTCCCAAAGATGAGAAGTGCACTTTGAGCGCAGGCAAAGAGCGCGATTTGAATGATCCAAGGTCTTTGGTCTTTGGCGCGTTTGGCGGGGCAGCGTGACGAGGTTTCTGGTGTATTCGTAAGGTGGTACGGAGGTACCCAGGCGTGCTAAGGTAGGTAAGGTACCTTAAGTAAGGTAGCCGATGCCGGTGGATGATCGCGATAACCTAAGCCAGTAAAGTGGGTACCGAGTGCTTTATCAGATGATCTGATAAGATCAAATTCTCCCACTTGCCCCGAGCGCACACTCTGCAACTTTTCGACGTCTCCCCCACCCCGGTACCCGTTGCCTCTCCCACCTCTACGACGACAGTACCGACTTGGACTCTCCCCTACGGCCCGTCCCCTTTGCGACGATATCATCGGGGACCTGCGCATCACCACGGTCGGCTTGTCTCATCGATGCAAACACACACAACTCTACCGTGATCATGCTCGGTCCGTCGACGTCGGGGCCCCGGCCGCTGCCGACGTTCATCGCCGCACTGTGCCTCCTCATCGCCTCCTCCTCGGCCCTCGCAGGCAGCGGCGGCGTCTGCTTCGACTCGTGCTCCAACACCCTCAGCCAGCCGCAGTTCAATGACACGCAGTCGTACCATGGCGGCAAGCCGTCCAGGTCCGAGTTTATCACTTCGTGCGTCAGCCAGCTGCACATCAAGTCGCTGTACCTCTGCGCCGACCTCCACTGCGACTTGACGCACCGTGTCGCTGGCCTGAGCAACCTCAACCACACGTGCCAGGCTTACATGAACACCTCGCTGCCGCCCTTTGACATCGTCGCCGACTATTCCAGTGAGGACATTGCCGGCTTGCGGAGGCTGACCAAGGCGGAGGGATCTAATACGTCGACTGTGCTGAATGAGGTGGTGTTGCCCGCGGATGCCTACTATCAGATCTGGTTCGACTCTCTCGTATGGCCACCCTACCGGCTCCTCGAACCATGTCGCTTGACTGACAACCCGTAGGAATCTGTCGAGTACACGTACGGCAATCACTACAGATATGGGTTCGTGCACTGCATCCCACCTGTGCTCGCCTCAAGGCCGCTAACGTCATTGCTCAGTTTCTACGTGATTGTCTTCTGGTTCATCGTAGTTGCCATCGGTCTGGGGTCTCGCCTAGTATCGGCCATTGGAAGTCTTCAAAAGCAGGAACTGGATTCACGAAAGTCGCCCAGCATCCTTCACTGGTCCGCCCTCTGGCTCAAGCGATACATCACCGTCCCTGCCACCTTTGGGTACCGTTGTTCTCAGAACCTCGGCTGGTGCACGATACCGCCACGCATCCAGAGTCTCACCATAGTTGCCTTTGTTGCCGTCAATGTCTTCTTCTGTGTTCACGGGTACTGGATCTTCCCCGGCCACATGTAGTGAGTGTAGCTTGCTCTTTTTGTAGCCGCGGCCTCGTAGCTTACGTATCCACAGTTGGCCGCAGGTATACCATTTGGTCTGGCGTTATGTAGCCGACAGAACCGGCATCATCTCGTTCGCCAACTTCCCCATCATCTGGCTCTTTGGTATGAGGAACAACCTTCTCATGTGGCTGACCGGCTGGGACTTTGGCACGTACAACAACTTCCACCGCTGGGTTGCCCGCGTTGCAACGCTACAGGCCGTGATCCATTCTGTCGGTTACGTTGTCCTTGTCTTTGATGGTAGGAGCCTTTCCTTATCTCTAATAATGCAAGTCTCTAACATAGGCTAGATGGTGACTGGTCGTACTGGATGTCGTATTGGTCACAGATGTGGTGGATTGAAGGATGGGTTGTGAGTAACACCCTCTCACGCTTCCAGTGACATGTGCTAATGTCAAACACAGGCTACCGTTGGCATGGTTGCCCTGCTCTTTGCTTCCGTGTTTTGGATGCGACGGAAGCAGTATGAGCTGTTCCTCATTCTCCATATTCTATTGTCAATCCTCGTCCTCATAACCATGCTTGGGTAGGTTCTTCATTTTCCGTCTCCTGAATCCTCCCCACTGACAAGCACAAGCCACGTTTCCATCTTTATGGGCCAGTTCGACATACTCTTCTGGGTGCCTTGCTTCATCTGGATCGCTGACCGCGTCCTCCGTATGTCGCGGACACTGTCCTTCAACCTCAAGTTCTGGAACACCTTTGCTCTCGCCACTTACGACGCAAACTCAAACATCGTCCGCATCAACGTCCCATACTCTACTAGCTTCTACGAGCCGAAGCCCGGCAGCTACTACTACCTCCACGTCCTCAGCGACAAGCGATTCTGGGAGAGCCATCCGTTCACCATGGCCTGCACGACGACAAACATGCACCTTCGGAGGAAGTCGTCCAGCGAACAGACGCCGCTGCTCGTCGCAGGAGAGCACGACATAGAGCCCCTTTCCGAGGTTGGGTACGAGCCCAGAAGAGGCGAGCCCTCCATGACTTTCCTCATCCGCCCCTATGACAGCTTCACCGGCCGCCTGCGCGAGGAGGCAGCTGCACAATGGCCTCGGCCTGCGCGCCTGCGCGTCCTTATCGAAGGACCCTACGGTCACAAGCAGCCCTTTAACCAGTTTGACGACCTGCTTTTCATCGTCGGAGGCAGTGGCATTGTTGTGCCGCTGGCGCATCTCGCGGAACTCACCAAGGCCTCGTCAAGGACTCGGTCGATTAAGATTGTCTGGGCCGTCCGCGAGCTGAGTTTCGCTGTGGACGTGCTGCGTCAAGACTTTGAAGACCCTTTTGAGGGTGGCAAGTTGTCTGTCGACATTTACATCACACAACACAGCCTCGCGTCAAATGCTGCCCGGCCGGAAGAGTGGCCGGAGCAAGTGCGTTTACTCCACGGGCGTCCTGACGTTCGTGAGGAGGTGCAAGATGCCGCGACGGGGGCCGACAAGGCGAGTCTCGCTGTTGTCGCGTGCGGGCCTAGTATTATGGCTGATGACGCGCGGCAGTCAGTCGTCGAGATGTTGGGCCGTGGGTGGTCGAAAATCGACTACTTCCAGGAGAGCTTCAACTGGTGAGCTTTTTACAGACTATTTAGATCAATGTTTTGGGTATAAAGCGTCATCATGAGCATAGAATAGCGTCAAGCGTTTGGATATATTGATATACATTACACAATTACATAACATCTAGATTCGGCTAATCACCTCTGGAATGCTTTGTCTTCTGCTTCTTGTGTTTCACGTCGACGACCTCCTCATCCATGAGCTCGCTCTTCTCATCCAGGCCGCTCCACTTGGGCTTTCCATCCGGGAGATCAACGACCCTCTGCCCGTAAAAGATGTGTTTTCTAGACGACTGGTCAGCATTGAAAGCAGAGAGCGCTCACAGGTGACGAAAAGAGAAAACGAAGAAAGAAAAAAACGTACTGCACATCAAACTTCTTCCTCTTCTCCTCGCCATCAAAATCCAAAAGCCCAGGAAACAACAAGACCATGTTGCGCCCCTCGTCCATGATGCGGCTGCCGCAGAACCCGCAGCTGACCTTGCAGGGTAAATCGTGGCCCTGGAGGTTCTTGCCCGACGAGTAAAACGCCAGGCCGTCGACGCCATTGTCAAAGGCGAGGTCCTCCTTGTGGAAGATGGCGGCCCACTGGAAGGGCGCGCCGTGCATTTTCTGGCAGTCTCTGCAGTGGCAGAACTTTGAGGCCAGGGGCTCGTCTTTGGCGAGCCAGTAGGTGACTTGGCCGCAGTGGCAGGCGCCGCGGATTTTCTTGGAAAACGCGTCGCCGTGGGGGTGGGATTTTCCTGGGGCGACGTAGGGGGGTTCGGTTTTCCAGGTTTCGTCTTTGGAGTTGCTTGTTGTTTTTGTTTTGGTGATTTCTGGTTTCTTCATTTTGGAGGTTTGCGAGGGGGTTAGGTGTCAGCGAGTCGTGTCGGGGGTTTTGGTGATGATGGTGCCGTAGAGCTTGTCCTGTGTCTACAGGCTAATGGGAACTTCAAGACTGTGCGAGATGCAGAGGTTTTGTTGCATTTGTGTAGATGCTGTAAGGTAGGACGAGCGATGGCTCCAATGAGACAGTGATAATGACATCACTGGCGTGAATGTCTATGATGCCTTTATTCTGGGGTGAAATAAGAAATGCCCGCACTGGTAATTTTGAGAGGACCAAAGAGGGAAAGCCCAGAGTTTCGATAATCTATGGGGTAAGGCAGGGCGTTGAATGTGTAACGGTCGAGCTAAGGTGCTTTGGTATTGGGGTTGGTCCGCAGTCCGAAATTTGAAGCCACGAGTCGGGACGAACGGCGGTCTTCGCCATGTTAAAAGTCAATTCAGTCTTCTTCATTTTGACTCAACTACGTTTTGAGCTTTGACAAGACTGGCGTGACCATCGGCATGGATACCTGTTGATGACTCTCACATCTGATCAAGGGGTAAGGGGACTGAGTCTGCGCTTGGACTAGCGTTCGAGATGTCATCGGTTCATCATCGATCGGATCTTGTTACCCCACAGACTTGAGGGCTAATTGGGGAAAGAGGATCCCCTGACGATCTCCCGTCGCCAGATGCACGCCATAAACCATCTTTGATAAGCTCACCACGCGCATTCGATATGACTAGGATTCATACTGGCTTATCTCTGAACCTTATGCTTAGATAAGGAGAGTGTTATTAAATGTCATTTGGTGATTTGGATGGGCAAGTGTATAATTCTATCATGCATCAATTATGTAAGCCAGGCACTATCCATATGATTCAATCCATCCACCTCTTTCTAGATCCGAACATGGACAATGGACATTCCCAATTATTCTCAGGACGGTAAAAGAACTAGTGTACATAGGGTATCACAACACCTACTCATCAAGAGGCACTTGGCCTCTAAGTATCAAGGTCCCTAGGTAGAGAGAACACAACGTTTCAATCGGTATTGCACGAGGTGCCGTTCTCGAGACCAAATCTCCTGAGCTCCTCGGAGACAACCTTTCTTATCACCGACCTCAGGAGACGTATTCTCCAGTCCCGGCTGTCGCATGTTGAGAATTCAATTCTTGAAAGGCTGGAGAGTACGCTACGCATGTCAATAGCTGAAAGATAGTCTTCTATGCTGTTGCTTGCCTTACCTGGCTTACTTCTTAGTTGACTTTGCTTTGGACACTGCATCCCAGGAGGCTTGCCAGTCGTCAAGAAATTGCGTTGTTTCCTTCATTTTGGTGGTCTGGGAAGATTGACCATCGTTGGCAGCGCTTTGGTGCAGCTTTTCCGTGACATTCAGAGGGCTACCGAGGTATTGCTCGAGAAGAATGCGAGGACCTCCCTTTTTACTATGTAAATTGTATTAGCTAGGTAGTATTCTCGGTATGTTGAGCACAATACCTGTAGTGATTGGTGGCTGCCTCTGACGTGCAACATCCGGCAGACATTGCGGTGGTATATAAAGAACTTATATCAGGACTTGTTGCTGTCAACATCTTTGCCTCGACATTGTGGGTATAACATTTGGGAGACGCGATTGGAGAATGCCCATTGTTGGAGCATTTATTTTAGCATTTCGGATTGATTTGTTCTACTTCTATGACCGGGAGTCAGTTGATGTGCTTGAGCGCACCCAGCATCGCTGAAGTCAGCGACATCTTTTTTTATCCTGAGCACAATGGGACAACCACAATTCGTTCCAGGCTCCGATACTAAAAGACGCATCCAGTACGAAGGGCACTTGAAACCACCGCTGTGCTTTTCAAAATGATTGATCGATATTTCAAGCGAGTATTGCAACTGGCTTCCAGCGAACGGCGCTCGAACGCACAGATGTGCCTTCTAAGTCGCTGTTGGACCACAGCCTGACTTGGCAGAGACGGTAGACCGCATCCCTGGCCCAGACTGGAATTTTCAGCAATCTCCTGAACCTGGCCGTAGTCCATCCCTTTTCTCATTCGCATGTCTCCCGAGAGAGCGATCACCAAGCCAACGCCGCCATTTTGGACGTTGGATCTTTTCATCGAGTCCCAACCTCCTCGCCTCCTGTTTGCTCTCCAGATAAGGCTGGCTTCAGTACCACCGACAAGTCATTGGGAACTCACAAACCCCTAGTGCGACTCGCATGCCTGCCGGGATGGATGGCTCAGTCCCAAACGCTTCATCCACGGAATCGTCACAGAAACACACTGAGGCGACATCATGTGGGCTAGCCGCCCATCCTGCAGAAGATCTCGAACTCATTGGGGTTCAACGCTGCAACAAGCTAGAAGAACCAGATCTACAGATCAGGTCCAATATCCATGTGACAAGCAACATGGGCGTGGGCAAACATATTCAATCATCTTAACCACATCTTCAAGCTTCTGAAGCCTTCTGCGATGAATCTGCGGACATGCTGGACCCGGCCAGCAGCATGGCTTTCCTTACAAGCAGCAGAGCTTCGCCATGCTCTGCCACTCCAGCCGCAGCCTCAATTGCACAGAGGGTATTAGCCTCAATCGAGGACCCGTCTTTAGGGACAGACGCGAGCGCAACCTTCGCATCTTCTTTCGATACCATCGCCAGCTCGCTCATAGATCACGCCGTCGGCTACATGGACAAAGTCGAAAAATCCTATACTTGGCCAATCCATAATCAGTTTAATATTTCCTCGCCGCCTTACTTTCATGCAACTCCGTATCAGTTCTCTGGTCAATTATCATACTCCGATCTTCAAGACCATCCGATGCCAGGCGTTGAAATCAGTTCATTTGTACATCCTGAGGAAATTGAAGATATGAGTTCAATGCGATTTCGTTCAGGATATGAGCGGTGGCCCGTTGCGACTCCCTGTCGGAATCCTCCACCTCCCGACTCTGGTTACGGGTCGAAGTGTCATCCTGACATATTCTCCAGTCGCCATCACAGAAGCATAACCCGAGATCTTTCCACACCGCACAGGAACTACGACGCTAGAACTTCGTGTTCGGTAGCAAGTGCTGTTGATCGGGGTCCCGCACGACAATACATTGTCGAATTAGCTAGCGGCATATACCAGGAGTTAATACATCATCCAGACACCAAGGCTTGGCAGTCCCTACCGTCGATACTGCCTGAAGTTATCAAGGCTTTTGCGATCCAAGTTGGACTCGATTCGCCATCCCAAATCAACAGAAGCATCATGTACTTCCTACATAAACGCCGCTGGTGAGTAGATTCACGCACCTGTTCGGGCAAATATTAAATGAGCGATGTAGTCAGATCGTAACCCAGCTTATGTTGACTTTCGAGGATGAGACTGATGTTGATGATACCCCACGGGAAGCTATTTCCGACGACGTAGGGGGCATGTCTGTCGAGGAAAAACTAAGGCTTTGGGCCAATAAGATGGACGTAACATGTGTGTCACCCCCTCAGCAAGATCGATTTCAGGGCATCGAGGACACAGAAGAGGATACTCTGGGGCCCGTTGCAATGCCGGAATACCGCAGCATTGTGCTGAGCGGAAATGCATTCCAATGGCTGGTTGCATGCTTGAAGACCGAGATGAGCTTGCAATGCGACCAGGACCACTCTGGAAACAACACTCGAAGAGAAATCCGACAAGCAATACTCGAATGTCTTCCAACAGGTAGAATCAGCAAAAAGAACTCGCCAAAGATTCATACAGTCCGATTCCGGCTCCTCGAGTGGCCTTTCATTGCTGCCTCTGCATGGCAGCCTATGGATCGCGAGGCCGAGTTGTTCGTCAGGCGACCGACCTTCGAGTCTATCATTGTTGCGTACTGCAAGGATGGCGGCCAAGCAATTTCAATCAAGCGTTACTTGGCGCAAGTATGGCCATCAACCTGGAGCAGTTTACTCAACTTGCTACTGCCAGTTATGGACTACTTCGAGGATCATAGCCCACATGAACCTTGCATTGGTACATCAATTTCCCTTTCGTTGTCTTGGGAATACGAAGCTGAGAACTTTATAGTTGACTTGGTACACAACTACTGTACAAACCTGAGGGCGACGTTTGAAGGTAATCACCTAGTCGTAACAGTTCAGGCGCCCTCCTACTTGATTGCCGAGTTTGGCGAGCAGCTTGCGTGGCTCTCTGCTGCTGTTTCTCGTCACTTCGATGGTCCCATCGCACACCGCACTCCTGCCATCTTTCGGAAAAGCGTCGACGAGGCACGATATTGCGAAGACTTGATTGGTTTTGATATCGCGGTTGAAGAGGAGGTGAAAAAGTGTTTGACTCCACAAGAAGCCCGCTGGACACAGGTTTTAGACAGGCGCTTTGTCGCGATAGCAGGGTTTCCCGTCCTGAGTCGTCCAGCGAAACTTCCTGGAACCGAGGTTTCTTGGGAGATTCTTGAAGCGTTCCTTGGAGAGTATAATTTCATGAACCGAGAAGGGCAGGTGTTTCTGGAAGGAAGCGATAAAACTGTGGCTTTGGTCAAATACCATAGAGAGGTGTATCTTTGGCGGAACGTTTCAAGTGGCGAAAGACCTTGCTGTCACTCTACAGGCGAATCGAAAGATGACTTCACTGATGTCATGGTATGCGAGCTGCTCAAATTCCAAATCAGTCGACATATCTTGGACTCCGTCGATGAGGCAGCCATAGGTACAAGTAAGTTTCCAACAAATACCTTTCACCGTTATTTTGCTAATGGAGAGTTTCACATAGACCCGTACTTTCATGACAAGGAAGCCACCTCGGCTCCAGGTTTCAGTAATAGAATGCATTGGACAACACCTGGTCAGAACCTTTCGAGAATTACGGGACGAGTGTTAAACACATCGACAACAGGGAAGGACGACGAACATTCTATCATTGACCTCACACTAGATGGACCTTCACCGAAGGATGCCAGTTGTCATTTTGATGTTACCGACAAGTCAGAGACGTCATTCGAGTCCGATTTGCTGTCGATTTCGGACCTCTCAGATGAAGCTAGTCTCCCACGGTTATCGGAAAACGACCCCGTATTTCTAGTCATCAAGGACGTTGCTCTTACTTTGCTCACTAAACACCGTTTCCAGACTCGTGGAAAGACGACAGGCGGTGGGGGGGTTCCTGCATCAGTAGCATCGACAAATCCACAAGGACAAGCTCTGCCTTTGAACAGCGAGCAACTTCCAGCCAAGGGAAAGCGCAAAGTCGCAGACGAACTCGACTCGGAACAAGGATCCAAAAAGAAGATATACTCAGCAAAGAAACAGGAACCCACGCTCGCTTGCCCGTTCTGGAAGTTGGATCCCCTACAACATCACAATTGTGCTAGACGAAAACTCACGAGAGTCCGCGACGTTAAACAGCACCTCAACAGGGGCCACACACCTAAACACTATTGCCAGCGCTGTTTGAGGCTCTTTGCAGACGATTACGCCCTTTGCCAGCACGTTTCTGATGAGAACGGTTGGACGTGTCCTCTTTCCGCCCCGGATACACTGAACGGGGTTTCACACGAACAAAGCAGAAAGCTTCATCGAAAATCAGCCCCTTCATTGTCAGATGAAAACCAATGGTTTGCAATCTGGGAGATTCTGTTTCCTGGAAAGACGAGGCCTCGCTCTGCGTATATGAACCCAGAGATTTCCGAAGATCTTGAAGCCTTCCAACAGCACTTAGATTCCCGCGCTGGGCCGGTCCTTCACCAAGCGTTGGAGTTGGCAGGGTTGCTTGAAGGTATCACGACGGAGGAAGAAACGCAACTTGTGCAAAGAGTAATCAGTCAAGCACTGTTTAGAATGCAACGAGATTGGCTGTCGAGCCGGTCTCTGATCCCGCAGGCGACAAACTCTGTAGCGTCTTTTGTCCAGACGCCTCGTAGCAACATTCACGCGAGTAGTTTCGGAACCCCGGCTGCTTCTTCGGCAGACAGCGGGATTGCTCTGGGACCACAAAATGACTCGGTCAATATTCAGCTGGCTGGGTCGCATGGTCCGTTGCCATCAAATGCAGACGCTCTCGCAGGCCAGCATAGCTCCTTTGCGAGCGCGCCACAAACTTTGGGGGGCACATTGGATTTCACCCAACCAACCCTTTCAGGTTTGAGCAACCTGCCTACGGAAGCCTTTCATTGGGGTCAGACGGATAGACCATATGAGGCTGGTTTGGCTGCGGCCGACTTCGCCGTCATGACGCATGATCACATGAGTTTCGCAGCACTTGATATCCCGTGCTTTGATGTCGGTGGTACTGAGGCTCAGATTGAGCTTGCCAGGATGGAAGGAAACGCAGAGGAGCTTCGGTCACCGCGGACACATACGTCGGCGCTCTAGTCAGAAATAGAAGTGGCCATTGGAGGCTGTGGCATGTTACTGCTCACAATCATACATGCATGGAGCGGGCGATGTGGTTGAATCAAAGGCGTTTCAAAAGCCTGCATATTAGATACCCTATGGCAGCGTTGAAATCTGCCACCTTTCACAGGTATCAATGATCGTTCACACCCTCATCGGCGCGGGGAATCGGCAGAGCGATGCGTACCAACCCCGCAACCCGGCAACGGGCTGCGACGTGGGCTGCCGCGCCTTTGACTTCACATTATTGGATCGTCGTTGCTCCGGAGAGCATTGTTACCCCGGCGGCCGGTTTCCGACGTTGCCGGATCGCCACGATGAAAAAAGTCCCCTCCAGCCTCCAGGTTTCCATGGCTCCGCATGAACGCGCGGACAAAGGAGGACGCGGATTTGTGATTGCGACTTCAGAGATCGGCAAACTGTCCAGTCGGTGAGGTTTTGCTTCGGGGGTAAGCTCATCTGATGCCACTCTGGATGAGACGAGGATTGATAAAAGCAATCTCGTCAGCAGTGGTTGGGTCCAGCTAGAATATTGAGGAGTCAAGTGACATGTGATTGGCAAAGAGGCTGGTCCCTATCACCACCAGTGATCAGTCGTTGTTGATCCGGGGATGGTTGCCCGCGTGGTGTGGTGCGATGAGCACATCTACACTATTCGCTGGGCTAAAAATAGACTGTCCTCGTTTTCCACTTCCGAAAGATCACACCAAAGACTCGCGATTTCACCGAGAGGGGCAGCGTCTACATGTCCTTTTCCTGAAGGCGCACACCGTCGTATGTATGTAATCAAGCCAAAGCCAGCCGTTGCTGGCCGTAGTGGTCATTGCACAACTGGCGACGTGACGGACGAAAAACCTGCGTGGTAGCCCCCTGAAAAGCCTAAACGATCCAGGGGTGGCGCCCGGCGAGCTCCTCTCCTCCCACCCCCCCTTTGGCGCCGTTGGTGAGCACATCAGGTTTGTGGGTGACTTTTTGCGGTCTAGTAAAAGTCCATTTCCTTGGCCATCGTTCGTCTGAAAATACTTGGCACTTTGGTCTTGGCGGCAATCCTGACAGGCCCCCCTTGAAAGACTCACAGAGTCACAGTCCAAAGTACCAAGGCTCGCAGTGGCCAGTCGGTTGGGGGGTAGCACAGCAGAGACCTGCGGAAGACCTTGTGAAAAGATGAAAGGAGGAGGTGGTAGGACAAGGCAGAGAGTGACGGGCGCTTGACACATAAGGCACACGTTGCGTTGTGGCATGGACAACCCGGGGAGGGGAGGATTATTTCAATTAAATTGAACTGCGAGAGCGGCAGATGGGGAAGATCAGGCTGTCAGCTTATTCTGCACGGGTTTGTTTCTTTTCCCCTCTGTCCGAATCTCATTGTCCAATGTCCATGCCCGCGGACGGTGCCGGGCAGCGGGGGAGGGGTTACACTGCTGGAGGAGAACTCCACCCGGCTGCCCACCGCGCGGCAAAGCCGGACGTAAGGGAGGCGAGGGAAGGGAGGGAGAGGCACGGGAGCTTGAGAGTGAGACTCGAGACTGAGAGAGAGGGGGGGGAGGTCCGAATCCGACATTGACCAGTAGCATTTCGCGTCCGTCCGGATGGGAGCCGCGGTTGTTACTGCAACGAGCGTTACGGATACGGTGCATCCATTTCACGGCATGGCGGCCGGATAGATCATGAACAGACATCAGCCAAGCCTTTATTTTTCTTCTAATGATACACAGCAACGGCCTGCAGGCTGCTGGTCGGTTTCCGGATTAGCGAGTCATTACAGGGCAACCTAAGGTGATCATGTCAATCCCATTGTGAATTTGTTGCGCGACAACCGCGACAAAGAAAACATCGGCGAGACAATTGACAACAGAAGGAAGGGAAACGGGCTGTGCTGGGCCACCATTAGGAAAAGGGAATCTCACCGTTCCATCGAGCCGAATCGGCGTTTCGTCCGCGTTCCTCGGGGTAAACCAGGACAACTGAGAGGGCGTATTCGCAGCGACTCCCCCCCCCAGCGAGACATTCAACGAGGCGCGGGCTTTTAGTACGACGACGAACTGGTGTCCATGACGAATAAGAGGCTCGGCTAGGAGCAGCTTGTCTTAGCACCCAGCCTTCCCGCCCGCCACACGTAGCTAGCAGGCGAAGCTCGACAAGCTCAGGCACAAGGTCGCAAGCGCAGTCAAGTCTACACTCTAGAGACAGATACGCTGATAGCTCGGGCCCCATTCATTGGAAAACCGGGTACTGGTCTAATTTCTTCCGAGGGAGGTTCCTCTTTCGTGTGGAAAAAGTAGGACCCTGAAACTCCTGGCTGATTACGCCAAGATTCCGACTTGGGTTCACGCAATTCTGCACGAGGGGAGACAAGCTTGTTGAGATTTCTTTTATGAATATTTTATGAATATCTTTTTTTTTTTATGTATTCTGGTCTCGAACGTAAGAGGAATATGTATAATGTTTGTGGACCCCTGTTTTCCCTTCCAGCAGGGTTAGATGATGATTCCGCGCCTCCCCCTAATTGTTGCGTAATTCTATACTGATCTATGTGCAGTAGTTACAGGCATTACATTATCGTAACAGTCATCTTTGGTTTTATACGTCTTGTGATGCGCGCGTATTGTGTGCCGTGTACAATGTTAAGCGCGTCCAGTAGGCGCCGCCTGTCCCGCGCCTATGTGTGTGTGTGTGTGTGATAAAACAACGATGCTATGAGTTTGTGTGTTGAAGCAATCTAGTAGATGAAGGAGAGGACAAAGACAAGGATGGTGTAGGCCGAGGTGACGGTCAACTCGGTCTCGAACCACGCAGCCTGGCCACCAAAGGCAATCTTCTTGCTCGTCGGCGTCGGGTGGGCGACAAAGGTCTTGGGGTCCCGCTCGAGCAGCTGCTCGCGGTCCGGCATGTTTGGCGGGTCAATGGCGTAGGCGATGGGCGTCCAGAGCGAGCTGCAGATGAAGATGAAGGTCAGGGGCGGCCAGAAGGCGTGCGTGATGAGGCACATGAGGATGTCGCGGAGCTCGTCGTTGACGTAGAAGCAGCGGTACGAGGTGAGGACCACGCCGACGAGGGTGAGGTAGACAAAGGCCAGGTGGAAGACGGCCATGTAGTTGAAGAGGATGCCCCAGAGGCGGCGGAACATGCCCTTGCGGGTCTTGGGGTCGCGCTCGTTGAGGGCGGAGCCGAGGGAGCCGGTGGGCTTGAAGGCCTGGGTCTGGCCGCCGAGCCAGGTGGGCAGGATGAAGGACCGGATGATGCAGAGCGCGATGTACGGGGACATCCAGAGCTGGTAGCGGGAGCCGCGCTGGCCGGTGTGGTAGCCCGCGGGGATGAAGAGGGCGAACTCGCACAGGCGGTTGGTGAGCGTGGCGGCGAAACAGGCGCGGATGAGCCAGCGGAGCTGCTCGTAGTTTGCGTAGGCGACCAGGGGCTTGCCCATGACCAGAATGATCGGGATGGCGAACATGGAGAGGGTCAGGAGGATGGTGTACAGACTGAGCGTGGCGTAGAGGAAACCGGAGAAGCGCTGCGCGACGGTCATCTGCTTGACCTTTTCACCGTACAGACAGAAGTTGAGCTTGAACGAGGTGTCGACGGTACCAATGGCCCAACGGGTACGCTGCTTGAGATGGCCGCCATAGTCCTCGGGGACGGTGCCGAACTGGAGGGGCTCGTGGATGTAAGCCGTCTTCCAGCCCTTTCCGAGCATCAAGGTCGAAGTTGCGACGTCCTCGGCGAGAGAGCCGAGGGGGAAGTTGCCAATCTCATCCAGAGCCTCACGACGCACGCAGTAGCCAGAACCGGTGCACCAGGCGACGCCGAGGGCGTCCTTGATGGGCTCAATGACGTGGACGAAGAAGTCGAGAGACTGCGCGAGGGGGTCGGACGGCGGGGTGTTGTAGAAGAGCTGCGGGGGGCAGGCAAGGGCCACCTTGGGATCGATGAGCATGTGAGGCAGAATCGCACGGAGCCAGTCGCGTTCGGGGATCTGCAGGTTCAGAGTTAGCTGAAATTAAACATCGGCCGAAAGCTTAAAAAATTGCCCGAGATGGGATCGTGGTGGAGAGGCGGGTGAAACGTGCCAGGGCCGGGTTCAACGTACCATATCAGCATCAAGAGCGGCCATGAACTGACCAGCGCCGCCGGGCATCGTGTGGACAAAGTCGAGGGCGTGGTTCAGGTTACCGGCCTTGAAGTGGTGAGGAACACCGGGGTACTTGGGACGGCAGAGGTAGTGGACGTTGGGATAGGTCATGGCCAAAGCCGCGATACCGCTCTCCAGGCCTTCAGACTTTCCGTCATCGCAAACGATGACGCGGAACCGGTCGCGGGGGTAGTCGACGTCGCACGCGGCGCGGGCGGTGTCGAGGACCAAATCATCTTCTTCACCGCAGCAAGTGAGGAGAACGTCGACGGTGGGGACCTCGTCGCCCATCAGTCTCAACTTGGGGCGCTGGCGCTTCTTCATGGACCACATGGTCCAGATGTTGTGCATGATTGAGGGAATCGCAACGGCAACTTCGACGGCGATGAACACCCAGGCCTGGGCGTAGACTTCCTTGGCGAGCTGTTGAGCCGAGATGACGCAGTAGATACGGAGACCGAGGTAGACGAGATACATTCCAGTAGCGAGGATGGTGAGAATAGGCACCATGCGGAAGACGTGACGCTTCCACCCACCCCAGATGTCCGAGTCGTCGCGCTTGTGAAGTCTCGCGATCTGGTCGCTGCCCTCAATCCACTCCTTGGCGAGGACCGGCGAGGCTTGTCCCGGAAGCAGGTTTTGCAGACTCTGGTGGCTCTGGTTCTGTTCACATTGTCAGCGGACTTCGACAGCAGGACAATGAAGTAGTTCAGCAGTTGTTTCATACCATGGGGCTGTTGGGCGTAGAGTCGGTCGACCACGGATGCCTCGGAGCAGCCAGGTGGTCAAACGGCGTGTTCGCGCCGCTCTTCAGCGTGGGCGTTGCCGAGCGGGACTCGACCGGCGTGTCCATCCCCGAGATCGAGGGACCGATTGAAGGTGCGCCAGCCATGCCTATCGAGTGACGGTTTGCCCAACCCGGAGGTCCGTACAGCTCGTCCCCGGAGACCGCGTGAGGCTGCTGATACTGCTGTTGCTGGTTATGCGGCGGCAGGAACCCGTCCTGTTGCTGGTACGGCGAAGGTGCGTTGTTCGTGAGGGCGCGTCCGAAGTGCTCCTGGGGCTGGGTCGGTTCGTTCTGGTATGGGCCACCATACGGGTTTTGAGAGTATTCCTGGTACTGCTCCTGGTACTGAGGTTGCTGGTACTGCTGGTTCTGCTGCATCTGCTGGTTGTTGTTCTGATACGGCGGCTGATATTGGTTTTGGTGAGGGTGGTGATGTCCTTGAAGAACGTCGATTTCCACCATTTCCCCCTCGGGATAATCCTGACCCTGCTGCGGTCTTCCGTGTCCCCCCATCATGATTGCGGTGTTCGCCAACCGACGGTTGGAATGAACGAGTGAATAGCGTGTCTAAGGCGGAAACGTTGTGCGTGTGTGTGTGTGTGCCCAAGTTCAAAGGGACAGCCTGAGTGCGTGTAAGAGGCTGGGGTCGCAGGTAAAACAGAAACGATGGTGAGTCCCCGCGCGTCTCGCTCTCCCTTCTCTTTTCTCTCCCGCCAAGTTCAGCACGAGACTTGGACGGACGTTTTGGTTGGAAAAACGAATGTGGGTGGTGATGTAAAGGGAAGAAGTATTAGCATCGAAGGAAAAAGAGATGTCGACCCGCTTAGTACATGTAGGATGAGTCGTAGCACAAGAGCATCGACGAATATGTCATCCAAAAGGAGGAGCTTTTGCACAAGTGTACCCAAACACAGACTTCCCAGAGGCCTGGACAGACTTGACTGACAGGAATCAAAATGCCAGTCGGTCTGGGGGGAGTGTACAAGAAAAGGGACGGGAGGCCGGGCTTCTCGTCTCTTGTGCACCTTGGGGGGGTACGAAGCAAGTCGACGGACGGGAAGGGGGGGGGGGGGAATCAGTCTGGGGGAAAGGAGCAATTGGCAAGCAAGACATGGGACTAGGAGCTCTGCTGGGGGGGCCCGCGGACACATCAGGGACATACAAAGTATACAACTTGACGGGAACCCACTCGGACTCCGCTAAGCCTCACTGCCCTTATTACGATCCGACGGGCCTGACGTGATTAAAATTGGGAGGTCCAGGTTTGATGGAGCCTACATCATCGGGCTACCCAGTCTGGGCGCAAGTATGGTGTATTTGTGATGGACTCGCCCCATTTCACATTTCGCCCCGGGTCACGGTCTGTGCCACCTTGGATGTGAGTGGTGGCCTGCTTTGCCAAGCTGTCCTGGTTTATTGCCTCCCAATGCCCGCTCTCTCTCTCTCTGTCTCTCTGTCTCTCTCTTCCACTCTCTCAGTTTCTAGAGACCCCGGCTGAGTTGGTGGTGACCTTGATTCTCCTCCACAGCCCTCTATGGTAGGGAGGTCATGCCAGGTGGTTGGGATAAACAGAATCTGGCATTGGCAACAGATACCAAGCCAGCTGGACTGGGCATGGAGGGAGACAGCCAAGCGCTTGCTTCAGCAGCCATGGTCCGGAGGGATGGGAGGGGGTGTGTGTGGTAGGTCTGCAGGAAGGGTGTGAGCGCCGCGCGGACGCCGGGGATCATGTTAGCTTGTGTTGCCTAGCAAGCCCATCAAGCTACTCGAAGCCCCGAAAGCCTACTGGCTGGGTTCGACCGCCGCGCCGTTGGTTTGTTGTTTTCTTTTCTATTTTATTTTGATTCTTGGGACTAGGCCAGGGGGGGGGGTTCTGCCGCCTTTGGGCACGTTCTCCTTCGCCCGCTCGCATATGCCCCACTAAAGGATTGGATGTTTCGGTCAGAAAAAGATGGACATATCCAGGGGCCAAGAATCTCCACTTGGACGACATTAGGGGGAAGAAGTGGTCGAAGGAAACGAAAGCAAAAGACTGTCATGAATGGCGACTCGAGCCAAGCTCCTTGACCTCTTCCCACCCCTTTCGTGTCGCTCTGCAGCAAACAAGACAGAAACCACAGCCGGGAAGCTGCCTCTTTCTACTTCTTGACTCTTGACGCCTTCTTTGCTGGAGGCTTCTTTTGTTTTTCTTCTTTCTCCGAGGGGCTGAGTCCACTGTTCGGATGACATTGTTCACCAATGAGGGTTATCCCAGGACCATCCAATAGATTCCAGGGTCATCCCATAGATACCAGGGTCATCCCGGGGCCGGCGTCCAAGCCCGTCGATGGCAGTCCGTTTCTTATCCACTTGCAGGGCCGTTATCTTCACAAATCCCTGCTTTTTTCTCGTGTTCTAGAAATGCGGGTACCATTACATGCAAGGATGACCGAGGACAGCCGGCACATTGACTGGCGCTAGGCCAGGGGCCGGTCCGATTTAGAAGCAGAACCTGCAATCGTCGATTTTGTGATCTGAGATGTCCGGCCTGGCTGGCAAAGTTGGCTTGAGCTTGAGCTTGAGCCTTGGGGCTTTTCGGAGGAGGGCGGGGGGAAACGAGGGGATGATGGAATGGAACGGATGGACCACCGCACATCCTCATACTATTCATCTACAACTTATTGGGACTGGACTCAGCGTTGTAGAGATTTTGAGGAGGCCAAAAAAAAAAAAAAAAAAAGACGACCGGTCCCAGATAGATCCCAGCCGGTGTAAAAGACCTAGCTGACCAGGCGTCAACCCGTCTGCCCCAGGATCCGGTCCTTTCGTTTCGTTCTTCACTTCGCCCATCGCGTTCCGCCCGGGTTGTTTGGGGTTCAAAGTGACGGAGAAATTGGTGAAAAAAGCACGAGCAAGGAGGACGAGGTAATTACACGCTGCTGCACTGGACGCAGAAAAGAGGACAAGCACTTCCGGGGTGGCGTGCAGCGTGCTGCGCCGCGGTTGAGGACGGGGGGTTCTTATTCTCTTTCTGGACGTTCCTTTGCCCGACGCGCCTCAGTTCACCATTTTTTCTTCACAATAGTCTCACTTGGCCTAGTCTCCATTTGCGCTCGAATCCCTAGCCCTGACGTACTACCTACGGCTTACCATCGTCTGCTGCGTCTCTCTCACCTCGCACCGTCGCGCGCAACAACCCTCGCCCAACGGTTATGAACTTGTTCGGATAGTCGACACACGCCCCCTTTCCACACACCCCTTTTCCCTGTCCCCTGGATACCTGCACACGAGTCGAGGCCCGCGTCCGCGTTCCCTCACATACCCTTGCCTGACCAGACCTTGCTTGAACGTCTCCTTACCTGAACCTCCCACCCACCTAATTGATTACCTACCCTCCCATACCTAAACCAGAATTCAACCGTCACCGAAGACACCACCTTCGCTCCTTTGCATGTGCTGCTGCGAAATAGAAGTAGACGAATCGCGTCGGATTTCCGCCTGAGCCTGTCCGCACCCTCGTCTTTTTTGGAAGGGATCACAGCAACAAAGCAGCTCAGAGAGAAGAAGAAGAAGAAGAAGAACAAGAAGAAGAAGGCACACTCTCACGCTCGTTTTCCTTGCTCTCTTATTTCCTATTCACGATGCCTTTCCTCGGCTTCCGCTGGGTCGTCAACTTTGTGTTGCTGGCCGTCCCCATCGGAGCGACACTCGGTATCCTCATTGGAATCGATGCCAGCAGAAGCTCAAACGGACAGTCGCCCATTTTCACCCAGCCCGACAACCCGGGGACGATACCAAAGAACAATGGCATCACGGCCATGGTATCATGCGACAAGGCAATGGGTCTTCACCCGCTATCCAAGGGTCAGGAATACACACGTAAGTCTAGTCCTTCTCTCAAGTCTTTCGCGATGTCCTCATCGCCTTCCCCTTCTCCCGGGGCGCCCTGCCTCGCTGCTCCATACGACGGACGGCACGGACCGATCACCACGATGCCGTCAAGCCTCTCCCGGTGCGGATGCTCTGCGCGCCGTCTGTCTGTTTCTCTATCTGTCTGTCTATCTGTCATCTGAACTATTTCGCGTTTTTTTCCTTGGGGACAACACGGGCTCCCGTGTTTTGTTTGTGTGCCGTGGCCCGCGGACCTTGTCATGCTTCATCCCATGAGCCGCAGATTTGTTTTGACTTTTGCTCCCTTGAAATGCGAAACCTGTCTGGGCGGGCGTAACCTGGCTGTCCGCTGCAGTTGGTTGGCCTTGCTGTCATTGAAGATGCACCGGGAACTTTTCTGCATCAAAACAAGACAACGGCATGCTGACGAATTTGTTTCGACATAATAGTGAACCCGAACCAGTGGGGTTGGACCGAAGGTACAGATGGTCTCTTGTGTATGAACGTACGTCAACTCTTAACCCCTCCTCCGCCCGTCTATATCGCGGGGCTTGATGTCGCCAAGGTCAAGCTCTTCGGCTGCAGCCATCACATCATAGCTTGAAGCTCTCCCGCCAGTCGGACATGGTCATCAAGAGTATCAAGACTAACCCGTAGTTCCCCGCCTCAGGTTACCACATTCAACAACCAGACCTACAACACCGACTTCAGCGCCCCCGAGTTCTATGTCACATGGCGGTACCCTCGTGGCCCCGAGACGCAACCCGTCCACGCTTTCCCCAACATCAAGGTTGACGGCAGCATCCTCCCGGTTTCCATTCCCACGCTCGCAAACATCAACGTTGACGTGGAGTGGTCCTACTCCGTCGGCAACTACACCACCGACGGCGCTGCGGCGACGAACACGGACGAGACCGCGCTGACCGACAATGACACCAACGCCAACGTCGCCATCGATATGTTCTTAGACGACGACAAGACCTCGGCGCAGGACAGTACCAAGGCAAAGTACGAGGTGATGGTGTGGTTCGGCACTTTTGGCGCCGCGACACAGCCCATTGGTTACGAAAACGGCGCGGGCGTGGTCACCTCGGAGACCATCAACGGAACTACATTGTAAGTGCTGTCCCTTTTTGGGTTCAGGAAGACACCAAGCGGCGACGATTTGGGACCCTTGGCTAACGACTTGCGCCTGTAGCCAACTCTTCTATGGACAGAACAGTCTGGACCAGTACGTCTTGACCTGGAAGGCCGCGGCGAATGTCGAGCACTTCATCGGCGATCTCTCCCCCCTCATCACGAAGCTCACCTCCATGACCCATGCCAACTTCCCCACGACCGCGACATACCTGGGCTACATGGGTCTCGGTTCCGAAACGCTCTCTGCAACCAATGTTGTCACGTTCCGCGTACCGACCCTGTCCCTGGAGATCAAGGCATCATCGTAGGATGACAAAAACAAAACGAGAAACAGACCATACAATGGTAATGTGTACATTGGATATTGGCTATTTTTTGTTAGCGAGCATTGATATCTGCACCAACTAGAATAATGAACTTTTCGGGGACATTGGGATAATGATCACTCTATATTTTGTATATACGCATATATCATCGGACGGGAGGGGCTTTCAGGTGGGTTCCACTCATCAACAACACGGACGAATACTTTGAATTCAAAAGAAACACACCTATCAAATAGGAACTGGAGATGGGCATCATGCGATTCTTGGTATGCTCTTTATTTGCTGACATTTCCCTTCGCAATGGTCTCTCCCCACCTCCACTGGAGAGAGAAATGCGCACACATGTCCCATGGCAAAGTTATGCAGCGAATCGGAGCTCGCGGTGATAAACCCCGCCCACTTTACATTTCCAAGCGACCAAAAGCAACGAGCCGCCGAGGCTCTCGGGATGGCCTATTAGAGACAAGGAAACGTCTTTTCGATGTGGAGATGTGCCGACTCTCGACCCACCGATAATTCCGTGCCAAAATATCCGTAAATCCCTCTCCAAAGTCCAAACTTGAGAATTCGTCCAAGGATTCTTTGGGCCTGAGGCCAGACTAGGTATAGGGGGTGTAAGAAATGCCTGGGCAAAACCTGGGCAGACGCAGGTACAGAATGAGCAACGACAAGGTCTTGGCCACCCGATCCAAGGTTTATCCGCCCAGTCCCACCCTAGTCCAAACTGGTCAGAGTTGCTCAGGGCCTTCAAGGGCATTTCCCTGGAGGGGTTGGAAGGGCAAACGGATCCCCCCCACCGGACGACGTCAGAATGCCCAGTCGCGGCTGCGCAGCGCCTAGAAATTGGGTACCTCTCCCCTCTCGGGATGGGCGGCCCAAGGCGGCGATAGAGTTACGGATGGGAATACCATACGTGGAAACTCGTTAAACTCAGTCTGACGCTAGCCGGTGCTCCCGTTGTCTTCCTAATTACTTAATTAAGACGGTCATTCTTTCAGGCTTTTCACCTTAGAAAGTGGGGGAGATTGGCGTATTTTTAGTATTAAAAACAGCTTTATAGAAATATATGAGGTTCACGAGTTTTTATGGTAGTGAGGTGAAGTTGACGACCAGTTGTCAGCTTGACAGCCCAAGCTGTGCCTGTTCAGCGCGGCAAGTTACGAGCCGCAAGACGCAATCGCGGCTACCCGCTGAGTGAGAAACATCAAATTTGAGGGGAAAGTGATGATTGCGCAACCATAATTCCCGAGGGCTTCGTATTCACATTGCCTTTGTTGGCGCGAAGAACCAAATATCTTTATTTCCCGAGGACTTCGTATTCACATGGCCTTTGTTGGCGCGGAGAAGCACAATGGACCCTAAACTCTCTGCCGAAAGGCCCCCCGGTTCCCAACCATTCATGGGATTAACCCGGGTTCGTCATCAGTGTCCAGAATGCAACGAGACAGTGTCTCGGCCGATTGATGGAGTTGAATTCCTGAAATGCCCATTCTCTGCTCCAGATCCGCTCCTAGATCTGCGCGGCATGGAGTGTGGCTGTACACCACGGAAACGACCAGAGGAGGGGGCATGAGGCGAGTCAAGTCGCACCGTTGCATTCCAGCCCTCGTGTTCAGCAGGTTGGTCCGCCAGTCGGCTCGGCCCCGCTAGGTTCGTGTTCGATGGCGGTCGCACATCTGCGTCGGCTCGTGGCGACTCCCCTCTTCGATGGAGATTCTGAGGCGCAGGCGACAAGCGCGACGGCGACCGCGACGGCGAAATGAAAGACCGTTCTCGCGATAGACATGCGTGGTGTTGCGAGCATCGTTGCGCAGCAAAATTTGTTGGCAATAGAGTCAATTGTCGTGGGAATAGTGTCGCTTGACACAACGTGCCAGTGCAAAGCCTCCTTACATTGAATTGATGCGTTAAAAGAAATCGGGAAGGGGACTTGGTGAAGGCCTTGGAGAATCTTTCAAACTCCAGCCAGAGGTACATGCATGGTACCGTAGAGTTGCTGTCTTTGTTCTCCTTAAGGTACTGATATAAATGCCCGTGCCATCTTGCCGCCTATAAATGGAGAAGTTCAGTTTAAATCGTCAAGTTATAGTCGACTAGAGTCCCATTTTCGACTTTTGCAAATTGCGGGAGCATCGTCGGTAGTACTCGAAATTAATTAACCACCTGTCGCTTACTAGCCGTCCTCTGAATTGAGGATTCCCGTGCGGCCTCTTGCACAGGTCTTATGCAAGCAGTCACTGCGACATGATCGTTCCTACTCCGTGGGAATCGTTTGCTGGTTCGCTTCCAGCCGTGGCGGGCGATCAATTGCTGGGTCGTAGGCGAGATCCTTTCCGGATCCGCCTCGGACTCGAGATGGGGACGGAGGCCATCCTTCCGCTGTGCCCACTTGGGGTAAGCCTCGAAGAAGCTTAGGCCAGTTTATTGGCATGTCCTGATCCTTTTATGAAATGTGTCGAATTGAGCATGATGTGAGAAACTAGTACAATGGATGTGATCTGGAATTACAATACTGCTTCGGATGGGGGCCGTGGTTAGAGACTCATCAAGCCTGATGATGACTTTTCAGCACACACTGTCAACTTTTATCTTCGGGCGTTTCTCAGTGCATTTACCCCTTACAACAGTACTCACGGCTAATGTTTCTAGATCAACTTGGCCTTTCATCAAAACTCACTGTGACAAGCTTCAAGGTAGTCGGGTGACGGAACCATCGAGGAGCACCAACAACCTCGGGGGTCTCTTTCATATAGAGAGAAGACTTTTAAATGGTTCGATTTTCAAGCAGAGTGAGAGTATCCTGTCGGATACTTCTCGGTGCTCCGATACTCAAGATACCTTACTGGAAATTGAATGAGTGCCTTCAACTGCATTCCGCCGCCCACATATGAAACGATATGATTAAGGACTCATATGCGAATTGGATTGATCAACGCCCTGGATCCATCAAGCATATTGATAAAGTGGCTAGGCCTAGAATAATCGAACAATCCAAGAGAGGTTTTACGAGCCTAAATCTCTTATAAAGCAGGTCATTGCTGAAGGTTAAGTGTTTTGATCACAGCATCCTTTCTGACAGAAGTAAAAATCTCTTGAAACTCGCTTTGAATCTTCTCAACGAAGTCCAAATCATGTCGTCATCGTTGAGGATATCACATCCTTTTTCGACTATGTTTCGCTGTGCCTGGAAGTCTCATACCACGTAGTGTTTTGACAGGAAACCACAACAAGCTGCACATCATCAACAACTCATGTTGCTTCGTGCTGACCTGCAATTGAATTAATTTCATCACAAAATTTCACAAACTTTGATATTGTGACTTCTAGACAATACTTTCTATCAGAAAGTGAGTATACAACCCCTCGAGGCAGTTTCGAGTCACTTCTCTAATCAGTACTTCCATTGGACTGCCACCATATCCCCAAGTTGTCCGGGTCTCTCTGCGGCGAGGTCCTTATCCAGGATGGAAAGCCTCTGCCAACCTAGGTCCAGCTGAAGTGGTGTGAGCTCATGTTATAAACATGTAGGCACCACGGAGACCTGATGCGTCTGTCTGAAGTGATGAGGTATCATTCGTGGCAATCTAGGGATATGCTTGCTCACCACAAATCTCCCAGTGTCAACTTCGCTAAGTTAATGCATAGGTAGATCAGCACATGACCGAGAGAATGAGAAAACGAGAAAAAAAGCCCGTCTACCTTATTGCGTGTCTTTTTCAGGGGAAACCTTGGAAGTACTTTGCTGCGGGATTCCCAAACCACCTCCCCCAAAACCTCTTGATGCCCACTCTAGACTTGGACTGTACTTTATCCACATGGCTCTGAGCTCCTGTCCCACACGCATTGCCAACAGTCGGGTAGGATCAAGAAGGGAGGCCAGGTCGAGCCACGCAATAGTTCCGCTGTAGTTTCTATGTAGCAGTAGTTGAGGCGGAATATTTAAATCGGTGCCGCATCCTGGATCAAAGAAGCATTGAAATAGAACTCGGCAGGCAACACGCCGATGAACTTCCGCACAAATCAAGGCTCATTGACATCGTCATTTTGGTAGATCCATTAGATGAGAATCACGAGTAACAGTCTCTTACCGGGCTGCAAAGAAGGGGCCCAGGGGCTTGGATTGTGCCTATGGTTCGCATTGTTTTCATAAGCTGACTGATATTCATCATCGTAGAACAAACCATAGCGTCGAGCAAAGCTTGATGAGCGCCAGATTGGCTCAATCTATTTAGAGAGACTGAAGGTGGCGGGAGCAAGAACCTTTGTGAGCATTGTCTCTCATATTGTCTTTGCGAATGCTAAACTCTTCCACAAGTTCTTTTGCTTAGTGCTGCCAGGAGACAATAGTCTTTGTTTCGCGAACACAGGTTGGCTGCCAGAACCAGCATCAAAAGCCCAACCAAGAATACATTTCAACCATACTAAGTATGGCACAATATCGATCTATGCTAGAGGGTAGCCTTCAAATTCAAGATAATGGCAGCAACACGACGTCAAAGTTCAACGTCGATTAGAACCTGCTCTGAAACTTTATCTCAGTATCACGCTGATCATCTATGAGACTTTTTCCATGGCATCTACTCATTCAGTAATTCCCGTACAAGGTCCAGGCCCAAATTCTGGGCAAAATCATAGTCCAGCAGCTGATGCACAGATTCCAACCTTCCTTCGTCTTCCCAGAGAAATACGCGATCTGATATATGAGCATTCGGATATGGTTCCGTGCCACAAGAGGCTCTGGGTGACCCTGAGCTCCATCTACAGCTCGCGAAAATGGGAAAGTAAGATTTGCAACATCTGTTTCAAAGCAGCAAAAGTCTGCCTCTGCTTGCGGCCAACTCTCCTCGTGACAAAAGGCACAATCCGAAACGACACGATGGATCTCTTCTTCGCCAAGAATGACTTCCAGTTCGAGCCCTCGGCCTGGTTCACCCTAGCTGAACTCAACAGCCCGAATCTAAGACGGCGTCGGTTGCGAGCACCGCTGAGGCTTCAAGAGTTGTGGACGGAGCTCATAGCGCGCATGCGCCGGATCAGCGTCAACTTGATGTGGGACGAAGCCTACCTCACCGCCGTCTCCTCCGCGCTCATACAGAATGCGCACACCGTCACGGAGCTCACTTTCTTCTTGCCAGACGCCAGAAGGAGGGCAGGCAAGATGAAGATGGGCTTATACGGAGATTTTCTGAGGGATATTGCCAGGATTCCTACGCTCAAAAGGATCAAGCTCGGCAGTCAAACGCCTGGCGGAGAGGATATCTTGTACTTCCCGAGAAAGAAGTGGGTGGCTGGCCTCACTGGGGCGCTGGTAGACTTTGCGTCCGCTGCGGCAGCCGGCTGATTTACGTACCGGGGCGCTGTAGGCGGTGTAGACTTGCGAAGGCGCCGACTGAGGGGAGAAGCCTGGACATGTTTGCGGAGACTATCAACATGGGTAGACACATGACGATTCTTGGCTGCTATATTACGGGCGTACGAGATCCACTGTTCAACATGAAGTACATGTAACGACAATGGTTAGGGTGACAGCGACGAGACAATAAGAATCTGCCAGGAATGCGGACTAGAATCGAATCGTATCTGGTGAAGTGTAAGTCACTGGAAAGTTTGTAATGGAGGGACGCAGAGGAGACGATTTCGATTGAAATCAATTGCATCACATTAGTAGCCGCTGAGGAATGAAGCGAGCGTCGAGGGAAAGTTCCTCAAGATAAAGTCTGAGGTGGGAACCACCTTCATCTGCTGGAAGAACAGGGACCGTAAAATGAGATGAGGAGGAGCCTAAGAGGCTGATAGAGAAGACTAGAGCATAAAAAGTTCCCCATGAGTTGAATCAACGAAAGGGCACTGTGATCAAGTAAAGGCAGGCTCTGCTGAAGAGGTTGGTTGATTCTGGCCAAAGCCAAGAACCGATCGCTTCATGAAAATAGAGACATACTTTGAAACATCAGAATTTACGAACAAGAGCAATGGGCTCACAAAGAGGCACTGGGGCAAATTGTGAGGTGTTGGGTTGGTTAGCGGAGCATGACGAAGGCCCTTGAGGACAGCCAGGGACCCGTTGGCAATATTGATCTGAAGACTACTGTTAGTCAGCATAGATCAGAACCATAACGATGAGGGAAATACTTCCAATTCGTGAAAGTATGGTGCCAAATCCGACTTACGGAACTCCGACTTTTAGACTCCGACTCCTAGGACAGGGGCCGGTTCCCCTCGGTTTTCCGGAATTGCGCGCTCCATATGCAGTGGTGATACCGATGGAACCTGGCATATAACATAGGCACAAAGTACAGCCACCCATATTCCGATCTCTGGATGGGATGAGAATCAGGTCGGACTATGACTCTATAAGTGGGTGGGATCGCATTGCGCTAAGCACGCAATGCCGTGAGATGGTGCCCATGAGCTTCAGACGGAACGTGGGTATGGCCAATGTGGTGACGGCAGATATGATCTACTGCGGGTGTAGAAGACGGAAAGAAAATAGTAGAAGGATCTGCGAAGGCAGTCAGCCCATCAGCAGGAATCTAAAATCCAGATGGGCACAAGCTCAAAGTTCAGACGGATCTGAATCAGGCCAGCTCGGCAGTCCGGCGAGCTTTGGGGCTGGGGAGGCTCGGGGAGATCATGCTATGCGATGAGGCGTAGATGCGGAAGATGAAGCGGAATGATTTCAAAAAGGTGCCTGACTCGATGGCAGGTCGAGTCGAGACGGGGAATATGGCTTCTTAATACGGTCTCCGTAGGTTTGCCGAGGCCGGATCTCGAGTGCATGGACGGATGGCTCCGAAGTCTGGCGGTTTGTCGTATCAGAGAATGCCGAGAAGTCTTACCATCTTTGGTAGGTTGATGACAGGGACGGGAGATGTAGGCGTCTGGTCTATTGAAACCCATTGTTGTTCGGCTTGGAATAGGTCGACTCCAGCTCTGATTGACGAGCTGATTTTAGTCCGCCATTTTGGCGATTTGTCCCAGCCAAGGCCGCTTGAGTCTGTGCCAAGATCAAAGGCGTTGCGACAAGTTGCTGATGCAAAATTCTTAAAAATCGAACTGAATTTAGAGAAAAGACTAGTAGGACGCGCAGATAAAACACAACCTTTTGGCACCAGACGAGAGCTGAAAAAAGAGAATTTTGCCCTGCTTCGGCCTGGCGGGCCTCGAACCGAAAGGCGGCAAGTGAAGCGCCTTTGGCACTTGGAAGCTCAGAGATGAACAAAGTCCGGGATGCCATGTGAGAAAATCGACCAGCTGCTCAGCTCCTGTGTAAGAGATGGACGGGAGAGATTTTTTCGGTCAAAAGAGTTGACAAGCCCGAATAGGGAAGTTTTTACACAGTTCTGTTTGGCTGGACCGGGTCGAGACCAGTGAGGTTTTGGAGTCGTCTCAGGAACCCCTGATGAGGCTGTTTGATCGACGCGATCTTGAAATCTGGGTATGCCCAAAAGGGACGGATTGCGGGCCCAGGAATGGCACAGATCCCGGTCAGACCCTGACTTTCTGTGGCTGGACTGGACTATGGTAATGGCGGTCAGCCGTCGGCTTGCTGTTCATTGTGGGTTAACGAACCGATGCAATTTAGCCAGGGCTACGGCAAGTCTTTTGCCGGAGTCAAAGGGGGAGCAATGTAGGAATGGGCGTTTCCGAAGCGATCAATGCCGGTCATGGGGATTAACCAGGCCTGTCAGGTCTCGCGTCGCATTCTGCAGAACCACCCATGCGAGTCGTGTTGATCTCTAGCCCGAGCGTCGCTGGGCGGTAGCTAGCGAGCAAGGAAAGGGGGAGGGTCAGTAAGAGAGCAAAGGCAATGGAGACGATGCAAGAGCCAAGTGAGACTGACAGCTGCTAGTGAGCATAGAATGTCAATCTGGATCGACGGCAAGGGAAGACGCTATGAGCAAGCAAAAACACATAATCAATAATGAGGATCAGAGTTCGTCGAGGCGCCGATCGACAAGTTGTTTCTCGTTACAGTGAACTTGTAACACGCTTTTCATCCCATCGAACTTCAATTACGGGGAAAGAGAAGAAGCAAGAAAATAAGCTATCAACCTTTTGGGTCTGGGTCGTCTGGGTCGGATGAGGATCAGAGCCACGGGTTCAGCCAAATTAACCGGAGCTATCAACCGGGAGGACCAACTCCCGCCCACAATACAAGCACTGGCGATAGATTACTTCTAATTAATTGACCTCCAGGCTACCGGGCCATGCGTGACACACGGGCGCTAAAGCATCTCAGCCTCCCAACCGCCACACTCACGGTTGCTGATGAGCTTAATGCTACGACTCGTACGAGGCAATGCAATCCGGCATTCTGCTTTCTCGCACCGGTACAACGCATGCTTTGACAGGTTTGTCTTGCGGACTCACGCTAGGCTTTCTTTTCCATCGGATGGCACATGGCAGAAGGTTCAACGTCGTCCCATCGCCCAAATGTTCCAACGCTCTCTCGTTCGCATGACTATCCCAGCACAACTCCTCTTCAGCGTCGCAGAGCCCGCGAAACCAGCTCACCGTGGTCCTGTTCCCCTCTCACAGGACACACGTCTCCAAACCCTCCGAGCATCATGTCGCAAGCCCCCCTATCTCATCGTCTCCATCGGCTAAAGCTGGGGGAATGCCGTTTAGCCAGGTAGACAGAATGGTCGACGCCAACGCTCCCGGGGGCCCCCAAGTCAATCTCATGCCTTTCCAAAGTGGTAGTCCCATTATGGTGGGTTCAATCTCACGATGCCGTGTTCTCAACCGTGCCGGGGAAGTTTTAGGATGCTGGAGCAGACCTCGTCTCTTGTCTTCTCCATCGCGTCGGCCCCATAAGCAACACAGAAAGACTGAAGGCTGCAGGGATGTGGTGCGCTCGGCCTGGGGGGCGTTAGGGGGACGCTAATCCCCGAATGGTCGTCTGGCACATCGCTGTCGGGCAGAGGCCCCCTTTCTCGAATCCCTTCGCCTCCAGATGATCCATGCTGTTGGGTTTTCTCCTCACCCCAAACTCACCAGTCTGCTTTCGTCATTTTGGCTACTTTTTGACCAGGGGCTCTAACTCAACTCCCAGGCTGGATCGCTTCAAGCCGTCATTAACCAAGAGGCCCAAACCCCAGGGCCTCCTCTCAGTCAGCGCAACCCTATCCAAGATATGGCGGCTGCGCGCATACCGAAGCGACGTAGCATGAGCTGGCAGCAGGGCACCTCCATGTCCGTTCGGCCGTGTTCCCGAGCAAGAAAAGACTGGACGGAGGCGGCCATCCGAACTCCCATGCTCCCTGGGTGAATCCACGATCCAGGCGACATGAGACAAACTGTGCGTGTGAGGCCAGTTGGGACGACACAACGCAGCACGCGGACGACTTGGGCTACCATGGTGGCCGTGACGTCCCTGCCGCACCATGGCTATTCCATCCCATTCCTGTAGTATGATCGTCGTTAAGGGGGCGGTCGGGGCCATGAGTAGGACTCCGCGGGACATTGCGACCTCTACCTAAGCCTCGTCGCCTACGAGGCGGCGTTACTCATGGCTGAGCGATATGAGAAGCAGGCCGAGCAGGCTTGACTTCTCGGCTATGATCCCATGTATGAGTTTGTGGGAACAACCATCGAGAAGGGATGGGGAGATGCCTGTCATGGGGTGCCATCGTCGCAGACTGTCTCGTCTTGGCCCCGTCTTGCCTATGCGCCAGAGCCGTGGATGATGGGATCGCAGAAACAACTCGTCTGACATTGGACTATCTCAGATCTATATAATGATGATGATCCCGCCTGTCATCCCAAGTCTTCTTCCCTCCTCAACCAGCAACCAAAAAAACATCCTTCTCTACTCTTCAATCTTTCAGTTCTGTGAACTTTTTTTACGTTCTCGACACTCTTTCTTGTCTTGATCCAACTACAACCCGCTAGCCGGTCCATTACAGTCTTTTTCAACTCTTAACTTCTAAAACCTCGTTCGATTCTTCGACACCCAGTCAACGTTGCTCCAACCAATTCTTAACAAACTCAAACCAGTAAACATGTCTTACTCCAAGATCCTTCTCATCTCCCTCGTCCTGGCCGCCGTCGAGGCCCGCTTCGGCCAAGAGCAGATTCCCGTCCAAGCCGTCTCCTCCCTGCCCGACAACAACACCGGCAAAGCCGCCACCCTCGCCGGCGGTATCCCGGGTGTCCTCCTCGCCGCCGCCAATCCTTGCGATAAGCTGGCCCTCGCCGACAAGATCGCCGCGCTCGGCACCGGCTCCAACTTCCTCGAGGCCGCCAAGGGCGTTGTTGCCGCCGAGCAGAACTTTAACCCCTTTGTCGTCAGCGTCCCCAGCATCTGCGGCGACGCCTCCCTACCCGCCACTGAGGGTCTCCGCGGCATCGTGCCCCTTGTCGACCCGGCCGTCACCGGATCCGACGCCGAGAACGCCAACTCAAAGACGTCGCTCCAGACCCCCTTTGACGCCACTGGTCTGTCTGTCGCCGACGTGATGAAGGCTCAGGGTTTCTCCAACTTCACCATCAAGGGCCAGGCCGCTGCTGGTGCTACTGGAGGCAATGCCAACACTGGTAACAACAATAACAACGCCAACAATGCCAATACCAATGCCAATACCAATACCGGGAATGCCAACTCCGGAAATGCAAACACCGCTAGCTCATGCGGTGGTGCCGCCAGCGGAAACGCGGCTGCGAGCAACAATACCGGTAATGCCAACACTGGTAACGCCAACAACAACAATAACAACAACAACAACCAGGACCAGAACACTGGCAACAACAACGGAAACGCCAACAGCGGAAACGCTACCGGCGGCGCCGACTTTGGAAAGTGCAAGCCCACCATCGACTTCCAGACCGGCCGCCCCGGCCGTAAGGCTACCGAGGGAACCTTCCTGCCCACCGACCCCCTCGTCGCCAAGGGCCAGCAGGACGCCCTGAACCCCAACATCATCATCAACCGCGTCTGCGACCAGCTCACTAACGTCTGCGAGGCCAACGCTGCCGCCAAGACCAAGTGCTTGGACGCCAAGGCCCAGATCCTGGCTTCCGGCGACAAGAGTGAGGCTGTTGCTACCACTTTCAACAATCTCCTTGGCTTCTAAGCTGAGAGTCTCTTCGCTGAACAAAGTGATTGATGAACAGGGGTTGGAGGAATCCTGAGGGAGTTTGTTTTCTTTTGTCTCTATAATTTCATACCGGTATAAACACACCGAGGAGCATGGCATGTGTATCTGATGATATAAAAGACTCTGGGGCTTGGTTTGACATGGCTAGGTTTGATTGTCTTTGGACATGGTAGCTGGGTGTTCATGAGGAGGATGTTTGAATAAATTGGCCTGCCTGAAGTACTTCTCTAACTACGTGAAATGCTTTTCTAAAGATGTCCTTGCTTTAACGCGACGCTCATCCCTTCTTAGTCTCGAGACTTCTGGGACTTGAAGGAGCGAGTACATGACTGCACCTGTGGTTCCTTGCATGTAATAACTTATTGGCGGGGGAAAATTTTTTCTCGTATCAAAGTTACATGTACTTGTGAAAACTACCAGATTTAGGGTCAAGTGCGTGCCAGCTGGGGAAGCAGAAAAGAGCTAACTTGTTCAACCCCTCGGTGAAGAAACTCGGTGAGTTTAAGGTTCAGCGGTCCCACGTGCCAAGCGAGATGAGGAAGCCCCAGCTCTGGAGACGGCATTTCTCTTAGCGCAGAATTCTGTTGTCTTTTGGACGAATGATTCGTCAATACCAAGTGGCTCTTATCCACCCCCGGGTGCCTCTCACCGACAATTTGTGAGCTCTAAAAGGTAGAGAGGAAAGAAATGATGCATTAACGGCAAAGTTTCTGATGGTCACATTTGTGAATATTACGTCACTTCTCCGTCTCGGGAAAGAGTAGAATGAGGAGTTTGGAAAGAGATCTTGGAGTTTGTCTTGACTTGGGCGTATCAGCGAAGATCAACAGTGCTTGGCAACAATTTGGAAAGCTTAATCTCTTCAAAGGCTGGGCGTTCAAGGGCACATGCAATCTCGAGTTCACCGACGTCGACAATGACAACGCCACAACACCCAGCGCGCTCTCATCAACGCTGCCAGGATGAAGAAGTGTCACCAAAGAGCGGATTTCGCTCATTTCTACCACCTCTCAACTTCATCACACTACATTACGCCTACTTCATCGGCACGACCCTCCTCGCCTCGGCAATCTTTTACGCCTCGTCGAACCCACACGGCAGCATCAGCTATGTTGACTCGCTCTTCCTCGTCGTTTCCGCCATGACGGAAGCCGGACTCAATACCGTCAACCTCAGCGAGATGACCGTCTGGCAGCAGGTACTGCTCTGGTTGCTCATCGTCATTGGCAGCTCTATCTGGGTTTCGATATGGACCGTTGTGGCGAGAAAGCACGTTTTCGAGAAGAGTCTCAGAAAGGTCGCATATGCCCAGGATGAGGGGGGTCATCAGCATGAGGCCAGCTTGCCCATGTTTACCAGCAGTTGCCCTGCGGCCCAAGGGAAAGCAGACACGAGTGGCACTAACATAACGGACCTGGGAGGTTCAACTCAAACTCGAGCTGCGGGCAACCATGTTCTCATCGAAACGACCGGTGACATCGCCCGCCGTTCAACGCCTTCCGCTCTCTCCAGAAGAAAGCCAACTCGCCCTTGGCTATCCCTCCTCAGCGCTTCCAAAGAGGGCCGCAATTCCCAGTTCCACTCTCTCACAGGCCCCGAACGCTCCCGCCTAGGAGGTCTCGAATACCGCGCCCTTGAACTCTTGTCGATCGTGGTCCCACTGTATTCAGTTCTCTGGCAAGTACTCGGTAGTCTTGCTCTCGGCGCGTGGATCGCGAACAATATGCCGACAGTCGCAACATCCAACGGCGCGAACCCCTGGTGGGCCGGCATATTCTTTGCTGTATCAGCCTTCAACAACTCGGGCATGTCGTTGCTGGACGCCAACGTAGTGCCCTTCCAACAAGCATATTTCGTACTCATTGTCATGGGTCTGCTCATCTTGGCTGGTAATACGGCCTATCCCCTATTTCTGAGACTCATCTTTTGGTCAGCCCTGAAAGTACTCCGATTGGTGACCGTCGAGGGAACATTGGTAGACTTGAAGAGCACGTTGGAGTTTATACTAAAGTACCCACGACGAGTTTACACAAACCTGTTTCCGTCTCGGCCGACGTGGTGGCTCTTTTTCATGGTTCTGATGACGAATGGCATTGACTGGATGGCATTCGAGGTTCTCAATATCGGCAACCCGATTATTGAAGCCATTCCTGCCGGGGCTAGAGTGTTGGATGGTCTGTTTCAGGCAATTGGTAAGTTCTTAGCAGCCCTCCATTAGAGAAGCACAACCACTGATCGAGCTATAGCTGTCCGCTCCGGAGGTTTCTACGTCATCCCCATAGCCTCCGCCTATCCGGGACTGCAGGTTCTGTACGTCATCATGATGTACATCTCCGTGTACCCCGTGGTGATTACGATGCGACACTCCAACGTCTACGAAGAGCGGTCTTTGGGGATCTTTCGCGACGACGAGGCATCTTCAGATACTTTTGTCCGACAAGACAAGAAACACTCAAGCGGCGGCGGTATCTTGGCGCATTTCTTACGAGAGAACCTCAGCTTTGCCGGTGTTGGTGCAGCCAAGACCGAAAAGAGAGGCAATGGGTTCGAAACTCGAATGAGCTTTGTAAATCAACAGATCCGTGGGCAGCTCGCACATGACCTGTGGCTTCTTGCTCTGGCTGTGCTCATCATCGTGACGATCGAGACGTCACACTTCCTTGAGGATCCGGTGCATTTTTCAGTCTTCAATGTCATTTTCGAAGTTGTTTCGGGCTACGGTTGCGTGGGTATATCTGTGGGACTGCCTAAAGATGCCATGAGCTTTTCTGGAGGTTGGCACCCTGGAAGTAAACTGGTCTTGTGTCTCGTGATGCTGAGGGGACGTCACCGAGGTTTACCTGTGGCTCTGGATAGGGCTGTGCGGTTACCAGGACAGAGGCTATTGGAGGAGGAGGAGGAAGAAGATTGGAGACTGAGAGGGGCTTAAGACACTCCGGTGTGGTTGAGTCGAAGGTAGCATAATATTTGGGGGTAGAGTATTTGGGGAACAAACCCCTGAAAGGAATTCCATCACTCTTGAGCCTGCGTGAACATGCTTGGCCAATCAGAAATGAGATTCCGTCGTAGCTTTTGGACAAATTCTTTGTCTTTTCGCGGCACGACAGCTTACTGGACATTCCTTGCTTCCTACATGCAATTATCAGGTTGCGCTAAGTAAGGTAGGTACCACAACCAAGAGTTTCTTGATCTAGGCAGGTAAAGTACATATAGACCAAAACAGTCTCCAACAGAATATTTTATTTCAGATTTATATATGTCCCTGCCACATCTTGATGGTTCGGATGAAACGAATTTGACTCCAACTATCTCGTACCAGCGCCTACGACCTTCGAATGAGTCCATTTGGATCCCTGTGTTAACACAGTCAGCATCTTTTGTCAAAACGGCAACCAATCGAACATTATTGAGGTTCGGCAGTACCGTAGAAACTTGTCAAAATCAAATTTGGGTTAAGCTGGATTCAGTACCAAAACATCGCTGATCTCAGCCACATTTTGAGGTTAGTGGCCTAAGAGAAGGCTCATATTGGTCAAATCTCTAGTCAGACAATGGGAGCACGGGCTGCTACAAATTCGAGTTTGGCGAGTTAGTACGGTAATCCGATACGCCACAGGAGGTAGTGCTCCTGGAAACGGACGAGTATCAAGCAGAGATTCAACCAGGTATTGAAAGTCTCAGCCACAAAGCCAGTCTCCAGGCTGAGCTGATATTCCGGACAGAACATTCATCTTCACAAATACCACATCGAATTGAAAGATCAATCTGGTGAACTTGGCAGGCATTGTTTTAGGGTCTATACAAATGCCGAGAAACTTGAATTGAAGTCCTGGTGATGAAGGATAGTCTCTTGCTGCATGAAATCGACTGGAGATCTGTAGAAGCCAACATTGTTTCTGTTTGTAACAGCCTGGAAAGTACATCTGTTCTACAATCTGAGGAACACCAGCAACATGCCAGGCTCAAATGGACTACTGACAGACAGACAGAACGGTGTTGGAAAACCTTCACCGTTTTCGTCTTGCGCAAACGGTCTTCTGTGACTGTGGAAGAGGCTTGCCAGGTGGCAGTACGTTCGAATGTCAGCGGCCCATCAGCCGCACTTGTCTTTCCACAGTCCAGGCTCTGATACGTGCTTGTTAGTACAAGACCACGGTCGTTGTGACATCACGGCCACCACACAATTCGTGCGCTTTACCGGTTGAAGAAAGGAGGCAGACATCCCCCCCTCAGACTCTTCGGCCTTTGGCGTGACCCCTCCCTCTGGCTCAACGCGGCTTAAGCATGGCTCAGACGAAAGGAGCATGGAGCCCTCTTCGCGTTGAACGGACACCAACTCCACAGAGCGTCGAGATTCCAATCCCCGGAGATGAAGCTGGAGATTGTTGAACTGCGTCAGATTTAGCAAATAACCATACCGCTGATAGCCGTCCTTTTACGGCCGAACCCAAGACTCACGAGCGGGCGGAATAGGAGCTTCGGTGACCTCCGACGAGCTCCCCTACCACCACACCTCGACGAGTCCGCGTTACTAGACGGCCAGCCACACAGGACAATGAATCGACAAAGAATGGTAGAAAGTGAAGCCACCGGAGACTGGTCTTGTCTGCCAAGAGGACAGCCACGGTCCGTCGTTTTGACAAGCGAGACTTCGAGCTGGTCCTTGCCCCGAGGATGAGGTTCGGCATGTGATCTCTGGTTTTTGGGCTTACCAGGTACTGAGGATCGAAGCTGGCGAAGAGGGAAGAGCAGCAGGAGCAGAGTTATTGACCGGTGGAGGTCCCCACCCCCAAGGACGCGGCGAGAGTGTCGTTCGTGGCAGCCACCGAGCCCATCATTTCGTTCGGCCGAGAGGTTGTCTTCAATGGTGAAGACACGGGCCAGACGAAGCAAGATTCCATACTAGGGGACAGACTGCTGAGGTGGGGGAAAGCCTGGGGAGAATTGGTCTTCGATGGGTAAGATTGCTCAGGTGTCTAGCTGGATAAGATATGCGAGACGAGTGTTGAGGCATACCCTCCCATTTCGCTGGCTCAGACTGGCCTCCAACATCCGAAGGTATCCGCGTGCCCTTTAAGGTATTAGTTTCACCCACATGCTAGACATTCACGATCCATGGCCGGCACGTTGCGCCTTACCCCTCTCTGACACTGACAAGCCTCCCGTCTGCCAGCTTGTTACCACATCGCCACATCACCGAATCAACAATAAACCGGCGTCTCATTTGTGGCGGGATACCGACACAAACCTCTGCAGCGATCTCACTTGAAACTCAGCTGTGAGTACTGGACCCGTTTCGTTTGTTTGAAGTTGTCTTGTGTACAGAGCACCAGGTACTTGAAGGCTTGTGGCTTGGACGAAAACGACGAACGTTGAATACGAAAGCACTCGGGCTGAGAACTCAGTTGAGCCAGTCCTGGTTGATAGTCATCAAGAAGAGCTTTCTTCTTTGTAAGATGAATGCATCAAGACTGAAGCATGTCGAATAGCAAATGATGAAAATCGGACGCTAACGAATTTGATAGAAGACAGGAAACAGACGATTCCGAAAACGAAGCTTCAATGGAAGCTCATCGAAATGCGCAAAGAACCCGTGCCTTTTGGCACTTCGTTCAAATTCTTCTAGCGGTAGCAAGAGCCACTGTTTGTCTGGTTGTCATAATCGATAGAGATATGTCCTTGTTACCGCCAACAGTCCACCGAGGAATTACCCTGGTGTTATGTTTTGACATGGTCATGGAACTCCGAGAGGCTATCCACGTCTCAACAGGTGGTGATCGAAATCGGACTGGAACCGAGCTTGGTTTCTACCACGCCGCGGCTCTCTGGGTCGCGGTCTTCGACATTGATCACATGCCTTGGGGACTGATCATCATTCAGATCATGGTGCTCTTGGTCGAGTGTGTTCAACAAAAGAGGAATGGAACGACGTACGCAGCTTGCGTCCTCGTATTCTTTTTGTCCATGAACTATCATGTGTCTTCTCTTCTGGTATGTACTTTCGCTGGAAAGAGAAGCATCAAAGTAAAGGTGATGCTGAAGTTGCATACAGAATGAAGCCTCTGGACACTCGTCTCAGGATGCCACTTGTAAGTGACCAAGATCTCCTTTATACACAATCATCGGCTTCTGTGGTGTTCGGCAGCATTTTCCCCGACGGCTTTGCGCGTATCTGATGTCATATGTCTGAAGTTGGCAGACTTTCCCAATGTATTGAGCAAGAGCCATTATGTGCTTTCCATTTGGTGGGCAGAAACCCAGATAAAGGTAGAATGAAGATGCAAACAGTTCGTGTAAAGGCCGAATTCGTCAACCTGGCGCAATAACATCCGCCATAGCAGCTAAGTAGGCTTCGACGGGTCCAGTAGAGTTTGTTGGAATGGTACTTGGTGATATCGTCTTTTTCTCTCGATTTTTGTTGCTGTTGTTGCTGCTGCTGCTTTCTTCCCTCGGAAACGCTGCGTGAGTGACCATTTCGTTGGACTAAACTGCTCTTCAGTCAAGTCCGCGGTAAGATAGATGGGATTCGAACTTTGACGCGTGGCCACCGGTACAGGCATATCAATGCTTCCCTGGTACAGCCTGTAACGGAAATTTACGCGACTACTTGTGTAGCCGGCCTATCTCCAAAGGGTTGCCATGTTATATACGAGCTTCGAAGCGGTGCAGCCTCATGTCTGTCGGTCAGAGGGGGCTTGGGTTTCGTCGAATTGCAGAACGCGTCAAAGTTGTACGGTCGTTATCATTCGAGGTTTTGTACTCTTTTGGTAGAAACACAAATTGTTAGACTGATGGAATTCAAATGCACAGAGTGGTTCAACTTTTACCTGCTTGGGATTGAAAGCGTGGGCCGAGAATATGGCCTGGTAAGACGTACTTGAACGATTCAGGGAGGAAGGCAGGGGGGATACGTGATGATATAAGAGTAAAACATGTCAGCAACGACCGGATGCCAGGGCAATCTTGAAGACACTTCACCTCCCATAGAGCAAGCGCATGGCAAACCTGAGACAAAGCTGACCATGTGGAGATTGTGCCGCAAACTGACACGAACTCGGGGGGGTCAATATTGTGATCCACGAATGCAGTAGCGATCCCAGGGGTAGATCAATGCTTTAATTGGACACCGCGGTACCACCCTCGATATGGTTCTGATTTACCCCCGAATTTGACGGGACTTGAAGTGATTGAACTTGCTGACCCTAAACTTTTTGTCTGTGAAAGTCTGAAAGAAAACAGCGCCATCGACTCCTTATTCAAGAATAATCGTCTCTAATAACCTTTCAAATGCTTGTTCGGCTGAGCTGGAAAATTTCTGATCACGCCGACACAGGCGAACTTGGCTCAAATGAGACAAATTGTAGTGGCAACGAGACTACCAGCCCGGTGTTTTGACCGCATGCATACGTGGCTTGCTGCACTTGTTGCATCCACACTCTCGGCGATTGTTAGTGCACTGGCTTTGTCAACCACCTCATCAATTGCCGAGCACGCCGGTTGTTAGCGCCTTGCTCATACCCGGTCTCACACAGTCAAATGGAAATGGTCTCGATTCCAAATATCTCAATCACCACTGATTGATCAGCTGGAGGCAAAACTTCCACATGCAATATTCAGGCGAAACTATCATGCCACACTAAGACGGACCAAGCCCCGTAGATTCCAGTGCGTGGATTACTAGCCGCCGAGGCGCTTCTGGCGGTGATCGGTCACACCAATCCTGAAGCCGAAGCACTTCATTCAGCCGAGGATTTGGGCGTTAAACTGTTATAATGGGACTTTTTTTTGGTCCGTCGTTTTGCGATAATATCACACAGTGCATCAGATGTCTTCCAATGGCTAGTTCTCAAAATTCGTGTAGCTTCAAATGTGATGATAACTTTGTTGGTCATGTGCTGCATAGTCCAGGCCTCTAGCCATATACGCATTCCCAACCCTCGAGACACCGCTCTTTTAAGTGTCATAACAATACTCGACTCACCGCCTTAGGAATACTATGGAAAAAAGCTTTCATGTGATTGAAGTACGCAGGTTTGATTATCATACCGCTGCTGTAGTTTCTATCTATTACGCAGCAGCGTTGGATATGAAGTTTTCCTCAATGGATGTCACGTGTTGGCGGTGTCGAGGACACTCGAACCGACCCAACCTCACATAACTATGGGCGCCTACTGCGTGCCAATACGAGAGACCGGACGAGAATGAACGTTCCTTTAATCATGCGGTTTCCCAGGTATTCAGACATGGTAAGCCATGACGACAGCTACACAGCACGCGGATATCACACAGTACTGCGAAAAGTGAGCAGAGAGATCGAACGACGCATCTTGGTCTCTGCAGGACAATAAAATGCGCCATTTCCAGTGCCTCAGAAGTCAAGTGGTCAAAAGAGCTCGTATCACGGCGGGCGGATAGCATGTTAACTCAATTCATTAACAAAAACGGGACGAATGAAACAAACAACCATTGAAATCCTCGTGAGCGAAACTCTCAAACCAAAACAAAAGGCACCGTACATGACGGGAGTAGGAGAATGAGATGCCATACAATCAACAAAATAATCCAAAAATAACTGGCTCCATCCATTATTAAATTCTCATCAACCTTTGCAGCGCTTTTGCCGATGACGGGTTAGGTTGTCGGACCTTGTGAACTTTTTCGGGCAGTCCGGACAATCAAATTCACCCCTTCCAATCCCGTGGGTAGCCGTATGTCGGTCCAAACCCTTCTTATCCGGAAACTTCATGGCACAGCCTTGGACTGGGCAAGCGCATGGCCTGCTGTGCTTCTTCATGTGTCGGCTGGAATTCCGACGTCAGATCGTCACCAGAACTAGATGCAGCATGAGGTATCAACTTACTTGAGCTCATGCCTCTGATCATAACTTCTGTCACAGTCTGGATCTGTACAGACATAAGGGCGTGGCTCCTGCGGTTGAGAAGGGCCCGAATCGATAAGAAGATCGGCGGGGAAGGTCTGTACTGCCTCCTCGGCATACCTATTGAGTTCCATTTCGTCGGTCCAGTTTTCTTGACCTTGTGATAATCCCTGATGGGGGTAACCCCTGTGGGAAGTCCCACCCCGAGGCGCCTAAAGCTCTTGAGGTGTGGTTCCAGAAACGTGATAGGTAGGTTGCGAGTTGTAATAATTCGGGTTGCTTGCGTGTGGTTCAGGGTGATATAGTAAAGAAGGGTCAATGAGGTCGTCGGCAGGGGGATGTCGGTTGTTTATGTAGCCGCTTGTGCTAGAGGGCCAACCCCCTGGCTCAAAAGGACCAGAAGAGTCGTAGGCTACCGGAGGGGTTTGGCGGTATTCAGATCCTCGATGCATGGCAGAACTCGGACTTGAGCTTGTTTTCTCGATGCAGTGTCCAGTAGTCGAACAATCTGATTGGCTCTCTCCGACTCTGACTCTTACTCTTTCTCTTTCTGTGTGTCACACTCGTTAGAGAGAACTTGGCCAAACACCCGATGCGGCGAAGCCTCAATTTTCCAAAGATGACTGGACATACCTCCAAGTGCTCCGGACAAGGATCAGCTTCACCGGAAGGAATTGTTCTTCTCTAGGGGACGATCCAAGCTGATGGAGTATTTTCAGCGCAGGCCTCCCGCAGTGTTTTCACGGTTCTACAGTCGTGTTTATCCACAACTGGAACCAAGGGGGTTGGCAACCAACTCAAAAGGCGCTGCGGGAATATCAGTACTCACATATTTCTGAATCTGAATTTCACTACTAAATAACCTGCATCTCCTCAGGCGAATTGAAGTGATCAAAGAAGGTGATATAATACTTGGGCAATGCTCATACTCTGTCAGGTGAAGACTTTGCTCAGCTTTGAGAGAAACCAGTCTGGTAGGATGCCAACTGTGACGACCGTGACACCTGATGTGGGCTCCTTTTTAAATTTTTTTCACCTTCTCAAGAATACCAATGCCAACCGAAGCGCTATAATCAAGAGAATTTGGTTTTTACACTTCTTTCTTTTTCTTCCAACTTCCCCTTACGTGCTGGTTGGCTACGCTCACCAATGGCGGATCATCCGTCGCCTGACATCCGACCCCAGCGTCACCACTCGTAGGCACTTTTCAAAATGGTCGGAGATCTGGTCTCCAATCCGAAATATCTCGTCTTAGCGGAGATAAAACTCGGTGAACTTCTTGGAGTTGGGTGGCTTGATGAGACCGGGCCAAGGTACTTTGCAGCCTTCTGCAGGTCATCATGCGGGAGTCCAACGGCCCCCACGAGCACTCAGGCCAATTGGCAGGAGGCAGTAGGCTGCATTGACGTCCAACAGATGTTGGAACAATCCGGCGACCAAGTCGCTGCCTAACTAGATAGCCGACGGAGGACCTTCATGATGACATCAAAAAGCCTAGTAATATGCCTCGAAGCTTCGTACCAGTCTTGGCGTTGGAAGTCACTCACTCCGCCTCATAACGGCCTGATAAATTGACCCAAGGTCTCCAGCACATTGCGTGTGTGGGCATTTGCCCCAATAAGATTTCAAATCCTCAATCGTTGGCCTCAGCGGCCTCCAGCGTTGCATGGCGTTAGCTGCACACTCGAAGACAGTAGGTGTGGCCGTAAGGATATGCCATTGGCTGAGAGACAAGAGGCTTCCTACGCAGCCAATTTCTGGTGTTGCGAATTGGTGTTTTACGCGTATGCGCGCGCGCGAGATTTCCTTGGTTGACGCCTTTGCTCAGTTTTGGGTTATGCTGGAACTCGGTGAATGGAATCCTCTTCGGGCCGCCATGGGCGGACCAGAGGAAGCTCGTTACGAACTCCTGATTTCAATGCCATGAGCTTGGCTGCCTTTATCAAGGCCAAAATTAGTTTAAATACAAGAGAAACGTACATGCCATTGATGTATGATTATGGACGACACACATGGTCATGTCCTCACTTCACAAATTGCAAAGCAACAAACAACCTTGCTCGAATTGAGTGTTTCTCACTCGTCCTCATTTCAAATGGCCAAAAGCAAATCGAACTCGCGCAGTTCTGGCAAGGGATCAGTACCAAGTAAGACCAGACGTTATCCCACAAGTCCTGTCGAAGGCTTTACTGATCGAAATCCCCATTGGAAGAGATGATGACGGCCGATGGACTGGACCATCCCATCAGTCTCAAGCTCTGCAAGAGATTGAACCGATTCTTTGAAGCTTTGACGCTGCTGTATAGTCTGTTTCAAGCTTGTCCGAGCAATGGGCAGCACTCCAACAAAACTCCAAGCGACGTTGCGGAACCAGGCGAAAATCACAGGACATTCATGGAATGCTTCATGAATAAGCTGGCGCAAATATGCGACAACGAGCACGGAGGCGAGAACGTCACATCCGTCGCCATGATTCAGTTGCCAGATAGTTTGAGGTACACTTTTGCATCCAACCAGAGGTCTGCTGAAGAGATAGCGGAAGTGGAGGCATTTGTCTTGAGTATCTTTAAGTACTTGAGTAAAGCAAGTGCGACGATATCCACTACGGAGGACGACGTCACTTCAAACCCATTCCACCATATTCTCGGCCAGATTGTGTTCTTCCATCGCAAGCGCATCCAGTGTTATCGAGATGGTCTTGTAAAAACCCTATCTCAATGCATTGAAGACTGCGACAGGCGCGAGCCTGGCCAGGGTGAGTTACCGGAATCCAGGCTCGAATACACATAGCCTCGCTAAAACTCCCAAAAGATTCCCCAGTTAAGCAAGAACTGCTGAAGCTTCAATGTGTGGCTGATAAGTCGATGTCGTCTGCTGGTGACTGCGCTTCAAGTAAGGGTCCCATTGTTGTTCTCTTGGTGTCTTGATCAAGACCATACTAATTCGTCTGTCACAGAGGAGAGAGACGAAGCACTCGTCCGGGCAGCTACGGAACTACGTCAATCGATAATTTACAACTCCATCGTGGACAGAGGAAAATCAGGAAAATTTGACGAATCTCAGTACTGGTGTGAATTGCAACACTTCATTGGGCGGCTGGTGTCTTACCAGAGGGCAACCCATACCATATTCGTGGCCCGAAGGCGCTACCCGGAGCTTTTCGACATTGACGGCATCCAAATCAAGTTTATTGCCTCGAGCAAGCGGTTACCCAACCCGATGAACGCGTTCCAAGCTGGCCTCATCCCCATGCAGAGAAACAAAATTCGCTCCGCGCACAACATTCTATCTCGAATGACGGGTGATGAGGAGATGATGAAGACTTACCAGCAATACGCCGATGAACTCCAACGCTGCCATCTCGATCAGATTATTGAGAAACAGTGCTGCAATAAGAAATTCAAGCCGATTGTCCATAGCGAGGTTCTTCTTCTCGACTGGCTGTGCAAAGAGTTCGCAGAGGAGAGGCACTCTGTCCCTTTCTATGGGGGCAACAAGTACATCGGTTGCAGCAAGCCTACGTGTCGACTCTGCGAGTACTACTTTGCTGCCCACAACAGTGGTGTCAGAGTCCGCCCTACTCACCAAAACGTCTACCCCAGCTGGATCGTTCCGGACGCCTTGGAAGAGGGTGAGATATCAAAGATCAAAGACAAGATCATTGACGCCGTTTTGGCAAAGGTCCGCGAAGACGCCTTCACTGCGCTGAGGGAGAAAGTTTCCGAGCGCAAGAGGTTCGATTCCGATACGTATTCTTCGATGCCCACCTCTCAGTCGCTTACGGGCATTTCAGTCACTCTGGATGACCTGTCGTTTCGGATTGGAGGTCTGTCCATCTCGCCTCACCCGCGCATTCCACCGATTGTCGTCAAGAGCAGGCTGAACATCTTTGATGATACTTGGAGCGTGGCTGCTCACGAAGATTATAGTGGTAGCGAGGATGACAACAGCGGCGTCCTTGTCTTCACTGGTCGCAACAAGCGTTCCTAGCACTTTACCATGTTTTTTTCGCCTGAAATGTCGCCACTTGGCTTATTATAGGCTATGTATTAGCTTTGATCAGCCTTTCACTCGTTTCCAGACCCTATTTCCAAGCCTCCTGTCAGATCGTCACCTTCATAGACACGCGATCCTTTCCCGCAAGTTCTCCGATACGTCTGCATGCTGAACGCGATTAACGAGTCCACACGCCCACGATTCGAGTTGAAAGAAGGGATTATTGATGTCCTTGATGTATCAGAATGTTTAAAGAAAAGCCGAGAACAGAAACCCCCTCCAAGCATGTTGTTGTGAATGGCGAAGAGGGTCAATACATGTACACGTCGATGATCAACTTCTTGGAAAGCCCCGCGATGAAGCAGTCGGTGTCAAATGTCATTGGTTGGTCTCGCCACCTTCCGGAAAGGGAAATGGGAAACGCAACATTTGTCCAATTCAAACTCAGACACAAATATCTAGTGCATTTTTGTTTGATAGAGAATGTGCCATTTGGCTTCCTCTTCAAGCTCCACCCTGATGAAGAGTTGAAAGCCAATATGTTGTACAACTATGGAAACATATCAGGTGTTATGATATTTCTGTGATTCTCTTCTCCTCCACGACGGCTTTGTCCGGCAAATGGCAAATTAACGACCTGACTACGCCAAGCATCGTATTCCGAGACTATTGTTTGCTAGCGCCATGGCATGCTCACATAATCTTGGAGGCTCATCAGCTCCACATTCGAACGAGGTCGACGAGACTGGCAATTGACGCACAAGATGTACAGGGACCTGGATCACGACGAGCATGGAATACAACCCTGGACCACCGGCCCGAGCTTCCAATGGAAGAATGCATCATACCGATGGCCTGGAGTCCGGGGTATAGTACGGTGCCGCGGGGCATTGAAAACGCCATCGACTCAACACTTCTCCTTGTTCAGCCCCCTGGCCCGGCCTGCGAGCGGGGGAATCGTTCATGAACGCCAAGTTTCATTGTGAGAGGCCAACGTTTTCTAGCGGGCCTGAAGGAAACGCATGAGTGACGCCACGGCCCGCATCTATGCTACTGCACAGTGGCATCCTCTGTGCCCGGGTCGCATGGCAATTCAGCTGAGGTTAGTTGGATCGAACCACATGCAACCTGGGCTTCTGCGGCCAAGAGCCTGGCGCAACTCAACACGAATATTCGACATGTTGACCGTGATCTGAATGCCATATAGGATGGAACTTATCCGTCGGTCACCGCAGCTCTTGTCAATTAGTTCATCTGTTAGGCAGACCGTTGCTAGGGACAGCCATTCCTACATTCGTTACCAAAGTCCTACTGTTGGACAATAAGAGCTTCTGGAAAGATGGTGCACTTTAAAGCTCAGTGTCTCTTGGTCGCGGCCTATGCCACGGTAGCTGTCATTGATGCTGCGTGCACGTCCGATCTTCTCGTGGACGACTTCACCAGCTCCTTCTCAACAAACAGGAACAACCTGGGTTCGTGGACATCAGGTAAGACAAGATCAGAGCCACCACCAATGCTTCGGATACTACCTTAGTGTCGATGGACCACTTCCGAGCTGGTCTTATACATCACCAGATGACCAACTCCGTGCTCAATAGATGATGCAAGCATGACTAGCATCTCCGCGTCCGGCGGCATCCTCAGCTTCACCCCCAAGAGCGGAGGTTACTACTACGAAACGTTTCCCTGCCAAGCACTGCAGACCGACTTATACTCACACGTCCAGCTTGAAATCAAAGCACCCGTGCCTGGCACAGCCTTTACAGCCGAACTGAATTCAGCCTCAAGTTGTTCGGCAACAACCAGCTCAAAGACATCATTCAGAGTCACTGACCTGACCGGCGGCTGGCAGACGTTGCGCATCCCATTGACTAGTTTTGCTGCGGGTAACCTCAATGCAGCTCTATCGTTTGTCATTGGGTCCTTTTCATCTACCCAGGAATGGCAATTGGACAAGATTCTGTTTGTCTGTGCCCAAGGGTCATCCGCAACCTCGACTTGTGAGTGATGACCTCCTGGTTTGGGAATGGTCCTCGTATCATCTCGGCTGATACTAACAAAAATCCTCATAGTCACTACGATCACTACGGCAACCCAGGCTACGACAAGCTCGGTGCCATCTCCAACCCAATCTAATAACCCGTCCTGCTCGGCGCTCCTGGTAGATGATTGGGCGTCCCAATCACGCCTCAACTTCTTACAATACAACTCACTCCTGCTGCCGACAGGTGATGACGGGACGATGCAATCCATGGTCGTGAACAACCACCATATAACACTTACACCGACATCCACTTCGTCATACTTCTTCACCCAGGTAGGATGTCTAGATGCCACAAAGTATGGCGGTATATCACTCCGTATCAACGCCCCAGCCGGAACGACTTTCCAAATCGAGCTGACTTCCAAGACCACTTGTGATGGTGAGACCACGGCGTACTCGTCTCAGACGACTGCTCAACTAGGCTGGACATTCGACGGCACCGAGAAGCTATACAGCTTCCCCTGGTCAAAATTCAGTGGAGTCAACCTCAGCAAACTGCGATCGATCGTCCTCGAAGCGCCCACCCGCCCCATAACATTGGGCCCGCTGGCACTCTATTGCGGGAGCACCCCGACCGGTTGGGTGGTGCCCACAGCGACGAGCCCAACAGGACCAACGCAAACCGTCCCGGCACCAACCGCTACCGTCTCCGGGCTCGTTATTGACACCTTTGGCAACTCAAACACCAACTCGCTGGGGTTCTGGCACGGCGGCGATGATTTGAATCTGTCATGGGGCTCAAATCGCGTCACAATCATCGCCTCGGCTCCTGACTACGCCTTCACCAGTCTCATAAGCAGTGGATGTCGAGACTTGCGCAGTCAGAGTGGCTCGTACTTACACATCGCCTTTTCGGGCCATACCAAGTTCTCCATCTCGTTACAGCAGCACAACTCGCAGTGCAACGATGGTGTGGCACCTTACCCCGAGACGAGGGACAGCCTGGAAGCCAGCCGGTACGCGGCAACGAGTAGCGATATCTACATACCCATCTCGCACTTCAACATCAACCTCCAGCGTGTTGCCAGCGTTGCTATAAGAAGTGTGTATAGTTCCGACCCAGTGGTCCTGACCAAGATTGAGATCGTCCCCTCCATCCCCTCAGGCGTCAGAATACCCCAGAAGCTGCCTTCGGGAACCCTCGTCTTCGCCTGTACGCGGCCCAACTCATTTGCCTTTGGCATCGACGACGGCAACCCAAAATACGCTGCTAGGCTGGCGCAGATCATCCGCGACGCGGGCATCAAAGTGACCTTCTTCGCCGTCGGCGCGGTGCTCGAAAACCCCTCGACAGGAATGGCCAGCCTCTACCAGCAGCTCAAGAGCGAGGGCCACCAGATTGCGCTGCACTCCTACACGCACCCGCGGATGGAAGGGCTGCCCAACGTGGAGAGCATAGACTGGGAGTACAACGAAGACTATAGGGTGATGACAGGCCTGTTTGGCGAGAGGTCAAACTACTTCCGCCCGCCGTACGGGGTTGAAGGCGCGCGGATGCGTCAGCGCTGGGCGGCTGCTTCGGGGTCGGACAAGGCGTACCTCATCAACTGGAGTGTCGATGTGCAGGACTGGTTGTGGGCTGAGACGAGCACGCCGGAGAAGCAGGTCGACTCGTTCCGGTCTGATGTTGCCAAGGGGGGCAACCTGGTCGTCATGCACTTTTCGTACAACTCGACGGTCGAGTACTTTCCCGAGTTCATTAGGCAAGCCAAGGCTACTGGGAAACAGATTATGAGAATCGATCAGTGTATGGAGGATCCGAACGCACCACCGCTTTGATTGGGGAAACGGAATGGGCGTTCTAGGGTTGGAGGAGCAGGGGAACCGGGGGCTGGCAGAATGGCAACATTTTCATTCTTCTGGCATGAGTTTCCGGGCATGACCATTGATAGAGTTGGTGAAATCTTCCAAGTGGATCAAACACGAGGCATTCCTTTCAGTAGACAGGAAAGCTTCGCGCTTACAGAAATACTAAAAGACAAGGAGATGAGTATCAGCGCTATGACACCTCAACAGCTTCATAATTACGTGATAGTATCGTGGTTGTCTTGTCCTCCTGAGCATGCGATATTGGCATCACCGATGAGGATTCTATAAGCCAGTACGCGGGAAGCCACCCCGCCTAGCCCCAGTCAATGATAGCTGCCACTTTCGGATTTCGCCCCAGCGACAAGATGACGTTGGGCAGGACGAGATCATCGTGTGTGAACACAATTGGCACTTCGCTATCAATCTCGATTCCGCAAGCATCTTGGAACTGCTGAACGGCATTTAAGCCTACGAACGGCCCTCTGAGATCTGGGCGGTATGCCAAGAATATGTCGTTCAGTAATTGCTTGCCTAGTCTCCCTGAAGAATACGACGTCGTATGAGAATTACTTGTAAAGTAGAATCGATATAATCTACTCACAAAAAAATCGATCGTGCTTATCCTGCTCTAAAGCTCGCAGCGCCTTTGCCATTTTTTTAAGTTCTTTACAAATAGCCCGCCTCTCGTCCTCGTTTTTGTTGCACCATCTTTCTTGCAAAGTTACTCCCTCTATCAGGGATATGTACAGGGATATGTAAATAAACCTCTGCCCGTTATCCTCCGTCTAGCTAAAGATCTTGGCTACGGGGACTTTGCCTTGCAGTTGCTCGTGCACTATCTTCTGGGTCAGAGTTTTAAGAATTGTGAAATTATTACCGTAATTAATAAGTAATCCTAGCGATAAGAATATGATAGGTAGTGGGCGATCGAAGCTGGTAGTACGAATAATATCCGACTCCTCATTATAAGCTCTGACCTTAGCTGGCGCAGGAAGCCTAGGCGCACGTCTCTGTTTGAGAAAGCTCGACTCAGGAAAGATTTTCATCTGACCAGGGACGGAGAATTCATTGAAACTGATGATTGGAGTTGAGGTATCTGTAGTCGACATCGCATGTGACGGCATAAGTGGTCAAGGATATCCGCGGCTGCGTTGGACCTATGTTGTTGGTGAAGTGAGTTTGCGCACATCAACACACATTTGTGGGATGCCATGCCCCACATATATATACTCAGTTGCAACTGAGATTGATTTGGTCAGCGCGTCGCGAAGACACGCGCTTTCTATTGGTTCAGGCTAGCAAACTAATCCCTGGATCAAAACAACAAGTGGATGTTCATATGTGACGTAGCCGCCGACCACCGGAAAATAACAATAAGCCCTGCGGCCTTGAGGCTCAGTTCTTGGATCGGTGATCTAGCGCGCGCTTTGAGCTGTCTTCGGCAATGCCAAGCACTGGCTTTGGGAGCGGTTTGGAGAGCGAAACGCACGCATATAAAGACGAAGAAGGAATCGAGAATCAGTGATTGGAGTTTCGTCGCATTACAGAAACAAATACCGCGATCTTCAAGAAAGTTCTACGATCAACCGTCATGGCTTCTTCTTTTTCCAGTACTTCCAAGACTGGCGATGCTCCGCCGCCTCCTCCGCCTCCACCGGTTGTCAAGAAAGCCCCCACTCCACTTCCAGCCCCAAAGCCGCCAACCGTGGCCTCGAAAGGCCCTCCCGGGGCCTTTTTGGTCGAATTGCTGGTGTACAACGGCTCGCCCTTTAAAGACCACTGTGCATATTTTGTGTGCTCGCACAGAAATCGTGATACCGGTGTTCGGATTCACGCGACTGGCGACGTAAGAAACGGCTTTGAATTCAATATTGAGCGAAGCCATAACTTTGACGAAACCGGGAACTATCCTACGACAAGGATTCCGCTACAATGGGTGAATGCACAGCATTTTGACGAGAAGGCGATGCTCAACCATGGAAGCCCCAAAATCGATACCGTGCCTGTCTGTGGTTTTGAGGTCAGTGTAAACAAAGCGAAGGCTCCTGGGAAGACTCTAAATTCAGTCGAGGACACGGTAAGAGCTTTCATTACTTTCTTCTCATAATCACGGGGCTTTACAATAGGAAGCGTTTCATGACTGCTTCATCACAGACATCTTGAAGTTGTTCCGTTGCAACTAAACCTCTCTATCCTATTACCCCTAGCACCATCACTAACAGGCTTTCAAGACCAAAACAGGCAAGAAAATCATTCAAAACAACTGCCAGTCATGGCTTGTGGAGTCAGCCGATTTCCTTGTCCAAGACCGTATATTCAATTCTGACGTTGCTGTTTACCTCCACGCTATCGAACAATAACGGTGTTGATGGCAATCAAACATATGGTCACACCCGGTTATGACTAGGCCTGCCTACTTAGATCCTGCATAGATAAAGGGTTTACAATTATAGTCACTTATTAAACATACTCATCACTCTGTCTAATGTAATCTCCATCTTTCTATGGGCCTATCAGCTACTGCCCGAAACTTAATCCAAAGCTGATCCGCAGAAAACACAAAAAACTTATCGTTTGCATCGGAACTAGTCTCATTGGGACTGGGCAGTTTCCAATCGCTTCCGCACAGCCTGAAACCCTTGCAGTAGTGAACGGCTTTGGAGACACGACAGGGGCCCAGGACAATGTGTAAATTTGTAACAAAACTCTATCAACTTTGTCTGCATGACATTTGCTGCATTGGCGCTAAGCACACATTGAATTATCGGCTCTTCTCTTGGCGTGGTGCAGTGAAGCTGATTTCACTGCGGCAAGATGAGCATATTCGGAGGAGGAGGTGGTGCTTAGACAGCGTCAATAGGCATGGAGTTGCCATCATTATGTGCACAAGAAGAGATATGCCGATTGAGGTTTTGGGTCCGAGTTCAAATGTCACGGGTCACCTGGGAAGTCCAGGCCATACCGCTTGTTAAGAATTTTTCATTGGCCATTGAGTCTGGACAAGCGACAGGGAGAAGGTATAAGAGAGTGAGCATTGTGCAGAGGTTCGAAAGTGTGGAAGCATGCAGGTAATCATTCTGCCATGTGGAAGTTAAACCCGCCCTTGATTTTATTTCCATCACGTGAGTTCCATGTCCGCGAATGAGGTGTCTGAAAGCACGTCAACATCGAATTCTTGAACGTCAGTTTGCAGTCCCTGGCCGAGGGCCTGGCGATGGCTCACTCTTCCTTCTACAATCAACCCACCCTTTCCAGCAACATAGAGTTTATGGAATTTTACCGGTTCAATGACATTGAGATGATTTCGCCACGACCGCTGTTGTTCATCTCGAGCGACGAGCCTCACTCGCGGTGGTTCAGTAAGGACGCTTATGCTCGTGCGGCTGAACCAAAGGAGCTGGTCTGGGTTTCTGGGTTACGGGAAATGTTGACCTCTATGATTGTGTGAATCTTATTCCCCTCGGTGATCTTACCCAGATCTTCCAGATCAATCTTGCTGTCAATGGAACGAGCTTGGAAGTTGAGGGTGAAGTAAGGTATACGTCTTCAGAGCTTCGGTTTTCTGCTCGTACGAATTGTCGATCCAGCATTCTGGATAAGGTATCTGCCCTGCCTTGTGTAGTGGCAGATTTCTAGAAAGATGACAGAAGGAGGTCAAATGCGCTCAGTGGTCGGCTGGCTTTGTGCGAAGTGTTTCTGCATTGCGCATCGAAGCTGTGGGCATGGCATATTATACTCAATACTAGGCTAAAAATCCATTAATTAGGCACATTCTACTTGGAGCTTGACTCTCTCTCTCTCTCTCTTTGCCAATGCTCCGCATGAAGCTTATGCCGTATGTATCATTGAGCATTGTCCTTTGAGGGCTCACTGAGGTTGGCGGATAATGGCGGATATTCTTTTCATTGTATCCCAACAGCACGGAAGCAAATAGAATCGAGAGCTCAGCAACTGGGAACCACTCGGGAATCTGTGCATGGTTGTCGCAGTTTCAATGGTCGTTATGGACCGTCAACATCTCACCCAAAAAATTTCAGATCTACCTCTTCCGAAAAATCTTGACAGCATCTTCCCACTAAAGGTCCATTATTTGAAATGAGCTTGCTTCATCACGATGAAGAGGAAGGCAGGCCCCTGCCGGCGGAGAACTCCCCTATAGCTACAGCAATTGATCGCCGATCTCCCGCACATTGGGGTCACCTAGGGCCCAGGGGCCCCCTCATGCGGGGTAGCTGTCCCGATTGGGAAGCAGGCTGCCCCTGGCGAAGAACGCCTTCGACGTCATCACCCAGTCATTGAGCCGGAGCTTTCATTCCAGCCCGGCCTCTTCCCTTCCTCTTCCAGTTTCTCCTCTGGCACCAGTTGTGGCTCCACCTTTCAGCTCCTTGCAGGGGGAAGGGGGCAGGCGGAAGGAGCTCCTTCGTGGCTTCGCCTTGGTCTTCAGCTGCACCTGCCGTCGTCATTTCAACTCCAATTGCGTTTGGAGCACGTGTGACGTGTGACGATTGTTCCGCCCCTTAGCTGCCCTCCTCCGCCACCGGTCTGACGCTAGCAGTAGGCGAGAGGGAATTGGGAATTCTTTCTCGTCCCTTCAAAATCACCTCTTTGCTTCCTTTCGTTTCCAATCTTTCCTTTGCTCTACCACGTTCTCGATACCATACATCTTCCGATCTTCTATTCTACTGCTCAGATATACACTCACTGACTTCATTGCCGCCATCACTTTCGGTCCAACAACCGTAATACCCTCTCCTCACCAAACCATCAAGATGATGTCTGCAAGGCCTCTCGTTCGCTCGGCGCTCCCCAGAGCTACCCGCGTTGTCCGTGCCCCTCGCCAGCAGCTCCGTTTCCAATCCACAGCCACATCATCATCATCGACAGGTGGAGCAAGCTCTCACTTTGGAGCTGGTGTCGCTGGTGGTCTTGCTGGTGCCGGTCTCTTCTACGCCATCTACTCCTTCACCCCGGCCGGCCGCACTGCCTCCAAGGTCAACAAGGCCGCAAAGGAGGCCGCCGAGAAGTACTCTGTCGCCGCCCAGAAGCTGCAAGAAAACACTCCCTCTGCCGACGAAGCCATCGACTACATTAAGCAGTTTGCCTACTCCTACGTTGGTTGGATCCCTGGCGGCCGCTCCTACGTCGATTCTGCTTTCAATGATTTCGAGACCGTTCGCAAGAACCACAAGGAGGAGGCCGACAAGATTGTCAATGACGCCTACAAGCAGTTCCAGGAGGTCGCCAAGGCCGGACTGAGCCTCGACGCCGTCCACAAGGCCTACGAGGTCCTCGCAGACATCACCCAAAAGCTTGCAAGCCTCGGAGGCGACGCTATCGGAGACATTGTCGACAACCACCCCGAGCTGAAGGAGAAGCTTGGAGGAAACATCGATCAGCTCAAGGACCTGGGTGACAAGTACGGCCCAGAGGCGAAGAAGCAGGTTGACGAGACATGGAAGCAGGTCAAGGACATCTTGGCGGGCGGCTTCAATGCCAGCAGCTTTGACAAGGTGCGCAAGCTCGTTGAGGAGAAGATACAGCAGGTCCAGAAGCTCGGCGACGAGGCATGGAAGAAGGCGCTCGAGGAGGCCAAGCCCTACCTTGACAAGAACCCCAAGGTCAAGGAGCTGGTTGAGAAGAATGCCGACGCACTCAAGCAGGGCAACGCCAAGGAGCTTTTCGAAAAGGCGAAGAAGGCTACCGAGTCTGGAGACCTCGGCGGCCTGGAGAGCTACGTCACCGACGCTGTCGATAAGGCCAAGTCCAAGGGCTCTCAAATCGGCGAGAGCTTTGGGTTGGACCAGTATTTCAAGCTGATTCCCGACGGAGACAAGATCATCCCCAAGCTGAAGCAACTTCGCGAGGTTGCCGACAAGCACAAGGAAGAAGGCGAGAAGCTTTTCAAGGAGACCATTGAGGAAGTGAAGAAGGTTCTCGAGGCCAAGTCAAAGAAGGCTGAGGAGATTGTTGAGAAGGCCAAGAAGGATGCTAAATGAAGGACTCGTCTCCGGCATGCATACTACTGATACCCCCGATCAAGACGTCTGGAGGGACGGCTTGTACGCTAGTTCAAAAAGCTTTCACAGTGTAGCAAAATAAGTAATGATTGCAATCGCCTGTCTCTCAAGCATGTTGCTTTTAGTCTATCTGAAAACATTTTTCGACCAAAGGTAGTAATACTCGCCATCTCAATCTTCTTTAGCCTCAGATGTCCTTAGGCCTGTATAGTACCTGGTATTTTAGCAAGCGTGGGGTATCTGGGTCATGATTTGGAAGGATAATCTTACCGCTGTGCTTCGAAAACGCCTGGATCTTCCACAAGGTCTCCAACGCCGACAAAAGATCATACCTAATTCCGCCTGGCCTCGTGGACGCCTCTGCTTCATCACAGGGTAGGTCCAGCTGGTCAATCATCCCTGTGGCGAGACTTCATACGGGGGCAAAATATACACGCATGCCACTGGAGAACGTCGACAATTACGACTTGCCTTTTCTTGGCAGACTTGCAAGTTACATTTGACCTATACTCCCGGCCTTACTTGATCAGCTCCATGTTCATATTGTGAAAAGTGGCTTACTTTGCGGGAGTGGCATTTAATACCATCATGATATCACGGCCTCTCAAAGACCGGCAAGGTCTGTCCCTTGGTCTCATTGGTGGCAGAACGAAGAGTTTCACTTATCTCGAGAACATGCTCTGAGCTTCAAGCTTCGATAGGGAGGGGACATACGCGACATCACATTAGCTTTCGATCCAAAATTGGACGTCTTTAGCGCAGGTTTAAAAGGGTTTTTTTTTTTTTTTTTTGGAGCACAGGCTCTGTTGGCGACCGGGGAGCTAGCTAGCCGGGGCTCCCCTGGAGCTCCGGGTTTGCGGGGTGTAAAGGCTAAATGCCCGACATGGAGGGAATCTAGACCGGCCGACAGACTACATGTAAGCAGTACTCGAACAGAGGCGAAGATTTCACACTACACAACGCTTTTTCTCATTTAATCAGAACAGCGATACCACGTGCCCGGCTTCTCGAAGAGGCAGAATTATGGGGTTCTAACATGTCAATCAAAGCTTGATTGCCTTTTTAGTTACCAATTGGGCTTAGATATCCGAGAACTACCCAAAATGATACATATTTTATCGGGTGCTAAGGAGAGTAGGAAAGTCCCGTAGAATACACATCAATGATGGCTAGGCCACGGATCGTCAGCCCCAGGCAGTGCACATATTTCGATAATTTCCCTCCCCGTGATGTTTCCGGCCCAACGTTTAACTTGATTTCTTGTCTTTTCTTTTTTCTCTCTTTTCTTCAGCCCTTGACAGTATTCGACATCATGCCAGGTGTGGGTTACACGATGCGTTACACCATGTTCTGGGCCGTGTCTTACCGCGGTCCGCTCCCCGTCAAAAAGAATCTAGGGGATGGCCGAGGAGCCTCCCGACCTCGGAACTTACTCCCTTCCAAGAAATTCTGAAGCCAATGTTTGCTCTTCAATCTTTGTGTCATCGTCATGCACCGATGGCGAGCAGGCTCTACGTGAGGCATCGCCCTGCGCCTCCCGCTCAAGGCCGCTCAGCTCATGTTTCATCGCGAGTTCTCAACATTGAGGTTTGGCAAGAAAAAGGGATAAGGGATGGTGGATGGGGGATGCATGATTGGTGATGGGATAAAGCTAGAAGCCTTCAAATACACAGCTCTTCACGCGCTCGGAAGAGCCCATCGCGTTCCCTATTGTGTTCGGAGTGTTGCTTACCACTCTCATTTTTTTTTTAACGCTGTCTCTTCGGGTGTATCAGCTTTTTTGAGTTTCTCTGAGCCCTCTCGACTCATTATAACGGTTTACACTCATTGAGGTTCCTTGGCCTTCCAATGCATCCAATTAGGATATGGCTTTTCATTCTGCCGCTTCTCGGGAAGCACATTTACGCCCAAGTCAACCTTCCCATATCAGGGGTCATGGACTATTTGGGATGTTACATCCTCACAGACATGGCACAATTCGAAACGATTCAAGATAGCATCAGCGTGGAACCTGTAAGCTGCCAAACTCAATGCTCGACCCTGGTTCGCCGATTTGCTGCTCTGCAAGGAACCACGTGTCTTTGCAGCCGGGCAGGCATCAATAATCCGGATGGGTATTTTGATCCCGAGTCCACTTGCAGCATCCGCTGCAGCGGGAATACCAATGCCCTCTGTGGTGGTTTTGCGGATGGAGTAGACCACTACAGCATGTATTACGGCTTACAGGAGGTCCCACCTGCTCCGACCATTACAACATCGTCTGATTCGGAGACGTCGTCAACAACCTCGTCTTCAAGCGCGGAGGAGAGCACTGGAACGTCATCTTTAACTTTCTATTCAAACTCCTCTTCAGCCTCTTCCACTTCTTCTTCAACCTCAGAGTTGAGCACAGATACCTCAACTTCAACCTCTTCAACCTCCTCTTCAGCTTCCTCTTCAACTTCCTCTGTAACCTCCTCTTCAACCTCGTCTTCGTCTTCGACTTCAACATCAGATACTAGCACTGAGTCATCTTCGACCTCAACTTCCAGTATCGAAACGTCATCCTCTTCAGAGTCTACTACATCTTCCTTCTCAACAACCAGCAGTCTCGAAACAAGCAGCAGCACGCAGCTTTCTTCGACATCAACCAGCTGGCCTTTTGCAAATACAACTAGCTCCTCAACCTCTTCACTTTCAACCACGTCTTCATCTTCTATATTGGATACCACCACATCAGACACTTTGCTCACAACATCAATTTTTCCGACCAATTCTTCGTCCTCTTCAACTTCCGTTGCAAGCTCGAGCCCCAGTATATCCACTTCATCGACGACATCTCTGCCCTCAAGCACTTCACTTTCATCAACAGACATCTCAACATTAAACAACACTGCGACGACTGCAGCGTCATCCAGCACAACCACATTGAGTTCTTCCGACTCGATGACTACTTTTACATCCACTTTGAGTAGTACGTTCTCGGTTCTTCCCACGAGTCTGCTGTCCAGCAGTAGTACAGCTTTATCGACGGGCAACACCACTTTCTTGAGTACAACGTCCTCAGCCGACGCAACTAATACGCCTCCAGCAAGCACAACAGCACACACCAGCAGTTCATCAATATTGCCGTCTTCGACCAGCGATAGAACCTCTTTGACGGGATTCTATCCGAACACGACTTTTACATCTACCTCGGCTTCAACTCTTAACTCGTTGACAACTGATCTCAGTCCTACTTCATCCTCAGGCTCTTCCATAACGCAAGCCTTGTCTTCAAGTTTGGCCACAAGCACGGCTTCCGCAGTCTCCACGGCCTCTTCGGGTAGTGTAACTTCTTCCGTCCAAGGGAGCCAGACCACAACCTCCTTGATCTTGACTACCTTGACGTCCAGTCCGACGGCCGCTGTAAGCATTCCGTCAAGCTCACTATCATCAACAACCTCAGGCTCCACTTCGAGTCAGACGACCGCTGCAGGGAATTTGTCAAGAGACTCAAGCTTGACATCATCACCGACATCGCCTCCTTCTGCACCGCAATCTCTACCGCAAACTAGTCTGACAGATGTTTCCCCTGGAGGTAGTGTTACATCGGTAGCCAGGCCAACGTCGAGTTCCTCTTTTGTTACCTCGACTCTAGTACCGTCACCAACGACCGTGTCCATCGCCATCGGACAGCTTTTCAGATTGACCATCATGGCAGTCGAGGCAGAAACGGCGCTGCCACAGTGATTGAAGAGATCAATCATATGCCAAACAGAGTTCCGTCGCCTGTTGTTTCTGAGGTTGAGTTTGGAATGTTATCGCGGAGAGTCGTTAGACGGCCCGACGGCGTTTTGGGGATTTTTTAGGGCTAAACTATGGTGGGACATATGAAACGAATATGGATACGTACAAACTGAGTTAGATGGGGAAGATGGATTTGCTTTTATCCAATGAGAGACTACCACTCAACGTTGCGCAAGTCCACGGACTCACGGAGTGGATGAACGCTAAGAATTTGGTCTTCTCTGACTCAGGAGAGTTGATTGAGTAGGGCCCTGAACCTATTTGGCAATGCGTATGCATGGTCCCATCTGTTGGTTCTCATTTTGTTGTCATCGAGGGAAGATTCAAAAAGGCCTATGAAAATAAGCTAAGGTGGAAGAGGCACTTAACGAAGTGTTAATACATAAGGTATCTGATCTCATGTTCACCGCCGAGGCAAAACAAGCCAATGCTGTCCCGCGTGATTCTTTCCACTTATTCGAAATGAAGTTTAGGACTTGAGTATCACACAATTTCCGCGATTAATGACACACGTCATATAGCACGTCTAGCCCAGCCAGATCAAGCGTTTTTTTACATTTGTTGTGTAGTTTCAATGTCTAAATAAAGAATAATAATAACCCCAAAATAATCTGTGAAAGAGCGACTATGACTGTCCTTGCTGGAATGCTCAACGACACCTAGTATTTGATCTCGTCCCACGTCAATGTCCCTTTCCAACTCTGACAACTTTCATATTGGCTCAGCGTGTGTACATATAGGTTCGTTGCCTCGATTAAGAAAAGTTCGTGTTCAGGAAAGTGCCACAACATTGCCCTCCAAAGCCTGACTAACCGTGACACCACTTGCTGCGGCGCCTGCCTGGCTCTGTCCCTTTCCGCCGTTTGCTGGCGGAGACCCTGGTTGGGCCGGGCTTAGCTGGGGAGATCCAGGCTGAGGAGAACCCATCTGAGGCGAGCCCTGCTGGGGAGCGGCCGGAGGAGAACCTGTCTGAGGGGCGCCAGTCGCCGGCGGAGCCGCCGGTGGCGCGCCGGGCGGGCCCATGCCCGGAGGCCTCGCCAGAGGAGGATTGGAAAGCGAAACGATTCCCATTCCGACCGCGCCACCAGCTCCACCAAATGCAGCTAGGGCACCCTGAAGACCTTCTGCAGGAAGCTTGGAGAGAACGACCTGGCCAAGAGCAGCTGACAGCATGTCCTGGTTCATAAACGACTGAAGGAGCATCGGTGTCATGTTGGTCTGGTCGAGCGTCTGGCGCTGAAGCATTGCCGACATAACCGTGATCTTTACGCTCTTGGACAGAGTGTCGGCGGCGTTTTGAAGAGCGATACCGTCGGGAATATTAATCGGCGCGGTCGGCGCGATATCAACACGGGCCTGGGCGAGTGCACCTTCGAGTCCCATCATCGCTGGTCCAAGAGCCGCGGCACTGCTGGGGTCGGGTGTCAAAGACTAGCGAGGCGTCAGTAAGATTCCTTATTCAAACGGTCAAGTAGCAAGGTGCCAAATTCATAAACTAGACTTACCCTGATGGCCGAATCCAAATTCGACGATGCCACCGAGATGGAGACGAACGCGCCCTGAATGGTTTGAAGATCTCTCTTTTGAATGTCATTTGCTGGTGCCGCAGCCACAATGCCGAGCACCAATGAGCCCACAACGAAACAGGCCTTCATCCTCACGAACTTCGCTGACCAGAGCGATAGAGATAGAGAGAGAAATGAGTGGAACGAGATCAGAATAAAACGAAAAGGATAGACAGGTGCCAGACCGAATTAACAAACTGCAGGGTACACGGCTATATCAACCAGGGGGCATGATGATCTTTTTATGAAAATACAACGAACCTTTGGATGTTGGGACGTTTCCCACGCCGGGCGACGTCCCGAAGACCTGGGTCTCGACGGCCCGGGTTGGAGCAGACGCATTTGGTAGAGCTTGCTTTAGGCGCTTCGCATTTTGCGACGCCGGAGTCTCTGTCCTCAGCAAGGAGACGGTAGCGAAGATCCCATCATGAGGACGCAGGCCAACATCAAGCCATCGGAAGCTTATCCATACGCCCGGGTCAGGTTTTGGCCGTGAGGAACTCCCGTATGAGGGAATCACGGAGCTCCGGTCAATGTTGAAGATGGGATGAAACGCCGTCACGGATCATAGTCGCCTTAATGCAATTCGGGGAACTGTGAGAGAGTCCGAGGGTCTAGCCTGCTGAGCGACGGAAGTCTGTGCGGTTATCAATACGGCTTAGATCAAAGGGAAATTATTCATGGCGCATACTGGCAATAGAGTGGCAAGAGAGTGGTTATCGTTGTTGTTGTTGTTGCGGAAAGCCAAGCTAGGTTATTTGATTGTCTGAATGGCCGGCCGGAGTGTCTGCTCAAAGTTTAATGGAGGTCACCAAGTGGTTCGGTTTATGAATCTTTCAATCGGGGATGAACTTACTGTCGAATTGCGACGGCTTATGATAAAAAGCCGGCTCCGAAGAGAGACGCTGGTGGGTTTGCTACGCCGAGGGATTAGAAATCGACTCCGGAGATCGAGGATGACGATCCTCGGCATGCACATGGGTGTAACATCAGGAAACTAGACCGAGCTTCGTTACATAAGATAATATGAGGCTTCCTCTTCCACCACAGCTCCCAGCCACATCACAGGTCTGCAGGAGGTATTCGTTGGCGACATAGCTGCCTTTCCGGCGATTTGTTGCATTCCATCATGCAGAGCAATAACACCTGAGGGCATTTGATTTTAAAACTATCTGGGTAAGACCTATCCGGACACTTGTGCAAGTGTTCCCATTACAGGAGGCATCGCTTTCACTCACCTTTACCCCTCGGTGTCCAATGGTCACGTGCAATCCATATCTGAGTCGGAGAACTGCGACAGTGATAGCTTTCATGAATCCATCTCGTCGAACTGATGACTTGGAGATTTAAAGATTAGACGAACCTTCTTCCGTTCACTCATATTGATACCCAGTGAGCGTCCGCTATTGTCTGACACTGACTAGCTAGGTTTGAGTTTCCTCGATGTCGCTTCATGTGTTGTCAGCACGTGACCTCAAAAAAAGGCTGGTTCAGCCTACAACCCTCGGCGTAATGACTGAAGAGCTATAGAATACAACACTGGCGATGACTGTGGATCGAAATTACATGGTATATCTCTATGCTCTAGATGTGGTGGGCCTAGTATCCTCGGGAATCCCGAACCGAGCGGAGTCTGTGAAATTGACAACTTAACTATGGCCGGGGCACACGCAAGTAAAGTCGGCTTTTGAAGACAACCTGAGGGAGCAATTGGAAATTGATTCAACGTACTACCACGTAGAATAACAAAAGATTAAGGCAGTTATCGAATACAAGACAGCCAGGAAACTAGAGGGTCACGCCGCCAGAGTGCTCAAGGCCAGAGCCCTCCCAAAAATTGTCTTCATCCACATCACTTTCCCCCACTTCTGCACAGATGCTCCGTGTGTCTTCGTCGACTGAGTGAGGATTGTCGGTTGAGACAATAATAGACAAAGCCCCTACTGCCACCGCCAGTCTGTCGAGACTTGGTGCAGCAAGGACATCCAGCGACTGATGCGTTGGTTGCGAAGAGTACGTATTGGAGTCATATCTCTTGCCATCAGATACTTTCTCTCTCAAAGCACGTAGCGCATCCTCTCGGATCTTGGCGATGACCTTGTCGATCAGGTTGTCTCTCTCTGTGGCTTCAGCTGATCCTGCAGCGAAAATGTTGGGGATCGTCCAGTTGGAGTAGACGTTCTTGTGTCCAGAGCGAACTTGAATGCCACCGTTATGCGCGTTGAAATAGTATTCGCAGAGTCGGCAAGTGGGTTTGCTACAACCGATGTATCTGGCATCGTTGAAAAAAGGGACGTGGTGATCCCCGCGATATTCTTGACAAAGATACTGTAAGATCAGAATCTCGCAATGGATGATTGGGGAAAATGTGCTCTTCTGACACTGTCGAGAGATATGTTCATCCAGGCCACAGACTTGAAGTGTTTCGGCATGTTCCAGAATCACGCTGCGTTCTGCCGACTCCGACATCATTCTTCTAATGATGTTCTTCGAGGACCGCTTCTCTTGTTGCTTCTCAACCCTAATATAGTCATGAAGGCTGTCCATGGGGTTTGGCATAGGCTTGCTAGATGGAAGCCAAAGGACTTCGAAGTTTTCAAACAGGCCTGGGTGTAGCCGTCGTCGGCCGGAGAGGATGGCCCGAACAGCACCGTGATACGAGGAAAGCCGTCCGATGAAGTGTTGTAGCTCAAACCAGCGCTCAGACTCATCAAATCGCCCCTCTCTGGTCCTTTCTATAACCGATTCGTACATTGGACTTTTGCGGAAGGCGTTTGCAGCCAGGACTAAACGTTCAGAGTTGCGAGCAACTGGAACAGATTGAGTGACCAACTTAGCATTACTCTCAGGAAAGGGAGGCTTAGACCTGACTCACCTTCTTCATTGTCATCTAAAGGCTCCATGACCTCAGTCAAAGTTTGGAGGTATTCGAGTTCGTAAAGCAGAGGATCCCCTAGGCGAGAAAATCACATGTTAGTCTACGACTTGATCACGATAGACGTAACTTTGATGAGTTGCATAAATACCTGGTTGAGAGGATGTGGCCTTCAAGTTTTCAACGCATTGGTTGAGTCGTTGATTGAGACGTGATATGTAGAGGGAGACACGTTCCGCATGGAAGAGTAGTATGTTGTGGAGAAGCTGGCGAAACACGGGGGATCTGTCATCATCTCGAACATCGAAGCGTTCCGGCACAGCCATATTGTCAAGGAGTTGACTGATGACCGTCCTGGAAGACTCAGCATCCTCTGGGCTTCGTTGATTCGATGCAAAGATGTATTGCATCTTGTCAGGCTTTTGGATGATGGCAAGGGATGTCACTGTGGAACCGTAAGGTCGGTTATCACAGATTTGTGCCAGCTTGTTGATGAAAAACTCCAGGGTTGTGCGGGAACTGCTACCTGGCTCGCCCGTCTCGCTAGGTGTTCGATATTGGCCACTTCCCGGGCGTTTACAAGCTTCGATAAGACCACAAAGCAGAACCAATGCTTCGTACAATCTAGTCAATCTATTTCGAAGACTAAAAGTGAGGACACCGATGCCCTTCACGTCCACGGTTCCTTCGGTGTCAAAGTATCAGTGCGCTACTCTTGAGTTACTCTTGGGGGGGGGGGGGTTATGTTCTCATCTCTCACGTTGTTCCCTGAGGCGACGAGTCTGGTTCGCCAAGATGGGTTCGTCTCTAGCCATCATGTGTAGGTCTCGTATTGTGCGGTGTTGGCAATGATTGCAACCATGAGCTGGTAACAGTCTTTCGGGAAAACTTGAGATCTGAAATTTGAAAGAACTGGACGAGGAAACTCGATTACTTTCATGTATGAGAGCCCAATCCGCCTCCGAATTCGTGACCTTGGGTTGCATAAAGCAAGGCAGAAATCATTGGAAGCACTGAACCCGCTGGGATTGCAAACACATCCAATCGCACCCCCGTCGTCGAGGCGCTATGTCCGATTCACGCCATGTTGATGCGGAAAGACATCGCCAATGTTGGATCAGCGGTGTCCTCCGACCACTCAGCTCGATTGCCGGCCACACTCGAGGTCGCCCTGTCTGCCCCCAAGCCACCCCAAACTAAAAACCCCATTGCTTCGCATGCATTTTTATTGGCTCCAGCTGTGTTGGCAAGAGACTAATGCCCAGCTAATGCCCGGGGCCGACCGCTCAGGCTTGCCAAGTCGTGTGACACAATCACTGGCAAATGGGGATGAGATGAATATCAGCGGAGGTTTGAATCTATATTTGCATATGCCGGACAAGAAAATTTGGATATCTGCACACAGACTGAAAATCACCCCAGGCAGAGGTCTACGTCAAGTGCCCTGCATCGTTTGTTTCATACATCTCCTTAGGTAGAGTATCTGTCGTTGGCTAATACGCGCACTTTTGGTCGCCGGTTGGGTCACCAGCGAATACATTTGAAGACCAATAGACTCAATGGAAAGAGAAAAGGGATAAAATTTTACTCAGCAATTTTATTATGTATATTATGTGCGTCTCGCCCTGACCCTTACAATCTGCGCACCTGGCATTTCTCTTCTTCTCAGGGCTCCAAGGCATCCACATCATCCTCGTGAAGAGCTTTTTGATGCGATTCCGAGTCAACAGATCCAAAGAATTCTTTGTTCCGACAAACACGGACTTCTGTGTGCTATTATCCAGCTCAGTCTAGGTGGGTGATACAAGGACTCGGGTAGATTTATGCAGGAGGCCATTGCTAGGGAGCTGACTGACGAGGCCAGATTTCTCTTTCCTTGTGGGAGTTCCTTGTGCGAGTAGGTCATACAACTTGTCATTGAAGGTGTGCAGAGCTGTAAGTCTCTCTTCGTGGTAGCTTTGGTCAGGGGCACGCATAGCTGATCACGTCGTGTCCAAGTACCTAGCATCGGCTCGGCTCTTGGGTTGAGCATTTTGCAGAGAATGCAGCAGGATGACCAGGGTTACAACCCGTATGGGTACGACTTGTCCTGGGAAGGTGATCCAGGGGCCTACACTGTCGAAGACGAGAGCTTTTTGAATGACAGCAACTCGCCTACTCAAGGCACAGGCCATCACTTCGATATCTCGCTCTCGACCGGGCCGAGTGCTGACATCCAGCCTTACATGCTTCCTGGCTACGCTTCCGGAACCACGCCGTCAGGACAGTAGGCTCCTGAAAGTGGATGGTCGCCAAACGAGACTTATCATCCCGTCCAGCGACAATCAGAGGTTCCAGAAGGGTGGACTTTACCTGAACAAGAGGCAATGGAATTGGCTGTACAAGTAATGCAGGAAAACAAGCATACCTGCGACTACTGTGGGAGGGGGTTCCCTCAACAGGGCAAGCTTAGGTAGGTCATGGACTACCCAAAATATGTTGACGATGTGAAGCAGACTGAAGCTAATGTTGATCCAGAAAACATCGGAATTACCATACCAAGCCGGTCAAATGCCAGATTCACATGCCGAGAGCCATCCCTGACCGTTGCCCTGCGCGGTTTGCCGACAAGAGGGATCTCGAGAGACACCATAATACCACTCATCTGAGGATTGATGGGGGATATGAGTGTCCGGACTGCGGAACAAAGCTTGAAAGATCGGACCATCTTTCGCGTCACTTGAAAAAGCCATGCAAAAAGACTAGGGTCGGTCGTTAGGTCACATGGGAGACTGTTGGATGTAGACCATCTGCGGCTTGTCCTATTTCATGCCTTTCTGATTTCGACTTCATTCCTCAGTTATGCTCGGCCCGAGTCGCTGGTTCATTCTTTTCAACGAATCTCCCGGAAGCAGTCCCGGCAACTTTCCCTCACAACCACGGTCGTTTATCAAAGTCAAGTACATGGTTACACCTTCGCATATTTACTCTTGTAGTCGTCAAAACTCTATAGATTGTTTCGAAAACATTCAATAAGCCACTCAATATTCTTGATTCCTTCTGCATGGTGTTCCTCCTGATCCAATCATTTGCGTCGACAGAGTGGTAGGAAAGCATGATGTCTGACCGTGGCTCTGTTTGCGCCAAGACGCATTTCGACGGGCTTGCCCTCGATCCGGGCCTTTGGAAGATCGAGCTAGCAACAACGTTAATCTAGCTAATAATAGCGCTAAGATAGCCGCGAGCGGACAAACGCATGGTATGATGCGCATGATTTCTGGCAGTGATCATGATCACCTACTGGACAGAGCCGAGAGCGGAAAGATGGTGTCTCAGAAGGTATGAGTTCATTGGTCGTGTAGGAATGCCAACCCGCATCGTCAGATGAGCGCCGAGAACCCCAGACGCCAGCCGCAAACGGATGTGTACAAGTAAACAGAGGTGGCTTTTGATGTAATTGAATGTGGCAAAATGAAAACATGGTCAACAAATCACCGAGATCATGCATTCCAATGTTGAGCATCTTAAATAGAGTGGGAGGTCCCTGAAAGTCTTGAATTCAGCCGCTCTATCGTGTCACAGATTCCTCGATCAAATATTCAAGATGAAGTGGACCGCTTCCCTCACACTTGCACTCGCCGCGTTGCGGCAGGTTGACGCTACAAACTCAACATCATGCACCCCGCGGTTGATTAGCTATTGGATCCGCGCCAATGCCTCTATCGCGACCGTGGAGTCGGTTGATGCGGGCAACGGCTTCTCCGAAGAGGGCAACCTCGCCTTCCCCGGTAACGTCACAAACCTGCCCAGTCTCTGCGCCGTGAGCTTCATTGGCAAGACAGCAGAGGGAAACGAATACAAGTTTGCCATGTTCCTCCCAGACGACTGGAACAACAAGATTCTCACTGTAGGCAACGATGGCTTTTCGGGAGGCGTCAATGCTCCGGCCATGGCTGTGGGTGTCAAGTACGGCTTCGTTACCCTCTCCACCGACGCCGGACACAACTCTACTGCGAATAACCTCACCTGGGCGCTGAACAACACCGACGCCAAGCTGGACTACGGTCACAGAGCGCTGCATGACTCTATCGCGCTGACTCAGATTGTCGTCGACAAGTACTATGGGCTGTCTGCGAAAGCGTCCTACTTCTCCGGCACATCAGATGGTGGTCGACAGGGTCTGAAGGCCGCCGAGCTGTACCCGCGGGACTTCTCGGCGCTCTTGATCGGTGCCCCGGCCTGGTGGCAGAGCCATCTGCAAAGCTGGAGGATCGCGCTGGGCATCGCTAACCTGCCCACCGACGACGCAAAACACATCACCGCCGACAAGTTCACCGTGATTGGCGATGCCGTCAAGAAACAGTGCGACGCTGTGGATGGAGTCGAGGACGGTATCGTCAGCGACCCCGCCAATTGCACCGTCAACTTCGACCTCTTCACCTGCGGTAAAGATGGCGTCGACGCCACAGCCTGCTTGTCTGCGGAACAGATCACCGTCGCGCAGGCACTGTACGCCGACTACAAAGTCAACGACGAGACCGTCTTCCCTGGTGTCAACCCCTCGTCCGAGTACGGTTGGGATTCGCTGTTGGGCGGCGGTAACGGTTCGGAGCCGAACGACGTGGCAGTCAGCTACATGAAGTACTTCCTCTTCGACGACGAGGAGTGGGCATGGTCAAGCTACAACGACACTGTCCCCGCGTACGCCAACGCCACGAACCCCGGCGACCTCGACGTCAACACCTTCAACCTGACCAAGTTCTCAAGCCTGGGTGGCAAGATCATCATGTACCACGGCCTGTCTGACGCCGATGTCCCATCCAAGGCGTCGCAGGTCTACTACGACAAGGTTGTCGCGCAGTCCGGCGGCGACGTCGACGCTGTCCGCGCTTGGTTCCGTCTCTTCTTCCTGCCCGGGCTGGGCCACAAGAACACGACCGTTGACGCGCCTTGGTACATTGCCGGACCGGGCCAGGCCGAACAGCTCGGCAGCGGCGGCAACTACTCGGTTCCGGGCTACTCCGATGCGACCCACGATGCGCTGCTTGCGCTCCAGCAGTGGGTTGAGGGTGGCGCCGGGCCGGACTCGCTCATCGCGACGACGTGGAAGAACGCGACTGACCCGACCACTGATGTGCTCAGGCAGAGGCCAATTTGCCCGTACCCATCAACGCAAAAGTTCACCAGCGGTGGTGATGAGACGAAGCCCGACAGCTTCACGTGCTAGGCAGATGGTTGGGCACCTCACCAGAAGGGACGGCTTATCACCAGCTGGATTTGAAGTGTGAAAAAGATGGCGGGCAGCGATTGCTGCCGGAAGCGGCGAAAGGGGGGTGTAGTACTGCATAACAGCAATAATGTTTAATATGATATCGTTGTTCATTCCCTACATGCACGTGATAGATGAATAAATCTGCTGCGAATTATCCCACGTGATCCCGCGCGAGTTTGCTGACAACGCAACCAGCGAGACGCGTCGCCACCTTGCAAGTATCAAGTCATGGGTGAGGAGGGGCATCAATCCTTACCATTACCAGCATTGCTTGAATCATCCCAGCCGCAGTACCAATCTTTGACAGGCACGCCATTGACGAAGAAGACATGCTTTTTTCGATAGTCACATCCGTTTTCCATCACGCTTTCCATTCGGCGCTACCCCTCAAATCACGATGACGACATCGACGACGTCTCCGCCCCTCGACGAGCTGCCGGAAGATCTCCATGAGGCGTCAGAGCATGGGACACTCAAGTACTCACTCCTGGGTCCTTCTCTTACCAAGGCCGGGCAGGATACCGTCGATCAGTCCAAGGTACATCTCCAGCCCGTCCTCGGGCGGGGTGACGTCTCGCTAAGATTATGTTCCATCAGGTATCCGAGATCATCTACAATGCCTCGAAAGGATCAAAGTTCTTCAACCGCGAAGAAGAGCGTGACAAGACCTTGACGAAGAAGATTGAACACATCCTCGAAAAGAAACGCCAGCTCGAGAAGCAAGATCTCAGTCGAGAGCTTCGCCTCGCGGACCAACTGATCACACAACTGGAGATGTCTCGAGACCTGACGCAATACATCGTGCACGTCGACTGCGATGCATTCTACGCTGCTGTAGAGCTGCTTGACCGGCCCGAACTCAAAGATATCCCATTTGCTGTTGGGGGCGGTGTTCTGACGACGTGTAATTACGTCGCGCGGAAGTATGGATGTCGGAGTGGTATGGCTGGGTTCGTCGCTAAGAAGCTGTGCCCTGAACTGGTGTTGCTCAAGCTCAACTTTGAGAAGTACACGGCCAAGGCACATGAGGTTCGCGAGATTTTGGTTGAATATGATCCTCGATTCGAGAGTGCGAGCATTGACGAAGCGTATCTGAACATAACGGAATATTGCACGAATAAGGGCATCGGGCCTGCCGAAGCCGTGGAACAGATGCGTCGGGAGGTCCACGAGAGAACCAAAATCACCGTCTCGGCGGGCATTGCAGCCAATGCGAAGCTTGCAAAGATCTGTTCAAACATGAATAAGCCCAATGGCCAGTTCGTTCTGCCAAATGACCGGGGAGAGATCTTGCGTTTCATGGCCAAGCTTCCGCCTAGAAAGGTCAATGGCGTTGGTCGCGTACTTGAGCGACAGTTGGCCGAGATTGGTATCAAGGCTTGCGCGGACATCTACCCGTACCGCCAGTTCCTCCGACCTCTCTTTGGCGACAAGGCCTACGAATTCCTGATCAATGTCCATCTCGGCTTGGGACGCACCAAGATCCAACCTGCGGAGGAGTATGAGAGGAAGAGTGTTGGCACCGAGAGTACTTTCAGGGATATGTCTGATCCCCAGCAGTTCAGAGAAAAACTGAAGTGGACGGCGGAGGAATTGGAAAAGGACATGAAGAGGGCAGAAGTCAAAGGTCGCACGCTGGTTCTCAAGGTGAAGCTTCACACATATGAAGTCTTCACGCGGCAGATCGTGCTCCCGAGAGCAATTTGCCTGGCCGACGACCTCTATCACTTCTCTGTCCCCATCCTGTCAAAGCTGGAGGAGGAAATGCCGGGTATGATGCTGCGCCTGATGGGCCTACGATGCACACATCTCGTAAGCACGAAGAAACCAGACACGATGGCCTTTTTTGGGTTTCGATCGCGGAGGCCTGAGTCAGCGGCATTGCCCGACAAGACTCTCAAGCCCATGCACTATGGAGCCAGTGATGAACTGGACGACGACGGTTGGGAGCAGTGGCCTGAAGACGAATTGCTACCCCTCGGTGATCATCATGAGAACCAAGCAGTGGACCACGAGAGCGATGGCACCCATACCGACAGCGGCCCAAGCCCAGCTAGAAGGCATGGCAAGGAGATCCTGCCGAATCCTGTGCCTAAATACGCACCCATCAACGATGAGATGTGGGACTGTCCAATCTGCAATCGCCCACAAGCGCCGGACGAACGGCAGTTCAACGAGCATATCGACCTCTGCCTCTCAAGACAGACCATCCGCGAAGCCGTGCACGAGGACACATCCCCTGCGCCGCCTTCGAGGTCGACCACACCAGACATAAAGAAGGCCAAGGTCGGTGGAGAGAAGAAACGCGGCAGGCCGCCAGCAAGACCGCCAAGTGACGACCCACGGCAGAAGAAGCTTTGTTTTGGATGAACTGGAATGATAACCCGAACTAGATGATACCCGTAATATTACATGATTTCAATAGCTCTGCAGGGACGTGGAGACGCCGCCCTCGTCACCCCGCCTTTGTCGTCCATGAGTCAATCCTGCTATCCAAGACGGCGGCTCGTTTTTTTCCTTGTTTGGCAGCTTTCTTATTGACCTTGTCTGCGAGAGTTACTCACAGACAGCCAACTCTGAATACAAGCGTTGCAAAAGGCCGGAAGTCCAAGTGGCAAAAGCCGGCGAACATTTCGCTTCAGCGACCTGCAGGGTTCATGTACGCACTAGTTAGCGTGCGATGAGGACGCCACGGCTTTCTTAGCCTCCAAACGCTTGGAGCCTTGGTGACCCAATGAAGCAGGGGACTGAGAGACAGAGCCGATGAGACTTTTCAGTCCATACGTTGGATTCCTCACGGACCAACAGGAGTGATCTTGCTTTCTGGATAGATTCATTCTCTTTTCGTACGCCTCCGGGAGAATAAGCATCCAAAATTTCAGATGTCAGATTCTGTGCGTCTATCGCGTGCCTCCATTCTTTCTTCGAATGCGACCGGCGTGTGTTAGTCAGAAGGCGTGCTGTTGCATTTTATCTGGCCGTGCCGGAAGACGGCTCAACGCCTCGCTCTCATGATGGCTCCTTGCAGCGCCCTCTTTTCGACCAAGTATCACTGCGGCAGCGTTGTAATCATCAAAATGGCGTCGCCCGAAGAAAAGAAACATCAAATCCAACTCCGGACCAGCTGCAAAGCCGCAAAAAGAAAGAGTGTTCCTAAGCCACGTGTCGAGGTTCGTGGTGAGGGTGTAGAGCAGCCACATGTATCAAAGAGCGACCAATACCTCCCTTCTGGGTCAGTCAGTCGGTCGGTCGGTCGCCCCCGCTTGCATCGTATCGGATTTTAGAAAACAGAAGCTTCTGTCTCATCATTTCTCCCTGCGCTCGTTCCTCGGCAGGGTCAAGACTCAGCACATATCGGGGGTTCTAGTCATGGGCCAGACTTTACGCAGCTGGTCAGGGCCCTCCCACATCAAGTCATCTCCGCAGCCGATGTCTCATTCTTGTTCACCAGCGACAGCCTCATGGGCAAGAGAACCGTGCGTTGGTGTCATCTCAGATAAAGCAATATTTTTCTCTTGACAGGCCCCATTCAGCGATTCATGAATCCACGCACTATCCAAAGCCCGGATGAATCGCTCAGGGATCTGCGATGACGCTTCATCTTGCGAATCCTACTCTGTTCAGCTTCCTGGCTGAATCGCCAGGCGACATGAACCCCACAGCGACCAAACAAGACGTTACCCATCATGGCTCAGCTCGACCAAAGCCCGGTTCCTGGCTAATTAGCGTCCGGAAGAGAGGCGTCCCTTGACGCTAGCGCCAGCGACCTGCTTTTGCAAGCAAAGCTTCCGCAACCGACGGTCCACTCTGGAGCCCGTCGTCTTGAACCGCGACTAGTAATTACTTGCTGCCTCCCTCTTCAACCGAGGGCGGCGCCTCTGAGATGAGGCAGCCGCGGTCCCTTGCGTTGCAGTTTCACTTCAACGGCCCACCAGCTCGGGCAACGGACGGAACTTGGCGTTCAACTCGTCTTCGAATTCTCCCTGCGTTGAAAAGACTTTCGAGATGTGATCGACATTTGAGGGCCAGCGCTATTGTTGACGTATACAGCGATCTGCACAACGGTGAGCCGGCCTCTCCTCCGTGTTTGGTTTACCTCGAAAAAGCACGATGAGTGCGCCCACAGCCTTCAGAGAAATTTCTGGCTGGTGAATCACGGGTGACTGGGATTACATTCTCGCATTCCTCTGGGCACCTCGTTTTCCGGCCCCATCTGCACTCCCGCATATAATCAGGTCAATCCTCGGATTTTGAGCATGCCGAATCTCTAGCCCTATTCTTCCCGCTCTTTTCTGCTCGCCAGCCGGCGGCTTCACACAAATATATCAGAGCTTCCTTAAGTCAACGACATAGATTGTTCACCATGGAGTCGAGGGCAGAGGCGACACCTACGACAACTGCCGCAGCAGCGGCGCCTGCGTTCAACACGGCGCCAGTTGCGGTCTTTTGGCTTGCTTGGGGTGGGTTCTGGACAGTGCTTTTGCTCTGCGGGATGGCATTCCTCTTTGTCAACCGCAAAATGCCCTTCCTAAGGATCCGCGGTCTGGCTTTGTCGTTTGGTGCCGTCATCATGCTCCATCTTTACTGGCTGTCGGTGCAGATCGGGCTTGCCATCGGCCAGTTCGTTCCCAATAGCGCGGAATTCTGGGTGATGGGCCTCTACCTCCCCTTCGGCATTGCTCTTTTCCACGCTTCCAACAGCCGGTTCCTCCACATCGCCAAGGCGCAGCGGAAATATGCAGATAAGCCACTCAGTCAATCCAATCCCCAGTTGGACACCAGTAACGGGCCGGATAAGACCATGACGGGCAAGTTCCGAAAGCTCGATTACACCACCAAGATGCTAGCCGTCGTGTGCACGGGCATGCTTGTCCAAGTAAGTGATGCAGGCTAGGCTCAGTCGACGGCTGCATGTTTGACGGTTGACACATTACTGACGTGCTATATCATCAGCTACTTCTGACAGTAGTCATGTATCTTGTCTCACGCAAATATCACCCCTGGTTCGGTGTTCCCGGCACCGAAGTTACGGGAACCCCCGCGCAGCAACAGGTCGAGATGGGTAGAGGTTGGGAATGGTGGCCTTCCGTGTTTTGGCAGTTCCTTTGGGCTTGGCTGGTCGCACCGGTGATTCTCTGGAAATCGCGTGGAATCAAGGACACACAAGGGTGGCGTTTGCAGACCATTGCATGCTCTATCGCAAGGTGAGTTGAAGTCCAGCTTCGCGCTTTGCCGCTTCTCCGTGGCAAACCCCCCGAGCCAACACTAATGACTTCAGCCTTCACGCTACCCCTATGTGGCTTGTCGCCTTGTACGTCCCAGCGATGGCGCCCGTCAATACATACTTTATCCCCCCGCAGTGGTATGTTATATGAAGCACGCATAGACACTTTCTTCTCTTCAAGCTTGATATTGACTAACTGGAAGGATCTGTCTCTCCATAACTTTTATCGAAATCTTTGCCATCTTCATTCCCTGTTGGCAAGTCATCAAACACAAAACCCTGCAACAGGAAACACTCGACTCTATCGCTGTTTGGGAAGCCAAGAACAAGGCTCGCAACGGAAGAGACTCTGTCATCACTGGTTCCACCAATCTTGGCAGCCAAGGCTCCGTCAGTTGGAAATCGCTCGCACAGCTCGAGAAAGATACCAGCCAAGCGGAAAGCGTCTACACCATGGGGGCCCTCGAGTATGTCTTGGACAAGAACCCTGAGCCCCTTCGCAAGTTCTCGGCCCTCAGAGATTTCTCCGGCGAGAACATTGCCTTCCTATCAGCTGTATCCGACTGGAAGTCATCAATCCCCCAGACGCCCGGATCGTCTCAACGGTCACCCGAGATGACACGGGAACGATTCAACCGTGCCCTGCGCATCTACACCGAGTTCATCAGCCCCTGCCACGCCGAGTTTCAGATCAACATTGCGTCACAGGATCTGAAGAGCTTAGAAGGCGTCTTTGAAGGTGCGGCCAGAGTTCTGTACGGAGACCGGACGGAACGGTTTATCGACCCTGTGGTACCATTCGAGGATGACACCTGGGGTGGACCCGAGTCAACAGCCGGTGGCTCGGAGATGAGTTGCGTATCTCGGGATGGCAGTGGGGATCCGATTGCGGATCGGGTGCAGTACTGGGGTGAGATCCCCGAGGCATTCAATGCTGGCGTCTTTGACAATGCGGAGTCGAGCATCAAGTACCTCGTCCTCACAAACACATGGCCCAAGTTCGTCAAGGAGAGGCGGTACTCGTTGGACTCTGAGGATTCCGGGGAGACGGTCGAGACGTGCCAGTCATCGTCAACCTTGTCTTCACGGGTCAAGAAGTACTTTCGCACCATGAAGGTTGTGGTATAGGCTTGGAAAATCAAGAGGCTAGGCAAGGCATTGGTTGTTTCTTTTCTTTCTCCTCCTGCGATGATATCCCGGTTTGCCTGAAATTCATATACTAATTTGTAATATACTCACGCGAAAAAGCCAATAACATAAATCTCAGAGTTGTTCTTAAGCAGCCAAAAAGAAATCCCATCGAGATGTAGAGTATCTACTAGAGAAGTTGAGACAAATCGTGATTTTGACCTGTACCCTGTATTTATCCCTGCAGTCTTAGAAATTGGAAATCCATGAAACCAAACTCCATTGACCACGCGTGCCTTTGTCCCCTTCCACGATGTAGGCTACTAAAACAGAGCCATGTGGCAAACGTTGAGATCCGGGATTGTCACACCACGGGCCAGGGCACGAACAAAGGCGAAGCGGGCGTTTGTTGGGTGCACTCAACTGTGGACGCGAGTGTCTGGATCGATGATGATTGTGTCGCTGCGGGGAATGCTGCCACTGCGGGGAAGCCATGATATAAGCTTTAAACTTTTGGCTGGAACCGGATCAGGTTAAATGGATACAGAGCAAGGCTTCGGTTGGTACTTGTCCTCATTAAAGATGCGCACATTTTTCCCACCTCCATGCAGTCTGGACCTTGTACCCTTCTTCTGTAGCTATAGTACGGGTAGGCAAATCATAATTAAGCGTTTGAACTTTGTTCTCCTTTCTTTGGTGCGGAGAAACACGTCTCAATATTCGTTTAGGCCATCCCATGTCTGCACGACTGCAGGGCCAACTCGGACCAGGGTATTGGAATGCCTGTCGATAACTGTTCTATATAATCGGGTGAAAGCTGGCGGACAGATAGATAATGCCGACGGCCCGGCGGTTGCCATCCTGCAGCGGCTGGGATGGCTGCATGGATTCATTGCAAACATGAGGCGAAGCATTTTCTACCATATTTGTTAGTGTTCAATGGGAGTCTCTTCTTCATAATTAATCATCCGGTCTATCTGCCATCAGTCAACTGGGTCAACTCAAATAATATAGGGGGCGCGTCTGGGTTATCTGGAGATGAGCTGTTGTATCCTGGTCCGCTGAGGATTCCACATCCTGGATGTTACTGGGCGGAATTGCTTCATATTACCTTCTGCAATAACACTCTTCTGACGAAGTAGTCATATAGATGAATGTTAGTAAAGAGGAATGTTGTGACTACTGTCGGAGATTCCCAATAGTACTCTGGGGTCGTTACTGGAGACCTTCCCCGGCCGTCGTCACGAGCCCGGAGGCCGGTGATACCACAGGTGGGTACCCCGCCAGCGCCGAGACCGACCCGGATGCCGCGGCGACCCGCTATATCTCTCTATGGCAATGTCAATGCTCACTCCCGTAGCTCGGTAAGGAAGCCACTGAGAGCACGTACTTTCATCTGAAGCTTGCCAGACGGGTTCCGCGCGGCCCAAGAGACGTCACTTTCAAGGTACAAAACATCGACAACGCGGCTTTGATTAATGTTGATGTGTTTCTCTGATTGCATCCTTCAATATTTCACCCCATCGAGGAAGTACCTCAGCATCAACACCATGGCGGGACTAGCCTCGGATGCAGCCATCGTGGCTGCTGTCGCCATCACCCTTCGCCTTCTTTACCTTCGACTGTTGCCCCAGCCAATACCTGGCGGGTTGCCGTATAATGTCGAATCTGCCAAAAGATTTCTTGGAGACGGGCCCTATTTCATCAAGTTGTATAATACGGGCGAATTCTGGCTCAGGTTCTTCCAGGAGTTGCTCACCAAGCATTCCACTCCCATCGCCCAGTTCTTCCCCGGCCCTTTTCGTGGAACGCACGTGGTGATTGGCGATTATCGCGAGGCCCGCGATTTGATGTCAAGGCGGGGCAAGGATCTCAGCCGTGGGGTCAAGAATAATGTAGCGTGGAAGAGTGTGCTTCCGGAGCACTTTATCGCCATGGAAGATTCGCATCCATCGTTCAAGGACGCCAAGTTCCTTACCAAGGATCTGATGACGCCGAGCTTCTTACATGGGGTATCGTAGTTCTTTGTGGCGAATTCACTCCGGGGAGAAGCCGATGCTGACAGAACGTAGGTGTCGGCACCAGCCTCATACAAGATGGTTCGGAATTTCATCGAGCTATGGAAAAGCAAAGCGGTTCTTGCCAACGGCCGACCTTTCGATGCCGAAGCCGATCTCGAGGCCTTCACTTACGATATCATGAATGCTACGGCCTTTGGCATTTCTGTAGACGATAGCTACACTTCGGAACGGCTCCGATCTCTTCCCTCACCCAACGCAAACGAATCGTTAAAGTCTCATCCCTCGCGGCTAGCCGAGTTCCCAAACGTCAATCCCCCAGAACTTCTGACAGCTCTGAATACTCTCAACGTGAGAATCAATGGTGCCTTTCGCGCCCTGGTTCCCCAGCTATTCTTGCTCTACGACAATCATCGGCCAACTACCCACAGAGCATTTCGTTCAAAAAGAACCATCCTCCAATCCCACATTGACTTGTCTGTTGAAAAGCTATCCCATAGCACCTCAAAAGAAGAGTTCGCCTCGGCAGTAGACTATATCGTCTCGCGCGAAAAGGCGGCAGCCGACAGCGCAGGGCGAAAGCCAGTCTTTGACTCGGCACGGATGAACGACATGATCTGGGGCTACCTCGTCGGCGGCCAGGATTCTACGCGCAGCACCCTCTGCTTCACGGCCAAGTACCTCGGCGTCCACCAGGACGTCCAGTGCAAGCTCCGCGAGACGCTACGGCTTGCCTACCCAGATGCGGTGTCCGAGCAGCGAGACCCGTTTATCGATGAGATAATCAAGACGCACATCCCCTACCTCGACGCTTTTATCGAAGAGACGCTGCGCCTGAGCAGTCCCGCTGGGGCCATTACAAAGGAGACGCTGTACGATATGGACATGTTTGGGTACCGCATTCCCAAGGGGACACCGCTCGTGTTTCTGTTGACGGGGCCCACGGTGTCGGAGGCCGGCGCCAAGGTCGACGAAGCCAGGCGCAGCGAAACGTCACAAAAGCTTGCCGACGAAGGCGTTGGGGACTGGGCCCTGACCGACTATCCCCCGGAAGAGTTTCACCCAGAACGCTGGCTGCAACGTGACGAGGACGGCGAGGTCGTGTTCAATAACAGAGCCGGCCCGTTTCTGAGTTTCAGCTACGGCCCGAGGGGGTGCTGGGGCAAGCGGCTGGCGTACATGGAGCTGAAGCTGATTGTTACGCTCTTGGTTTGGAATCTGGAGTTTCTGAGGCTGCCTGCTGACTTGGAGGATGATGGTGTCGTTGAGGGCCTTTTCACGAAGCCCAGATCGTGCCTGGTGAAGCTGAGGAGTGCAACGGCGACGTGGTAAGATTGAATGCATTTTTCGGGTTTTGGGAAATGCCCTGCTGGATCTCAGGGTCATCGGAAAATAAAAGTAGTAGGTAATTGAAATGCTCTTGCAATAATGGAAAGGTCTGCTCAGCGGGACGATGGAGTTCTTAGCCAAGCTAAAGGCTATTACATGCAAACTGGCAATAAATGCACGACTTACGGCGGCATGTGACTGATATTTCAACAAGCTCTGAAGAAATTTTAGACTGATAAAATGACAGAAATCGACGCATTCCCGCTTTTCTCTAAGTGATATTTGCAAAGTTGAAATAACAATATGGGCTCGCCTTCAAGTGAGCCGGTGAGATGCCAATTCAATATGCACGCTTTTCAATCTAGACAAACAGGTAAATCGCCAACTCCCCCTTTACCCAAAGCTTCCCAAGTCTCGATCTACTCAGCCATGTTTGCCCGTGCGGTTGTCATACGTGTATCTCTTGAGAGTTGTTCCAGTTCGGCAAAGTGTTTTTCAAACTCCTCTGCGGACAGTTTGTGCATCCACTCATTCACACTCGCCTCCACCTCGGACCATGTTCCCCCGTAATCGACTTGCTGTGTTTGTTCGTTATCATTGTTCCTTTGATCAGCAAACGCTTTCTCGGCAGCGATGAAAGACTTGGAACAATCTTTCCCCGCAGGGTCACTGAGGAAATCCATGGCGCTTCGTATGCTTCTCGCGATAATCTCAATGTTTTCTTTAGTGGTCTCCGCTAGCATCAAACAACAGTCAGGAGTGAATCGTATATGAGGCATCAGGTTGCGGCCGAAACTTACACTGCGACCCGAAACCGGGATGGCGATCCCCAAATAGCGACCTCCATATGTTTGAGGTGCATGTGATGCGGTGATCGTTGTGTAGCTCCTCTAGTCGTGGACGCCGTATATTAAGTACGCTGATGATATCGACAAAACGAACCCAAGACTCGGCGGTGAGTCGAAACAGGGGGTTCTCCTCTAGCAATTGCGTTGTCTGCAGCGATTGATCAACTTTCAACGCTGTGGCATGCATGCTGCGTTGATCGTCAATGTGGACATGGAAGCGCCACGTGTGTTGTCTACATGTATCATCCACTGTCAGCGACCTCTCCAGAATTGATCAAGGGGATGGCGGGGGAGACGGTGGAGGCTCACGTACTTCAAGTCGCAAGCGCGCTTAAACTTGGATGAGCAACACTTTGCGGGTGCGGTGGAACCGAACTCGACAAAATACGCACAGATTAAGAATCCCGCCGTCTTCTTGGCGCCTTGCACTGCATCGCCCTTTGAGGTATCGGTCGGGGGGGTTGTGAGAGATTGCCCAAGAGCACTCTTCGAATCCTCTCGCGAGGTGGACGGCGCTGTGGAGGCGCTGAGGCGGGCAATATGACCGGTGGTGGAAGGCCCTTCTGTTCCTTTAGAATGCGGGGGGGACTGAGTCTGGAAACCACCTCACGTTAGTTTTGTGCGCTCACTGACGTTGGTAGACTGGCTGGACTTACGTTGTATGGATGATCCAAAGTCTCCCTTATTCGTGCTTGTCGACCGGCCTCTGTACTTTGCCCGGTGGCACGGAAGCTCTCAAGAGGGTCTCTCGAGGAGACAAACGCTTCTGAGCGGCGGGTCAACTGCAAGTAGCGGCATTAGCAGCGATGCTGTATGGAGGGCATCCCTGCGTCGGGAGTCCCCATTCCATGGTATGGGGGCCCGTGATGAACGTGCGGGAATGCCATAAGCTTCGGCGAGAGTGTGGAGAAAGAAGGGATGACGGACGGGTGATCAGAGCTTGGATTGCATGCGGCGTAAATACCAGACATGCTGGGAATAAGTATCTGAAAGGCATCCACTAGACTCACTTGTTCTATGTCGCCTTGTCCATGATCTTCGGAAGACATGTTGCAGCTCACATTCGACTCTCCGCGGTCGTTGGCATGGTTCGCCATCGGTTCTCGATGTTGGGTATATAAGAAGGGGAAAGATGAATCCATCTTGGCCCCTTCGACCTTGAGCGCGGGTAGAAGTAGAGCAGCTTGTAATAGTTGCCGACGCCCCTACACAAGTTGCCGCAGCGTATTTCGGACTCGACTTTCGGGTTGGGTGCGAGGGTGGCCAGACTGCACTGCCCTTGGCCTTGGCATTGATGTGCTGTGCTCTTTTCTCCACGACTTTTGTCCGCGACTTTTCTCCATGATTTTTGCGTCCAACACACTCACCTCTCCCAAGAGCTTACCTACTCGCCTGAGCTACCCTACCCGATACCGATTTGCTCCGCTTAAGAGGTGAACCTGGCTTTGTAGACACCCACTGCGAAAGCAGCGCCTGTACCGGAGCCATCCGTCAGCCTCCGTACCTTGCATTCAGCAATTCAGTCCCCCTGTCAGCAGTCGGCCGTGGGCACATGTAAGCTGGAGCTAGCGAGACGTCCCTGTCACTCATTGGCTGTGGACATATCGAAGCTACCCCTAGCGAGGACATGCCCGAAGAAGACGCCCCGTTATTACCAGCAGAGCTCCGTGGTAGTAGACAGTACGGATATGCACTGCCTCTTTTCCTCCACGGCTCGAAGGTCTCGCGGTCCGCCTCAAGTTGAGTCTGGTCCCTGCTCTGCCCAATCTTGGCTGCGACGGAGACGACTAACGTACAAACGCATCCGTACGGACGTAAATCTTGTTCTCAAATCCTCCAGCACGAGGTACGGTGCACCATTAGAGTCCCGGTGTGTCCCGGTGTCCAGCACTCGCTGCTCCGATACAATGCCGACCCGGTCTATCGCTAGTTCACGAACGCGCACCGGCGCACCAGCTTCCACCACCACACCGTAGACTGACCCATCCCAGATTTCGACTGTATTTCGTCATTTGATGCTATCAAGACGCTCAACACCCTATTTCCCAACTTTACTGTACAAACGCCGTCAGCGCGGTGGCTCGCCCTCAAACGTTCTGATGGTGGCTTGGTTGGCGGGTGTCGTGGACAAAGCGTCAGTCTCGAGCTGGGAGTTTTCATTGCGCTGAACAGATGCGCGCCTCCGCGCTCTCTTGATGGTTCCGCGCATTTCCATCATCTGACTCCTGGCCAACATGAAATATCGCAACTTAGCAGAACATCTTGTTCCCGGCGTCGGCGTCATTGGATACTTCACACCCCGATATCGCGGACTCAGTATTACGTCTAGACTTATCGTCCTCTATTCTGTGGATTTGTCCACCAAACCGCCACCGTGGACTTTTCTGCGCCGTTGCGCACGCATCGTGATCACTGGCCCGGGAAAGATGCTCCTGACACTATGAAATGCGGTGGATGGATTGTTATAAAGTCCCTGGATATCTCTTGGAGGATCTTGATGGAAGAAGAAACAGTCTACACACCAGACACCAAACATCAAACACTAATCACTTTGCACAATAATCAGAAAACCTGAAATCATGGCTCATCCATCCTGTCTCGTTCTGAACAAGTCTTCCTCGTCAACTCGCCCGAGTGCGGACATCTTGTCAATGGCCAACTATCAAGATGCTCAAGAGCTCGTAGAGGCTGTCAAGGGCACGCTCAAAGAGAACACCAGCGCAACCAAACGCTTTCTCAACGCCTACCTTCTGTTCCGCAAACCAACCGTTTCGATCGCCACTCTTCGTCCCGTAAGTTCTCGCCCGTCCCACATGCAGTTTTGCTACCTTGATCGCTAACTACAATCAGATCGAGGTTCCCAGTCTCACGGCACTCCCTCCCTGGAAGGCTTTGATTCGACACACCGCCATCGACGAAGCTTTTACTGAAGCAGTAGACAAGCCAGAGATGATGGACCAGGGGTTTTACAATCACATGGTTGATCTCTATGATGATGTCTTTGTGGACATTGATCAGCAGAATGATCGCATCGTTCTACCTCAGCACGCGCTGGTCATTGAGTACAAAATGTCCCTCAAGGCCAAGAAAATCATCGGCGGGATGGCTTCGGTCGTTGGGGGGTTGATTGTCATCGCTGTCAAAGTTGGGGAAAGCAACTGAAGGTTGTAGGATTATCATAGAAAGCAATCAGGGAACTTATAGGGTACACAAATTGTAGTTCGACGGCTTCTGGAGGCGGCAAATTCTTTGTTTCAAATTAAATCTTCTCAATCAGCTGCTCACCTACCTTATTTAACGCATTGAAATCATGTAAGGGTGAGCAAGGTGATCGTGTGAGCGTGCTAGCATACTACGTGCACTACTTTTGTAGCTTTCAAACTTACTAGAAAGATTTTGGGTGGCTCGACACATTTGAAATGTAGAGGATGGTAGCGGGAGCAGCTTGTTTAATTTCTGTTTCTATGACTTGAAACAGGAAGCAGTTTACCGGTCATGAGAAATGGCCGGGTATAGTTTACTCCTAGGACCCAGTGCCTAGAAGGGGGCATTTCACAGTTTCAAGGTTATATGTCTGGTTACTGAGTATAAAGCCGGATTCAGGAGACTGAAACCGGCTTCTTTCCTGAATCATAGACATTAGCGGGGAATCTATCCTTCTGAAAGGTCCAACACCTACTTACCCTGAGAGTCCTAAAAATGATAACGCGTATGTGGGGTGTAAACATAACATGAATACTAAGACGCTCTTAGGAGTAATTATTGTCAGTCCTGATGAGAATAGATCATTTGATCTTCTAGATTTGGGATTAAATATACCAGAGGTACTGTGATCGGTTGTCTGCAGATGGTACATCTTTGGATTTCAGCCAAGGTGCGGGTTTTTATCACTAGCGACTATCACCCAGACTTGTAAACGACGAAATCAACGCCAACGACGATTCGGACAACGTATAAACCTCTGCTTGTTTCTTTATTCAATTCAGTCTGATAGACCGTTGAGTTTCTTTTCGTGCTTTCGCCAGGTACTCGAGAAGTTGTGATGTGTTTTTGTTGACAATCCACGACGACGATCCACTCATCACCCAGCCATCAGGTATCTCCGCCTGCAGTGAAGCATCAAGTGTTTTCCCGTACTCAATCTTTGCAGCGCCGACACGAACGTAACTCCCAGAGAGTCCTTCTTCAGAAACCATAACAGCGAAAAGAGCCAAATCAGTGGCGAAGAGTGGCACCATCAGGACACCTCTATCTTGAACTAAACTTGTCACCTCTTCTTTGGACCCTTCCAAGTCCAAATGAGAGCCACTTTCGTCGATATCATCAGTAATACGGATACCGGCTACTTCGAACTCGGAGATTGTATCTCCTGCCCACTCAATGGAGCTCAGCATCAGAGGCACACATTCCAACTCGATTTCGCCCCTAGCTTGAAAAGCTGAAGTACCTACTCTCTCGGACACTGGGTAGGCCAGAATTGTCGCAAAATGTTCAACCACTTTGTCCGAGGCAGGAGGGAAGAATATTTCTCCATCGACAGCCATCCACGACCAACTAGGAGCGCGGTCGGACGTGGTAATTGATGGCCATTCTTCGCTGTCGGTACCGGTACGGTACCATCCAAGATCATAGATCAATGCGTTTTTCCAAGTCCCAGCGATATATTCGTTTCCCGTACATGCTTCCACCATCTTGGCAACACCACTGAAGGCTACAAGCTTATCCGTTTTCTGGGTCAGCTTGCACCGGGAGTATTGGCCAACAACATGGTTCCATGCTTCGCGGAACTGTTGTTTCGCATACTCGCCTCGCGATTGGCTTCCAATGAGTGCTGATAGAATGTCGAATTTGGATTGAGGCAGAAGAATAGAAGGCACTCCCGCGGGAAACATCTCGAGCGCTGTGAGTTCATTACATTCCCAAGCTAATTGTCGCTGTCCGAAATGCAGCACTCTTGGGGCAAGGAAGCGTTCTTGAAGGACCCATGCTCTTTGCATCAAGGGCGTATTCTCCACTTCGTCGTTCCAGATGTCGCCGTCGACAAGCCAGTAGGGGTTCCTCAGTCCGTCAACTTCCATGATGACTTTTGTGGGACAGAAAACATCCCATGGGCGTGGGAGACGTAGAGGGCCGTTCCCCTCATCCCCGAGATGTGAAGCGGAGAGGTTGAGCAAAGAATAAGAATAAACCTTTTGCATAAGCAAGGCCTCGATTTTCCAGTCGGATAGGTCCGGGTCTTGCTTTATGCAGAGAGAGTCAATCCAGAGGTACTGTATTCCAAGACTCCAGGAAAGCGCGATAGAATCTTGAAAGACTCTGGGGAGACTGGAAATATCAACACAAGACTGGAAGTCTTCGATATTGTCTGATGTTAGTTTGTCGTATTTAAAGTCCCCCCAACGATGGCTTAGAGTGATGTAAGAATGAAGTGGCTGAATGTCCTTCGTCAATATAAGCTTTGCACTCCGGCCTTCGTTGCTGATATAAAGCAATCGACTTGGAAACCACTTTTCACGACTTTTGTTCTTGCACTGGTGGTGGTTCTGCGTACAAGAGCTGATCCAACTTTCAATCAGCTCAAGGTCATCGACGTTATGTGTGCCAGGCATCATGGCCAGGTTACTGGGTTCCAAGTATTCTAAAAAGTAGAGATCAGCCATTGTGAGATACAAGCAAAGACGGAGTGCACTGGCAACGTATGCGTACCACCCGGAAGAAGGAGGTTAACTTCAATGAAATGACCGTCTGCGAAATCAGTGTTGGGCGGACAAAGGCTGATGTAGAGGAGCCGGGGATCTACACGATTTTGCGCATCTCGTGTATATTTGCAGTCGAACATGACAAATTGAATCTCTAGAGGTTCTCGTTGCCACAGATCAAAGACTGCCTGATAATCTCGATCCGACTGTAGCCATTGCGATAACTTGGAGCAAATCCAGCATATTTTGGCAGATGATGGACTGTAAGGTGGATATGTGCAATTGCTAGACTCTCGAGGGGTTTCTCCGGGACGCAACCTCTTGATTGAGTCGAGGCAGAGAGTGCATATGGCCATGAGTACTTCGCATGAGTGTCAAGACCCAAGATACCTCTCGTTCGAGTTTCTGTCGATCCTTTGCAAAAGAAAGGAAGAAAGAAGAGAATAGGAAAAGGCCCGGCGGGTGTAGGTGAGGAGTTCATCGATATTTGGCTTTGGAGCGTCTCGGGTCTCAAAACAGATGAGGTGATAGAGGCCCGACAAAAATTCAAGCGGAATAGAACAGGGGCAGTTTTATGTCTTCCGAAATTGGAACATGCAGAACCGAGAACCAACTTATCCGCCCAGTCTGGATTGCAGCGGTTATGTAGTTACAGGGTCAAATGTTAGGCCACGTTTACATTCCGACGAGACCAACAGCAGCATTCAGCCAGTTGTTGATGCATGCTCTGTCACACAAGTGGAGTTCATTTGTGGGTTCATCACCTGAAGTTCAAGAACCAACAAACACAGTTCTTCTCATTTCAGAAGACAATAAACCCATCCTACTAGGTAATAAGCTGCCTCCAAAGATACATCCAGCTGGCCTTCATCGGCCCACTCACCACCCTCTCGCTGCAAATGTCGCAAGCCTAGGGCGGCGGGTGATTAGTTTGCGCTTGAGTCTGGTGTCAAAGTGGTGAATCAGGATAGGCTACACGCAGATATCGTCATTCACAGAGAACTCTCCAATTTGCATGGAGTAAAACATCAACGTATGCTTACTAGGCTTGCCTCTATAATCTGCATACTAAAAAAATACAAGTCGACCCAAAGGAATCAGTTCAATCACACTCTAATTGCCAGGACAGTGCAGTCTCCTTCGTCCGAGGTATATACTCTATAAGACGAGTGCCGTCACCGTCTTGAACAAGGACCTTGTAAGTCGATTGGATATCATCGATGCAATCACTAGCCAGAGACGTGCTCACGATTTGAGCTCCTTCCCACAAGCCCGCTTCAGCTGCCGGCGATTTCGGAATCAGTCCAGTAACAACACGAGAATTAGTGCTGCGTTTGTCGAAGCCGAAGTCCATGATTGGGAGCTGGGCGGGTTTCAGTTTGTTCAATGGCTCTCCCACGAAAAGACCGTCAAAATCAATGACTGTCCGCCCGCGAAGCATGTCTTGGTATTGCTCCTCGATTGGTAAGTCGCCGCTCCCAAGGGACGTCTTTACGGACTCCAACCAGTCGCGGCCGCCGACGGTCTCTCCTTGCCTGTTTCTTTTTGACAAGCCTAGGATGACAGAGTCAAGGGGCCCTGCCGTGGCAAAGTCATACGAGCGAGTGTGTCGTCGTAGGTAGAGATCGAGGAAGAGTAGATATGCGAAGCCGCGCTTATAGGAAATCCATTCCGCGTACCAGTCGTTGAACTTGGCCGTGGCCGCATCGCGAATGTCCATGTTGATTCGGGGGCTGGTGAAATAGCCCTGCAGATGATCGTTGATGGTCTTGATCAAGAAATCCTTCCCTCGAAAGCCAAAGCGGTAGGGTAAGTATGATGAATACAGTTCCGCAACTCCTGGCTTGTGTCAGTCCTCAGATTCATAAAAAAGGATGTAGAATTGACAGAAGGAAATGATGGATACCTTCGATAAACCATTCATTCTCATTTGCCTCCCCTGGATCAATCATGGCAAAGCTGTGGACCATTTCATGGGTGAACAACAGGAGTAGACTGTCGTCTGCCACGTTGATACTCCTGTCATCGTATTCTAACATGTAGCTGGCATCAAAGCCGGTGCCACCATAGCCGACGATAGATTTCCGCATAAACATGCGATACGTCCCACCCGATAAGCCAAAATAATCCTCCATCTTGGGAAACAGGGCAGTGTTATACCCCTTCAACCGGTCCAGGTTGGACGGAAGATCGCCAAACCAGTAACACGCAGATGACGACGCCCCAGCCGAGCTTTGGACTGGGCCCACCATGTACACTGTATTCCGAAGGATGTTTGAGCGGCCGACGCGAACAATCGGCTTGGTACCTTCCCCGTAGCTCCACACACATCGCGTAGACGCCGGCGCGTCGGCCGGCAGGTTCCACTTGACCACGACGGTAAAGAGTTGATCGGCAATCAGCTGCGGCAGAAACCACAGGCCGGCGCCATGGAGACCGCCCTGATCGCGGCGGAGATCGACGCGGGCACCGAGCGGGGTCCGGATATTAACTTTGCGCGGGAAGACGTCGAACTGGAGAATGACGTCGCCTTGGTGTTCCCGGTTGAAGAACCATTGCTGTTTCCTGTCCCGGCCCTCAGGAGGGAGATTGTGAAATCGGATATCTAGGGGACCTGCATCGTCTGTGGAGTTGATGTCTTCCTCTTTGAACGGATGACCGGGAACGTTGGCGGAAAAGCTGTCAAAGGTGAAAACCGGCTCCCCGGCCTTGATGGCTGGTAATTGTAGCCGGAGCAGCACCCCGAGGCTACTCACACCGTCCGCATCGAAGCGGGGTGTGAGCTCGAGCGAATATAGCGGGTGTGGCGGAAGTTGCATCGCGCCTCGTAACAGGTGGATGATTGGACTGTGTGTTGACGTTGATGTAGACTTTACACCATGCGACTAGCAGAGTTATATGTGTTAAGCTTATTCATGACCGACTTAACGCCTGCGAGTTTCCTCGTAACTAGATTCATCTATCAACGTTATTGTTGACGCGGCGCAACTTAAAGTAGAAGGTGAGGCTTTAGCCGGTGGGGATTGCGGGAATAGGGCAAAAAGGCCGCGCGGAATCGGCATAGCCTTTGGCGAGGGGGATCTACATTCATTACAACTCTCATACATGAGCCTCTAATGGAAATGCTTCTTCCGATTATGAAACCCGATCTCATTTTGGGGCGGCGTCTAGTGAAGAAAACCGTCTGGAACCTGCATGTAGACCAGGGCCTCCTCATCACCCTCAAGCCCTTCAAGCCCAGCAAGTTCCAGCTCAGCTTGCGAGGACGGTGTGCCTGTTCTCCAATTTCGATGTGGGCCCCCCCTTCAGACCCTTTCCTCGTCGGCGAATACTCCCAGTCCGCACTACTGATCGGACTGGGCGCCGAGTCTAGCCCAGCCCACTGAGAGGAGCTCACCGACAGGAGCTCAACGAGCCCCCTTGCTCAGCCAGATCGTGCCAACCTAGAACGTACCTTACAGTCTGCAGCAATCGCCGAGTTTTGCAGTTGAGGGCTAAATCATGAAGCCGCAACCTTCTTATTTCCATTGATTTCTAAAAAAACGAAGGGCAAAGACCACAAAATGCATCTCACAAGCGATTTGACCGTGTCTTCACTGCCAGGTTTGCGGTTGGCGAGGGCTGTTTTGTCCAAGCTGCAACGCATCTGTATGGAAGTCGAATGCAGCAGGCTCTGTGTCTGTTTCCGTCCGGAGTCCTAAATGCATGAAGGAGAGGAATGCTGTTGGTTGTGACATGGGTTCCAAATGTAGGGGCGGATACTCTCTCCCAATCGGTAGACTGCTCCGCAGCAGCTGAGGATTTCAGCAAATTCAGTTGTCGGAATCAGGCTGAGAGCACGAAGATGGTGTCTTGCATCGCACCCTTGTAGTGACGTGAGATTTTAGAGGCTCCATCTTCACTGTGGAATTCGTTGATAAATATAGACAGTTTCCGCTGTTGCCCTGCATACATCGAAGCCCTCCTTCGCAAAGCCTGCGTTAATTACTGCCTAAACACGCATCCCACCGTGAGTCCTGTGAGCTGGCATTCTAGAGGCAGCCTGACGCAGTTGATTCAAGAACAGGGGCGCACACTCTGTGCTATGAACTTCGCATTCCCTTCCATGTCTCCTGGATCCTCGTCTAATTCTATTCGTATCTTCCGACCCCACAGAAACATAGATTTCTCTTTGTGAGCGATCTTTGCAGGCTCATGACGTCCACGGCGGACTCCTATAATGGTCAATCCAGGACGCTCCGTCGCTACAGACGACGAACCACTGCAGAACGCTCTGCTGGGGGATGTTGAGCCTCCTTTGGCCCGGAACGTCTCTCCGAGTACGATCGACGCATGCTCTGTAGCTTCGGCGTACGGCCTCTCGGGCGAGATTAATCAAGATCCTGGGTTCAGTATTCGAGGGCAATCGCAATCTCAACTCTATGACAGCTCGACGTCGCCTTTGGCGGGTCGTTCGAAAAAAGTGCATGAAGAAACCTGGGGCGTGGGTAACGACGGATCGGATGTCGCTCATCCCCTCATCCACATTCTGCAAGACCACAAAAGCCATGCCGAAACGACGTTCGAAACTTCCGATGGAAACTCGGACAGTGAAGAAGTCCTGAAAGAAACCTCGACGCAATCATCGTTTCGCCGAGTATTATGGACTCCTCCTTGGCTGCGCAAGATCTCTCTACTCGGATTCGTCTCTCTATTCACTGTCCTCTGGATTGCGCTGGTGGTCCTCGCCCAATATGACGTTGAAAACTCGGGATTCGTTATCCAGGCATCAGCAAGTCGGTTCTCCTGGACATATGGTCCCACTGCCGTTTTCGTCGCCATCACGGGTCTCTGGAAGCAGGTCGACTACCATAGCAAAATGCATGAGCCGTGGCAGCAAATGGCCAAAGGTCCGAGTCCGGCATCCAACAGCCTCTTGCTCGACTATGTCTCCCCAATCCTCCCGACAGGGCTGACTAGATCTTTTCGGAATCGACACTGGACAGTGGCAGCGGCAATCACGGGATCCGCTGTTCTGGGCCTTGCCACCTTGTTGTCGACGACTTTGATGGTGCCTGTAGCTACCAGAATTTCAGGACCGGTTCCAGTCCAACTTAATTCAGCTTTTGATGGCTCGGCTTTCTGGAAGACTACGGCGTGGACTTTGAGCAACAGGACGGTATCCACTGTTGCGGGACAGTTTACATACTCGGATCATTCCTTCAGCAACATTTCTGCCATCTCGGCTACCCAGTATCTGCAGCTGCTCCAAGGTCAGATTTCGGAGCCTGTCGGAACTCAGGAAGGAGTTGTCTTTCAGGACATTTCCATCTCCAAGACGCCGGAAATCAGAGATGTTGAACAGATTTCCACTGTCGTCGACTCTATCATCCCGAATATAACGTGCGAAGAAGTGGATATCACTGTTTTTGATGAGATGGATGGAAATATCACCCAATTCAGCGGAACGGTGGAAGTCCACATACCCTCGTGTGGAAATCCAAGAATCGAGCTCAGCATTTGTGCTGATGGAACTGACCAATGTGTTAGAAACTTGACAACATACAACGTGTACAGGGCGTACTGCTCCGATTCGGGGATTCCTGACGGTTTCCAAACCGAAGCTCGTCTGCTCCTCATGGCAAGCAACATTACCCAAGGGGACAAACCCGGAAGCCAATACTATGACTTTGATCATACAACACGGGTGGCCAACATGACGGCAATATCATGTCAAGTCGCCTACATGATGGCAAAGAACACAGTCACTACAGACTTTGAAAAGAACGAAACCCAGCTTCACCTATCAGAATCACCCAACACTGGAAGGAGACTCCCCAATTTATCAGACCGCCAACTTGTTGAGTTGCTGTACTCTGTTCTCGTTGCAGCGGACGCAGAAATGGATGGACCTCGGCGCGACTTTGGCAACGACGCACGGAAGTATACTTGGGGCAACAGTACAGCAGGTTCCGCCGGTGCGTTTGAACTGATGAGCCATACAATCCAAGACGCCTCGGCCGGATACTTCAGGTTCTTTGACGTGGAAACCATGGCCACGTCAGCAACGACTGTCCTCACCCAGCTGGCGGTCCTGTTCTTGAAAGATTCTTTCCTAGTTGGACCGAGTGAGACAGTTTCTGCCCAGGGCACATATACACAGGAGAGGCTTCGATTTAGGCCGCTTTCATTGTGGATTGTGGTCGTGTGCCTCATTGTGCTTGGTCTCCTGGCACTGAGCATCATTTTTACGTTCAGCCCGTCTGTCTCTCAGGACCCCAGCCTGCTTGCTTCATATGCTGCCATTCTCGCTCGAAGTGCGTCTGTGGACACCATTCTGGCCCCCCTTGGAGAGTGCCGAACAAGTCAGATATCGTACGAACTAGTCGGACACAGATTCTCTACAGAATTTGACGGCTCAACGTTCAAAATCCAACCTCACGAGGTCATTCGGGCCCATGAGGGACTCATACCTGAGCCCAAACGGAAGCAACACAGCTGGATTCCGATGACGGCTCGTACCTATTTTATGGTAGCCGCGTTCATACTGCCAATGGTCACAATCATTGCACTCGAGATAGCGTATCGTCAAGCAGTCGAACATGACGGATTCGCAATGCAAAATACGTTTTGGACGTTGTATGGAACCCAGTACAGCTCGGCACTCGTCATGCTAGCCATTGCCAATATTTTTCACAGTCTCGACTTCACCATTACCACGTTTTCTACCTTCAGCTTGATGCGGTCTCGGGCTGTACCATCACACCAAGGAATCACGAGCAACCCCATGCGGGAGATCAAACCAGTCGCCTTACTGAAGGCTCTTCGACGCGGCCACATTGGTCTATCCTCTTCCACTCTCGCCGCATTGATTGGAAGCTTTCTCACGATTATCGTTTCAAACCTGTGGGTTGAAATAGTGTTTACTACGAAGACCAACTTCAAGACCCAGCTCACAACGACTTGGAATCTTGAGTGGGCCAATAGCGCTGTTGATGATGGCGGTGCAGTGACGATTCTAGAGAATGTCCGACTAAACAAGACCCAGAGCCCTGATTCGGCCGTTTGGGGTGATTTGGTCTTTCCACTCTTCGACGCCATTGCGCCACGGGATGACCAGCACGGCGCATTGAATCTGGGCATATCAAGCCAGAAACTGAACATTAGCATCGAGGTGCCCTCGTTACGACCCAAACTGGTTTGCCACGATGCAGCTAAAGTGGATAAGGCGGAGTCTAGCTCTGGGACTAGCATGGATACAACCATTACTGCCACTGATCCTCTTCCACAGGCTTGTATTGCAGGCGTGAATGGTCGAGACAAGAATGTATCATTCGAGGGCACAGGAGATGCAACAGACGGGTTCATGGCTTTGCTGTTTGACCTTGACATTGGAAATACGGTCAGCAAGCATTGCTCCCCTTGCGAAACGACTCCAGATTCAACACGTCCGGATAACCCAATGGGTTGCCCATCTCTCGGCATCTTCTTCGGAGAACACGCTCTGGTGTGCGCACAGGTTATTCAACAGGTCCAAGTCGGGTTGGAGTTCACGTCCTCCATCGGAAAAAATGGCGAAGTCGTCTTTCACAGAAGCAGTCTCACATCGACGCCGACTCCTATCGAGTCGACTGCAGTTAATCTGACACGAGGCGACTCTAACCTTGACCTCTTTCCCTACCGCATCCAACCACATTTTGATCAAAATCTCACGAATCCTGTATCCGATGACGCAGCCGATCCATTCTTTAGGTACATCCTCTCCGGAACCACAGGGATCAGCAGAGGCGATTTGGTGAAGAACACGGACCAATTGATCGATGCCATAAACGGGCTCTACACCAAGTTCATGGTCCAAGTCATGGACTCGAACATCTTCCGGAGGCCTGTCGTCCCTTCAACCCCGGCGAGCCAACAAGACCAGCGAGGATTTGTGAACGGCACAGTTTCGATGGAAGAGTCCCGGCTGACGATGAACTACATCCCCAAACTCATTCTCCAGATCTTTTTGGGTGCCATGATGATCTTTGGGCTGGCGGCCTACATCCTCGTTGATCTCAAAGGCACTCTTCCCCGAAGCCCTCATTCGATAGCGAGCGGCATGGCCTTGTTCGCGGGGAGCGAGTTGTGTAGCATTCACATTCCGGAAAACGCCGAGTGGATGGACAAGCGACAGCTCGACCGACTCTTTGAAGGATACGCATTTGCCTTGGGATGGTGGAGTCGCAGCGCAACGGAAGCAGATGCGCGCAGCATTGACAGTTTACTGGATGCTCCGGTTGCCGACGAGAGATTCGGAATTGACGTTGGTACGCCCGAGAGGTTGGGATTTCAAGTGAAGGGGAACACAACTGGGAGGCGGTGGTCAAAATGGAGTGCATTATAGCGGACGCTTTCTACTAGAAGTACATACAATCGACTACATGGCCTCACCTCGGTCAGACTCTAGAGATCACAACAGTCCTAGCCCTCCCATACAAAATCCTGCTCGATACCTGGAATCAGCGGCCGAAGCGCCATACCGTAATCGCCGGCGTTGGGTGTCCGAAGAAGAGTGTGGATGTGGAACTTGGCCGGCTCCTTGTTTGTCAAGAAGACTCCCGAGTGGTGGTCAAACTCAACGAGGATGACAGCACTCTGGATACGGTAGTAAAAGGGATCCTGGTCGCCAAAGCCTCCGATCCAGCTAAAGTACGTCTCCGGGAAGAAAGACTTGATGTGATTGATCCGGATCTCCCTAGACTTCTGAGGAAGGTAAATAAGATACTGCTCCAGAATGCCGAGAATGAGCTGCTGCTGCTCAGGGGTCATGTCCGTCACCAGGATCCCCTCATACGGCACGATGCGGTTATCTCGGTAGGCGCCGCAGAGATGTCTCTGGTCGTCGTGGTTCCATCGTCCTTTCGGCATGGCGGGATCTTTGAGAAGTTTGTACGTCTGCGCCTTTTGCTGCAGAGTTGCCGGCAGAGATTGCATGAGCTGCAGGCCTAGCCGCTCCTCCGTCTCGAGGATGCGCGTACCCTTGTACGGGCCGTCGTCAATCAGATTCGGCTCCGCCCCAGTGAACCACGGTGACGCCACGATCTGACCCTGGTACAAGAAAATGTTCAAGCACAGGTGATGGCCGTAGAATGAGAAGCCCCATGGCCTCGTTGCCGAAGGCAGCCCGAAGAGGACAAAGTTGTATGAGTACTCGTTGCAAATGGTGGGTGCCTGCACCAGTTCACCCAAAAATCCGTTCACGCGCATAGCGCCGAGCGCCTTGGCGTATCCCTCGGGTGAGAGCGTCGTCTCGAGGACTTTGAGAATGCTCTCTCGGATTTGCGGCGTCAACTCCTCGAGACGTAAGCCCTTGTCGCTGAGGAGGAACTCGGGATTCGACCATGACCGCCATTCCGGAGAATCGACATGGTATAAGAGGATCGACTTTTGCTTGTCGTCCAATTGGGACAGAACCGCATTTGTAGCATCAACAATTTGCTGGATAGGAACGCCCTCGTCGGCGATCTTGAATAAATCCCGTTTTACCGTGCCTAACTCCGTCAGTTATGGTTTCTTGGCGGCAAAGGTTATTGGTAGGGGGGGTCACGGCAGATCTCACCATCTATTGTGATGCCGGTGTACGGCTCTTTGAAGAGGCTTCGCCAATGGAGGTAGAGGGCGTGTAGCCACGGCGGGTTACCGCTCTCCTTGAACACCTTGGCATATTCGTGAGCATCCTGGTTTCGCATCGTTGTGAAGCGAGGAATGCTGATGTCTGGCAAATGTTGGCGGTACTCGGCGCCGTGAGGCGGCTGTTCCTGGGCTCCAGACATGATGCGCAGTGGTTCGCCCGCGAAGGGTGTCTGTGTATCTCGAGGTGCAAATGTTGCCGAAATGGCCGACAGTCTTCTGACAGCTTGAGAGCGTGTTTGGTCGGTTCTCCTCATGCAAAGTCTCTGGTTGTGAGTGTTGTCAAAATTGGAATGTTTACACGCAACTGCGTAAAAGGGAAAACAGGTAATAATAGCTCCAACACCGACAATGGACAGCTCTAGTCACAAGACGTCCACACTGGTCAGAGCATTTGCAAACAAACCGTCATCAAGTCCCGGCGAATCCACCAGGCCACGACGTCGGCGATGGTCGGTGCATGTGCCGCCGACAGTAACCCCTCATTTCTCGGCCCCTCAACCTACATCGCCATCATGCTTCATCCTCGCAACTCCCCCACAATTCTACCCCGCTGCGCGGCCTGTTGCCTTTGAGTTGCTCGGCTTTTCCGCCAGGATCGATGTGTCAGCCGGCCATTGACCAATCACGCCGGTTGGACTTACGATTAGCACGACGCGGCGTTAAGTCTGGGCGCGAGCTCTCGACTTCCCGGACCTCCGAGCCGTTGCCCCCAACCATCGGCAATTGTGCGGGGGAGAGTCCCTGCGGGCTTGCTCCAGTCGGATTTCACGATGCGGGAAAGGCCATCATCCCTCCCCCTCCAGCTTGTGAATATCATCTGAACTTCCTCTTCAAGACTGACCTGAGCTCGAATCTTACGATACCACTGCACATCTGACTTTGAGAACGCACCAGACAACGCATACCATGGCTTCACAGACACAAGCACCCTTTACCCGTAAGCAGTTCCTCCCGCTTGAACGGAAGTTGACCTGTGAGCCCCCACCGCTGACAAACCTCAAGGCTTCGTGCGATTTGTCCCGCGCTCTGATCCCAACAAGATTCTCATTGGAGAGCCCGAATCAGAGTCTGTCGATGTTGGTCTTGCCGTGCGCAACGGCGAGGAGGTGAAGGTTGTAGTGTGGTCCGGATCCAGTGTCGTTAAGCCGGGTTCCAAGACCGATCAGCGGGCCGTCATTGATCGCGTTCTCTCGCCCGTCTCTGCCGAGGAGGTCGGAACGATCCGGTGCATCGGCTTGAACGTGAGGAACCAATGATGCTGTTCCAACACCACTCTGGTCAGAGACATGAAGCTAACCGTAAGCAGTACGTTCAACACGCAAAGGAGACTGGTTTGGCCCTGCCCGAAGTCCCGACTGTCTTCTTGTAAGTTTATCCGGGGTCGTGTGAACTGCTGTGAAATTGGTACTAATGTCATGCACAGGAAGCCAAGCACTGCCCTGGGAGACCCGTGGCCGGCGCCTACAGTGCTCCCTCTGCTTACCCAGGCTGATGATTGTGGTGACTACGAGTCTGAGCTCGCCGTAGTGCTGGGAAAGACTGCCAAGAATGTGTCGGAAGCCAACGCCCTGGACTACGTCTTGGGTTACACTGCCTGCAATGACGTTTCTTCCCGGACGTACCAGCTGAACCAGTCGCAATGGTGCTTTGCCAAGGGATTCGATGGATCCTGCCCATTGGGTGAGTTACCGCATACTATCTGTGAAGGTGGAATCATTGGACTAACATGATGGTCTCACCTAGGCCCAACTTTGGTTTCCAAGGATCTCATTCCGGACCCCAGCAAGTTGAAGATGCGCGGCTTGAAGAATGGTGATGTTCTCCAGGAATCTGGCATTGAGTTAGTATCATGCTACCCGTGACTTTGGAGCCATACTGACAGGCTCTACAGCGACCTGATCTTCAATATTCCCAAGCTCATTAGCTTCCTTTCTCAGAGTACGACGCTGCCCGCTGGAACGGTGATCATTACAGGAACCCCCGCCGGTGTCGGCCTGGGCCGGAAACCCAAGGTGACTCTGAAGGACGCCGATGAGTTCCACGTTGAGATTCTTCCCCATATCGGCACGCTGGTCAACACCTTCCAAAACGAGGGTGTGACCGCGGTTGGGCAGTAGAAGGACCTCGGGGATTGACGAGGGAAGATAACAGTGAGGTACTGGCTTGGTGAAGGAAAGGCATGTGATAAGGTGCCTTTCAGAATCAGAACAAATAATACATGAGTCACAAGTGTCATATTCATGAGCCGGCGTACAAACTCTGAAGCCTAAATTGCGAGATACAATTGATTTCATGTCAACTTGACTTCGAGAGTACGAGAGCCATGTAACAACGGGCAAACGACCTTGTCAACCTTGCAATCCTGCCGTGATACTGAGATTGGTAATTTTTGAAAACCTTTCTTTCACAGACCTACATCAACGTTTTTGTACAACATAAGGTACGTGTGAATTCTATCATCGACATGGAATCGTGAAATTTGGATGCAAAGAAATATTTACTCTGATTCTAAAAAATGCACCATTGCAACTGTCATTTACGTCTTCATTTATCTGAATGCTGTGCTACTTTCTCATCATTATGCAATTAAACTAGCTCTCCAGCAGTTGAGGAACCTTCTCAAGGAGATGTTCAACAATTGCATCCGGCCCCCTCTCAACCTGCAACCCGTGGGGAATAGCATGGGTCTTGATGTCCGGTCTGATTGACCTCGCGGTAGCCTGAATCTGCTCTGCCTCCTCTGCTGTCCACATTGATGCGCAGAACTGCGAAAGGTTGTTAGTTGGCAAAAATCTCACTTGGTCGTGGTAAGTCATACCAAGACGTCCGGCATGTGCTCCTTCACCTTGCCTTCGACCTCGTCGATTCCTATTGAGGATATTAGCCTCATCGCTTTTCACTATTACCGAAGTAGTTGCCTCACTTTCGCAGTTGGCGACATAATCAATGGTGTACTGGTCTTTGAGCGCCTCAGTCATGCGGCCGATGAGTCTCTTCGCCCGCTCAGGCGCGGTGTTGACCGTGACCAACTTGTAAGGACCCTTGGGCGCCATGGTGCGGGGTTTTTTTTTGAGCTTGAGGGGTGTTGGAATGATTGAAGCAAGCAATGACGTGGAAGAGACGATGAGACAGTTCCCAATGGCGTCTTGTCACTGTTGTGAGATGGTTGGAGGAAATAGTCTTGACTGTCTTCCGATAGAATGAGCCGTGTAGGTACGTGATATTGGTCTATGAGGATATGCCGCACTTTGTTCCCGATGGCCGCGTTGACAAGTCCCATATATTCGGCAAATAGCGGCTGGATCTCCGCCGAGGTCGCACCCCGAAAGTCAACCCACAAATTTGTCTGAAAGCTGACTGTTCCTGTACCAAAGTTTGGGAGACGGCTGGTCGTCATGCCGGCTTTGCCGATTTCGCCTCCATCTGACCAGTTCCACCAATCCAAATCCATTTACGGTTATCCTTCCGTGACACTCTCCTCTTCATCCTCGAACCGGCGCTGTCTGGGATATCTGGAAGACCGGATAACCCGTCACGTCTCGGATATCCCGAAACGCCCGTCCACTAACCTTCCCCATCTACTAACCTCCCCCATCTTTAGTCACTGGCGTACACCTAATTTGTAGTTACCCCGTGGGACGCATCCCGTGCTTCCGGCTTGTGTGGGGGATCTCCGGGCGTCGCACTAAGGACTTGCCGGCGCCCCTACGTGTACGAGTCCCCGAAAGCAAAGAACATGGGTTGAACTGCTGAACCCAGCTGCAATCCCTTCTGAAAATTTGAGGATTTGAGCGTAAAGAATTCCTGCCACGGCGAACTCGTCTTCAGATCTTGGACTTGCATCTTTTATCCGTCTTGCATCTCATCGCCAAGCCTCTGAAAATGTTTCGTTGGCTCAACTCTTGGTTCTCACCCAGGGCAAACACATCTTCACCCAACAACAGCGGAGACATGGCAGTGAGTTCTTATTCTTGGATACGGCATTTCCGCGTCAAAGCTGATGAGGGACGTGAAGGTCACAGCACACGTCAGATCACCAGTCCAACTGGAAATCATTGTTGTCGGCGCCGGACTAAGTGGATTGGCCACTGCAGTAGCAGCCGCCCTGTCGGGACACAAGGTCACAGTGTTCGAGTCCGCAAAGGAGCTGCTCGAGGTGAGCCCCATCGAAAGCCCAGGCAGGGCGAGAATGAGGTTATTGACATTGTCCACCAGATCGGTGCGGGCCTGCAAGTGACGCCCAACTCCACACGCATTCTCCAGAAATGGGGTCTGCCAGAGAGACTGTGGAAGTCGGCATCTGAGCCAACGGACTTGGTGGTGCATCGCTATTCCGGAAAGGTCCTCGCCTTGGAGGAGAACTTCAACAAGAACATCCGCACAAAGTACCAGGCACCGTTCATCGATCTGCACCGAGTCGATTTGCAGCTCTCACTCTATGAGCGCGCCAAGGAACTCGGTGTCAAGTTCAATCTCGGCGAGAAGGTTGAGAATATCGACTTTGACATCCCCGAGCTCACGACACAATCTGGAATCAAGGCCAAGGCGGACCTCATCGTCGCCGCCGATGGACTCTGGTCGCGGTCGCGCGCGTGCTACCTGAAGAAGGACGACCCTCCCCTGGCAACGGGTGACTTGGCATACCGAGTGGTTCTCAATATTGACGACGTCACGGATCCGGAGCTGAGAGAATGGATTCAGAAACCCCAGGTCCACTTCTGGGTTGGACCCGGGGCTCACTGCGTTGGGTACTCGATGAGAGCGGAGAAGATGTACAACTTGGTGCTGCTTACGCCCGATGATCTTCCCAAGGGAGTCAGTCGCCAGGCAGGATCAGTCGAGGAGATGAAGAGCCGGTTCGAGGACTGGGACCCGATATTGAAGAAGTTTCTCAGCTCGGTCGACAGTGTTGAGAAGTGGAAGCTGATGCACAGTAAGTGTCGATGCCTCCACGCGCTATCGCATAAGCTAATTCGATTTCAGGAGAGGAAATGACGTCTTGGATTAGTGAAAAGTCAAACTTTGTATTCGTGTGAGTATCAAGATGTCTGATTTGAAATTCCAACACTTACTCACGCTTGCCCAGTGGTGATGCATGCCACCCCATGCTGCCCTACCTTGCTCAAGGCGCCAACTCAGCTGTGGAGGATGGTGCAGTCCTCGGTCTGCTGCTCGGTCACATCAAGTCCAAGTCACAGCTGCCTACGGCATTAAAGTCGTATGAAAAGTTACGCAAGGCTCGCGGTGAATCTATCGTCAGGGAAACCTTCAAGCAGGTCAGTCTTACCCTCCAACTTCAAGACATTCGCCCGTAGCACAGCGGTTAACAGCCTGCAGCGCCATGATTTCCACATGAACGACGGTCCCGAGCAGGAGGCCAGAGATCAGATCTTCCTGTCTCAACTGGGCAAGGAACTGAAGGGAGCTTTCCCCAGTAGGTGGACGTGCCCCGAGGTGCAGCCCTGGTTGTATGGGTACGACGCCTACAAGGAGGTTGAGGAAGCGATGAAGAGCGATCCCTTTGACAAGCCCCACGCCAATTTGTAGCAAACTAGCTTTGCGTCCGGTCAGGACATTTGGGCATATTGGCGCACTGGTAATTTGATGGGCGTCGGAGCGCGCCTTGGTACTCGGTATTTTATGTACACATACCTCTATATTCCTCAGCGACAGCATACAATCCTTTATCCTCGTCTGTCCTCTTTCATTGCGAATCAATCAACTTATACGAAGAACATCGCGTTACCACTCATCATCATTGATAATTAATTATCTTTCAAACACGATGAAAGGTGTTTGTACTTTGCTATACCTTGAAATACATGAACGTGATTAACAGATCAGGATACCTTCAACTCATCAGCAAGAAGAAATTCTTGTTGACAAGGGCTTGACCAGGAGGTTCCCTTCAGCAGAGTCATGCCAGACATCATCAAAGCAGCAACTGCGGCGACATGAAGAAACATCTGATCAGGGATGTATGCCCGGATTAAATTTGAGTTCAAGTGAGGTAAGGTATTACCGCACACACTGAGAATAACCCGACTTCTAGGTATCAGAGACCTCTCATGAAACCCCGCCTTCTGATAGGCGGCTTCTGCCCCTCGGGCTTTTTCAACTCCTTTTCTCCATCCTCAGTCTCAACCACATACCGATCTTTTTCCTTTTCTGCCACTCTTTTGCCATACTCCATTTTCCAACGCATGAAATAGCAGCAAAACGGGAAAAGGACAGTATTGACCGCTGTCCAGGCAAAAAGCACGCCAAAGTTCAGTCCAATCTTGGAGTGCAAGTCAAAGAGCAACTGGCGGCTGCCTTCCACAACCTGGCGAAGCGGCCAAGCATAACCCCAGTGGTAGAAGCCAGGTGACAAGTCAATGGCATAGAAAGAAGTCGAAACGTTTGAAATGACCCAGAAAATGAGCCACAGCGCCGTCCAAGGCTGGCCGACGATCATGGCCACGTTTTCGCAGGCAAGGCCCAAAGCAGCCATACCAACGAAGTTGAGCATCCAGTATACGGGGAAGGTGCCGCGTCCGTAAGCTGTTGCCCCTGATGGAGGGGCTGGTTCCGTTGGCGAGGCGGGGGGTGCACTGAAGGGAATTTGGAAGGCGAGAGATATTAGGCTGTAGCTGAGAGAAATGATGAAGTAGGCGACAATGGTTGCTACCCATCGCCATATGATAAGCTGCCAAAAGTGTAAGGGCGGATGACCCTGAGGTTGGATGTATTTCTAAGTGAGTTAGCGAATGTGTCCCGAAGAGTGCTGGGGCTCGCAACTTACCGAGTGAATAGGCAAAAAGAACGAAAAGGAGAAAAAGGCCATGATAATCAAATAGATAAGCCCAATGCTCACTGCAGGCGTCGCAGTGGCAGGTTGGAAAGGGCGCAGATCAATCATCAACGGTGCGACGCCAGGATTGACAGCAGAAGAAGCTCTGGCGAGGTTCTCTCGACTCAAGGACGTGTTGGATATGACAATCTGGCCCCATTGCTTTCCAAACTGTTGAGCGAATTGCTCCGAGAATTGGGTGATGTACGGTGAGATGTCACTCTGGTAAGTCGTCTGATCTCGGGCCGTTTGTATAATGATTTGAACGGAGCCTGCAGGATCATAACTTGCATCCCCACTCGCGACAGCCTCCTGAAGAGCTGCCGTTGCATTAGGGTGTATAACCACAGCTGCCCAGCTGTCCCAGTCGTAGACGGCCATTCTCACGGCCGTAGGGTCGTTGTTGAACTGCGAGGGCGGCAGGATCGTCCATCCTAATGAGGGGCCCGGCTTGTCCAATGACTGCTGCACAGTCTGGACAACTGCCGGACCTACAATGGGTTGCACTGATTCGTATGGGGCAATTTGGCCGTCAAAGTCGACGACATGAACGATGATTGACCTGAGATTCTCTTCGGTGCGGAAGAGGACAGCCCAATACATTGACAAAACACCGAGGATGAATACAAACAAAATGGTGATCGTCTGGATCCATAATCGAATAACGTGGGTGCGGACCTTTTTCATAGACGGGTGCCAAAAGCCTACGGAGTGGTGAGGTTTTTGATGGCGGTGATGGACGCCGTTTTCCTCATTGTCCTGACCATCATCCTTTGGGTGATCGACTTCGGTACGGGCCGGTGAGGTTGGTGAGGGAGACCCAGCCATTGTGGCTTGGATGGGGAATTGACTTCTTCCTTGGTGCAGAACGAGAATGGACTACCCTGATTGACGTTCGGTTGGCTGTAATGGCTTGAGACAACCCCAAATCAGGTATACAAAAGTTTCCTTTGGACTGTGCCAGCACCGCCGTCAAGTGTCTTGGCTTTATGTACACCTCCTTGAAGTTTCCAATTTGATTAGTATAAAATCCGCTGCCGTGGAAGTCGATGATGCGTGGTAGGCATAATCCAATGATGAGGTCAAGTACCTGCTAACAATTTCGTCGACCTCAGTGATTCGCTAAGCCATCTCATTGGTCATAACCGTGCTTTTCACATACAAGTACATCGTAGTCTTGGCTTTTTCCCTAAGATGACATCACGGTTCATGGAAGCGCACTAGAAAGAACACTACCCCTGTCCAAGTTAGGTCAATAGTATTTGTCAGTGAGCGATCGGATCTATCGGTCTTCGTGCTTTCTTCAACTTCGCGTCGGCTCTCAACCTTAGGCCGAGCGTTTTGAGCCTTCTATATTGATATCTTGAGTTGCATATCCATCGGTTCAGTTACGAAATCCCGATCCCAATGTGTTGAAGCTTTGCGGCTTTGCTGACACCAAGAGAGAATGTGTATCCAATGGTTTCTTGTTGCCCGAATGGCAGAGTAGGGAGAGTCGGTATTATCTTGGCGTTGAGTACTGATTATGGCTGATCTTAGAATTGAGACAATTAGTTAGGAACGCTATTGCTTGCCATTATTTCATACGACTTTTCGGTGCACCAACTATGCTTGGATTGTATCTGTATTGCCTTGACTGTTTTCCATGGTAATCTTCCAAACCTTTGCAAATCGTGACGCGGCCATCTCAGCGGTAACTCTAAGATCTTTCCCCAACGCCTCCAGTCGGTTTCCCGCCGGAAGACTAGCAACAATGAAAGATGATGATTGCGGGACGGCTGGAGTTTCGCCGGCAGCAACATCCATCAGAAGACACGCAGTATGCGGGCCTGGTGCCTTGAATTTGAAAAACATACAAAAACCGTTTTGGGCTCCAGCGTTTTGGATGTGTAGATATGGTATCTCCTCTTTGCCGCTGGTCTCAACGTCGTAGGAGAGCATGATTGAGTGACTCCATGGGCCACTGTTGGCCCATCTACCCACTGGGAATGCTTTGATAGTGTCGTATCCAAGGTTCCGTTCTTGAGGTAACTCCACGACGATGTGCTGCGCGTCGGAATCCTTGCCCCATAACGACTCCATATCCTCAGGATCTTCAGCCCTGAGGAGAATAGTCTCGATCTTTGCCGCCTTGACCCAATCTTCTGGAACTGAGACGAAGCCTAGTTTGTGACTGCATCTGTAGAACGGCTCGAGGTCGCCTGCTCTCTCCAGGTAAAGGCCTAGGTGACGACCCGCTCTATTGCAGTTGAGTATTGCTATTGTACTTGTTGGTGAGAAAGTGAAAGAGATACCTGCTGCCGAACCAAACTGCTCGTTGTTATCTCCCGGGATGAACGAGAACCCAAGCTTTGAGCTACTCGGCTCGAGCAACGGCATCTCAATCTGGATGCCTTTGTTTGTGAATGAATATGGTGCCACGCGGTGGGTAGTATCGACTCTTTTAACACCACCGGACTGATTGAAGTAGGAGGGAGATTTGGCGAGAAAACCAGTATTTCTTGAAGGCCCCGGCTGCAACCAGGCAAAGATTGACTGGTCGTCCGTCCGTCTCATTATTTCTTCCTGAAGTCGGATGAATGCCATTTCTCCCTCTCCGTACAATAATGGCATGCTGACGCCAAACAATCCGAGCAAGCAATAGGCTTGATCTTCAACCCTCGTAGTCTTTCTCTTTGCAGCCCAAGACATTCTCTGGGCAATGCTATATCGGCCCAAGATTCCGTATTCGAAGAATTTGTAGTCGATGCCGGTAATCTCACCCAAAGACTCTCGCATCTGGTCACGAGTGCCAATTTCGTGCCAGTTTTCAGAATAGAATATGACCATAGAAGGTGCGATGAGCTCTTGCAGTGTCCAACCACGCGTAAACCACCGACTTTTCATGAAACCACTAGAATAGCCGCCGTGGATCTCAATATCCTTTTGGGCGACGTCCTCGAGATACGCATAACAAACACGAGAATTCCGATACCAGGCCCACATTGAATTGATGGCCTCGGTTAACTCGGACGAGCTGGTTTTATCGATGCAACAGGTGTCGATCCACTGTGAAGTCAGTCTTTGGGAACTTGTCAGTTGTTCGGAAGCACCAGACAGCTTCTACTGAGAAAAGCTCTCGCCGAAAGATTCACTTACTATGTAATCAAATCCGTCAGAAAGAGCCTGTCTACAAGCTCCCATCAACTTCTTGTAGCCCTTCAAAATATGCGCATTTCCAGCGAGCAGGTCCTGGAGCGTGATTTCCTCCGGACCCCAGGTATGGGAAAGGATCGCATAAGGAATGCGAGAGTGGTTGAACATCCGCAGTTCCTTCGTCCGCGTGTTCAAAAGTCGCATTGTGATTGAGATTGGTGTCTGATACCATTTGATCAAATCGCATGCGGTGTGGATCTGCCCATACCATACGATGCCAAACAAACTGGTGATGCCAGGCGCGGGGAAATGCATCGAATGATGGAGCCCAGTTGAACTTGCTCAGTCAGGATGACGAAAACCTCACCTGCATAATCTGTCACGTGCACGAACTACGATAAGCCACTTGTCCAGTGTACAGTTGGTGGGTCAATTTCGTGATCACCTCTGTACGCACAAGTGACTGGGTTTACTCGGGCACTATCTTCCTCAATCAGGCTTACTACTTCAATTTGAGCTAGTGAATAGCCGTGTCCATTTCTAGTACTAGAAAAGACTGGTTTTCTCATGGTATATATCGAAAAGACGGATGCCTATTACCTAACTGACTCTGTTCAGCTTCTGTCCGGCCATCCAGGCGATGGTCTCTCTTTCCAGCAGCTCTCGCCCTATTCTCGTACAGACAGTATAATATCCCAAATGTTGCAAGTAGAACGGTCAAGCACTGCCCGACAAGATTGATGGTGTGGCCAGTGTAATACTTTGGAGCGCCTTTGTACGTATAGGTCCACCTGTGATCCACGTTAGCACTGCAGGCATGGAAAGGACACAATATCACGGCGATGATGCGAGAATGGATAAATTTGTAAGGAGGTTCACGTACGTAGCAACGATCCCACCAATTGTACCAATTGAAACAACATAGGCACTCGTCACAGCGCGTACTGAAGGACCTGCTGAATCTGATGTGAAGTGTGTCAGTCAAGCCTCTTTTTGAATCGATGGTGAGTAATCGGCATTGGTAGGAACTCCAAGGCTTACTGTTCATGGCCCAATTCACTTTGATTATGTTAGCAACAGGATTACACTGAAGAAGACATGAGGATTAGACTCACAGAAACCTGGTCCGCCTGGGAAGGCACCCGCTGTGACAAAGAAGACCTAGGACTATTAGCACCGGTGGGAAAAGGGCAGGGTGCGAAAGAATTCTTACACCCAAGTATCTAATATTAGCCTCTGTCTCGAACCGCAGGATGGCAAATCCGATGACGGCAATCATTGAGAATGCCGCAAGATAGATGCCACGTTGACGCGTTCTGTCACTAAACCACGCAATGGTGATGGCGGTGACGGCAGCCACAACGTAGGGCGGTACAGAGTACAACTGGGCCCGGGTCGCCGTCCAGCCCAAGTCGGCGAGAATAGTCGGCATGAAGACTGAAATTCCCTGCACAGTAATATTGATGAGGAAGAAACCGAATCCGCAAGTGTAATTGTGGATGCAGAGGAGGGCTCGTTTCACGTCAGAGGCGGTCACTTTCTGCTCAGCATCGGCCTTGTGCTGGCGCTGCAGACGCTCAACCGCGATTGATCGTTGTCGTTCGTCGAGGAAGTAGGCGGTTGCGGGATTGCTCGGCATCCAGAGAGGCGCAAAGCCTCCAAAAAGGAGTGTGATGAACCCTTCAAAGAAGAAAATGTTCCTCCATGTGTGAATAGGTGCACCGTCGAACCCCCATTCCGGAATCCGAGAGAGACCGGTGGCAAGCAGGCCGCCGAATGCACCGGCTAACGCAGCAGATGAAATAAAAATGCCCAGCCGGAACAAAAGCTCTTCTCTCTTGTAGAAGTTGCTCAAGAAGAATGAGAACCCTGGCATGGCACCGCCTTCAAAGATGCCTAGAAATGCGCGGGCAACGACTAGTCCTTCGTACGAGCGGACGAAAGCCGTACACATTGAGACCAGACCAAAGCCGGCGACGAGAAAAGGAAGGTAGAATCGTGGACCGATGCGCTTGAGAATGATGTTGCTCGGTATTTCGACCAGGAGGTAAATGATGTAGAATGTTGACAGCGCCCAGTTGAATCGGTATCCTTTAAGATCGATGTCCTTGGCCATGCCCTGGATTCGGGCATTTCCAATGTTTGCTCGATCCAGGAACTACGCCAATGGTTGGTTGATGAGTCGCTCTCCAAAAAGAGGGCTGGAAACTCCGAGGAGAAACTACGTACGCAGAGAAGATATAAAGTTGTCACCAGTGGAACAGTGTGCCAGTCGATTTTACGCTTGACAGCCTGTTCCTCTGCTTCCGTCCATTCCAACAGTGTGGGCTCTTCCACATATTGGATAGACTCAGACTTGACGTCGGCGGTGGTTGGCTCGTTGTATGCTGCTTTAGACATTGTGAAAATCAGCTATGTCACGAACATCGAAGAATGCCCGGGTCTCGAAGTACAAGCTGGTGAGAGGGAGGTAGCTTACACTTCTTATCGACTTCGATTGCGATCTCATCTATAGTGGAGAGCACCATCTTGACAGCTGGCTGGGACGATGCTCAGAATCCTTCTAATGCAGACCTTCCGAAATTACGACGTCGATGGTTCAAAAATTTGTCCATCAATCCCGTGGATGCGACGTTGAAAACGGCCAAGCCTATTTAGTGTAGCTTGGAGGAAGGTTCAAGGTAGTGGCCGGCCCCTATTATTACATGTATCTATCCAAAGCCACTAAAGTGAGCGGGAAGCAAGTATGAAGAGTCGGCACGGACAGTTAAGCACCATCAGACTTTCTTCGGTAGATGTCTCCTGCATTAAAACCCACCCCTGCTCAGGATGCCCTTCGTCCAATTACCCAGAGACAGTTGCCCGTCGAGGATGGCACGTTCGGTCCAAGAATGCGGGGTATGGGAGGAGAAACACTCGGGCTTTTGTTCTACTTCACACAAAACTGATTGAGTAACATTGAAGTGGGCGTCCGTGGAACCTAAGGTTGGCATTTTGCTGCGGGTTGTGCTGAACATGGTTTGACTCTGCCATACCCATTCAGCAAGCCCGCATTCGCAGTCCTGGGTCAAGCCGGACGAGAAAATGAGAAATCCGAGGCAAATGGCCATTCCCCACGTCGCAAGCGGAAATGGAAACTTGAATACCTTTTGCGAGTGGGTGTGTTTCCTGTTACATTGAGTGCATTTTTTCACCTAATGGTCGGGAAGCTGCGTTCTCATCCGGACCCTTCGGAACGGAGCTGTTGACAGCGCGTTAAGCGACTTTGACGTCAGGACCGTTACAAAATGACAGAGCAAAAGGTTTAAACAAAGCCATTAAAGCATGTCGTGTAACTATCGTCGCTGCTGTGGGGTACGTACACAGACGCGCAGGGGGGGGCGGGGGGGGCGGGGGGAGCGGCATGGCGTGCGATGGCGCAGCAGAGAAACACAAGGAAAAAGGCAGGAACAAAGAGAATCAGAGCGCGTGTGGCGGGTGTGCGCGGGGGGGGGGGCAGACGGAGGGGGGGGGGGGGGGGGGGGGGGGGGGGCTCGACCTTCTCCAAAGAGACATAACGGATGTGACCTAGCCCATAGTTGGCAGCAAATCCCTCAACTTCATCTCGCCGGCTCGATATCTGGCAAATCACAATCAAAGTCTTCTAGAATCAATCAAACCAACCGAGAGAGGTAAGCACCTTGGTGTTCATGTAACCTCGCACTAATCTCTTGCCAAGGCGAACGAGAATCGCTCGGGACGGTGAGATGGGGTCGTCAGATTATTTGCACGGCCATCAGTGCTTCAGCAAGGATACATCAAGTGAAACACGCGCCGAGAGAGTCAAACGCACCGTCGGTGCTAGCATCGTCTATACCTGCACTTCAGAACGAGTGACCATTCACTTGCATCGAAGCGTGAGTTCACTACAGGGCCCTGAATGTGCCCTATGAGTCAATGGGCTAGCAAAAGAATTATGCCATAATGTGCCTCGCTGAGTGCTAGGTATAGGAAATCTCTGGCAATAGCTGAAAGACAAAAAGTACTTAGTCGCATGCATTATTGAATTCTGAATCTGCCAGATACACAAACACGCTGCAGCTCTTGAGCGCTAGCCAAGTTCCGAAAAAGCCGTTCCGCGTAGTCAAATTGCCAGGGTCTCACAAAACCCGAAGGTATTATATCTTGCATTTCGGTGGTTCAACTCTCAGTTACTTAGGTATCTGCTTCTTGAATGAGTGATTTTCGTCTCCTTCCACCGGATCTCCTTTTCATCTTTCCATGTCCAGATGTAACATGCTGGGATGAATAGGCGGTTATGAGGGATAAGTATCTACGTATGACGTAGTGTCGGTAGTGCACGGGAGGACGTTCTCGGTTACGATGCATTTCCAAGTATTTCGGTTAGTTTTGCATGAAAGCACTGGAGGCTCGGACTTCCCATCGTCAGCGAGGGAGGGGTACGTGAAGCTAAGACGGGCGATCAAAAAGCTTATCCCGAAAGTTAAGGCAAATTGCCGCCGCCGGCCCAAACGGCCGAAGGTCCACCATCAAAGGTGACACACCGGGATTGACGGCACTCACGGCCTGCCGCAGAGTCTCCTTTGCCAGGAAGTCATGGGCCATTGTCACGTCACCCCATATCTTGCGAATGTTACTGTCAAACTTGACATGGAAGAAGTGAAATTCGGCAAGACTAGCTGTCCGGTATGAACGAGTCCCGGCCAGACATGGCGATGATTTGGATGGCATCTGTTTGTTCGCATGAGGAATTGCGGATTGGGACTGCCTCTTGCAAAAGAGCTGTTGCGTCTGGGTTGATGGTGATTACTGACCACGCCTCGAAGTCGTAGACAGCTTCGCCAACCTTCATCTGGTCAGATACGAACTCGTTTGCGTCGCGTATTTGATATCCGACTTCATCACGTCTCGTTGGCCAAGTTCATGATTGATGGGCCTACTAAAGGCGCAACGTTGTCGCAGAGGTAAGTTTTGCCACGAAATTTGACGACAGTATAAGCAAGATAGGTGAGGCTTTCTTCTATGAGGAACGCGCACAGGGTGAGAAACATGGAAAAGCAGATGAATGAACGCTGAGTTTGGTAAGGTTCGGCCACCATTCAGCCAACAAGGTTCGGGGTAGAGTTTCTGTTTCTGCACCACATCGCAGAAATATGCTTTCTTGGCTCTGCAAGAGCGCGGTCAGTCTCTGAACTTATAAAGTTTCCCGAGGCTGAATCGTTGTGGGCTGGACCTACTTTTCCCAACCCCGGGTCCGACCAGCTTACTGACTGCGGTATAAGATTCTCAAGTTCGGGGAAGCGACTTTCATCCAGTCTCCAACAAGGTCTACCCTTCGAGTGTTAAGGCTATTTAGCATGCTTCTTGATTGACCGAACCGAGAGGCTTGCGCCGCGGCGGCGTCAGATTCATGGCGGCCACCATTATCGACGTCAGTGTCTATGTGCATCTCGAAGCCTGCAAGATCGTTATGGTAGTCTCTTAGAGGGAGATCACTCTGTTAACACTTTGGAAATATGAACATGGCCGTCGAGATGGATGGTTTATAGTTTAGAGCTCAAGCAATTTGTCGCCTTCCATTGCAAAACTTCCGGCAGTATCTAAGGTGTGGACTATGATTGACAAAGGAACTCATGACTGTGCGACCTCACTAACCTATAATATAGGGGGCAATAGCGCACATTCCCGTCTGGATAGATATCATTCGTCGTTTAAGTATCGTAATACCTCTCTTTCATGACGCAGGCTGGGTTGCACTCGGTCGGCCATGAATCTATACCGCGGGTCGGCCGAGTGATCGCCTTTCCTGCTGAAGCCCGGGCCCAATATCCTTGGATCTTTCTGTCAGGTTTCGATTTCCCTTTAACACGGCACACGCGGGTACCCACAAACCCTCGATTCTTCTCACACGAACGGACGCAAAGACCCAGCTTTCTTATGCACGGGTCACCGCTAATGCGTCACCGCTAATGCGGACAATCTGCTCACTGAATACTGGGCTTTGCGGGAGAGCTGGTAAAGCCGATTCGTGATGATTTTCACCTCCCTGTATCATTATAGCACCTTGACGTCAGAACAATGTCAATTATTCCAAGTGGAGCAAATATTCCTCTGGAAGTCTCCTCAGACATTCTGACAACCGGCTCTAGTTGGTTGATTGTGGCAACCAGCCGGGGAGTCATGTCCATAGTTTCTTATTTCAGGGCAACCCGGACGAACATAGCTGTTGTTGCGTGGGAGACATTCCTAACGGCCCTGACCAGCATTGCGACTTTTCAAGTGGCACGGAGATGGCAAACCCTACATGTATACACAAGAGTACGTATAGGCACTCGGGTGACAAAATACATGGCCCCAATTGCCTATGTGCTCTAGCCAGAAAAAAGTGGAGGTTTCTTTGGTCATCCAAGTCGTAGGGAATGTTAGGTAAGTGCACATGGGAATAGTCAAACGATAGAATGATCTCCCTGTGTCTTTTTGTGAATCTCAAGCGAGTCAAGCCCACTTGACAAAATGCCACGATGGACCCCGTGATCTAACCGGAGCTTCGACTCCTCCCCAGTTGTATGATAACATGGACCTGAGATCTGCCATTATTTGCTGACTTGAGTTGACGTCAGCTAGCGCAGATATACACGTAAAACCACGGAGCTTATCGCAATTACTTCCGCTAATCAACAGCGGGCTTCAACTGCTAAGCTCCATATTGACAGAGCCCATGAGACACATCGAGTGGTCTAATTTCACTGAAAAAAGCAAATGAACGAGAAGTCATAGTATTATTTTTTAGACCGGTCTGAGCTCAAAATCCTCTTAAGCTTCTTCTATACTAAAACAATCCACAAAGGCCTACCGAATAAAGAGTTGATCAGAACCCAAGGAGAATCTTCCGCCAATTGATCTTCTTCCTTCCACTCTCAGCCGCTATTGCTCGGTAACCATCCTCTTGCACATTGTGTTGCCCGACGATGGAAAGGAATACATCGTTGAGAGTGGTTGGACTGACGTTGTGATGCTCGATGCCCAGAGCATCCTTGTTCTCCTCCAACATTACGATGAGTTGCCCAATCGCACTCAACTCTCGGCTCTCTCTACCCTGAGTTGTGCTTCTTTCTTGATGGCTCTGGCGTGCTCTTTGTAGCACATCCGACGCCGCGACTGAAAACCGCATCTGACCGTGATACGTCTCAGGCTCAATGCGAGCGGAAGAGAACATTTGCAAAACCCACGTCCGCATGCGATCCATCTCTTCCGGCGTCGCGTGTGGAGCACTACGGCTGACCAGGTGCACGTACAGAGAATCTCCAAAACGGCTCTGCAGCTGTTGAACTTCACCAACGGCCAACATGCGCTGGGCAATAATACCAGCCCGATGCGCAAGCGCGTCGGCCTCCTCCATGCTATGGGTTGTCAGGAGGATTGACCGGCCTGGAACAATTGTACTGAGCGTTCGCCACATGACACGCTTTGCAGCAGCATCGAGGCCTGAAGATGGCTCGTCGAGCAGGATTACTGATGGGTTTCCTGTAAGGGCGATGCCAAGGGAGAGTTTGCGCTTGTTACCACCTGATAGGTGCTGCGCCATGACATTGACATGGGCATCAAGGCCAACGGCATGCACGACGGCTCGAACTTGCTGTTCAATATTGGAGATTCCACGGAGTCTGGCGTAGTGGCGGAGATGTTGTAGGACAGTCATGGACTCGACTGCGTCGAACTGTGGACAGACACCCAGGTTTGAGCGGGCAAGAACTCTCTGGTCGGTGACCGAAACTTGCTCGACAAAAACGTCGCCGCCGTTACGGCTAGGCTGAAGGTCACCACGGATGAGCGAGATGGTTGTTGACTTTCCGGCACCGTTGGGCCCCAGGAGTGCGAAGACTTCTCCGTGGCGCACGCCGAAGGAAACGTTGTCTACCGCTGTGAAGCTGCCAAACTTCTTTGTCAGATGCTTGACCTGGAGTCCATCGCTGTTGGTAGATGACTCGACCCGTAAAAGCTCGTTAGCAACCTCTGGATCTTCCTGTACAGGCTCGACTCCGGCCTTGGGGCTCCTGTTACCCTTGAGGGACGACGGTAGCTTGTTCCCGCTGTCATGGTAGAGAAGGATGCAGAACAGCAGGATGGCCTGCAGAATGAGGTAGAGGATCGGACCACCATATCCCTTGATTGCACCTGGATAGCCAAGCCCGGTGGCAGAGCATGCCAGTGAGAAAGTGTTGAGGCCGATAAGGAGGGCCCGGAAGACCGATGTGACAGGAAAGAAGGCGGAGATAGTGTAATGCCCTATCAGAACATTGCGATCCGTGACATTGGACGGGGAGAAGGTGACTATGTAGAGGAATGCGATGAGATAGATTGCGAATCCGACGCTGTTATATGCCATGATGGCAGCAAATGTTGCGACTTGGCTATTCGTGAAGAGCGAAACGACATACGACAGCAGGATGGAAGTGATGCCGTACAGCAAGAACACTGGGAATAGATAGCCTGAAGCGTACCATACGTCCGAAGAAACGGCGAGAATGATCGCAGCGATTAGGAGAGGGAAAAAGAAGATCCCAAAGTCAAAGATGAGATGAGAGGTCCAGAGAGATAGCGATCGCACGCCGCTGGAGTACTGCAGGCCACGCGCGTGGCTGTGTCTCTCTCGATTCGGATACAGGCCGAAGAAAGACGGAATGATTGAACAGACGATACTGAAGAAGATGGCCAATTGAACCGTGGTAGACGTTGAAGAAGAAATCACGCTGTCGAAAGGGGCGTACGTGGTCGCAATGCTGATGTTCGTCTTTGTGGTGCTCAAAAGGTTCTGGACAATGACAGCGGCGAGAACTGCTCCTGTCTCCTCATTATCTGCTCGATAGGCAATTGTTGAAGGAGTCCCCTGGCTTCCGGTCCAGAGACCGCCAGGGGTGACGTTCTTGCGATTGTTTTCGATGTATTGCTTGAAGTTGTCGTAGGTGGCACTTTGTACCAGATCAACGGTTTCTGTGGGACTATTGGATCCCGGGAGCAAGAAACCAAATAAGTTGCCAAATGATGAGGTTGAAAAGGAGGAAGAAGGGCCAGCAGCAACGAGGGCACCATCGAGGGCTTTTCTGTAATCATCGACGCCTTCCACCGAAGCCCGACTGAAGTCTGCAAAGTCGCAACTAGCAGGACTCTCATCAGCGACGAGGAGCTGCATTATCCCTGCTGCAATGATGGGTACGAGAAGCACTATGGCGTATGGTATCCAATTAGTCTTGAGGAGAGTGAAGCGTTTGTGAACCAGAATGGGCGTCTGCTCCAGGAAGCCTGTCTGACGACCGGACTGAAGCCCCAATAAATCATCCTCGGCATTCGTAACAGACTTCTCTGCAAAGCCTTTTCCGGAGTCTATGGATCCATGGGCTCTGTCCTGGTGAATCGACCGAGGCCCCTCTCCCTGGACCTCTTCGGCGACATTCAAGAAGACGTCTTCGATGTTCGGGCTTGAGATGCGGAACGAAATGTTGTGAGTCTCGAGAGTTCGGATGACTTTGGCGGCGATACTCGACGAAGGCGCAGTGTAGATGATGGCATTCGCCGACGCCGCTACCGTAGCTCCGTGCACCTCCGGAGGATTCTTGAGATCTTTCGCGTTCAAAACGTTGATGCGATAGCCATCCCCGAGAGCGTTCTTTAGAGCCACCGACGATCCTTCCGCCTTCAAACTTCCCTTGGAGAGTATTGCAATATTATCGGCGAGGAGGTCAGCTTCATCGAGGAAGTGCGTTGTCAGGATGATAGTCCTCTTGCCGCGTTCAGAGAGGAGAATATCCCATATCTTCCGCCTCGAAAGGGCGTCAATGCCAGAGGACACTTCGTCGATGCAGCAGACGGCGCTACCGCCGGTCAACATCATGCCAAGCTGGAGTTTACGCTTCTGTCCGCCAGAGAGATGTCGTGATTGAGACTTGCGCTTCGTAGCTAGTCCAATGGAGTCGATCAGCCGGTTGGAATCTTCCTTACTCGCAATACTCCACGGAGACTTGAGTTGGTTGAAGATTGTGATGTGTTCGGCAATGGTGAGCTCTTCCCAGAGAACGTTCTTCTGGGGAGCGATGCCGATGCCAGCAGAAGCGTCAATGGAGACATTACCTTGGTTGAAGCGACTGATTCCGGCAATAGCATCGAGGGTCGTACTCTTGCCACTTCCATTGGCACCGAGGAGAGCAAGGATTTGTCCTCGCTTTGCCGTCAGGTTTAGATGGTCGATGGCCACTGTGGGAGCACGAGGCTTGGATACAAAGGAGAAAAGCCGGCGTAACAGACTCGGTCGGTAGATTTTGGTAAGCCCATTGATGGCCACGGCATCTTGTGGCTGGGCTCCGTCGCCCTTATAGATCTTGCGACTTTCGGAACCCACACCATGGATGCGACGCTCAACATAAGCAGCAAGCAGTGGATAGAGGATGAACTGCATAACCAGGAAGATCCAGATCACAATGCCCGGAAGGGTTGAGTTACTTCCCGGAGGCGTCTTTAGGAGATTCATCGGTTGTCCCTCGCCCTCGAATCGCGCCATTGATCTGATAAAGAAGACGAAAGTGCATGGCGTGAATAAGAGACTCAAGACAGCAACAGCGCCGGTGCCTGGGTTAGGCAACGCCTGTGCCAAAACACCCAAGAGAACATAAACCAAAGAGTTGATGACACCAGAGAGCTGAGCCTTTTTGAAGAAAGTGGCGCCGAGAATGGCTTGCGAAGTGAGAGCCAGGCCGCCCAAGATAAAGAAGACAAGAACAATGCCGATGCTAGTCTCTCTCCAGATCATACTCCTTGCTACGACAGATGCGACGACCCAGCCTGGGAAGTAGATTGTGGCAAAAGAGTAAAAATTTGACAACATTCGGATGACCTGTGCTTCCCAGTCGTAGCGTGTGGATATCATGGAGTCAATGAGCTGAGAGAGCCCCTTCTCCCGTTCCGTTGCGACGTGGCCGGGAAGATGGTAGCTGACGCCTATCAGCGCTAGGATGAAGGAGACTGCTAGGTAATCGACGAAGGTCTTTTGATATTTCCTTCGGACACTGGCCTGCCGTTCTTCCTCTGTCTCGTCCGTGAACCCCCATTCCTGAACGTTCTCGAGAGGCGACGGATTAGCATCTGTCGAGTTCATGCTGGCAATGGCGGAGTCGACGGCATGTTGAAGGGGAAGCGTGTACACCTGGATGTCACTATCGTGATTCTTAACCTTGAAGGATGACCCAAAGGCTCCGTCCCCGCGCAGGGTGTAGTTCCAAAGACCCCCATTGCCCTCGGTCGGAGAAGAGTGGAACACGACGGCGCCGTAGCAGGAGGTCGTAGCTCGGAAAGAAGAGCGGCAAATAGACCCAAGATCAGACGAGTTCGTGATGGTGGTTGCATTCTTGCCAGCCGCAGAGACCTGCGCCGAGATTGTCGCTATGGCACGGTCTATATCGCCCCCTGATAGGTTACTGTTGACGAGAACAACCGTATCACGCGAGCCGCCAGAAGCTGCCAGTCCATCTCGCAGTGATCTTATGGGTTGAGGCTCGGCAAGGCCAAAGTCGTTCTGGGGGCTATTGAGGTTCTTGCCAATGCCGAGGTACACTGTAAGTACAATGGGAAGGAGGATCGCGGTGTAGATGGTCGAGACGGGATGGCGGGCGAGCAAAATGATGAAGTTTTTGGTCGAGAGAACACCGACTTGGCGCCAGAATGCGGACTTGGGTGCCGCCATGGCAGTATCGGGAAGCCAATGAGCGTAGAGTCGATGATGTCTGGAGTCTGATCGTGAGGGTTAACGTCGTTGTCTTTTACGGTCCACAGTTGCAGAAGGTTGCACAGAGAATGGAAGGGTATCGTTTTGCGAATAATTGACGTGTTCCAAGAAGAATCGTCGTCGTCTCACAAGATATATGAATGGTCGCAGATCAAGAAACTGGATTCAGTGACTACTTCATGCCAAGGACAACACCTCCATGTCAGCATCGCAACAGGGCTAAGCGATGCAGACATATCTGCCCAACAGCCATCGTGCTAAGCGAGAACGCCTCCCTGACATTTACTCTTTTGGGACATTGAAGAGGCTTCGTATGGCCCGATCGCTGCGTGCGTCACCAGCTCGAGAGAAAACCCCAAAATACTGGGGTAAGACGGGCAGGCAGTAGGGGAATTCAGGCAGGGACCAGAGGAGGCAGAATCGCGCTGAAAATGTGGCATACGAGTCTCATTGGACAGGTTCCGATGTGAAGGATGGTTCTTGATTACACGTGCGTCAACCCGTCTCGTTGAGCCTGGAGCTCATGTGTGCATGGCTAGTCTGTGTTGGTGTGAACTTCTATTTGCCTAATTCGGTTAGTATATCACTGCCAGATTCCTCAGCCACCAATGTCGCCAATGACGGCATTAGTCTCATGCTCAGTTCTGAAGCTTGGAGAGGCACAGTTCCTGCATGCTGACCCCTAATAGCCCTTTTGGGAATCGCTCATCTTTACATACCGCCCGACTTGCTTGTCTCACGACGGGTATCCGGCTCCGCGAAAGCTTGTGTGGGTGTTGCCGAGCCAATTTTACCAACGGAACCACCACAATTAATGCATCATGATTGGAACTTGGGTCTTGATTGGGATCCAACATTGTGTCGTCTAGCGTCGTGGATGCCTAAGATTGATTAATATCCAATGACAGTGAGTTAATTTCAACATTTTTCAACATTGCTTTTTGCTCTCTGTATCAACAGGAGGATACAGTGAGCCAGATTCTTGTTTGGCCAATGCATCTCATCGTTCAAAATCATATTGTAGATTAGTTGTTTTCCTCGAATTGCTTAGTTCTGATGACTGTATAGTTCGATTGGGTCCATAAAGGAGGCGATGGGAGTCTTGCATTCAATGATGGTGAGATGATGTAAAAGCCGTATGCGAGCACTCCCCAGAGTGAAGCAGTACGTTTCTCTTAATGTCATCAATCTTCATCGTCGATTGAGATGTCAGCTTTCACAAAATGTGAAACGTAAACCTCAACCGGGCGAAAGCATTTACTTGATCACCAGTACACATTGGATTGCAGTATCGACTTGTAATAAAGATGACTTTTGTCACAGAATACAACAGCCGGCAGTCAGCATCATGGCAGTCTGACAGCCTGGATTGACTGCTCAGAAGACCTTGGCCAGCCATAGCGGCCCGTGCCAAATTTGGCCAAAACCTGGTCGTTGCACTTGCTCGGTATGGCGTGGTTGGTGTGTGGAAGGGTGATCATGTTAATGCCAAAGACCTGACTTGATATCGGTAACTAGTAATGGTGTATGGCAAGGTATTTGAGTGTAAGTCGTACATATTGATGTCGGCATCTAAATATCTTCTTGGTATTTTGTCCCATTCGAGATCGACATAATCGCCTCCATGCGAGGCGCTTGGCATCCACAGCCCCATCATCATGTGTGGGTAAATCATCACAAGGTCCTCTGGCGCAACGGTAGCGCGTTCGACTCCAGTCAAGGATCAATCGAAAGGTTATCTGTTCAAATCAGGTGGGGATCAGTGTAAACCCATCTTGGGCGAGCTTTTTGTCATCAATTTTGTACCGGACTGTAGATCCAGACATCAGCCGACTCAATTAAGAACATGACTTTAGGAAGTCATCAAAGACGACCAGGAAAGCCTCGGCATTTGACAAGCATTGAAAGAATCTCAAAGTAAGTAACATGGAGTTTTGGTCCGTATAACTCTCTCCTTCGATTGTTGCTGTGGGCTTGTTAGGGCCCACATCGGTCTACCCTTGACCGAGATTCACAACTAGACCGAAACATTTGATAGTCATCGACGTGAAGAAACAACCCCACGAAACGCCATCCCATAATCAATTGCAAGGCCCTCAAAATAAGTGAATCTAACCATTATCACATGCATCCAAAGCCAATTCGTTGGCTTATTTTCTTTTCCTCCCAGTGGCTGGTGTAATGAATAGTGACCCTTAGAGAGGTTTTAGCAACCCAGTAACTGCATTTCTAACCCAACCTCATTGAATTCCAGTTTCCTCTTTCCACTGCTCTAATTCCGTGACCCTGAAACTTCGCTGCCTCATAGTTCTCACTGCATGCTGTGACCAGATGTCTCCAAGGAAACAAGGCCATCATCGGACGGAGTAATCCCGCCGATGACAGGCAATGGTCCGAGCTTTCGGCGTTGGCCCGCGACCCCGCGTCGCGGAGGCCGGAGGCGTGGCCGAGAATTTCGACATGGAATGCTCCTTGCACTTGTTGATAGCCACATCATCAACGTAATCGGTCGCCAGGCAAACCTCGAGTGTCATACCTAGCATTGGAATTACATTGTACTACATCGTCTGAATAATACTCAATCCAACACCGCAATGTCCACCCGCGCTCTGGAAGCCCTCCGCAAGTTCACCTCCTGTGACGTAAGTGCTCTGCGATAACCGAGGTCCCTAACGTCATGGTGTCGCTCGGCTTTTCCTGTCTTGTGTCCAATTTCGCACAATGTTTGACGCGTTACGTAGATTGGAGATGCCCTTGTCAAGCTCAAATACCCCCAGGGCGGCTTTTTGGACGGGATCCGCATGTTCTCGCCGGGCGCGTCGGGACGCGTCTTCGGCCCCGCAGTAACGGTCGAGATGGTAGAGATGAGCAACACTGCGGCGCCCAAGCTGGACAAGCACTTTGTCGACCACAACCAAGAGGGTGGCATCATGTACATCCAGCAGCCCAAGGGCCTGCCTTCGGCGTGTTGGGGCGGGCTGATGTCCACGAGGGCCAAGTACCTCGGCGCGGAGGCTGCGGTTGTTGATGGCCGGGTGCGAGACGTCGGAGAACACAATGAGATGGGGTTTTCCGTGAGTTGTTCTCTCCTTCTCGGTGAAGGGAATGGCCGATTGCAGAATCGGTCTGGCCGGGGTATCATGGGCTAATGGCTTTGTCTAGGTGTTTGCGCAAGGCACCTCGATCCTTGGATCCAACACTTTCACCCGCGCTTCTAGAGTCAACGTGCCGCTTCAGTTCAAGGGGGACCTGTGGATTAACCCTGGCGATATTCTGGTGGGCGATGTCGATGGCGTCGTGGTCACTCCTATTTCACTGGTCGAGAAGGTGGTCGCTCTGTGCCAGGAAAGGGCCGAAGTAGATTCGAAAATGTTCGCGGAGCTGAAGAGGGGAGCTTCGATGGGAGACCTCATCAAGAGTGTGAGAAAGGACACATGATTGGCTTGACATGAAATTAATGTAGCTATTTTCATTGGAGACAGGTTTTCTTGTATGTTTCCTGCTCAGTATCAAGATGCGAGTCAGTTTCCAAGACGAAATGAGTAGAAGGCACTCGACTCTCCAAGTTTCTTATCACCGTTTTGTCTTCATTTGTACCACCGTCTGGTGATTTTGAAAGACTCATCTTCAACACCCAAATATTCGGCTTGGATTTTGAATCATCAGCAGTCCGAGGGCCATGATCTCAGACTTTTGAGCCACGCCGCATCAACCACCTCGAGAAACGGCGTCTCCCTCATCGCCTTCTCGTGAGTCCGGACCTTCATAGGCGGCGTGTGCGGCCAATTACTGCCCCACAACACCAAGTACTCGTTCGCATTGACGAAAGCACGCACGAGAAACTCGACATACAAGTTCCCCGGACTTACGTCGTTAATGTGGTACGGCCGGCTTAGCTTCACCTAAAGGTAGCCGTCCCTGACCAACCTCGTCACTGTGTCGAATCCCGGCTGCGTCGTCGGGTCCTCGCGATACTCCTCAGCCTGGAGACTCGGTGCTTCCAATAGCGCAAAGTGGTCTGAGTGGCCAAGCGGCACTCAACTCACACTTCCTGCGACATTAGGCGACCTGAAAGCCTTCAGATCAGGTTTACAAACGGCTATTCAACGGTTGAAGGTTCTCGATAGAGCAGACCCACAATCAATCCTTCCAATTGGAAATGGCTATGGGTTGACAACTGTTCCCTCAGTGATCCCGCGGTAAGTATGATGCGGGTTATCATCCTGTTTGGACCTTTGCCAAGGGTCGTCTGCGTCCTCGACTACGCAGCACATGTGTCTGCGCCGCATCTAGGTGCTGGGGACGGAATTTGTATTAAAAATGCCGCAGTCATCGCATTTAATTTGACGGGCAAACGAGCACGAGCAAGATCCGTCGTTGAGGCTGCCTCTGCTGCCTTTGATGCAAGCTGTCGAGAGAGAGGTCCGTGGTTTATCAGACAGAGTCGAACGACCGGTATATTGTATGATCTTCAGACTGAGCATGGGGAAGAATACGACAACTTTCACGAAATTTTCGAATCGCAGGCTAAAGAATTGTAGAATTTCGGTTTCCAAAGGAACATGTAAGAAGCGTTGAAAGATATGGGGCATCGTCTTGTTGCTAAAGATTGAGTACTGAGGTAAATATCCGTAATAGACCGGGGTGTTAGTAGCACACAATCGCTGGGTAATGATTGTTATCAGCATTACTCAGGTTCCGAGCAAGGATTTGAACGCACTGTTCAAGCGGAGCCACATGGTGTTATGTTCTAAAAAAATGATGTCACATGGAGCTCTGAAGGCTCTGTAAATGTGGGCATTTAAAATTCTTTTTACCCGGATCTGGCGAAATGAGTAAGATTCGCCCGCTTGGTTGCCTCTGTATACCTTCAGTCTTACGGATCGCTCACCCTCTCGACCTTTGAAGTTGCATAGCACCAGTGCGGCCAAAAACATGCCCGTGGATTTCGACAAACAAAGCTATTGGGGCGAACGCTTCGCATCCGAGACCAACTTTGAGTGGCTGACCCCTTCCGCGACCCTCATGTCGATCGTGGACCCCTACCTCGTCAGCATGGACAACTCGGCGCGCATCCTCCAGCTAGGCTTTGGAACGAGCGACCTCCAGAACCATATCCGCCAAAGAGGGTTTAACAACATCACCAATGTCGATTTCGAGCCTCTGGCCATTGATCGCGGCCGGATGCTGGAAAAGCAAGTATTCGGTGACGTGAAAATGCGCTACCTCGTGGCAGACGTCACTCAACTTCAATTGTCAGAAAAGTACAACTTGATCATCGACAAAAGCACGGCGGACGCTGTGTCTTGTGGGGGTGAAGGGCCGCTGCTGAGGATGGCAGAAGGCGTGAGACGACACTTGGCCGATGCTGGTCTTTGGATATCTTTGAGTTATTCCTTCTGCCGCTTCGACGTCGAGAACCTGCCTTTCAACATGGATGTGATTGCAAAGATTCCTACACCTAAATTGAAGGCCACTGACCCGGACATTTACCACTGGTGTTATTCGTTGACACCAAAGACACTGCAATGAGATTTTGGTGGCATTATTTGGTCGTATTCTGGAGAATCGGAGATGAGGGCAAGACCATTATTACTCAACCACTGTTAGATACCCAAACATAGACGCGTTTCCAGGCTAAAAAGGACACGATAGGAGAGTCACAAATGTTATCTATGTTCTTCATTAACTCTATCTGTCATGAATCGTCATGCCCTCATATTGTTGCTCTACGCCAACGGCTTACCAGGCTTGAAGGCAGGGTGGAAGGGATAGTCTATGTAACCCTGCGGAATGGACGGCGTATAGAATGTCTCCCGATCATACTTATTCAGCGGCAGGCTATGCTTGATGCGGAATGGCAGATCCGGGTTTGCCAGGAAATGACGGCCGAAAACAACAGCGACATCCCACTTGGCATACTCCTCGTCGACAGCTGTCTGCGCCAGCTCGGGAGAGAATCCACCCGCGACCAGAACGGGCGAGACGTTGTCCCAAATCTCCAAGAGAAACTCGATACCCTCCATCTTTTCAACATCCTCCCAGTTGTTGACGCGAGACTCGATGATGTGCAGGTAGGCAAGTTTGAGCTCCTTCAACTTCTGAGCGAGATGAGAGAACTGAGGGACGGGATCCTGCATCCTCATTGCCTGGAACGTGCTGTACGGGCTGATACGAAATCCAACCTTATCGCCGCCGATCGCTTCGACCAGCGCAGCGGCGACCTCGACGGGGAATCTCGCGCGGTTCTCGACGGTTCCACCCCACTGATCTGTGCGCTGATTGCAAGTGTCTTGAAGGAACTGGTCGACGAGATAACCGTTTGCGCCGTGGACTTCGACGCCGTCAAAACCAGCCGCGATCGCGTTCCTGCCAGCCTGCGCAAAGTCCTTGATAGCAGCCGCGATCTCCTCGGCCGTCATTTCCTTGGGAACTGGAGATTCGATTCCGATCGGGACGGCGCTGGAACTCAATAGAGGGTGGCCGCCCTCCTTCTCCAAGACGGGGACGACGGCGGCGCGACCTGGTGCGATGAGCTGGGCGAAGATGCTGCTCCCCTTTGCGTGAACGGCATCCGTGATCTCCCTCCAGCCGGCAATCTGTCGCTCGTTCCAGATGCCCGGCGCATTGGGAAAGCCGCCGTGCTCTGGTGAGATGAGCACGGCCTCTGCGATGATGAGGGTTCCCGGGACGGCGGCGCGTTGCGTGTAGTATTCGAGGGCGATGTCGAGCGGGATATGGTCTGCGTCGAAGCGGAAGCGGGTGAGGGGCGCCATCACCACGCGGTGTGACAACTGGGACTGGCCGACCTTGAGCGGCTGAAACAGCTTGGACGACATGATTTGGACTGAGGGGGTAATCGAATCTTGACAGAGAGTTTCGATGGGTATCGGATGAGACGATAGAGATGAGCTTGAAAAAGGTGGCCCCTAAATTGATCTTATCGAACCGTCAACCTGAACCGGGCGGCCTGCTCTTGATAAGCAGGCGCCGCCATGTCATCCTTTCTGCTACTGTGGATTCATAAAGATGGAGGTTAGCATCTGTTTGGTAGGTCGCAGTGTGTTGCCCCTTGGCGTAGCGGCCCAGGACCAGGGTTTTGGGATGGAAGCTGTCGGAGCATTTGCAAAAAAGCGTATGGTGTTGGAGACTTTCGATAGAGCCCAGCCAATGATATCTCGTCCTTGGTGAAGAATACTCCAAGATCCGTTGGGGTCGAAACGGGATACGGAGTTCGAAACCTTGCTTAGAAATACCCAGTGGTGGAATCCCCATTTTAACTCCACTTGGTCAGTAGTTGGTCTTGAGGTGAAGATGGCTAATCCATGCCTCATTGAACCTCTGTCTTGTGATGTGCGAACGTTTTCTTGTGGCGTCCAACTGCTCATTCAGTGTCATGCCAAGCTGGGTAGTCCTACAAATAAGACTTCCAAGAATACAAGCAGAAGAGTAAGTATATAATTAAGGGTACAATAGACTAACTCCTGCTGTTCAACCACAACCCGTGTATGCTGGTCTAGTGATGCTCCCTCCAGATGTCTAAATCTATCTGTCATCATGACTTGCGCCAATGTTATGAGTGAATATGCTTATTGATGTACTCAAGAACATAACTGACAACTTCCTCCCACCCATCTTGGAAGATGAGTCCGTGGCTCATCCCCTTGAACTCCTTGTATTTCACTGGCGCGGGTCCCTTATACGCCTTGAACTCTTTCCTAACGGTCCTCGCCGTCACGATGTGATCCTTCGATGCTCCTATGAGTAACAAGGGGGCCCGGTCAGGCTTATTGAATTGGACATAATGGGGTGCAGCTTCCCCAGCCGTCACATTTGTCGCCAGTTGCCACAAGACCCGAGAATCTGCCGGTATGCAGTACCGCTCCCATAACTTCTTGCTCTCGTCAGCCGTCAAAAGGTTGCCAAAGCAGTAGTGGAAGTGAGTCTCGGAGATTGGTATGGTAGCGTCTGAGTGCAGCGGGTGAGTGAAGATGGGCATCGCCGTTCTAATGGTGCTCGGTGATATATAGATGATTCCAGCTGGTTGCGCGGGACATACGGCAACCCCGACCATCCCGAGTCCTCGCGATAAGAGTATCTGGGCAAACAGACCACCGAAAGAATGGCCAATGATGATGGGAGGCTCCGCGAGCTTTTTGATGTATGTCTCGTAATAGTCTACGATGTCTTGAATTCGATGTAGGGATATCGGTTCCGGGTCCGCACGGATCTCTTCATGCGTTCGGCCGTCGACACCCGGCCAGCCCGGGGCGTGGACTTCGAAGCCTTTTTTCTCCAAATATGGTATCCAGTACTCCCATGACAGAGGAGTCATCCACAGGCCATGGATGAGCACGATGGGCGGCTTGAAGAAATCCATAACAGGTTGACTGGACTGCCAAGAAATTTGTCTCTGCTAATCATAGTGATCTGATTCGGGGGACACTGCCGGGACTTTTATGAGTCTTGCGCTTTGTGGCTGGCGCTGCTTCATGACGTCAAGACTATTGTGCAGCGCGTCGTTGATAAAAGCCACGTTTTTGACGGCATGCCAAGCGCCCGCCCGTTACCCAAGGGTTTGGCGCAAACGGCTGGGTTCGGAAGTGCCCCAGTCGAAGTCCACCGATCATCCAAACTATTTCGATCTGTTGGTTGTATCCCTGATGTATTCCACTTTGCACCGTTCGGCTTGACCGGGACATTTTCAATTGGAGAAATGCCCGACCAACCCCTCCAGAAAGTGAGCTTCGAACTCTACCAGTGATGTTAAGACATGTCAATTGTTGCACATGTAAGTATGACAATCAGGAATTTCCATTATTACAATTGCAATTAACGGCAAAAGTCCTCTGTCACATCTTCTTTTATTGTTGAAAAAGTGAGACCCTAGTGTTCCGGCTATCCGAACTTGTCCTATCACGTGGAATTTGGGGACTAAAAGCAGCGATTGGCAGAACTTCACGTCTGGAGTTTTTAACCAATTCGTTTTTGTTTTCCTTCTTTTCTTTGTGGAAAAAATTCAAATGAAGACATCCAACTCGGCAATACCAAATGAGGGCGATTAGGTGCATTCGATCAAGGTGCACCCAATTTGAAAGCACTCATATCAACTCAGTCCTGACATCCGGAACCAAGTCGGCAATCAAAAAGCGGACTTGAACATTGCTCACTTTCTTGCACTTCCGCTACCCATCCCACAGAGATTTAAGCTTAAAGAAAGAGCATTTCGTTCAAGCTCCAACCGAATATACGGGGGGTTGAGGATATACAAATGTAGTCGGGGTGAAGAATAAAGGAGTCCGTATCGTTCAGCCTGCGGTTCTTTTCCACTCGTACAGACAAATGTCCAGCCAAGGTATAGTGCGTGTGCAAGAATTATGAATTTACTGATTTCAAATCAAAAGATGAGTGGAGTCTAGAGTCCAATTCAAATCAATCTCAGTTGGAGTACGGTTGGAGTAACGGTTGAAGTAATGAAAGTATGTGCCTAACATTGAAGTATGTGCCTTATAGGAGTATGAGCCTGGATATGAAAGTATGAGCCTGAGCCGAAGTTGACGATGGTGGGTCCCACTCTTTGGCTAGGCCAGGAGGGCATGAATGAATGACGGGCATTTTTTCAGTTCGTGCTCAACTATCTTTCTTGCTGTCATACATCGTTTGTCAATCAAATGATGGCAAATTTGCCCCTCTTGGACAATTGGCTACAAGTAAGATCAGTAACGGGTCGAATCCACGTACAGCATTGTTGCGCCGGTGCAGACTTAATTTTCATCCGTAGTTCTTTCTGTATCATCATCGTACTTTAAGGACTTGTGCACGTCAAAAGATAATTATCCATGTCAAACACGGCACCAAAAATAGGAAGATGCAAGATCTTTACTTGATAGCTATAATTTCCGTGTATTGCTTACTGCGGCGTAATAGTTGACGCAATTTCCATCTTATAGCCCGGCGCCCTGAATATTGTCCACACAGTATTCAAGGAAAACTACTTTGCTGGTCGGTCGCAGTCCAGACCTACTCTTCTCATACGCCATATCGATCATCCTCATTTGCTTGACCGAGTCCTCCCCAGTAACCTAGTAATGGGTCTCACGCCTCTTGATCCGGTTGACGAAGGCCTCCAACTAGTATCGGAACGACGTCCACCAGCACTCACCCAAATCAGGAATCCCATCCCCGGTGTCTCAGTACGTGTACGCTTTATTTGAGCTCGACTCGATCCATTTCCTGAGTGTTTGACCGTTGGCAACATTGCGAATCTCATGCGAGTCGCTGACATCAATTCGATGCCAGGCGACCGCGTGCAGGAAGCCGTGAAGCGTTACCAGCCGCGTTCGTACTTTCTCCTGCGAGTCCGGTAAAGACTTTGTAGCATCACTGGTGCCTTTGGGAAACCAAGACTCGGTTTTGAAAGTGTAGTCGCACTGATCGTGGTTGCCATCGATAAAGACCGTGTTGTCGCAGTCGGAGGACTCTTCGGGCTCTTGACGAAAGATCATGCGCATAACTGTAAAGTTGTACGTGCCGAGCGCCATGATGCTGCCGCCTCCAAGCTTGTAGTTGTATCTATCTTATCCGCAGTCGTAAACCAGGCTGGTACCATATTGTCTGTGTGAATGTGCACAACGTCGGCCTAGGTGACAAATGTGAGAAATTTGTGCAGGGCAGGGTGGAATCTGTTGTGAAGGTCTTCTAGCAAGACATGTGGGTTCGGGTGTGTTGGTGATAGTTGCGGCATGTTGAAGAGCAAATCTGCTTCATTTGTGTTGTTAACGGACAGGTTTTCGACCAGAATGTGCTTGCCAGCGCGTATGGCTCGCGTAGACCATTAATTATGCAAGGCTTTGGGCAAAACAACGAAGATGACATCGATCTCCGGATCATTGAGAATATGCTCAAGGGAGTTAGGCGAAAGTAGTCCGTGGAAACTCGATATTGAATGTCTGGAGCCTGGCATACCCTGATAAGTGTCCTTGACCTCAGAAATACTATACTCCTTGGCGGATTCTTTGGTGCGAGAGCGATCTCTAGCAGCGATAACTTGAACAGTGACTTCAGGATGTTACAAGGCTGGCATCGATAGTGCCATAGACCTAGTGCGGTGTCATGTAAACAACCAGCATCTTTGATTACCTGAAGGATGGTAGGACTCACATGATCTTTGCTGTTCCCAGGACTCTAATTTTGATGGCAATGTCCTTCTTCTTCGCCACAGGGGGGTTGACTAACCTGTAAACGCGGGTCAGTAGCAATACCATTTCAGCGACTTGGGAAGTGAGTGGCCGGTAGAGAAATGACCACGATAGTGTGAGTAGAGATGGAGAGACCATGTTAGAGAAGACCATTTGAATGTTGTACTTACTATAATTCATCCGTGTCTGATCCGCTTTCTACTTCCGTCTGGGGATGGATGGATTTGATTTCTTGGCTGCGCAAATGCCGTTAGCAGTCCATGGCCCCAAGGTCGGATCGCTAGAGTGCGCCTACGGTAAGCAGCAACGTAAATGAGAAGAGATCGACGCGTTCTACCCTACCAGCTTACTTGAATATAGTCAGAGCGAGTTTTGAGAATACGCAGCGTCTTGCCAGCATTCTTACCGGGTCGCTCTACTACGGTACTATGTGACGCTGTCACAATACAGCAGTGTTCGTGCAGGCAGCCAGCATTAGGTGACTTTTGTCACAAGATATAGACGTGGTCAATGCTGCCCGGATTAAAGGGTACAACTTTCCTGTATTTGAGGCATCCGAAATTGTCAAGAACTGGCGCTGTATGTAAGCACTTGTATGACAACAATAAGACATATACATGCCGTCTTGAACCAAGTCCTTTCTACATCTTCTCGCAAGCTCTGCGCGTCTACAACTTGCCAAGGCACGAAGTCATACGCCAGATGTATCTCTAGGAGGCGCCAGATGCAGTCAAATTGTTACTACCAGCTTGACCTGCCGGTTTTGGGCCATTTCAACATTATTCTATGTTTCAAGATTCCTCCGCCGAAGTCACAAGCGCTTGACGTTAAATTCCAGACCGAACCTCTCACTAGCCTTTGTTCTTCCATCAGACATGTTGACAACAATGCATGTGTAAACTCCAGCTTAACGCTTGGCGTCACTTTCTCGTCATCTTTCAAGAGATTGTGAATGCTGTTAGACTAGAGCTGGAAGCCCACATTACCAAGATTGATGCGATGTGCCTACTGGAAGTAAATCCTATATTTGTGCTACTCTTCATGCATACACATACCATCAGAGGCGGGCAGGGAGGAACCTGAAAACAATGCCGGGGAAGGTTTCCGGACAGGTTTGACACGATGAGATCCATGACCCGAAGAAGCTCAAACTATTTGACATCGAACCTTTTTCATAAGTACAGTCGTTTACAGGGTCACGTCCCAAACTCCCACGACGCGTACGAGATCGACTAGATATTTGCTGAAGTCACGAGGCTCCTCACTACTTAATTCTCGCGGGTCAGGAGATCAACGAGCAGACAACCAACCGGACATCCGAGTAATCACACCCAGTAGGCTTCATCCAATTTGTCAAACTGCGAGATGTGAGTCGGCAAGCTGATTTGTCAGTTTCCAGTTACCCCTCACTTTCATGGCGATGGTTCCAAAAGAACACCCCCATTCTAGGTGATTGAAACATATCCAATGGGACGAACGAATCGGATGGGTTGGAGAAGAACCTTGTTTCCCCAGGTTCTGCTGCCAGAAACTCTTTGGTCCCTGGAGGCTGCCGCGTCTTGGTAATCGAGCAACATAAAAGACCAACTACCCCTCTTCTGCTTGGAAATCGAATGTAACGATCCTCATACAACATAAAAGCGGTGTTCATTTACCACATCAAACCATACATATCTGACCAAGGCCCATTAAGAAAAGTCTCTCACTACGAGAATCATGGCACCCTCCGCGACCGAAAGAGCGCAAGCCAAGTTCTTTGCTGTCCTCGAGGATCCTCGACGTTATGACTCGTCAAGTCTGTGGCCCCAGACCAGAAGCTATCCCAAGACGTAGAGCAAAGCTAACGTCGAGGACTAAAGACTCCAAGAACAGGGTTATGATAACGCGAACACCTTCCAGCGGTTCCGATTTGACCAATAACATGATTGGTCGCCGAGGCAGCGCGGGTAGTCAAGGTTCTGCCTCCGATCAACATCATCTTCGAAATAGACTCAAGAACTGGCTTTATCCTGGAGCGGTCTGATTCAGCCTTGAGCAATCTTAGCCTGTACAGATACTTTTTGGAGACTCCAGACTGGAAACTCGTCTCTTTTGCTTAGGGGGCGGCGTTCACATAATCTTTCTATCGTGCACTGGATTTCTTCTCTTTCTTTCTCGTCTTGAACGGAGGGTAGGTCGTGGCTGTTCAATAGCAGAGGGCAACTTCACGTTGGAATCTCTAGTGATGAATCGAATTGATTTGGACATCAGTTCTGGGTTTCTGTGGCTCCTGCCTTGGAGTGAAAACTGAATTAGCTCGGAATTGAAACTGCATCAGATTGCGACATGAGCCGACTTCAAGATCTAGTCATCGTGTCGCATTCTCAACGTACTGAACAGTCCTAGACACAATGAGCAATGAAGTTTAGACTAGCTGAGATAAACAAGATGATGGTTTCACAGAATTGTATATGCAATTGTCCATGCGAATCATTAGCTGCCAGGTGGCGTATTAAATGCTCGCAGAGAAGCTTTCTTTGACTGTCACGCGTTGGTGTGACGCGACTGTCCCAATGTGACCCACGTTAATCAAATGTTACCAAGCTCAAATTCAGTGAATTTTAGTTGAATGTGTCTATGCAGATTTTGGCGAACAACCATGGGCTGGGCGTATAACCCAGTTGGGTAGGTGTGCTGGTTGACATATTCCACCCGTGTCAACGGGCCAGTCCTTCACGTTGACTTTGAATTATCCCGCACGGCTTTAAAGAAGAGTTCAGCGAAGGAATAGGCTGCACCTCATTCTCGGTGAGGCTTAAATATGGAAAGGATTGCAGAATGGGAATTGGTCCCTGGGATATGTTGCTAGCGGACCAAGTATGGATACTTCAAGGTGGAAACCACCCTTTCGTCCTACGGCTTAAATACAATAATGATAACCTCCAGTTTAAAAACTGTTGGCCGTTGCTATGTTCAAGGCATCATGTTTGGCCAAGCGCTACGAGAGGAGGACAAGGCATCTATTCAGTGGATTTCACTTTCTAGACTCAATCTGAGTTGGTCTTCCAGGCGATCGTTCCCGCAGAGAATGGCGGATTGTGATTTAAACTGCCTCGAAGGAGTTTCTATTAAGTTCCTACTGCGTGACTTGGGATGGGGTCATATGCTAAGTCCTCATCGCTGGGTCCGCTCACAACTCTATACCTACCGCAATGGTTTTGGAAGCCAAGCTCCCTTCCAACTCGTTATTTATGACTTACATAAATGGTAAAGAATTGAATACTGGGGAAATTTATTCGTAGATTCGTCATTGTCCTGTCGGAAGCTTCACACTTCTGTCGCACAATGAACACCCTGTTGACCGGCTACGACATCAATGTGGCGGCTACATCAAACATATCTCCTACGTACCTTATATTACCATGATGCAAATGTTCTCAAGAATCTCTGCGTGTTTTGGCAACTGCCGTAGATGAACCTCGATGAAACTAAACTTTTAGGCAGTTCAAGAAAAAAGTTTGAAGACCGCATGACTTCTACCCAGTTAAACAATTCATTAGGAACCGCGTTACAGCCGCGGTACTGTCCACATAATGCTAGTAAATAATTTCTACTCAAAATCAAGTTATAGCTCCTAGAACTCAGAATGGAACTTTTGACTCAATCTGTCACCTTGATCATCGCTTCCCATCACACGATTTCCTGATACCAAGCTTCCCAAGCATCCTGGAAACTGAATGCTTCTTTTCCTGGCAGTCAATATCTCGCATGTGCCATAAGAGAATAAACACAAGCGCGATGGCAATCATTTCTCGTTGCGGATCCTGTTCTTCAGGCAGTAGCAGAACCCCCTCGCTGTGATCAACTGGATGATGGGGATGGCCGCCAGCATAGTGATAGATTGCATTCACCACCGCCTCCGTCTCTTTTTCGTTCACATTCTGTTTGGTTTCCGTCAAATAATAGCAGAGGCGTCCGGGATCCTGAGACTGTAGCTTCCACTGCCTTCCCGGGTGGTCTTCTGATTCCATAGTTAGGGCCGGGTACTGCCGAAAGGTAGAGATTACTGGTTTATCGGTTCCGGTCGTCGGGCTCGGTGGGTTTGGGGACGCGTGAATACAAAAGGTTCCCAGACCAGGTACTGCAAGTATTGATTCCTCCTGTTGCTCAGTGGGAAGCGTCCTAATACCGCATGCATTCATAAGTTCGTTGATTCCATGAAGATCCAAAAAGAATATTGCAAAACTTCTCTCACATTGTAATCGTAAGGCCCTCATCGAGAACGAGGCTTCTTTGATGAATGGTGACGAAGGTTCCATCATTGGCCACGTCGACAAAGAATTCAACATCAGAATCCGTTCCGTCGCCCTTGGGTCGGCGCATGAACATCATGTTGATTTTGTACATGCCAGACCCCAAGGGAGCGTCCTTGACAGCCTCATTGTACGCATTGCCAACTTCGTAAATTGGCAGGTGTGTCACTTTGCTGGTATGTTTCGGGAAGAAGAGCGCACGAGAGAGACCTGCGGGTGAAGGAGGAAGCCCGCTTCTCCTGGTGTCATCTGCCTTTGTGGCTGTAGTTGGGTCAGAGTCGAATGAGACAGGCTTGTCGAGAGTGTCGAGAGTGTCGGTGCTCTCTATGGGAGCCGGGTTATGCCAACAATAAGGGTCTGCTGGCCGACACATCATCAAGTCGGACAATGTGAGATGAATATGATTGATTTTGGAAAGAGATTGCTCATGGACAGAAATTCGTCACGTATTTCCTGGTACCAAATTGATGAAAAAGCTTTCGAAGGATTTCACTGAGACCCGGTTCCACCTTGATTTGGTTTATACCTACTAGGTACATGTAAACAGCCCATGCTGATGCAGCGAGAGCCTTTTGAGTCAACATTTATTACATGTGTGCTGTAATTAAGTGCGACTTCGTCTCTGTATGCATTGCTAACATGAACTGTGGGGGACACAGTTGCCAAGATGATCTCAGCCGGGCAGATACGTCAATTAATTGAGCCTGGCATCGATCAGTCAAAAATCTGCCCATGGTCATGGCGTTTGCATCGTCACAAATCACCAAGGTTTAAAACCCCCATGGAATGGCGTTGCGTGGATTATCAACCCGTCAGCTTGTTGTCTAACCTAAAGAGGCACATGCTTCAACTGCCCCACCCCAACGCTGACGTGCCTAGGCCCCGAGCTGGTGAGCTTGAGACACATCTGCTAGACTTGTTTTCGTTGCATTAGTTCGGACGGAGTCCCGCCTTCAAAATTGTCTGTAGGTGATATACCGTACCTTAACTCACATGGCGACGTTATTGCGGCTAGGGCCGCGACTTGGGGATTTGCAACCCTGCATGTACCTGTATGTAAGTCTCTTAGGCAGAAATGTCTCGTCTCCCAGACCCTTGCCCAGACCAGACCTGGCCCCAAAGTATCAAATTGGTTGGCACTTTTGTCCAATGACGAAAACTCTGCACTGGGTTCGGCTATTGATCAAGTAACTCCCTCGCTGAGCCTCATTCCTTTTGGCAAGGTCGCGCGCGGCATGACTTGGCCAATCGGTTGCAGTTACACACGAACGCCCTTTTTGAAGATCATTCCCGTCGGCAAGGCCCCACTCGGCATATATTCCGAAGCATTTCGTTTACACACCTTACCAGGGTTCTTGCAGCCATTTTGGATCCTGCTGCCTACTTACATGTAAGCAGCGCAGATTCTCTCCCTGAGTACGAGATGGGCAGAAGCTTCATAATTGTCACTTCAATGTACTCCATTGAGACGGAGTTTATTCTGCTCCACAGCACGGCTAGTCGGTGCGTCCATCCGGGGGGATAGTGGCGTCGCATATACACTTCGTTCTTCGACGTATCAGAGCACCTTGTAAAAGTGATCACATGCATTGTCTTCATGATGCCAAATTGAGATCTTGCCACGACAAGTCCGGCATTGATCCTGTCTACTGACTCCACTGCACCTTGAACTCGGTAAACTCGACTTTTAGTCCATCCTTGGCGTCCTTGTCCGGTCTCGCAGCTAACGGGCTGACATCCAAGACCCAGTCGCCCTCATTCTCGTCCGCAAATATCCAACAAATCTTCCTCAGCGGGATTCTCTTCTTGATATTTCCGTCCTTGTCCAGTAAGAGGTGGTGTACCCAAGCGTTCTTGCCTTGGGCGCCTCCGTCTCGGAATACCTCTATGGTGACGCTTTTCTCGTCCTCCTCGTCGCTCAAGGTCAACGGGTAGAGGCCCCAGTCGGCATAACGGTCGCAGGTGACTGTGCTGAGGTGTGGCTGGCCATCGTACAGCTCGATCCCTGTCTTGATCCATTTACTATTGGGAGATGCCGCGTCTGAGGCTAGTCGCGGCACAAGAAGCACGCCAGATTGGTCGTATGAGTGAGCCCAGGGAGCCGAAAATGTGACGCGAACAGACAGGAAGTTCCTGAGAGACCCGGAGCTGGTGTGAACGGTTGGGACTATGAGCAGTTAGTACGAGCTGTGAGTGTCGAGAATGAAAACATATGAAGCAACATCAAGGACGGCAAATGGAGGAGCCTTGACTGAGCATGGATGGTGTGGAGCCTAGGCGATGTGGAGACTGAGGTGAAATGTTTACTCACTGTTCCATGCGTTATGACCGGGCTTTCTCCAGATGTCAGTGCCGGGATCCGCCTCGACAGTGAAAGGCGTTGTATCGTTGATAGGTGCCATAGTCGTTACAAATGATGAACACGTGCAATATGAGTGGTGTGGGAGAGTGTGATGTGAGTATTGATGTGCATGGGGGTGAGTGAGTTGACGGTTATTTATTTGTTATACGCTGTGGGTTACATCGGTTACTTTGTCTTAATAAGCGTAAGCCACTCGCACCACATCCTCATTCAACCAGGGTATCCCGTAGCCCCGCGCGGGGCGTGACCTGATCATGTTCTTGGTCAGCCCTATTGACCCCTTCGACTGACACTAGCTAGCCTTAATGAGGCCGAACGAGGGCCGATCCGTGATGCCGTAGCAAGCGTGAATCTCGTCAAACTCGCATTTGCGCTAGCCCCAGCCGTGTTTCCGTTGTCTTACCAAGCACAGTATTCAGCCAATACGCTCTCAGGGTCTTAACGTCAGAAAGTGGGGGATTTGGACGTGTTTTTGGTACACCCCGCCGAGGTTCTAAATATTAATTCAATGAATTGTTTTATTAGTTCATAAAAAGGTAGCTTCTTACTGTATTGATTGAGAGATACTAAGATAAAGAATTTGATTTTAGAATATAGGCTCGATATTACAGTATTCAAGTTGTGATAGGGAATAAATGGAAAATATATTCTATTTCACATCTCATATATACGTGGGGCTCATAAAAAACTAATATTTAGAACCCCGGCGGGGTGGCTGTACTGGAATTAGCGCAAGACAGAGCCGAGGTTGAAGAGTTTCTACGGTATCCTGGTTGTACAGGCATGGTAGTCTACAAGAGTCGGTCATGGGCCGAAGGCTGCGTCAGGAGCTAAATCAAGCATGTTGTTCTACTCTAACTATCTTTTTGTGTAGGGACCGTTTTTGATAGGAGATGACTTGACATGGAGTGCAAACTGGAAAGAGAACTCGAGGAGCGAGAGAGACACACGAAACCAAAGGAAAACCACATAAAAAACCACCGTTTCATTCATCTTCTTCCATGCTCAAATTTGGCCTTTCGCTCTCACCTCGTCGAAGACGCTGTTTACGACACGGGTAGCGCGGTGCACAATCTCCTCTACATCTGTGGGGGTGACGGTGAAGGGCGGGGCAAGGAGGAAGTGATCTCCGTTCCAGCCGTCGGCGCATCCCGTCGACGAGAAGAGGCACACATCATAGCCCTTCTCGAGTCCGCGCAGACGCATCCGACGAGCAAGGTTCAACGAGGGATCGAGCGGCGCCTTGGTGGTCTTGTCCGCCACGAACTCGATGCACCAGAACATGCCGCGGCCGCGCACATCGCCGACATTGGGGTGGTCCTTGAAGGCCTGGCGCAAAAGGTGTCCAAACAGGATGCCCATGAGACGCGCGTTGCGGACGAGGTGCTTCTCCTTGATAATGCGCTGCACCTCGACGGCGGCGACGACGTTGAGTGGGTGGCACTGGTACGTCTGTCCGTGCTGGAAGGAGGCGCTGCCCTGCTTGAGGCCCTCGATGACGCGTTCGTGAATGAGGATGGCGGAGATTGTGCCGTATCCAGCTGCGAGACCCTTGCCCACGGCCTGGATGTCGGGGACGACGTTGTCGTGTTGCCAGGCGTGCATGTAGCCGGTTCGCCCGAGGCCGCACATCACCTCGTCAAAGATGATGAGAGCTCCGTGTCGGTGGCAGACGTCTTTCATGGCCTGAAGATATCCAGGCAAAGCTGTTACACAGCCGAGGGCCTGCAATCCGGAAACGTGGTATTAGCCATTTTTTGTAACGGAAAGCAAGGAAAAGGACAGTGCCATAGAACAGGACTTACGGTTCCAACCATAGGCTCGATGATGAAGGCGCACACAGTCTCAGGGCCAAGTCTCTGGAATTCGCCTTCCAGCTCAAGAGCAAGTCGTTCCACGTACTCTTCAGACGACTCGCCGCTTTGAAGATCCCTGTAGGGGTGGCAAGCCGATACGTGGGAGACGTTGTCGGCCAGGACGTCCATGAAGGGCTCCTTACGGGCCTTCAAGTCGCCAACAGCCAAAGTACCCAAAGTGCATCCATGCCAGGAGCTTTCTCTTGCGATGAACTTTGTGCGGGGAGCCTTGGGGTCTTTTTCAAGGAAATATTGGCGGGCAAGCTTCATGGCGCCTTCAACAGCCTCAGAGCCTATGTCAAAATGGATTAGCTTCTGGTCTCGCGAACTCTGTCAAATTCTCATTCTTACCAGAGCCCAAAAGGCACGCTCTCGACAACTGGCCTCCAGTGGATTTGACCAAGATGTCGGCAAGCTCGTGGGATGGATCGTTCTGGAAGTAACCCGGATGGGCATACGTGAACTTGTTCAGCTGCTTGATGATGGCGCTCTTGACTCTCTCGTTACCATGACCGATGGCAGAGACTGCTGCTCCGCCGGTGGAGTCAAGAATCTTTTGACCATTTTTCAGAGTGAAGTACAGTCCATCGGCTGACTCAACTGTGGGAGCCGAGGAAGGGTATACGCTCTGGTAGAAGAGCGCGTTCTCAGCTGGAACAAGATCATCAACAAGTGCAAGGGAACCCATGATGTGTTTGGATGGATGGTAAGGTAGTTGGTAGTTGGAGAAAGAAATGGAGTGATGATAATGTTGATGAGGGTGTGTGGGAGTGATGTTCTGGTCGTGGGGAAAAGATGATGATTGCTTCGAAGACGCGATCTCGTGTAGACTAAATACTCTGATATTCGCCATTGATGCAATGTACACAGAGTGACTCCGGCCTTCACCGGCATCAAGATGCGTACACTGGCCTCCCAAAGCCCCGACTTCGCTTCGAGCTGTAGGTGATACAAATCCCTCAAGCAGGGGAGGTTCCATCATCCATGAAACTTCACATTGCATTTTAGGCAGCTGTCTGCATCCAATCACTTTCTTCCGGCAACATCACGACATGGATGGTGCTTTTCCGGTCATTCTTTCGTCTTCACACAAATCCTCCCTGTTTGATAATGGGGTAGGGATTCGTCATTTCGTGGAGACTAAAACCCAATTCTCATGCTTGAAGCGGCCTGTTACTCTAGGTGACTAGCTGCTTATGGAATATACCAGTTCTTGTAAAAAGACGCAGTTGAAAGGCTATGGGTAACCTCGTTTTCGCTGATGTGAGTCAGCAACCTTGGATGTGAAGAGTTTTCTCGAAATATGCCTGCATCTACCTAGCTCTCTGCCGTCGTAAGTGTGAATGAGGGGCACACAGAAAACTTCTCGCGGTATTCGTCACGAAGTATCCTCAGATTTTTCAACCTCGGAGGCCTTGTCACCGGAAGAGGAAGCGGCAAATCTCCGTCAGCCATCCCACGGTCCCGTTTGGGAAGGCGTGACCAAAGTATAGTGCTTACGCGTTCGAGACACACCCGTTGCTTATCTTATAAGTGGTATTCCCTGTTCGGAGACTTTATTCAAAGCTCCACTGAGCAGCGAGACTTCACATCTGAAGTAGATGTTATGTGCCTCTTGAGTGGTGTAAGGGTCCATGAACCATGAATGTAGATGACACATGTGGCGGCGACGTCAGTGTCAACTGTCAAGGCATCATGGTGGAGCAACGATTTTTTTCGTGATAGCCGCATGATGTGTGCTTAACAAGCTCGGAAGAGATGTATGCCGAAATAGAACAGGCTCGGCAGTAAACAGGTGAAAGTACATTACGTGTAACCATAGCAGGGCTCCGGATCCCACTGCCGCTTTGCAGACAGCTCATCTAACCCCGGAACGATGTCCAATTCATTGACAGTAAACAGCCACAAGTGATGCAAGCTTCGGGCACACCCAAAACCCCGATGGCTCCGGGTTTTCCGGCCGGTCTGATTCTTTTTTCCGGCCCCCACGGGGATGGGACTCCGGCGTGAAGGGTGATTGATGACAGAGACCTTTTACTCAGCTGGAAATCGGAACTCCTTTTCTGGATCCACACTTATACGCACTGTCTGCGTACCTCATGCTTCGAAGTAGGGCATGCAGGCCAGATGCAACATGAAGGCTGGAATGGGTGAAGGATTCGTGCAAGGAACGGTCCAATTTCTCAGCAAGCTGTCGAAAGATAGATCCCTGGAGGCTCTGCATCTGCGTTTCCGTGTTGCAGTCAGGAATACTACATTGCCGTCCGGATCCCACCCCGCGGCGGGTAAGAAACAAGGTTGCCGTGGATCTCATAGATCCTTTATACACAAAAGATCCTCCACAAGTACCATATCTGCTTTGAAAGCTTGTCACTCTCGTTACCTTGCAACGGGAACCCCAATTGCGCTTACCCGTTTGAGCATATTCTCCATACAACCTTCTCCATACGAGCAGCCCCCGCAAAGAGCTTGATTTTAATGCCTTTTTCGGTGAACCGTTGAGGGTCCACAGGGGTTATTTCACATTTTGAATCCTGCTAAGTGGATCGCACGTCTTCAACATAAGCGTATTACGCGATGGCGTCCGATGGTGTCCTGCCCCTGTCACCGGTTCTCTCGTCTAGACTTCCCTGTCTCTTGTACCGCTTCGTCACCACATCAGCCAAGCCTCCTCACTTGGATGGTAGCGCAAGCGGAAGAATCTTTTGCTGCCATGATCGATAGACTGGTGGTTAATGTTCCTACGTCTTCATTTCCATCCTCTCAATTTCGTTTGCCAAATTCAACACAGACTTTCCCGGCGATCTCTAAGTAATCTGTTATTCTTTCAATCCTAGAGATCTCTGCAACGCCATGGCAAGCATCATTGTGACCGCAGCTGCACCAGCCAGTTCACCAGCTGAGATACAGTCCCTGCCGATTGCTTCTCAGCACGATGAGGAAAAGGCCAGTCAAGCAGCTGCGACCGGTGAGCAGGGAACCAGAAATGGTGCTTCCTCTGCCGACTCCGAAGATGTTCACACTTTGCAACGATGGAATTCGCCCCCTATCAACAAATATCGTACCGCGGCGACGTTTTGGTCTTTTGTGGTAGTAGGAATGAACGACGGCTCATATGGTGTAAGTCCAGGCTCCCAACCACTGACTCCATGACACGTTCATCTTACTCACAAGAATATTGTCAGGCTTTGGTCCCTCTAGTAATTACAACAGCCTGTTTCTCCCCGTCTGCGTAGCAAATCTCACTCACAACTCCGTTAGCTGGAAACCTACTACGATCTAAATCACACGGTGGTTTCTCTCATCTTCCTTTCCCCTTTTGTGGGATACGCCGTTGCATCCGCCGTGAACAACCTCATGCACGTTCACTTTGGTCAGAGAGGTGTAGCTTGTATTGCTCCGTTATGCCATTTGATTCCGTATCTGACCTTCTCATTTCATCCGCCTTATCCCGTTCTCGTAAGTTATACTCCCTTTTCACCCCATTTTTGGCCCAGCTAATCACATAAATGCAGGTTGCCCTATTTGTCCTCGTAGGAATGGGTAACGGATTAGCAGATGCCGCTTGGTGTTCCTTCATAGGGCAAATGGCGAACTCCCATGAGATGTCGGGCATTTTACAGGCCTGCTACGCTCTCGGAGCCACCATCGCTCCTCTGATCGCCACAGCTCTCTCTGGTGAGGGTCAGCCGGGCTGGTTTGCGTTCTACTATGTCATGACTGCGGCCTCGGCAGTCGAACTCGTCACTTTAATTGCTACATTCTGGACCCAGACTGGCGCTGTGTACTTGGCTGAGAATCCCACAGAGTCTGGAGGCAAGTCAGGCCGCACTCGTCAAGCGTTGAAGAACAAATTATCGTGGATCTTTGCATTCTTTGTTTTCGGATATTGCGGTGCTGAAGGTGAGATCACAGCCGTTTTTGTCCATGGGTCCAATCTCCCTCTTTTCGCAATATCAAATTTGCTAACCGTCATAGTTGCTCTTGGTGGATGGATAGTTGTCTTCATGACTCGTATCCGCGGCGCCACCTCGGTCACTGGCGGAGCAGTCGCAACCGGCTTTTGGGGCGGCATGACGGTTGGTCGTCTCTTTCTGTCCTTGGTAACAATTCGTCTTGGAGAATTCTGGGCCATGTTTGTTTACCTCGGCGTAACTATTGCGTTCGAACTGGTGTTCTGGCTGGTGCCCAACCTAGTCGCGAGCGCAGTGGCGGCAGCACTGATTGGTGTGGCCATGGGTAAGTCTCCATTTTGTGTTCAGAAGGCCCATTTACGAAGCGGCGAGACGTCGGACTAATTGTGACCTTGCAGGCCCAATGTATCCAGTTGCAGTGGTTCTCATCACCAAAGTCATGCCTCGCTCACTTCATGTCGGCACCATTGGGTTCGCCGCCGCTTTTGGGGGTTCTGGCGGAGCGATCTTGCCTTTTGCCGTGGGTGCCATTGCACAGGCCAAGGGTGTTCAGACTCTTCAGCCGATTGTGCTTGCCATCTGTGTTGTACTTGGCCTTTTGTGGGTATTGCTACCTCGCCAGCCAAGACAGAGCAAGGAAACGAGCGGAGAAGATAGTTCAGGCCCTGCATACGACACTTAGTAATAGCCGGTTTCGGGAGATAGACAACCTTATTTGGGACTTGAATAGCAGTCCCAATGAAACGGAGCATCAAGATCAGATTAGGAAGGTGTACGTTTCGTAGAGAATTTAGATTATACAGGAGTACAGAAAATGGAGATTCACCCACTTGTAATCTGGATTAGATAACGCAGTGCCCTCAATGTCACATTCTTCATCTTGGTCAGAATTGAATCGCTCTTCTGTCAAAGTTGCCCCGGACTAACGCCGAATTTACGGGTTTACGGAACCTATTTGCTCATCATCAAATGTTGTCTTCCGGACGTCATGACACGGCGAACTGCTTGCTACAACTTGATTGTTCTTATCGAGTGGTGGATAGTTCAACTTTTGGTGGCATAAACATCCTTGTCATACGTCATTAATCGAACAAACAAACGATTAGAGTTTTGGAGCACGGCACTTGACGTTTGATTTCAGATGGAAATAAGCATGTTTGATTCATGAACCACTGACAGGCCCCTCGGCAGCTATTTACTCATCTCCGGAAAGGGGATCGTCTACCCAAGGTAAACTAGTCTTGGTCCGCTTCAGATCAACTCGTCCTCGATTTTGCGCAGCAAACTGGGAAACTCGACCCAGTTGCTCATAATCAGCTTACATCCAGCTTTCTCCAGCACCACACGCAATGCATCCGCCTCCTCAACATTCTCGCAAGCACCAGTGTACCCAATCGTGATGATACCTGCCCGGTTCGCGGAAGTCGCACCAGACCGGCTGTCCTCGACCGCGATGCACTCGCTGGCAACCTTGCCCGTAGTCTTCAGGGCGTGCAGGTACACGGCCGGGTCAGGCTTGGACGTAGGAACAGGCAACGAGTCAGTAGCGCTGAAGACGTCGTTAGGGTTGAAGAAACTGGCCTGTCCAGCCTTCTCCAGCGACGCACGCACACGACGCAGTGCGGACGAGGACACGACAGCAAGCCGATAACGACCAGCTGCTGCCAATCGCTCCAGCTCGTCATTGACTCCCTCACATGGCTGAAGTTTCTCCAAGAGCTTGGCGATGACACAATCGTCTTCCAGGCTGGCGTAGTGCTCAAGTTCAGCATCGGAGGTGTTGCTTGAGACGCCATATTTAGCCTCTAGCGAGCGTATCTACGGATTGAGTTACTTGAGTGCCAATTGTCCGTGAAAGAGTCAAATTCTAATGAGAGGAAACTGAGCTCCACGTACCATGGCTTGGAAACTCTGCCCAACGAATTCACGTTGTAGCTGACGACCTGTAAACTGAAGATTGACATTGCGAGCAGCCAAAATCTCGTTTGTAAGGTCGGCACATGCCTCAAATGCCAGAGTCTCGGACTGTACAAGCGTGTTGTCACAGTCGAGGAACAAAGTAGTTATTTTCTAAGAATAGAAATGAGCGCCATGAGCATCACAAAGAACGACTGAGGGAACATACGGTTGAAGTGCGGGATCCCATTTTTGCTAGAATTGATGAAGTTGTTTTGAAGAAAGAGAAATCACGGCTCCATCTGACCGTGATAGACAAAACTTGAAAATAGAGGGTTTGGGAACGTCTTGTGGTGTCTAGATTTCGAGTCCGCAGCACAGCTCGTGTAACGCAAGTCCTCTTTCTTTCCTCAATGAGAGATATTTTGCTCAACAATGTCGAATCTCGGTGATTTCCACTTTAGTTTCCTTCATGTGAAATGATGGCTACGCCGAACTTACCAAGACCATACGAACCCCACGTTCCGATGTCATTCGTCCTGCGAAGAAAGCCGATGGAAGCGCGAGGCGGACCCGGATATCCCTGTCATCACAACCCGCCACATCCCGAGCTGACACGGACTTTAGCGGATTACGACATCTTCGCCACATTTACAGATGAGTCCTCACATGGATTCTGCAGCTTCCTTTTTGATATTTTTTTTTGATTTTTTTGAGACCGAGAAACGTCTACCTTACAGTGACTTCGGATATACATCTTCGTAATGTGGAGATCATTTTAGGCTCACCCTACCCCAGTTCACAAGTCCCATTGTAATTCAAAGTACCCTCTACATATGATAAATGATAGAACCTGAATCGGGATCGGGGTCTCGAATCCTGCGGTTTACCAGGACGCGGCATATTCTAGTCCAATAAGAGTTGTGCTCAACATGAACGTGGAGGTGAAGAATCTGAAGAGGCTGACTTCAGTACCTCATTGCGTGCAAACGTCGCAGGATCACGAACCTAGACGCTGCAGGGGAGCCATTAAGGTCATTTTAGAGGCGGTCTACGTTATGCAAGCTGTGGGGGTTTGGCGAGGTGATTCCCCTCCGGGTGGGCTTCCCCTAGACTCCTGCTCCACACGGTTAGGCGGGCTGCAGGATGTCATCCTTGCCAAGATCCTTCAGCCCGCCTTGCCGCGCAGTACCAACGTTCGGAACGTGATTGGTTCCGCGTGCTGACATTCGCGTTGCTGGTAGGATATTGAAAACTGCCTCGCCACACTAAATGGACTTTGGAAGCGGCTTTTGGGACCATGGCTGATGGAAGTTGTCGTCATTCTCCTGAGTCGGCAATCATCGGGAACTCAGGGGGCTCGAAATGCAGGCTCAGATTTCGTGACACCTACCCTGTTACTTTGCCTACGCTGGCTGACCGCGAAGGATCGAATGAATCACTGCAGATCGCCCTAGCTTCTTAGTCTAGGTGGGAAAACACCATCGAGCGGGAAGGATCTGTTATCCGGGGTCCCCGAGGTTCGGGCTGAGACACACTACGCCGGCTTCGCGGCGCCCCTCACGGGAGTAGGGTCGATCAGCAATAGCCTTGGAAGAGGGATTCGACTCCATGATCGATTACGTTCACTTAGTGGGCCTCTTGTTCTTTTCTTCTTGTACCTTATTTTCACAGCGGCTGACAAGGATGTCGGCGTCAAGTGCGTCCTACAAGGTTGCAACATTACCTTGCAATCAACCGAGCAACATACGATTACAAGTGCTGACCGACGCTCACTAGTCTCCGATGATGCTAGCCATGTTTGAAGACAGTGTTTGATGCACGGAGAAAGACTTTTGTTCTTCTAATCCATGCCTCTGAGCAGTGATTGTACTGGTTGCCCAGGGTTGCCCTGCTTCGATCATGAAGATTGAATGAGAGCCCTGCAAAACAAGTGTACATCTGAATCGGCGTGGATTCAAATCCCTTGCTCGTTTGGCAAGGAGGCTGGAAAAGTCGGAAGAAAATCGCGCTCGAAGTTCGAAGAATCGTAAGATTCAGTCAAGTCTCCAGTCGGGAATGAAGCCTGGCGGGACAAGAAATATCTATAAGAGTTTCCTATATCAGAGCCGGTGTACGCAAACCGAAGTTGGCAAGCTCAGAAGCTCATTCTCTCTGCCTTTCACTCACTCTCGTCTGCTCATTCTTCAAGATGCGGTTCAGGTCTACTCTTTTGGCCCTTGGGTCTGTTGCTCAGCTGGCCTTGACCTCTGAGGCTGCTCAAAACAACACGGGATCTGCCCTCAGTCTTGAGTATGACTTCATCATTGTCGGTGGTAAGTATCCTCGTTCAAATCACCCCTTGGGTTCAAAACTAATGAAGAGATGTAGGTGGAACAACCGGCCTTATCCTAGCGGACCGTCTTAGCGAGTCTGGTGATCAACGAGTGCTAGTCTTAGAAGCTGGGCCTGACCCCAATGTTGTGGCTATGCACGAGGCACCCGGTGCTGTTGAGTACATCTCGGGTAAGTTCAGTGTTATCCGCCTCTCCAGACGCAATAATCATACTAAATCCCGTTTTTAGGTACTGCGATTGATTGGAACTTTTACACTGAACCGCAGGAATATCTTGGCGGACGTAAATTTGCCTATCACCGTAAGCTCGAATGCTACCTTGCTATTATCAGCTGCTAATCTTTTCAGGTGGTCGTGGTCTTGGTGGCAGCAGTATCCTCAACGGCTTATACTATGGCCGCGGTTCAGCTAATGTCTATGACCACTGGGTTGAACTTGGAAACCCCGGCTGGGGCTGGGAAGAGGTTTACCCTGAGTTCATCAAGGTCTGTACAACATGCATATTCGAATGTTTCTCCCAGGCTAAGCAAGGTTGCAGGCTACCCATTTCAACCCGCCAAACAACGGAACTGGATACAACCAACGCTACCAGACCTGGGATCCGACGGCCTACTCCGACGGCCCCTTGGAGATTGGTTTCCAGGGTTTTGTTCCTCCTTCTAGTGTTGCATTCATCGAGGCTTGCGAAGCCGTCAACATTCCCATTGTCCAGGACTTGAACACTGGCAGGAATGTGGGCGTCAAACAGGGCTCTGCTACCATCAACTCCAAGTATCGACGCAGCTCGGCATATGACTACTACAAGGCCATCATCAACCGCCCAAACTTGCTGATCCTCCACAACTCACCCGTACAGCAAATTACGTTCACAAGAAATGCCACCGGCACACCGGCAGCAAGCGGCGTCATCTTTATCGACCACTCTCTTGGACGTTATCGCACCATCTCAGCTTCTAAGGAAGTTATCGTGACGCTGGGTACTTTCCAATCTCCTCAAATTCTGATGGTTTCGGTAAGCAATCTCTTCTACATGTGGCTCTTCTCATTGGACTTTTCATTAATGTGGATGCAGGGAATTGGGCCGAAAGACATATTGGAGGCTTTTGACATCGAGCCGGTGGTAATCAACGAGAACGTTGGACAACAGTAAGATTGCTGAAAAGCTGTCAGATCGGAAATGTCATCTAATAACTCGCAGCATGATGGATCACAACGTTTACAGCATCTCGGCAACCGTGATCCCCGAAGCCTCAACTCACTACCTCATGTTCAACACCACCAACGTTGAAGCGTCGCAAGATGAGTACTACTCCACTGGCAAGGGTGTCTACACGGCCCCTGGAGGCATCACCAACGGCTTCCAGGAGTTGTCCAGCGAGCAGCTCGGATCAATCGGCGCCGGTGCAGTCGTTGAGGCCGGTCTCACCAACCGCTCGACGGTGGAGTTCCTCTTTGAGTCTTTCTTCTACCCTAATAGCCCAGGCCCGACGTACGAACCTTCTGCGGACGGATCGTACATTTCCATTACGGTGTCCAGTATGGTGGCGTTGTCTAAGGGTAACATTACTATTCAGTCAAGTGGAATGTCGGATGCCCCTATCATTAACCCCAACGTGAGTCATATCCCTCAATGCCTTGTCCACTGGCTAGACTCAAAGTGCAACTCGTTTTTCTCCTGGGTTGATGACCTTTGCTCATTTCCATCATTTTAGTACTACTCTCATCCCGCCGATCGCGCCATTGCCGTGAATGCTTTCCGCGATGCGAGGAAGATTCTAGCCCATGCGGCCTTTGCCAACCTGACTGTCGGGCCAGACCACGGCGAAGTGGCGCCGGGGGTTGCAAATATCGCCTCTGACGACGACGACGCCATCTTTGAGTACGTCAAGGCGACTACCGTCCCCAACTGGCACGCTAGCGGCACGAACCGCATGCTGCCCTTGGAGGACGGCGGCGTCGTCGACCCGCGTCTGCGCGTCTACGGCGTCCAGGGTCTGCGGGTTGTTGACAGCAGCATCATGCCCACTGTCCCGGACGTTAACATCGCGGGGCCGGTATACATGATTGGCGAAAACGGGGCGAGACTGATCAGGGAGGATTGGGGCTTTTAATCCACATCCCCAAATATTTCCCTTCACTCCGAGTGTACGTGTAGATCTCAGTACAGGGCTCCATGATGGACCAGTAGATTTCATAACACGGCGCAAGCTTTTTTAGTCTCCACTGTCGGCCAACCCTTTGGCGTGTTTGCTGAATGTGAGAAAGTTCTGCTTTCGGACCGGCCTCGACGGATGTTGGGCAAGTTGGAGTTCCTACCCTTGCTCGTTTCATGGGCTAGCCCTGCGCCGAGACCTGGGGGCACCCTTACGAAAACTGAAACTTTAAGCTATGTAAAGCTCTCTCAGCGGAGCTGCAGACCCTCACGGTCATCTCCGAGTCATTCTACCCCAACGATTTCTTCGTCTGGTTGAAGCCAGCGCTGTTGAGCTTTTCACGATCTGCTGGAACACTTGGTAAAGTGATAGCTTCATCTCGACGTCTCAGACTGATTTGATTTCAATGAGATGATATGCCAGTGAGATATGTAGCGAGACTTTCTTTTTCTACAGGAATTATCAATGTCAGACCGGACGTTTTCATTGTCAAGTGGTCTTCTCAAAACTAACGAAGGTGGAGCAAGAGGTTGTGTTGGCTCTCCCAGGTTCCGCCCGCCTCCGAGCCAAATCAAGTGACGAGTATTGTTTTCATGCACGGTCATTCTCATTGCCATTCGAGCAAATAACAGTGATGTCGCTGGGTAAACCAGGAATGAATTCCTACTCTTAATTACATATACCTCTGTACTTATCCAGAACAGCAAGTGCACCTCGAAGCCAGAAAAGATAGAATCGGATGTTTCAATCGTCCTATCCGCTCGATGCATCTCAAACAGCAGCGTATACCCTGCTCGGGACTTTAAGGCTGAACTATCAATTACGTGCTCGACCATCTGTGCTAAAGCCAAGGACATGTATACATACCCAAAAGAGTATAGACAAAGATTCACACTTCGTCCCATGATGCTAGTCTTCGACTCAACCACGTGTACCCCTCTCGCGGTTTGTTACAATGTGACGCTAATGTGCTAGTTCATCCGGTAACTCGAGATCCCAAGGCTAGGATGAGGAAGATCCAGCGCCCTGTTGTTTGACCCTTCTCTCCTCTTCGACGCGACATGGTTCGGGTCCTGGGAGGTTTCTTCTTCCTGGTTTGATCGTCTTGAGTTATCAAGCACGGAAGAACTTTGATAGATTGAGAGGCCCTTCGGGGGCAGGGTCCACCTGCACCCCTCTCTTTACTTCAAGAGGCTGTTCAGGGTTCACGACTCGCGGTTAGACCTGCTCCTAAACAACTGACTCGTCAGCTGGGGACAAGAAAGGATTGTTGGCACTACCGCGCCTCGCAAGATCGCAGAAACCCATCTTTCGTTTTTTCTGACCACCTACTAACAGCTTTCTACCTACTGCTACTCGTTCATCATTTGATATATTTTGATACCTATTGCATACGCAGGTCGTTGTGTGTTCCAGTAGTCCTGAACCCCATTCGTTGCTCCGGCAGGCTTGGCCAAAAAGGGCCATATTTTGGGTTGTCGCGAACCTACGGTGACGATGGCTTTTCCACAGCCGCCACATGAGACAATCGATCTCTACGATTTCAACCAACACACCAGGGTTTCTAGAGATAGCTCACAGCAAGGAATATGGTCGAAGCGCAAAAATACTGAAGATCATCGAAGGTGGAGCATCATCGAATTATCAGTCGACAACCACAACGACTGGCCAAGATATGCCAAAGTAGAAGAGGCGTCCTCGGCACATCCATCTCCTCTGAAGAACAATGTTTCCTTCAACCAAACAAACTTTCTCCATCCCCCGACGCCTGACAGAGAAGAGTGCTCATTCAGCCAAAAGGGCAATGAATTCAACGACACGATATCCCTCACACCTAGATCCCACAAGGAGGGCAGCAAAAAGAAGAGTCCATTCGTGTGGTGGACGTTATGCTTGTGGCTGGTCGGGGTGTTGATGCTCACATTGACGGCCGTGTACTCGACCGGATCAGCCAAGGCTTTGATGAGACAGACTTTCTTTGTCGCATCGTCCAGTAACTCTATCCTGATCCTTCGTGTATTGACCGAGCTCTGCGCCCTTGTCCTGGCTGCTCTGGTGGTCGTCGTTGTGGAAGACTTGCAGTGGGCACTTGCATCCCGCCCCGGCGGCGTAAGTCTCTTGCACTTTGTAGGACTGGATGCTGGTACAGGTGTATGGGGATTGTTGCGTCTTTTGGCCACAGCTGAATGGAAGCAGAAATATTCCAGTTTGTTTCGGTAAGCCCGACTCTGCTGGTTTGCCAGATGCATGGAGAACATGTGAACGCGCTCTAACTCCGCCAAGTCTGCTGGTGATTTGCTCGATTCCTCTGCCTGGTATCATCCTCATGGGTAAGCTAATCCCATATCCGTCATGGCACCTTTGTATCTTATTGAGATCCTATTCAGGTGCTATTTCCATCGAATTGGTCACCTTTCCCGAAAAGACATACAATGTGTCCGCTGGGATCGCTCCTTTCAATGCCTCCCATATCTACGACATTCGGCAATCCACAGCCACCGCTCTGTTGGTTCAGATGGGCAGCCCTGCCTGGTCTGACAGAGACTCTTTCTCTCTGGATCCCTTGCATCAGGGCGCAGGGCAATGTACTGGGACAGACGGCGGATGGGCACCATGTGACGAATCGCATCTTCTTACTGGTGGTGTCGTCTCTATTGCGCCACAGGCTGACGACTTGAAGAGCTTCCCCGACTCTGCGGCATACGTAGTCCCCAACACACGCGTCATTCAACTGGAATATGGCAAAGTTCACGATCTCGACGCCCTCCGTGCAAATGGAACTTGCTTCCTAATTGGCGCCGACAACGCTGCTTCTTACTGGTGTACTGCCGTCGGTAACCAACAAGGTCTACTTTTCGGTGAGTATAGAAGCACGATGCCCCCCAATTTTGAATTCCTTTTCGAAGCTAAGAGTTTGCATTAACTAATGATAGGGTCGGCCTACTGCCCAATCTCACTACAATTGACAAGTTCCTGCATCAATAATACAGCCTGGACCCAACCCTTAGAACTATCGTCGTCATTGTACGTTTACTCGCGTTATGCTACCGTCACTTACGACCGCGGTAACTTTTCGATTCTTGAAGTCTCAGATATGACACCACCAAATCAAGAAATCATTGGTCTTGATGACTACATGCTCTCGTTATCCGCGGTAGTTCCCGGTTTCAACAAGAGCAGCCCGGCAACAAAAGGCGACAACTCAGCCTTGGCCATTTACGCTGTCACAGCGCTGCCAATCAACGACAGCGAAGTAGCCAAGAAGCAGTCGTTAAAGGCAATTCGAAAGGCTCTTTCGGTGCCATTCACTTACTTTCAGGCGAACTACTTCTCCCCTGGGCCCTCGATTTGGGAACTCAAGGGTCCACGCGAGGGTCTACCAGACGACATGTACTCCACCCTATCTATTTCCATTTTGAGTCATCAGGTTGTCGCAGGGATTGTCAGCAGATGGCTTTTCGTCACAGTGAGTGGGATAATTCTGTGCATATCGTTAGCCATCATTATAGCGACGTCCAGGGTCTGCGGAAAGAGACCAGAGAGATGCGGCTACCCGACGCTGGATTTTGCCGCCGTGTGCGCCGTAAGAGGAGGAATACCATCCGGCTCGACAGAATTGGGAGGTAGTCAAGAGCCGACTGATCACGAGAGAGGCCATGCGAGCGGTCTACACAGGAGTCTGACACAGCTTGGTCAGAAGCCTCAGCCATTTGGTGTTGCAAAGAATATAAAAAACGAAAGGGTAATATTAAGCTAATGAGACTTTGGAAATATGACGATCAATGAACATCACTATAGATAGCGCAATTTGGATTACTCAAAATAGAAAGATGAAAGCTAAATCATTAATCATTTTCCATTTTGTCCGCGATTGGAGTTGCACGTGATATTACAATGTACTGTACAGCGGCCCCAACGAGATTCAAGATAGCTGAGGTGCAGAACGGCCACTTTTGCCTGTATGGATTAGAGATGAGTCCGATCAGGATAGTACCGAGAGCTTGTGTGAGCGGAGACATTGCCGTCCTCAACGAAGTTAAGATGGACGAGAGGGAAGGCCCTGTTGGTCCCATTTTGCCAAAGTAGTGTAGGAAAGACGGCTTTGAGATCGAGGCTCCGTTGGTCATTGTGTTGCAGGTCAATACGATGCCGATAGTGAAATTTACAGAGTCTTCATGAATGTCAGTGAAGTTGCTGTGCTAGACATGTGAAGTGGATGATCCTAGGCACGCGACATCTGAATTCCTAGATGAATACTTGATGCAGTAAATAGTTTTTAAATGCACAAAACTTATTCTTCTTGGATGCCCATGTCATTGATACGAAACTCTTGAAAGTTGGTTTACGGTAGCAAAAGTTCACAAGATACGAGGTCTTTCTTGTTTCATCACTATGAGGCCATTATGTGTATCTTACTGTTCCCCGCCATCAACAACCCTGCACCCCGCGTGGCAGTCTTTTTACCGTACTCATAGAAGCTAGTATGCCGTAACAACTTCTCCCGAAATACCTTTTGGACCTTGCGGCTCGGATCAAGCTGAATTGCGCCGTGACCAACGTGCCGTATATGTCCTCATCGACGGGCCGCAGTGACCTGTCTACCTCACCTTACCCTAGGGCTCCGCTTCTAAAAAAGCTTGATGATGGAGAATGGTTAAAACAAACCGTCTGCAAGCTGAAAATCTAGTCAAGCCTTTGTTCCCCATTCTCATTCTATTCACGTACATTAGTTGCAAGGCATGTGTATGTCTGTTTGATCACGAAAAGCAAAGTCATCTACACGCTGAGAACCGTTGTTTAAGAGGCCCGATCGCAAATGCTTATAGATTCATAAGCCCATATTATCAACAAGGACACGCCTTACAATGCGTTTCCATATCATCATTCTGGCCCTTGCCGGGTTGGTAATCGGAACTCCTGTCGACCTTCTCGAACGCTCCGCCCCAGCCGACGTTCAAAATATTTCCAACGAGGAAATGCGTGACCGGCTACTTCGAACGCATACACCTCACCTGATCCATCAGTCTTGGTCATTGAACGATTTCGAAGGCTTGGTGATGCCTCACGCTGGCACAGAGGCCACAATCTATCTCCGTGACCTCGGCGCCTTTGTCCCATTGACCAGTTTCAGAAACGCACCAGGCTCGGAGGGGGAGACTACGAAGTTCACCCCGCACTGCTACAGCTGGGACCTGTGGGAGCTTCGCGATCTCAAGACGTACTGGAGCGAGTATTCGGCGGCTTCCAAGATTGAATATGTTGGTCAGATTGAGGATCCCGGCCCGGTGGGGATAGACTGGCACAGGTCAATCCCCGTCAAGAGAAGGCTCAGTCTAACGCCTGACTGGAAGCCGATCAGAGAGATGCTGAGCACGTCATTGGGCATCGCTATAACGGACAATTGGATTGGTAAAGGAACTTTTGAGTGCACGACTCTTCCAGATCGCAGGATTCGGCTTTGGTTCCAGAAGTATTTCGGAGCAGGTAAGCATGCAGAGGGTCCCTTGGCACTTGCTTCTTATTTGTGAGACTGATTCGGATATAGCAATGCTGTGGAAGAAGACGTGCACAATTTGCTATGGTTCAAGATTCAAGTGTGATGACGAGTGGACGCCACAGGGCCAGGTTATCGTTCCCTCTGATGGGTAAGTCGGCGGGCATCTGTCAAGACTGTTGTAATACGGAACTGACTATGAGTCTACCTAGGTCCGATCCGGCCATTAACTACAACATGCACTGTAGCTCTGAATTATAGCTCAAATAAAGTGAATCCGGTCATCGAGAGGATGTGCTCAGGTCCAGAGCTGGTGTCTGGTCAACTGGAAGTGACTCTGAGTAGAGCAAATTATCTCCAAATGCTGATGAGCATGCAATGCTAACCCCGCAGTCTAGTTCCAAGTGCAGCCTACCTATTTATCTCGAGCCAATCAGCCTTCATGCCTCGACAGATCATGACTTTAGAATTTTTCACTTCCAACGTCATTTCATTTCCCTGTTGGTGACTCACCTCGAATACGTAGATTATGAACTCATCCTGTACAATTTCGTGCTCAACGACACAATCATCCAGACACAGCATCATCATCACTCAGTGCAGCCAGCATGGAGCGCCAACATCAAGGCTTCGAGCTCGAGACAATGAGCCTGCCCAATCGCACATCGACGCTCAGCAGCGCGACTGGACACCAAGAAACCGCCGAGGAAATCGAGCAAGCATCGCTGCCACCCGCAGACAGAGGAAGGGAGGCCTGGCTTGTCTTGCTCGGATGCATTTTGATTCAAATTCCCGTGTGGGGTACGTGAAGCACATCCGCCCTTTTCCTGGCTGCGAAATGAAACAAGAGCTGACCGGAACCTTTCTGCACAGGGTACTCTCTCGCCTTTGGAGTATTCCAAGAATACTATGGCAGTCATCCTGACAAGCTCGAGGGCGAATCTAGCAATGTCGCAGTGATTGGAACCACAATGACTGTACGATGAGGATCAACGTTTGACACTTACTTGCATGTACTGACGAGGACAGGGCCTCATGTACCTCATCTCCCCCTTCACATTCACGATCCTGAGTCGGTGGCCTCGTCTACGCCGCTGGTTCGGCCCGCTCGGGTTGGTCCTCACAGCAGCTGGTTTCCTCCTGTCCTCTTTCGCAAGGACGGTGGGACAGTTGATCGCAACCCAGGGTGTCATTTGTGCTCTTGGCTGCGGGCTGCTATTCACACCCACGACCTTATACCTGGACGAGTGGTTCGTCAAGCGGAAAGGGCTAGCTTACGGAGTGATGTGGGCTGGTAAGTCCGCCGCTGGCGTCGGACTGCCCTTTGCCATGGAAACCTGTCTCCAAAGGTTTGGACCAGTAATTACGCTTCGAGCATGGAGCATTGCTACGGTATAATAATCCCGGGACTGCTCAAAAAAAAAGGTGGCTTCACATTGGTATACTCACAAAGCCTCACAGATACTCATCTCGGCACCCTTACTCTACTTTCTGAAGCCGCGAATCCCCCTCGCCCAGTCCGCCGCCGTGCGCCGGATCAACCTCAACTTCATCCACCTCCCCTCCTTCTGGATGCTCCAAATCGGCAACGTCCTCCAGTCGCTCGGCTACTTCCTCCCCTACACCTACCTCTCCACCTACGCCGTGCAACAGCTCCACGTCTCCACCACCGTCGCAACGACCCTCCTCGTCCTCGTCAACGTCACCTCCATACCTGGCGGCATCGTCATGGGCAGCCTCGGCGACCACGTCCGCGTCAGCACCGTGATCCTCATCTCGACCGTCGGCTCCGCGCTCGCCGTCTTCTTGTTCTGGGGCTTCTCGAGCCAGACGGCGCTGCTGGCCGTCTTTAGCATCACGTACGGCTTCTTCGCGGGAGGGTTTAGTTCCACCTGGTCCGCTGTGCTGTCCGAGCTGAAGGCTGAGAGCCCTGCGGTGGACACGGGGTTCATCTTTGGGCTGCTCGCTGGGGGGCGGGGGATTGGGAATGTGATTAGCGGGCCGTTGAGCGTGGCGTTGTTGGCTGGTGACGGGTTAATCAGGGATGGTAAGAGTTGGGGGTATAATGGACAGTATGGTGGTATCATCTTGTTCACGGGATTCACGGCGTTGTTGGGGGGCTGGGGTGCGCTTGGTAGAGTCAAGTGGGTTTGCACAAGGTGACAGAAAAGCTTGTTGGATCTACAACGTAGGGCAAAGATCCGCCCAAACTTGGCTCGACGGGGAGGTGGCGCTGGCCCAGCGCCGAGTGAGGTTCAATGTAGATGAGAAGGGTTCGACAGATTGGCGTGGACTATCATATCAAGGATGGCAACGGGAGCGCAGAAACTTGATCGTGGACAGACATTATTACTATTGATATTTCTATAATACGGCCATGGCATACTCCTCAACCGTCCGTGGGAAAGTGCTCGGCATGACAGCCAGCAGACTAGTAGTGCCTCTTGTAAATAGTACCGTTTCCGGTAAAGTTACCAGTCTGGGTAGTAAAGTCGCCGGTATTGCTAAAGTTATCAATCTTTCCGAGCAGAATCTCCAGCATGCGGTACGCGACGCCGGGCGCGTAACCGGGCAACTCGTGGCCGGCGAGACGAGCAGTGTAAAACGTCAGGCCACGCTCAGCGGTCCACACACCCTGGATACCCGCGCCCGCGAGCGCGCCACCGTTGTAATCCGGGTGGTACGGGACCAAGACGGGGGTGCTGGGGTACTCTGACAGTCCCTGCGCGCCGTTCCAGGTCAAGTTCTGGATCGCCAGGAGCGTGCCGTTGGTGCTGAGGAGCATGTCGAGGTCGCCGGAGCCGATGATGGTGTTGTTGGTGTACTCGATGACGCGCTGCAAGGCGCCGGTGATGGCCGGGCCGTTGGACTGGTCAGAACCTGAACCGTCTTTGGAACCGTTGCCAAAGACGTTGACGTCGGTGCACTGCTCCCAGTTCGAGTTGAGGGGCGCATGGAGCGCCTTTTTGACGTCGGTGCGGTTGAAGTAGATCTCGGCGCCGGGCGGGGAGTAGTCGCCGCTGTTCACGATGCCGAGCTGGGAGTACGGGTGCGGGCAGGTCTCGGTGACGTGGTAGATGTTGAAGCAGGGGTTGACCTCGAGAAGGGCCTCGTACAGGGTGTCGAACATGTCGCAGGCGTACGTGTCGCTGTAGTAGGGGTCGGGCAGGACGGGGAAGGGCTTCTGGGGCGGCGGGAACTGGAAGTAGGTGTCGAGGTAGGAGGAGTAGTTGCACGAGTCCTGGCGGTCGCGAACCTGCTCGAGGAAGGTCTCGTTGAGGTAGAAGAGGTTGTTCCAGAACTCGACAAAGGGCAGGATGACGACCTCCTGCTGGAGGGTCTCGTCGCCGATGATGGGGTCGTTGATCGAGATACCGGCCAGATTGAAGTAGTCGGTGTCGTTGGCGGAAATGAAACCATCTGCAATGTACGGAACGTAGTATCCGGCGTAGGACTCTCCGGTGATGTAGGTCTTCCAGGTCTTGGTCTGGAACGTGTCGACAAAGTTCTTGTAGAACCCGCGGAACTCGGCCGCGAGCTGGACCTCGTCGGTGATGTTGGGTGTTCCCTGTGAGTAACCCACACCAACGGGCTGCTCGACCCACAGCATGTTGGTCAAGTTGGTCCACGCGTAGGTGTTCTGGACGGGAGCGAGCGTGCCGTCTTCCCAAGTGAAAGGGCCGTTCTCGGTGAGGAGACCGGACAGAGAAGAGCATCCGGGTCCGCCATTGAGCCTGTCGCATGTTAGCAGGATGCCCTAGATGCGAACATGGCTCCATTCGCTTACCAGATGACCACCTCTTCAGGGGTCTGCGCCGCTGTGGTCGGGAAGAACCAGAAGAAAAGCTCGCGAGTCTCGTCGGGGCTGTCGGAGATGGGAAGCAATCCCGCGTAGGATTCGCCAATGTCGAACGGCACTTCAGGGAAGTCAGTGCCATTGACAGCGAAAGCTTGGATAAAAGTTAGCTTGGCGTTCAATAGCTTTGTTCTCGGTCGGGTTCTCACCCTTGGTCTTGTCCGTCAAGAACTGGGAGGCGCGCTTCTGAATCTTGGGGTGAGAGAAGGGCTGGTTGGCCGCCCGCCTCTCGACGACAGACCGCGGAAGCGTATGCTTGGTTGGCTTCTTGAAAGCAAGCGCAGACGAGGCGCAAAGCAGCCCGCTGAAGAGGTTGAGGAGCTTCATCTTGAATTTGACTGGGGAGAAACTGCAGCCAGAAGAGGGCCTCTCCTTCGACCAGAGCTGGCCCGGCCGCGGTATTTGAACATTTTCGCAAATGACGGCATCACTCCCCGCGGGCCCTGACGCTTACCATAGGTAGAAGGAGGAAGACCGAAGCGCCCAAAAGTCCCCCTGATAGAATGGGTCACCTCTCGATGACTGAACAGCTGCGGGTCCAGGCAGGTGTTGATCGTTGGATGAGTTCATGATACGTTGGTCGGTTGTTCGGCATGCAAGAGAGCGTTGGTAGTCCGTCACCCGTCTTCTCCAGAGGTACCTCGAAGGCTCGACCTCGGCTGCTCATCTACTGTGGTATCAGGCCAAAGATTAAGCTGACAGCTAAGGTACCGATGGGGCGCGGTCAATGCCACCCATACCACCATAGTACTATGTAGGCCTGCTTAAAAGCTCATATCAAAGAACTTGAACTGATAAGCCTGATTGGCCTTTGCCGCGTCCCGGAGTCATGAAAATCCCATGTTTCCTTCTAATTGACCAACGGCGCGGAGTAATCTAGGCATTCATCGCGTGTTCGGCTGTTGAAAGCCGCATACAAGTTTGTAAGATGACGCAGCCGGGGACGGACTGTGACCTTCCCCTTAAGGTTAAGGTCGGTCCCGCAGATCGACAATGAAGCTCCAACGGCCCTAAGACGGCGCGCATTCGTGCTTCGATCATGGTGCCTTGGTAAGTTGGTGCAATTGGAGCAGACATGGCCCAGGTAGAAGAACAAGCTTTGGGCAGACGATGCAGCCGAAGCTTGGTCTGGCTTGGCAATGCTTGGAGGATCGAAACAAACACGGAAGAGCGGGAGCGAGAGACAAAAAAAGCCCCGGCCGCTGCCCGGCCCTCCCCAGTTTGTCGACAGGGATACAAGGTCCGCCAATTTGGGCACCTGCCTGAGGGGTACTACGGTGACATCGTATTGCAAAGTGCGGTATAGGAATCGCGTAATCATCACCAGCAGCATGAGTGGTGCAAGGAAGACCTCGACGGATCTCGGGCAACTAATTCGCTCACGCATATTGCGCGACACAAGCACTGCCTGTCGTGTTTCTTGCGTCCTACTCAAAAGTTCCTGTTCATCTCATGCTGAAAAAGTTCATCTCTGTCCAAGGTACCGCTGTGGAAATGTGTTTAACCCCCGTCAACGTATAGTTCGTCGCTTAGTTACTGTTACTATCTATTACTTGACTTACCCCAACATACTCCAAGAGCATGTGGATGTCAAAGGCGGTTGCTATTTACGCCCCGCCTCGCTCCCCTCCAACAAAACCGTCACTGACGGCGGCGGGGGAAACTCGACGCAACACTCTCATGGCTCCCTCAATCTTCAGCATCACTTGGTGCTAAGTGTTGATCTACAACAGCAGGACTATGGCAAAGACCAATCAATTCCAATGAACCCAAGAGAAGCTATAGAGTAGGCGCGACGGCGTCGCAGTCCGGTCCATTAGTGAGTGACTAACCTGTTTGGCGCGTCATGAGCACTGCCCACGAGTCGCACGGCCACACCGAGCATCATCACCCGCAGTTGCATGCAGCATTTGCGGCGCTGCCAAAGTAGAAAAACGGTTTCAGCCCTCTATGCAGAAAAGAGGCGTAAAGTCGACCAATGCAAAGACTGGAATGTTGTGGCTGTACATGCTGACGCGGCAGCCACACTGTTGGTTGACCTCACCAGGCCCCAAAATCTACCCGTCTGACATCGCCAGAGCGTAGATAACCATCACCATACTTGACCTTGATATACCATCAGTTCACCCGCAACCTGATCGCAAAACCAATCCTCATAAACAGCTGCAAACACTGCCATGGGACCCTTAAAGACAGCACCCTCCGAGGCGGCACCAGCCTACGACGAGCACGGCTTCCACGACGAGCACCCCGTGAACGCTTTCCCCCCTTCGGGATCGGCCTCGGCCTATGCGACGGTCCCGCAAAGCGACGAGCGCGATATCGAGCTGGCGCACAATCACGATGCGCCAGACTCGTCGGCCCCCTTCAAACCGCACCAGCACTGCGAGACGTGCGACAAGTTCACGTCGGCGCGCGAGGTCAGGGCCAACGAGCGGCACTGCTGCCTCTGGGTCTCTATTGTCTTCATGACCATCAGCCTTTCGGCGCTGGTACTGGGAATTGTTGCTATCGAGGCCAGGTTCAAGCACCACAAGGACTAGATTTCGGCGTTGCTTTCAAGAGCCTTTGGTTTCCGCCTCGTTTCGGTGACGGCCGGACCCGAGGAACGTTCGGGGAGTTGGGTTATTGGCCATACACGCAAGTTATATGTAGGCTTCATGCCTGCGGCCACTGTTTTTGTGGTTCTCTTAACTCGATTCGCCCGAGTTAGCATGTTGAGGACCCTATCATCTAATGGTCCAATCCTGAGCCTATTCATTTATCAAACTCATGCTTGTAGATTGGCACTACCAATTCAATCTTTCGGCTCTATAATATTCGGTCGCAAACACCTCCTACTCAATCTGTAACTGTCTAAATGGATAAATGTATCCTCTGGGGCCGTGTACGACAGTAGTCTGATAATCTGGGGTCCTAGAACACATAGTTCAAGATGACAGTCATTCTGACAGTGCTCGTCCTAATGGCCATCATCGACGCCGTCGTCTTTAAAAATCACGTACTCAACGATATAGGGAGGCTGCGTGTTCCCGTTGCCCTCTCTTTTCTCTGCCAAATCTCTAGCTCAATTTCAAAAGTCGCACGTCTTTGAAGAGTCTGTGACAGACGTGTACGCAAGATAGAATGATGTGATTGTGCTGCGTTTTGGTCTACGTGCTCATTTCTGATTCCTGGCTGATTGGGGTAAAGACTAGCCAAGCAGATTTGCTGCATAGAGTGCATTCCTGTTTTCTGGGGACCAATCTATATCCATGTCGCGTTGACTTGAGACGGACCCATCCGTAGAAGCTATCTAACCTTTTTATAGCAATGAGGCATGAGTCTGGGCCCAAAGTGCTCTTTGGCCACCTCCCCGACTAACCCTCCAACTTGTTGGCCACATGGATCTCGCGAACATTGGTCATGTTCACGCCCACAAGCTTCCAAGCCAAGACACCCTTCTCAATATCGCGACCCTTGTGATCGAGCAGAACGTAGCTCATGACGGGGTCCGTAAAGTCCGCGTCCTGCCGAAAATACAGGTCCCGCTCGTTCTCGATAAAGTTCTGATCGTTGTCGGCGTAGCGCTCGTTCTTGCGGAATGCATCAACCAGCTTCTGGTCGAGAAAGAGCTGGCCGGCGTGGGTGGCGACATTGTCCTGGACGGTACCGTTGGGCAGAGCCTCGGCGCCGGCGGCGTGGGTCATGATGTGGACGTGCGGGGTGCGGCCCGAGTAGTGGCCCGGCAGGTTGGTGCCGAACCAGACGGCGCCGTTGGCGTTGGTCTTACGGAGGCCGCGGTGGAAGGTTGTCTTGTCGTTGGAGGGGTCGCCTTCGCCTGCGCCGTTGGCCTCGGAGACGACGCCCGAGTAGATGCCAGTGGAGTTGGTGTCTGTGCATTGGAGGTTAGTTTGATAGGGGTTCTTTGGGGATAGATCAGGTGTGGACTTGCGCCAGACTTCGACCCAGATGTCAGGGACAGGCTCGCAGGTCTCCGTGTCGATGATCTGGAGGTCCAAGTACATGGGAATGCCAGACTGGCCATCGGTGAGATCAAAGCGGTCGAGCTCTCCCTCAACGTCTAGTGATGAGGTCAGCAAATATAGGCGAAAAGAAATGTAATGGCCAAAGTAAAAGCCATACAGAAAGGTCCCTCCGTAGTCTCGACACTCAAAACACAGCCATCATCATGAGTGGCGAAGATGGTCTCATCAGGAGTGGTCCAGTTGACACTATCATCGGTGATCTCGTGGTCGGTGTTCAGAACAGAGTCAATGTCACGCCGGTGATACCCAGGCGCTGAAGATTCTTGGCGAGTTGAACACGGCGGTAGACGGCCTCATCAACGAAGCCGCGCTTCTCAAGGTGAATGTGGCAGTGGGCAAGGTTCATGGCATTGTTGAGAGAGTAGTCTTGGCGAGCAGCAATCGCAAAAGCCTGGTTGACAGTACCATGAGCGGAGCAAGGCTGGATGAGAAAGGAGGCGATATAAGCAGTGATGAAACAGCTGAAGAAGGTCATAATGGCAGCAGCAAGAAGACGCTCAAAGAGCGTGGTGGTGCTGTCCCTTGTCATCTCTTTGCGGTACTCCTCGGCTGAGACAACGCGATGAAGAGCAGGAGGGTATGGAACAAGCAAGCCATGCTCGTCTTTGTAGAACACGAGTACTTCGTGGGGAAGAGAATCCGCTTCGGCTGTTTATGATCTATCAGCAACTTTCTTGGGGTCCATTTGGGTGAGGAAGGCAGGGCATGGAAGCACAAAGTATTCGCAAACCCAAAGAAAAGAACGGGCTTAAGGTTTCCAGGTGAGGCATTGTTGGGTTGTCATCAAAGGAAATGGAACGTACCAGCGAAGGGGTTGAACTTGTTCAAGTTCATCGTGAGCCTCTTTCTGGTGGCACATCAAAGAGCTCGATCGGTTCGTCGGTGCAAACGGTAAAACCTGCTGTTGGAGTCAAGATTGTGAAGATTGTTTTGCCAAAGGAGCGGACGGAAGAGAGGATGAGGGACACCTTTTTCTGTTTAGGGAAAGGGCGGGTGGTTCAAAAAGCAATTGTGGGGGTAGAAGGAAGGTATTCAAAATGGAATATACATCACATTCACCTTTGGCAAGTAGTAGGTGGTTAGGAAGGTGAGCAATGAATACTCACAGTGTAGTGTAGAGGTGAAGTGTGCAGATATGTGTCACGTGTGGGGTCTTTAAGGATGCGATTGTGTTTCCTATGATAATTTCCAGCAACAGATTTATTTTCTAGTATCTCTTAGTGGACCAAGGCATCCTTTGAAAAACAAGAGCACAGAGGATATCCATCTTCCAACCCGACCGTTCCGTCAGAGACCCAATTAGCCAAGACCTCTAAATCTTTCAGGATAACTTCATCTTGCCAACTCCTCAAACGCATCATTTTATATCCCATCTGACCAGCCACTCCCCCGGCCTCATTCTAGCCCAGTCTCCCTCCACCACTTGAACCGATAACACACAAGCCTGGCAGGAATCTCCTTTTCAAACCTCTCCCTCCACCCCTCGGGCATCTCCCCATGGAACCGCACAACCTCCAACCCCTTCAGCGCCGCCAACACCCCAAAAAACTCGTCATGCTTCTTCTCCGTCAGCTTCGCCTCCCACACCTTGGGATTCGGCGGACCCGGTCTCGGCTCCCAGTCCACAACCAGCTCCGTCAGGTCCCTCGCCCGCCGCGCCACCTCGCCAAAGATGGCCAGCCACCGGTTCCAGTTGGGATATTCCATGGCGACGAGAAGGTACAGCCGGCGCAGGCGCTCGAAGCGCAGGGTCCCGTGGACGGCGAAGCCGATGCGCCGGTCGCCGTAGCCGTGCGAGTGCACGCGCAGCACGGCGTCGGCGTGGACGGGCCGGTGGAGCTCGCGGTAGACGCGCTTGCAGGTCAGCATGAGCGGCGGCAAGGGTTTCTTGTAGTCGCCTTGCTCAAAGTAGACGTGCAGCGGCCTGACGGTGTCGCCAAAGTCGTCGTGGTCGAATGCGAGGTAGTACGCGTAGATCTTCTCCCTGATCTCCCACGGGAGACTGAGAAGCCCCGCGCCGTTTTGTTCCAAGGGTTCGCTCATGGCTGGGTTGTTTGCGTGTTGGTGTATGCGTCTATGCGTGTATGCATGTGATGGCAGTGCTATTACTTGCCCATGTTAGATCGGGTAAGTCGGAAGGATCGGGGACGGCGGAGGTGAGCAATTGGGTGGCCCACACGCTCTTTGTTGCTTACCTTGCGTTTGTAACACGGGCTGTGACAAGGCCGTAGATTAAGTTTTTCCTCCCGATAAAACACCATCAACGCGTCTGTGACAACAGGATATTTGCTTCTTCAAAAGCAAATGTCTGCCTGCAACTGTGTCGCTGCTGCCTGGTTGGCGCATGTTGTTTCTGCGGGAACGTCTCACGGCGTCGGCCAGTGGGGCTGGACCCGCTTCCGGCTGTAAACACGCACTCTTTTTTTAAGGTGCTGACGAGCGGGGTTCCCACCTTCGGCTCCGGCCTTCGGTGCGGGTCCCCCCTCCCCCCGATGTTTGCCCCCCCGTCTCTGCAGATCCCTCCTCGTCCGCCGAACAACGTTTCAAACGTACCTGCCTTGAGCAGAATTTTGCAAATTGCACAAAAGAATTGCATGAAACAAGCACGTGGGAAAACCCCTCATATCCAATTTGAGCTTACTAGAGGGGTGAAGTTTATTTGCAACACAAAAGTATGTACCATCAAGCCCTCCCCTCCGGCGCCGCAATCTCGCCTGTCCCCCCCGGTCCCAACTTCATCTCCTCCATAGCCTTCACCCACTCCTCAGTCGTTTTGACATTGGTCAACCACCATTCGCACCCAGGCGGCGCGTCAATCATCAACCCGTCAAGCTCCCTAGCCGTCTCCTCAGGCTGAGGGTGTCCCCGGCCGACTCGCTCCGCCAGACGCGACAGCGCAGGCGGCGCCCAAATCGCCAGCAGCGGCTCGCAGTTCCCTTGCGCGGTACGGAAACACGTCACGGGTACGGCGTCGCGCTTCACAGATAGGTGGTAGAAGGCCTCGGCGGGGACCAGGGGGTAGTCGCAGGCCAACACGACCCAGTACGCCCACGCGTCGTAGCGGTATGCCGCGAGGAGTCCCGCGGCGGGGCCTTGGCCGCCGGTGGGCGAGGACTTGGCGTCCACGTTCTGCGGGTGATGGTCGCGCAGAACCTGGATCATTGGCGGCGCTGGTGCTGGTGCTGTGTTGCCGTCTTCGGTTCCGGGGGATTGGTCCGCGGTGGTTGCGGCCTGCGACAGCAGCTCGCCGAGGAACTCGTCTGTTTCGGACTCCTGCGCCAGCGAGATGAAGATCGTCTGCGGCTCCGGGAAGATGTTGCGTAGCAGTTGCAGCTGTCGTTGGTACAGGGGTGTTCCATCGGGCATCCGGAGGAGGTGTTTGGGTGTGCCCATCCGAGTCGACTTGCCGCCCGCCAACAGGAGCGGCCTCATAGCCGGTAGTCCCATAGTTTTTGATGACTGTCTCTCTCTCTCTCTCTCTCTCTCTCAATCCTTCCCTTTCCCTTTTCAGTGTCTGGAGGTTGATGACTGATTGTTGGTTTCAACTCTTTCGCCACAAATGGCTTGATGCTATCGACAAGGACTACGATGGGGACGGGTACACGGCATAGAGCTTGGGAGGGGATCCCGTACGTAGTGAGTAAGCCACGTCCGAACACTCCCACGTCGTGTACGACACGATGTTTTCCCGCCCGTCATGATTACGCCATGACACTGCTGCAGCTAGTGTAACAATCGACAAGGAACCGATCTACCAGTTGATCTATCCGTCCCCTATCCGTCCTCCACCCGTCCTCATCCGTCCTCCATCCGGCCTCCATCCGTCCTCTATCCGTTCTCTATCCAACCAGACGTTTCCTGACTAGGTGGCTTGCATATTATCTAGCCCAACCTCTCTACATCCTATCCCCTCCAAGACGCCTGTGTGCTATAGGGGAGCAAGCCTTCACTTTGTTCCTTGTGTCTCCACCCCCTCCGTCGAAATCCTCCCATTGTGGAACACAATCATCGCCAACGAGGCCAATCATTGCAACGTTCTCGACGTTATAGCCGCCAAAATTGCCCAAATTCTGCTTCACATGACTCGATGAGCGTCTCCAGGATGCCGTTGGTCCTCAAACCCGACGATGACCTATCATCACAAACCCCAACCACCCACGAATCATCGACCCTCCGAAGCGCCATCCGCGATTTCTCCTCGCAATGGTTTCTCATCCCCCAAGGAACGGGCATCACAGCCACCGTCCTCCACCAATTAGACTACCGCTTCCACGGCCTGACGGAGATTGCCTACGTCTTCTGGGTGACCACAACGGTGCTCCTGCTCCTAATGCTCTGCTTATACGGTGCCCGAGTCGCCCTCTACCCAAAGCGCCTCCTCCACGCACTCAAACACGACGACGCCGAGCTCGCAGGGCTCTCCAGCATATCCATCACCTTCACCTCCGTCGTCCAAACGGCCTCGCTAGCCCTCGTCCGGGGTGCGGGCGAGCCATGGAGCACAGTACTCCACGTCCTATGGTGGGTATCCTTCGCCCTCGCCGCGACAAGCATCGTATTCCTCCCCTTCGTCTTCATCAAAGTCTACCCCCCGGGCGTAGCCCAGCTATCGCCCTCCACCCAGCTGGCAGTCACCGCAGCGCTCACGGCCGCAGCCGCAGGCGGGACGATCTGCACTTCAGCAGCGGCCCTCAGCAGCGCCCGGCAGATCCCCATCATTGTGGTATCCTACCTTCTCATCGGCATGGGCTTGCCGCTGGCCTTCGCCCTAGATGTGCTATTCTGGGCGCGTCTGCTCGGAAACTATGAGCCCCCCAAAGAAAAGGCCTTCCAGGACATGATACTCTGCGGGCCGTGGGGCCAGGCCAGCTACGCGCTCCAGATACTCGGGCAAGCGGTCGTCAACGGCAGCGGCGGCGCCTTTCTCACTTTGGACGACGCCACCGCCGCCACCGCCGCCGCCGCTGCTGCCGTCACCCCGGTGGGCTACGTGAGCATCTTTGCCGGTCTCGTCACCTGGGGTTTGGGGACGTACTGGTGGATCTTTGCCATCCTGGGCGTCTTTCGTGCGTTTTTCGAGCGCGGCTGGAGACCGGCTAGCATCCCGTATACTCTGGCCGGATGGGCCGTGGTCTTTCCCTGGGTGAGTAGCCACACGTTTTTCCCGCAAAAGCAAGCTCAGAGGTGACTTTTGATGTACCAGGGCGTCTACACTAATGCGGCACTTGAGTTGGGTAAGATTATGGGGTCCCGAGCATTTCGATTGTGGTCTACTTGCTTAGCCATGATGCTGGTGCTGATATGGCTTGTGAACGTCGGCTTAACGTTGAAAATGCTCCTCAACAAGTGTAAGATTAAGAGATAGGCGTGTATAATTCAATAAGTGATGTCATCTTAGTAAAGATCTTTCCGTAAACGCGACCCGAACTTACCTCTGGAGGGAGCATTGAGCTTTGGCAACCTCGTACTAGGACGTGGTAGAACGACGACGAGCGGTGCTGGAAATGGGGTTCGATAAGTTCACAGCCTGGTCGTTTTGATTCCTTCTAGCATTGTCTAAATCACTATGGGATTCCACTGGACTCAATCCCAAGGTACTCCTCGGGTGCCCTTGTTGACGCCAAGAAAGTTCCACTCCCAAAGCAACCCAGTCACCCGGCATTTCGTCGGCAGTTGAAGACCTCCGATAGCAACTCGGTGTGGCTACAAAGGTCTGTGACATACATGTACTAATTCAGGGTGCCAGGAGACGTGGGAAGCTTGACTTCTGGCCGTAATGGGTAGACTGGACGTCTACACATCCCCCTTGAACCAACTTCCCCTGAAGTCACGGCGTCTCGGGCGGCGAAGATCTCCGTTCCTTCGTCATTCTTCCCTCACCGACCCTTCAGCTGGGCGTCAACGTGCATCTAACGAATCGTCTTCTACCATCAAGACGCAATGCAGGTTGTTTGTTCCCCTCCCACATGGATTATCTGTAGTCAACCAAGGAGAATAATTGCAATGAAGCGAAGCCAGCCCCGATCCAGTCTGTCGGAACCATAGAAGCCACCCCCCCCCCCCCCCGCCCCACGCCCCCCGCGCCCACAGACTACACCACCCTCCCGCCCACCCCCCAATACAGTATTCTTCTTACTGTGTCTATCTGTCACTCCCCCACCNCGCCTGGCCCCTCGACCCCCACCCCCCCCCCCCCCCCCCCTGCCTGTGGAACATGTCACAAAGAATTCAGACACCAACCGACCCCATCATAAAAGTATACTTTGTATTCGCTGATAATATCAGTCACCCATGCTGAATGGTGAGTCAAGAGCCAACTCCAACAAACGACCGTCAAGTAGTAGCCTCGCCCAAAGCCCGTCTATTCGCTCAAGTAGCCCAGTGTCGTAACCGTCGGGTAGATAAGCTCAGCCCAAAGAAGAATCGAAGTCAAACGGTTGTGGTATCTCGTGCGCACTTGCCCCTTTTTCCGAAGCAGGTTATGCCTTCTCGGGCTTGGGGACGTTGGGCGCATCATCGGCCACCTCTGCTGACGGGTGGTGCTTCTTGCCCTTCTTCTTGGACTCCTTATCCTTCTTGAGAGCTGCCTCCGCGACAAGCTGCTCAAAGACAAGGTAGTCGCCCTCTTCCTCAGGGGACCTCGCAGCCTTGACGAATCAAATCAGTATAGTCAACATTACGTCATGTTGATGGAGTTACGTACCTTGGAGAAGATGTCGCCGATGATGACTAACGCCTCTGCGCGCTCGAGTCTCTTGGCTAGGGGCACCTTCTTGTCGTTCAGGACAGAGTCGCACACCTCACGCAGCACACTCTGAATCTCGAACTTGGAGCCACGCCATGCGGCAGTGAGGATCTTGCCTGTGACGCGGCGCTCGTACTCGGCCTTGCGGTCCTCGGACCACTCCTCGCCGCCCTTCTCCTCCATGCGCGCCATCTCCTCAATGGTCTGCTGTGCGTCGATGGCAGAGCTGATGGTGTTCCACGTCTCCTTCACGATCGTGCCCTTGTCCTTGACGCGGCTGAAGAAACCGCCGATGCCCAGGAACTTCTGACTCCGCAGCAACGCCGTGGCCTTGGCCAAGTACGTCTGGCCGATGGCGTGGAGGATGTCCAGACCAAAAGACTCCATCTTCATATTCTCCACCTCGAGACGAGTCTTCTCCTGGAAGGCCTTCGTGACGTCAGAGCCCTTGTCGGTCTCGGTCCACACGCTTATTCTGTCGAGGAGCTTGCGGGCGAGAGTATCGACACGCTCCTGGCGGACGCGGGCGCGCTCCTTGTCGTAAGCGGCGAGCTGGTCACGCTGCTCCTTTGTCAAGCTGCCCTTCTTCTTCTCCTTCTTCCGCAGCGACTCCTCCGACTCAGGCTGGCCTGCGACTTCGTCCGAGGGCCTGTCCATAAGCGCGGGCCGGAGAGGGATCTGGGTGCGCTTTGAGGTACCCGACGGGCTCGGCGACGGTGTTCTGGCTTCGGCAGCGGATGGTGCAGGCGCATTGGCTGTGCCGGTAGCGGCGGAATCATGCGCCTTGTGGGCTTCCTTCTCATCTTCGACAACGACAGTTGGCGGGGGAGCGGCGGCAGCCGCACCAGTCTTGTCTGCTTCGCCAGAGGCCTTCATGCTCTCCTTCTTGGCCTCCTCGGTACCGGGGAACTCGCCGTCGGCAGCCTCAGCGCCCTCGGCTCCCTCCTCTCCCTCTTGCATGGTGATGTCCATGGTCGCCGTCAGATCCTTCATCAAACTGATCTCACCGATCCAGTCGACAAAAGCGTCGCCGCCAAAGATGGAGCTGAAGAACTCGGCCGGGTCGGCGAAGCCCTCAGAAGGCTTCGCGCTGTCCTTTCCATACTTGTCGTAGGCTGCTCGGAGGTCCTTGTCCGAGAGGACTTGGTAGGCTTCGCCAATCTCTTGGAACTTTTCGTGAGCGGAGGGGTCGTTGGGGTTCTTGTCTGGAGGGGTCACGTCAGTTTTCCGTAGAGAGCAGCAACTCAGGGTGGGCGCCTCGCATACCCGGGTGATGGATGATGGCCAGCTTCCGGTAGGCCTTCTTGATCTCGATGTCTGTGGCGGTGGGTTGGACACCGAGAGTGTCGTAGTATGCGGTATCGACAACCATGGTCGCACGGAATGAGGGGTATTAGGGAGAAGGAAATCTAGGTAAAGAAACGGCGCAAGTGTCTTTTTCGTCTGTAAACTGGGAGAGACGTTGAGTGGGGGAGTAAAAGGTCCTCTGCCGGAAAGATCGCGGGGTGTTGAGGGTAGGGATGGACCTACGAATCGTGATTCAAGCGAGAATCACAAGGAATCGGACGCAACGGCGGTGGTCGAATGAGTGAGTGTGTGGTAGCCCACCTGGGCGGTGCACACTGCAAGGTGCACGCTGATTATTTTGGGTGAGGTGGATTTACGTTTTCGCGGTGCCCCGCCAGATTACGTCGTTGGGCGAGCCCCCGTGGGTGGTGGGTTTCAGTGAGCCCCAAGCCTAGTGTATAGGCACCATAGGTACCTGAACCTTGGGACCTGCCAGGCTGAAAACGCTGGCTACCTGGAGCCTTACGGCTGGCAACCTGCCTGGCAAGGTGCCATTCTCCCTTCCGGCTTTCCATAGGCTGCAGGAACGATGGCGATGCCCACTGCGGCCTTGGAGATTACGCGGACAGGGACCTTCTGGCAGGGATGACGTTGCATTGTCCAGTCCAACCCATCCGCCGCTTTCTGTTTATGCATCACAGAGTTCGCATGCGAGGACCAAATTATAGCTCAACCAGTGGCGCTGGCGCTGGCGCTGGCATTCGCGCCCGGGGGTCCGCTCTGGAAGCTCTGGGCAAGCAAGCACACAGATAGCAGCAGGCCGTCATCGCGGTCAATCCAGTACGAAATATGTCTCTCCAATGTGGTAAGGTAGGCAGGCCATAGCTGCATCGCAACATTTCCAGGCCTCCAAAGTGATCGACAACAGCGGGCCATCCGCTTCACAGGCCTTCAGAGCTCAAGCCAACCGGACAACGCCGAGATGACCCTTCTCCACACCGGCCGTACCGACTTTCACACAGAGGACACCACCGTTCAGTGCCTGACATCAGCCCGATGGCAAATGGCTTCATGCTATGCTCGCTGTATCAATGTGATGTATCAATGTGAACACTCCGCTGTACTTCGAATTGCAATTTTCCATATTCATTCTCGCCTCTAAATCTTGCTAGAGCAGCCAGGTTCCCATATGCGCCAAATCCGGTTTTCTAATTCCAACTATTTACACGACGCCGTTGGCCTTCATGCGCTCGAAGCATCCTCTGTAGGCATCGTGAACCTCGGGCACCGTGTAGTGGTACTCCTTGAGCTTCTTCTCCAGTTTGGTAGTGTCGAGTTTGCAGTTGCTGCGACCAGCCTTGATGACCTTGGCCTGCTCCTCGAGCGAGAAGTTCTTCCATGTGAAATCGGGGCGGACAATCTCTTTGAAGAGCGAGAGCACCTCGTTGTGGGAGATGGCGCCGGGATTGGTGAAGTTGTAGATGCCCGTGTCCTTGTGCTCGGCCATGAGGATGGAGGCCGGCAGGAGGTCGGTGAGGATGGTGTTGGAGTTGGGGATATCAACGACGCGGTCGTACTTGGCAATCTTGGTGACAAAGTTGCGAGAGTGCAGGTCGTCACTGACGGGCATGCGGAGACGGAGGATGAGGCAGTTCTTGTAGTGCTTCATGATCTGCAGAGCACGCAATTAGTAATTGGTTCAAACGCCAGTGAATTGTGAATTGTGTGTAGCCTACCTCCTCGACGTGGCCCTTGGTGTCCGAGTAGAAGCTGCCCTTGAAGTTGGCAGGGTCGGTCTCGAGGTAGCCGGCGCCGCCAATGGGGTGGGCATCATCGTATTGGTAGATGCAGCCGGTGGCGAAGACGGTGCAGTGGATGCCCTTGAGGAAGCAGGCATCGGTGAGGTTCAGGGTGCCAACGACATTGGATCGCATGGTGGCCTCCTTGTTGTCCTCGCACCAGTCGACGTTGGGACGACCAGTGCAGCCGGCGCAGTTGAGGACGTGAGTAGGCTTGACCTTCTCGAGCTCGGCAAGAACGCCCTCACGGTTCTCCATGCGGACGGTGGTGGTGTAGACCTCCTTGCCCTGTCCCTCGAGGAGGACCTTGAGGTGGTTCGCGACCCAACCCTCGCCACCCCAGATGAGGAACTTGTTCGCAGAGTGTCCGTTGGTAGCCATTGCGGATGATGGTGTTGCTGGGATTATAGTTTGGTTTATCGGAGGATCGTCGGAGAGGGGTCGGGCGGGACTTTGCCAGGATTCGACTCGCTGCTGAAATGGTGTAAGTTGGGACGGAGTCGGGTGGGATGTCGTTTCGGACGTCTTATATGCTCGAGGCTGGCAAGGGAGAAGATAGCTGGGAGGGTAAGGAAGGAAGAAGAAATGGACAAATTGAGTAATTTGTAAGACAGGATACTAGACCAGCAGGGAAAGGGGAGAAAGAGTGTGAGACGAATTATTTATCTGGGGTAAGCGTGGCAGGTACGAGGCCAGGGAGAGGAGGGGAGGACATAAAGTTTGGGTTCAGGTACGAGTCGTACTATCTGCCACTCTGCCACTCTGCCGCTCTGCCACTTTGTCACTCTGCCATTTCAGCTGCGCGGTCTCGACCCTGTCGACCCTGTCGACCCTCTCCGAGTTCCCTCCCATTCTGCTGGTCTGGATACCTACAGCGCAGCAGCAGCAGCAGCAGCAGTGGCACAGCCGGCAATAGGTAGTTGCAGCGACTTATATTGGACGGACAGGACAGCTGGTGTTCAGTGTCGTTCCCACCCCCACCTTCGGGAGGTACCACGGTCAAAGGCGCCACCCCATAGCGAAACTTACGCACCTCGAGTACAAAGCTTGCCAGGAGCTACGTTCCATATTGATAGCTATTATTATCGGAGGGCAGCTATTTCCGTCCCCTAGCTTTGTAATGAGCCCAGATGACGAGTACTCCGTGGAGGACAGCAGTAGCAAAATAAGATTCAGCAGTTCAGGAAAGTCATGATGTTAGCAAGAGACATGAGGGAAAAGTAGCTACTTAGTTACGTGGTGTCGCGGCAGCCCCAAGACAAGTATCGGGGAAGTGATGTGGCCTAGGATAAAGGGAGCTAGGCGGCTTGAAAGCCTCCCTTGGGAGATGCAGAGAGTGAGACATTGCCGTCCAAGACTCACCGCATTATGCCCCCTTGGAGGGAAGGCGGCGGTGGCGGCAATGGTGGGCGGCGGCTGACCAGCGAGGATCGAGTGCCGTGTCGGCCGTGGTGGAGACTAAGATCCGGAGCCGCAAAGAAACGTCCATGTCGGGAAACCTCAAGGGTCTTGCGATGCTCGAGAGCGTGGGAATTCCAAGAGGACCAGACGAAAGGCCACTTGATCTGCTGTTCGGATCCTGGGGCTATGAAGGGGGAGGCTGAGCCATGGGAATACTGGACTGCTGCCTCGTCGGGGGTTCGACACGCGTGGATTTACTGCTGCTCTCCACCCACACCTCGATTGGCGTATGCAGCAGAGCTGATAAAAAATCATCTGTTGTCGCCCGTCTTTTTTTCGTGAGTGAAGGAGAGGAGTAGGTAGCAGGAGCAGTAGCATCAAGAATGCGACCAGCATGGTAAGGGGAAACGTCGCCTAGGTTGCTAACCAGATGAGAACCAGACGACGGTAGCTTTGTTCAAAAAAGCAGGAAGGCAGACCCTGAAATAATAATTCATTAGTTCCAACTTCCCAGCAAGGAACCGCCATCCGTGCCCCGCACCTGCTGAGATTGAGCAGCAAACAATGGGAGAGGGAGAAAGATAGTGACCATGCCCCGCCTTTACCTGCCACGTACCAATCAGATCTAGTCGCCCATCCCATTGGCTCGCTTAGCTTTAGCCGAACCGGTTCATAACTTCCGCCAGTGCGTTCCCGCCGCCAATTTTGAGTGACGGGATTGGGCGACCTTCAGCGCCTGAGCAGCCTCACACAGGCGGCGTGTCACCGTAGCATGGCGTTGTCCGCTTTCCACTGTCCGCCCCCAGCTGGCAGTGAATCGGCCAACAGCGCTGAGGCCAAGCCTTAGATGCCCTATTAACGTAGCTAACTTTCCCAAGGTACGGTACTTCAAAGTAAGGTAGGGTGAGTGTGACGGGAAATTGGTCCCAGGTTGCATTTTACACGGGCTGGGGTCAGCTGCACCAAGGTCCCTTCCCCCCGTTCTGGCGCGTTCCTGCCCGGAGGAATTGGTCACTTTTTTGGACTACCTTATGGTTTGATGACAGCGGAGAACTTCTTTCCCTCCTATTCTTCCGCGGTGTTGTTGTTGAATCCCCGTCCGCCGTTCATCCAAGGTCAACAAACCAGTTTGCTGTCGAATCCCCTTCACACGACGACCCATGTCCTGCTCACTATAAAGCGCACGCGAATTCAAGGTCATTGATTGGAACGTGAAGAAAAAAAAAGGAAGAAGCTGAGACCACCTGCTATCGACTGCGCGCGCAAACCTTCCGCAGCCCACGAGGAACCCGCACACGACCAGTCAACTCCACGAACTCCACGAGATTTGACTTAGAAGTCTGACCCTCCTCTACGAGACTCGACTTCGCCTTGTCGCTGACTGCTCCTCAAAACTGTCGACTATTGCCCGAATCTATCCTGCAGCTCACCGTGCGCCGCGACGACAGACCGCCACCATGGGTGTCATCTACTATCTCCTGCACCCGAACCAGCTCCGTTCCATCATTCAATGGTACGCCATTGAGCCTCCCCTTACCCGGCGCGCGCGCCTAATGTGTTGCTGCTCCTCTGCACCACACCTACTAATAACCTTCTAGGAAGGTCTGGCACGACCCCGTTCACCACCGCGATCCCTCCAAGGAAGACCCTACGCTGAAGTCGTGCTTCGAATTCCTCAACTTGACGAGCCGCAGCTTCTCCGCCGTCATTCAGGAGCTCAACCCCGAGCTTCTGGTCCCCGTCTGCCTGTTCTATCTCGTGCTGCGCGGCCTCGACACCATTGAAGATGACATGACGTTGGATATCAAGGAGAAGGAGCCTCTGCTGCGCCAGTTTGACAAGTACATGGAGACGGACGGCTGGACTTTCACCAAGAACGGCCCCAACGAGAAGGACCGCGAGCTGCTGGTGCACTTTGACGATGTCGTGGTCGAGCTGAAGAAGATCAAGAAGCCCTACTACGAGATCATCAAGGATATCACGATCAAGATGGGCAACGGCATGGCTGACTACGCTCTCAACGCGGAGCACAACGAGAACGGCGTTGCGACTATCAAGGAGTACGAGCTCTACTGCCATTACGTTGCTGGTCTCGTCGGCGACGGCCTGACCCGCCTCTTTGTCGAGGGCAACATGGCCAACCCCAAGCTTCTCGAACGCCCCGAGCTCACCGAGTCCATGGGACAGTTCCTCCAAAAGACCAACATCATCCGCGACGTCCACGAAGACTACCTCGACAGGCGCCGATTCTGGCCCAAGGAGATCTGGAGCAAGCACGTTGACACCTGGGACGACCTTTTCAAGCCCGAGAACCTGCCCAAGGCTCTCGAGTGCAGCTCCGAGATGGTGCTCAACGCCCTCAAGCACACCGAGGAGTGCTTGTTCTACATGGCCGGCATCAAGGATCAGAGCGTCTTCAACTTCGTCGCCATTCCCCAGAGCATGGCCATTGCGACGCTGGAGCTTGTTTTCCGCAACCCTGCCATCTTCAGCAGCCACATCAAGATCACAAAGGGCGACGCATGCCACCTCATGACCAAGTCAACACAGAACCTTTTCGTAGTATGTGAGGTTTTCAGGGACTACACCCGTCGGATACACAAGAAGAACGACCCGCGCGACCCCAACTACGTGCAGATTAGCGTGCAATGCGGCAAGGTATGTGGTGGTGTCTGCTATTTTTCCTTCCCCCGTTTGTCTCGCGTCGGAAAGTCAATTGCTAACCGCCACCCCTTCCCTCCAGATTGAGCAATTCATCGATTCTCTGTTCCCGAGACAGGACCCCAAGAAGCTCGGAGAAGCGGCGAAACAGAAAGAGCGGGTCCAGCCGGGCATGGATGCAGGCGAAGCTTTCGTATTGGGCGGCATGGTTCTTCTGACCCTCTTTTTCGTCTCTGGTCTCATGGTGAGTGGCTCTGAAAATTTCTCTCTCATTTCCACTCTCCTTTCCGATATCAAAATCCTCGCAATCCTCACCTTTCACTCTACTTTTCCCCCTTTCCTAACCCCCGAACTCTCAACTGACCATCGCCCTCAGATTGGTACGGCCTGGTTCTTTGGCGCACGCTTCGACTCGTTGTGGAAGACGGACAGCATTTACTGGCCTGGCAGCGAGCCCGGTGCGTCGACGCCGATTGAACACAAGGAGCTGTAACTCTATCAGACAGACGAGAACAAAGCTGTTCTTTGACTGCTACGCTGCATCTGACTTGTTGACGGTACATATTGACGAAGGAGTTTTCGGTTGCTCGCCGCCGGCATGGCTACGAAACATTGAGGAGTCCATACTAATCTTGCTAATACACACCATCCCCGTGATGGGTTTTTCGCGACGCAATCTTGACGTCTTGCTGCTGTCAGATGATATCTTGTACGACGTTTTCCCACAGTGACAACCATTGTCGTTTTACAACCTCCCACCCAAACCAAGCACGGATGTCAAATTGCAATTCAGTCCCATCGCAAGGTGGTCATGACTGTGGTTGTGCCGAAGAAGTGCTGATAGCAAAACCCACTGGCAAAGACCCCGTCCATCACGCGGCGGGTACGGGGCGGGCGCGTCTTCCACTGTTCCAGGGACGCGCTCTTTTGCTCCGGCTTGCAAACATTCTTTTATCGCGTTCCAATGTTGTATTTCTCTTGGTCTAATGCGACCGAACCCCTTTGAACCTCATAAAATCGTCGTCGTCGTCATCGTCGTCAGTCGACCGACGGCCTGGTCATTGTCGTCCGATCCCCGGGTATTCGATGGTGAGGTGACAAGCGCTGTCACGGCGTCAAGTAGACGAGCCCGTTGCCAAGGTCGACGTATAACCCTCTCCTCCTGATTTGAGGAAGCGAGAGGAGCTCTGAGTAGAGCCGAGAGGAAGAAGGATGAATCCAAATCATTTTCATGGCTAGGGAACCGTTGTAATATGAGCCCATGATGCACATAATCGTCTCAAAGGTCCAGCTCAGTGTGTTTGGTCATCAGGACAATGCGAAGTACTTGGCTTGCTCGGCTTGGCCCTCTGGTCGAACTGTGGACTGCAAGTCATGTAAATCAGACGAAGCATGTAGCGCGGTCCCTCGCTATGTACCCTCACGTATCCAGGACTACCAGGAAGTCGCCGGCCATGAGCAGATTGCCTAGGCGTACGGCGTACCAGGTTTGTCCATTCCAATTTACTACTACTCCCAGGCCCGCCGCCGGAAGTCTTCGTCTGGTGTCCTCTTGTATCCCGTTGCAGGAGACTGTGCGTTGTGTCGCAGGCCAGGGCTGAGATCTCGTCAGAGAATCTGCCGGGGGGAGAGGGGGGGTTTGGAGGGGATGCGGCTCTTGGAAGCGTTCCCAGCGTTTATGCGCAAGGCTGAACCCGGGGTTCTGGACCTCCTGGGACGCCTGGAACGTCTTTTAACCTTGTTTTGTATTTGACCTTCGTCCCCGGGACACTGGGCCAGTGACAGTCTGGAGATTTGTGAAACCTGAGACCCCCCCCAACCCCCAACCCCCCAACCCCCAAGCTCCAGCTCAATTTAACCTTTTCTTCTCGGCTCGCGGGTCAGAGACAACAGGCTGGAGAGTTCCCACGTGCGCTCACTTTCTCGTCTGCTGCGCGCGGATGGGCGTGTGTGGCGGGCGTGTGTGGCGGGCGATGCGGGAAACCCGTGTCTGGCGGTCCGGTATCCTTTTGACGCCAAGACCCGAGATCTCCGTTTTCCCAGCGCCAGATTGATAGAGGGGGGGGAGGGGCTTGAAGTCCTCCAAGAGGGAGGGTGAGGGCGGCTGTTAAGAGACGAGAAGCCAAGTCTTCTTGGTCTTGCTGAATCATGGTTCAGCCAAGTAGTGGCTAACCTGCCAAACTTTTTTGTCATGATGTGGATATCTTGCACGTCTCTGTTCGGTCAAGATGTTTTCTCTATATATCCGTCATTTGTCAATGTTACAGCAAGATGTCCCTGTTCTTGGTTTTTTCTCTCTCTGGTGTTTGTGAAAGCGGTTGATCATAATGTAGAAGACTCACTGAGATAGATACGCGATTGAACAGCAATAACACCAGCATTTCTCCTTCCCAGACACACACTCTCTCTCCCACGTTCTCATCTTTGACTTCTTCGCGCCCTCGTCGGATCTCTCTTCGACTCATCTCCTTCCTTACCCGAAACGTAGCCTCCGAAACGTAATCGTAGAGAGAGGACTCGGTGGTTAGGTATCAAGCCCCTTTCCCTTTTCCTTTCTCCGTTTCTGCCTCCCTCTTCGGGCGCCGGAACAAAAGCAAGGACGCAATTCGCCTCTGTGCGCGTGCGCGCGTGTGTGTCTTGGAGATGGGACGATTGTAGGTGCGTAGATGTTTTGTGGTGGTCGATCTTTCAGCTGACCACATGCTTTTTTCCATCTGCATCCATCCACAGTCATCAGCAAGTGTTCTATACCGGCCTGACGCACTCGCACCTCGTCCATCCAATCTCATCCTCGTCAAATATACAATGCAATATACACTCCCCCCTCCCTCCCCCCCAGCCCTCCAGAGAAGAAGGTTAGAAGGGAGAGCCATGGAAACTAGTTTCGGAATCCATCATCCGCGCAACGCACCATCTTGCTGAACTGGCAAGCAAGCGAGCGAAAAAAAAAGACATCATACCACCACCCCCTCCCCCGGCCACCCAAAGAAGCCTCCAATAATATGCGACATCAGCCTTACTCACTCGTCATAGATGACTAGATTTCCCAAACGTATTCACAGAGACCGGATCACGGCACGCGATGAAGTAAAAGAAGAAACAACCCACGAAGAGCACTTCCACACCACACCCAAGTTCATCTCATCCTTTTCTCATTCCTTGATCTTCAAAACACGGAGAAACACAAACCTTAGTCACACATACACACACACACGCACCACGACATTCTGGACTCACGTTTCTTGTCCGTCCCCAGGCTTCCTCCCACCCTCGGGGAGTTGCGATGCCCCCTTCTTCCCTTGGGCTTCCCCCCAAATGTCCGAAATATGTCATGGCGTCATCTGTGTTTTTGGGCTCTTTCCCCCTTCCCGGGGGAGATTCTTCGCAAAGAAACACGCGCCGACAACACAACCACCCACACCAGAGTTTAACCCCCGTTCGCCTTGCCATCCGTTGCCCTTTTCCGCCCGCTTGGAGGAAGTCGGCAGGTACCTGTATCCATTTATAAAGTTGGGAGGGAAAAGGGGGGGAGGGTAACATCATCAGATCTAGCCAGATTGCAGATTGAGTTTCCTACGCGTCGACACTTGATCTTCCTGCCCGATGTCACTTGGACTATCCCAAAAGAAGAAGAAAATAATTACAAGGTAAAGTGACGTCGTATTGGGGTTGATAGGCTTCAAGTCGAGTCATTTAACCGACACCAGTGTTAGTCGCGGCCAGCAGATACACTTTATGTCCAAAAGCATCATCACCGGTGGTCAAGACTTTAACAAAGGCAAGGCGGTGCAAAGACTTGTGGCAAAGGAAGGAAGGGTATTTGAACTGTAATGTGAATAGTCTGTAGCTATCTGCTCTCATTACCAAACTCTCTGTGAGAATTTTTGTCTTGGATACAATGGGGTTTTTTGGCTTCCCAAGAAACTAAAAAAAATGTTCAAGAAAACAGGGTGAAGGAAAAAAGAGAATTAAAAGAGTTGTAAGAAAACCCAAGACAGAGTGAGTTTTCGAGTCCTGATGAGTGACATGAGGGAACCAGCCCGTCGAGGGTATTTCTACTCTTGTGGGGTTCTTTTCTTTGAGCCTATTTTCCTTGGTATGCGGTTTGAAAGCCTGTCTTGCTTTGTCTTGTCTCTTTCTCTCTCTCCTTTTACATACAATTGAAACCACCCGAAAGACACCTAGAAACCCCAGGTATCCCCATCTCGGATGGCGAAGGCTTGTGTTTTGCTTGCTTGCTGTTGAAGGCTGCGCGCCAATGCGGTGATGTGTGCAAATGACTGGGTATCCTCTAAAATGCCGTGAATTTTTGTTCATCCCCCCTCGATTATTAAATGCATGGGGGAGAGTCACTTATTAAACCAAGGAAAACGTGTCGAAAAAGCCAACGTGACGCCATCATGCCTTTGAGGTTTCCCATAAGAAGAAACACTAAAAGAATCCAACGTTACCAACGTGGCAGAGCTTCTAGAGCTGACCGTTGTTGGCAATCAGGTTGGTCGTGCCAGCGGTGTTGCGCTGGACAGAGGCGCCCGAGGCCTCAGCAAGGGCGAGCATGCGGTCGGTGACAGCCTTGACGGTGTTGAGGCCCTCAAGACCCATCAGGTAGGCGGCCAGGCCGGCAACGTGAGGGGAGGCCATGGAGGTGCCAGAGAGGGTGTTGGTGGCGGTATCAGAGGTGATACCGACCGAGAGAATGTTGACACCCGGGGCAAAGATGTCGACAACATTGCCAAAGTTGGAGAAGGAAGCCTTGCGATCGTTACGGGCGTCAATGGCACCAACGGTGATGGCGTTGGGGGCAGAAGCGGGCGAGGTGTTGCCAGCATCCTGGTTCTCGTTTCCAGCAGCGACGACAGGGACAATGTCAGCGTTGGCAAGAGCCTGGATGGCGCGGTTGACAGCAGCAGAAGCAGAGCCACCGAGGGACATGTTCATAACAGCCTTGCCAGTGAGGTTCCTCTTGGCGACGTCGTCAATGACTTTTTAGTTGTGTTAGTTTCGGAAATTTGCATTAGGTTAAACTGTGGGGCTTCTGAAACTTACCGAACTGCATGCCATCAAGAACGCCAGAGTTGGAGCCAGCGCCATCGCCATCAAGAACCTTGACTCCAATGAGGTTGACGTTCTTGGCAACACCGAAAGTCTGGCCACCAATGGTGCCAGCAACGTGAGAGCCGTGTCCGTTCTCGTCAGTGTCCTGCGATGCTGAATTAGACTCTCATCCCATTCAACCACCTTTTACTCAGATCTCAAAACTTACGACATTGTTGATGAAGTTGGCGCCAAACGTCGCGCGGCCCTGGAACTCGGAGTGGGTGGTGAGAATACCGGTGTCGACAATGTAGGCGGTGATGCCGTCGCCACCAGCCTGGTCAAAGACGTAGCCAGTCTCACCAGCAGTGGAATGAGAGATGCGTACGAGACCGGGGGGAGCATTGGTCTGGGAGACGGTGGCAGAGATCTTGACCTTGGCGTCCTGCTCGACATAGGCAACCTCCTCGGCGTTCATGACACTCATGATCATGGAGTCGTCTGCCTCCATGACAGTGGCGCGCCACTGGTTCATTTTGAAGTGGCGGGTCGAAGTGCTCAGGGCACGACCGTCGAGGGAGCGCTTGCCGATGTTGCGCTTCTTGATGGCAGCAGAGAAGGAGGACATCTTGGAAGTGATGGCATCGTCGTCAAAGGTGTTGTTGTAGACGACAATGTACTTGTTGGGAATCAGGTCGGCGGCGTTGAGGTTCGAGATGGGAACACCCATGAAGGAACCCGAGTCCTTGGAGGGAGTAGCGCTATTGCTCAAGCCGAAGGGAGCGGCAAGAGCGACGGGCAACACGGCTGCGATGAGGGCGGTAGCGCGAACCATGTTGGGCGAATTGTTGGAGCGGGTGGAGGTGGTGTATGTAGATACGGTGTGGTTGGTGATATTTAGTTAATGAGAGGATACGGGAGAGAACTAGCTCGTCGTCGTCGAGATCGTCAAAAAAGAAGTATGTGAAGAAGAAAAAAGCTGAGACCGCTGGTCTAAAAAGGAAAAACTACAAAGCTGTCGGTAGTTTGATTTGGCGGTTGTTGACGGGGAAAGAACGAGGTCTTGTCGTCGGGTTAAGGAGGTCGGCACGGAAGGTGCGAGTGAGAGAGTGACTCGATGAGGTTGGGAAGGCGCGAAGGAGTGCGAGAAATGCTGAGAGAGCAACCAAGAAGGATTCGGATACCAGTCACGACACAAAGCCCTTTTTTTACTTCTCAAATCATTCAGATGCGAAAAAAACTGCCCGAACCAAGTTGAAACAAGGTGTAATAAAAGAGTAGTCGAAGAAGCGGAAGAGAGGCGGTGTTTCTTTGGTATTTAGCTAACCGGCCACACGGAGGAACGTGAGGATTAGGATAGACTAAAAGCGGAAAGAGGCGATTTACGAGGATGGGAGAGGATGGAGAGCAACAAGAGAGAGACGGAGCAAGAAGAAGTAAGAGACGGAAAGCCAAGCACAGCTGGGCAAGATGGAGAGGTTGTGGACAGTAACTTAAGTATAACGACGGACGATGAAAAAAGAAGGGGACGGGAGGACCAGGGACTACTAGGACTAGTGGGGGGGAGCTACTGTGTACAAGGAGGGAGGATGACCGGGGTGTCAGCGGTACATCAGGTACGTCTGCGAGGTACCTTACTTTGTGCCTCGTGCATCTGGCCCTGGTTTGTGTGTCTCCATGTGCGTGTGTGTGTGTGCTTGTTTGGTGTGCTTTGGTGCTCAACCTTGACCTTGACCTTGACCTGGGGCCCTGAGGTGTGGTCTTTGGGTCCTTGGGGGGTGTGTGGTGTGTGGTTGAGTGGACCACTCGTGGATGGATGGATGGACGGATGGGCGCTGCAGCAAGAGACAAGGCAAGGCAAGGACAAGAGAACGAACGACGAACGAGGTACCGGCCCCGAGGTGTCTGTTTTACCTTGGGCAGCGCAAGGTACGGACGGACTGCAGACAATACCTTGTTTTCTGGATTCGCTCACTGCCTCAACACAGCATCAGGTGTTTGTCGATGGAGATGTGAGAGAGAGAAGACGTAGAAGAGACAGGCCGAGGCGGGGGACAGACAGACTGGGAAGCGAGAGACTGTGCTCAGAGCAAGCACAAGTAAGTGCCCGTTTCTCGAAGTTTGCACAAAACGTAGATAGGCCCTCAGGCCAACATCTGCGGCAGAACAAGGTGTAGAAGCCGAAAAAGGGACGAGAAAAGACGATACTAAGGAACCTAATTCGGACAATAGGTAGGCGACGACGGCGAGTGCATGTGTGCCAAATCGAAGACGGGGTAAGTAAGGTAAGGTAAGGTAGGCAAGGAGGCACTGGGAGGGCTGGGTACGTACCGGTGGGCAGATGGGACTCCCTTTCTGGAGACTGCCCACCTCAGAGTGTGTGTCTGAGGAAAGGAGATACGTACCTGAAGTACACTACTATCCGTGCCCCGAGGGCTTGGCTCCCCGTTTGGGATGATGAGCTGCAAGCCGCAACTTGCAATTCCAGTGCCGGTGCCACCCCGTCAGCCTGTGCATGGCATAATGTGAGTATGGGAGGCAGCGTGGCGTCCGTTTGGCATTGTGCACACTCTCTGGCAGCTGTGCAGTCATTTCCGACAGCGGTCCATGTCGATGCCTTGCTTCGTGAGGCCTTCTCTGTATCACCACATGCTATCGAGGTATACTAACCCTCAACAACAGCAAAGAGGTGACACACACGAGAGAGAGAGACAGAGAGAGAGGGCAAAAGGAACAATCGACACGCAGTCAGGAGGTTCAGACTGGATACCCACACATTTTACTCTCGGGAGGGAAGTCCCAGGGCTGCTCTTGGCACTACTCTCAATCGAGGCTTGTGCTTCACCTTTTTCTGGGTCGTCGGAAGGGATGAAGACCGGGGTGTGGGCGGTGGTGGGGAAAGCGACTGACTGATGGTTCTCCGTAAGGGCATAGGGCGGCATAGCCATGCTGCATTGTTGTTGTTGTTTTTGTCAACTTCATTTTATGCTTTAGGCACTCCGTCTTCAGGGCCCCTAGACGCAGCAACAGCAGCAACGATGTCGGGCAGTAGACAAAAACAAAAAAGAACGATGCTAATCAGAACGTGGGTGACGTACAAAACAATCAAGGGCATGCGCGTCCCGGGGTGGAGGTGACGGGACTAAGGCAAGGTACAGATACAACGCGGCGGCAGTCGGCGGGATGGCTGGCCAGATCCAATGGGCGACTTTTTACTTCGACTCACTTGCGGCGTGCCGCCACGGCTCGATTGGTGGTGATGAGATTCCACCCAGGGTCTTCCGGGGCGCCGTCGCCAGACGTGCGGCAACGCGACTGCCAACCATTCCAGCCATTGACGAGAACTCGGCAAATTGTGCAGACTGTTGGTAACGTGCTGGGAAAATTGCAGGCAAGCACGTTCTGGACCTCGCTAAAGCATGTCTCACAGTTCAACCCCGCCGTTTACCTACCGGCACTACAATTCAAAGAGACCTCCAAGAGCGGCAGAGGCGCCGTTTTTTTTCAAAGGGAACGGCGTCCGTCGCACACCGCCGACTCTCCGTCGGGAGGTCAGACTCGCTGTCAATGTCTGTGAAGAAACCACCAGTCTCTGATGCAATCCATCCATTCATCGCGGCAAACCAACACCGAGGTAAAGCCCGGATCGTGTGTGAGAGAGCGAGATGGGCCAATGTCAAATGGTTGGCTCTCCTCGTCTCTCGGATGGCGAGTCTCAGGGCCAGCACAATCCGGAACCCAAAATGCCCAGTGCGACAACTTACAAGAACGCATCGTTGCTTCTCTTGCTTCCACTTGTTTCCACGCTTTGCAGCTTTGCGTTCGCCACTCTTGAATTTCTCTCCTTTTGCTTCCCAATTTTGCCTCCTTCCTCCACCAGCTTCGCACCTGCTTCTTCATATTCCCCCCCAAATCTGCGTGGCTTGTCAAGGCAGGAACCCAAGACATGCGGACCTTAGTGGGGTTACCTACCTTCTGCCTCTCCTTTCTTCGGTTTCCCACTCCTGGAACTAGCAGCTGTCCCGCCCAGGATCAAGGTACGTATCTCTACCCGGTACGTGCACGGTGCATCTTTCCTCATCGACGGAGACTAGCCTCGCAATGGGGAAAGCGTCAAGCCGTAGCGGTTCCCCTTTTGGGCGCTGCGGCAGCCAAGCGCGCTTCTCACTGGCCATGCCAAGTCAAACAAGGGCCGCCCCCCCCCTCTGTTGGCCCCTTCCCCCTTGGCCCTGGCTCCAGGATAAGGTACCACACACGTCGTCGATCCTCTCTCCGCCGTCGTCCTTTCCTCCCTCCACTAGCGCCAGTGTTGACCCTGTCATTTCGACTAAATCTGTAACGTCAAAGTCCAGCGCCTCATGACAACAGAAGAAGAAAGACGGAGAAAAATATTGAAGAGGACTCCATCAAATCCATACCCTTTCCAATGTCGTTGTCGTCGAGGTCCAAGGGCTCCACATCGCCCAGTTTCTCAGTCGCCATCTTTTCGGAGTCTTACCGTGCTGTAAACGTACCTCATCTCAGCAACTATCTCTGTCTCTGTCTCACAGTCCGCTTCTCGGCCCTTCGTTGCTCCGAGTCGCCGGTTGCTTGTCCCAGTATCAAATTGTACGCTCTCTCTAGCACACTCTTTCGTCAGCCGGTCTGGTCCCGTCACGTCACGGCCGGGCTCCAGGTCGACCAAATTCCCGTGCCGCTCCGGATGTGAATGGCCTTGAAGCTGTCAAGTCAACCGCCCTGCCCGGCATTGTGAACTGACGGTAGATCCGGGGGCAAGGTCTCTGTCAGTCCCTCGACCCTGAACCTGCCCGCTCAATACCAAACACTATACAGTAGTTCCCCTGCGAGATTCTCGAAGCTGCATCCTCTTTATGCATCGCATGCCCTATGTATAGTAGTCCTCGAGTCGGTGCCCTCCCTCCCTCATCCAACAGTCTTGGCCTCGTCTCCGTCAGCACTCTCGTCGTCATCATCTGTGCAAACTTCACAGAGCCTCTGATCAACAAATCTCCAAACTTGTGCAACCCTCAGCATCGCTCTCTCCTCCCAATCCCGGGCCATGCTTGCAAACCCAGGGATGCAACCGTCATGTACATCTACAGATACGCTTTGCATCCGCAGCCTTCACGTTCGACCCATCAACCAGTCTCCTCCTGTCCCTCTTCGGCTTCATCATATCTCTTATTTGTACGGTGCCCCGTTATCGACTGGTCCAAGCCGAATCCACTACTTATCAGGTGGCTGAAGCCTTGTCAATTTCGTCAACCATCATGACGACGTCGCCGCTGTCACTACCAACTGCCGTCTGCTGTCCTCTCATTCTTGACATCCCTGACCTCCCATATGTTTTTTTTTTTTTTTGGGTGGCTGTCCCTCCTCACCCTGACGACTAAGACATACCTACCTTAAATCCATCAGCTTCGAGACAACACCTGGCACGGAACACGGGAGGCGATGCACGGAGGCCCCAATCTGGACATGAGCGTTAACCCAAGTCATTGTGAATACCATTTGTCCCCCCTCGTGACTTGCAGCTCGGCCAGCACGGTGTTACAGTAAAGGCCATGCGCCGTGAATGCTTTCCCTCCCCCCCTACCACCACAAACAACAGATGCCGGCTGGTTTGGCTCGTCGACGACGACGTCAATGTAACACAACATATGCATCTTGGTGTTGCTTAGCCACCGTCGACAATGGATTTGTAGATATTGCCATTCCATGCACAAAAGCAAAGCCGGTCGGCGCTAGAGGTTACACACGCACCGTCAAAGATTGGGCTTCATGCAGATACGTAAACAACTTCAATATCGTCTCCGCCGCTCAGCAACGTTTGGT